CTCTTTCCAAAAAAATAAAAGGGGCAGGTAGTTACCCACCTAATGATGTTCAAAAATGCTCTCACTATTAAACTTTGTGATAAACTTTTACGAAGTCAAGTAATTTGTTGTTACCAGAAACTGCTTCGATGTGGCAAATGCAACCTGTTACTGTAAAGGCACTGATGCGATTGAAGAGGATTACAAGTAGCCAAAGAATTTCTGCTGGGCAGCAATCGGATCCGCTTGAAACTGGCCAGCAGTTTCAAACTTCATTTCAAACTCATGACAAAATATTTCATCGACATCTGCGCAAGGAAGTTTCCTGATTTCCCAAAACTCTATGGCAGGTTCAGCTACTTTTGGCCACTGTCGCTTGGAAGCTTCAATTCATACAAAAAAGTTTTTTTGAACAGCCAATCAATTTGCAGAGACAAGATTAGCTGTCTTTTAATTTATCACCACAAAGAATCAGTTGAGATTGAACCAGAAAAATTCTTTTTTGTCGTATGGCCTATGGACTTGGCGAAGCAGATTATTGCCAGGGGATTTTTATAGGAACGGTTGGCTATTCCCTCACAAAACGACTGGCCGTCACGAACAGGCGGAAATTATTGTGCTTATGTTATGGTCTGATCCCCTCATTGTGCTGCGGGGCTTCAAATAAAGCCATTCAAATAAAGTTCAAAATCCTAACAGCAAAAGCGCCGTGGGAAGAAAAGGGGGTTCTTAAAAGCTACTTTCTTTACTTTCTGAACAATGATCTGATTGACTGGAGAGCAACAGGAAAATCACTTTTTATCAGCATGCCCGCACCCCTCCTCCGTCACCGTGTGGTAGAGGCGTTTGAATAAAGTTTCAGTCAAAGAAAAACTTTACTCACAATCCAGCGGGTCTTAATCCAACCCTCTTACAATCTTCATTAGCAAGCTGCGAGGATCTTTTCATTTCTTAAATTTCTGAATTTATCATGAAATTAGGTTTGCTAATTTTTAGGACAACTGAAAAACATTAGAACTGGAAATTGACTTACCGGGATTTTCCTTGAGATTAAACTTTAATGGAATAAAAAAGAATCCCCTCAAACACGTTGCTTTACCGGCCGCATATATAAAATCAATAATAAAGTCGGCTTTTTCAAAAGTACAGGGCAGGATTTCTTCCAAGAAATAGGTTTACGAATCATCTTTAAAACTGCGATTTCTTGAGATTTATTCCACAGTAGTAACAGTACTGAGTATCTCATAAAGAGATGCTTATGTCAGTAGAAACTGAGCACGTGTGGGGAATTAGCATGCACGAGGAATCAGAAATTTTAGATTTGTTCCGACGCCATAAGCGCATCTCTCTAACTAGACGGCTTTCTTAATCTTTGCAATTATCTGGAAATTATACAGCTTAAGGACTTTGTAATCTATAGCCGGAAATGGAGGAGGAAGACGGGAAAGGTCGCTTTAAGAAGAAACTGGGAAAATTTATCGCTCTTGCACCACCGCTCAAGAGGCTCTTTTATAGCGGGACGGTTTTACGTTGAAATTCAGAGGTTCACGCGCAATGAAATCATCAGGCAATGCGAACTATGTTGATTAAACTGTTTTCATTAGTGATCCAACTCTAACAATGGCAGTTATTGTTCCTAAAATTTAAAGTTTGCTATATATAGTGCAGCGCGATTTTTCACTAAATTTCAAAGGTAAGTATATTTCATGGTTCGCAGAATGGAGTGAATTCGCAGCATTGAATCAAGAACCAATGTTTAACCAAGAACCAGAACTTGGTTTTTGGCATATCGTTAAAAGTTGTTGATGTTTGAAGAAAAGAAAACAGAGTGTATAAACATTGGCAGAAACCTTATTGCTTAATTAGCTTATTGCTTAATTAGCGAAGAAACTAGCTTTTCTGACATTGCAGCCAGGAAAGTTTGTCAACAGACAAATCTTGTCATATTGATTAGAGATATATGCCACCTAATATTGAATTTACTCGGTAAAGTACACAAGTGCGTTATTACTTTCAGATCTAATATCGGGGCAAAATAGCCTGGTAGTCCAAAAGCTCTCGTTAAAAATGACTGTATACTAAGTACAAGATTGCGAAAATCCTTTTCATAGTTCCGAAAACATGGCAGCCGCACCATCAATGGCAAAGGCCAATTATGACGCAGGAATGGTTAAACGATTATTTGGATCACAGTGTTAAGATTGTATAGTATGTTTTTCTCATATGTGCAAAGATGAGCAAAACATTTACAGAACGTATCCCATTACACTAAACTACTTATTCGTAAATAAATACTTGCTTGAGATAGAATGTCCATACAAAGTTACAAAATGCCCCAAAGAACCAGCCGCATAATTCACGCTCATATTAAGCATGTTTAAAGAGCACTGCTGCTAAGCAACTGTGCTTACGATCAAAAATTGCGAACATGCAATCAGGGAACCACAAATGAGTCATGAAAGACAGGTAATGAAACAAAAAACTATCATTTAATCACAACAAAAAAGAAGTTTCCTTGTTATAAGATACAGAAATTTTAAAAGAATCCAGCCGTATCATCAAGAGATAAGATACTTTCCCGTCGTTGTAAATACGACAAAAAGAAGACCATAAAACACATACATGAATTCTCTTAAAAGGAAGAAATCCTTAATGTAGGCATACCCTTGTTACACAAGAATAAATGACTTACAATTCAAGTCTTACGTTTCTCCCCGCCTGCAATAGTACAACCAGCTTTTTCCTCTGTACCCCCAAAACGTTCGATTCTTATTTAAGGATTGCCCTACCAGCATTGCATTGAAAATTATCAGCTCTACAACGGTCTCTTATTAGCAGGTTTCAATTAAACAAAAAGGCAATTTCACACAACCGTTGTTTTACCTTGTTGTGGAAACGATAGAGAATTGGCATTAATAAATCATATCCGATTCAATGGTAACATCTCAAATAAAATCTTCTATTCAAAAAAACCTGTAAAAACACTTCGATTGAAATCTTTATTATTCAAAAAGGACGCCGGGGAGAAGGTTGTATCATAAAGGGTATGGAGGAAACATATACTGAAGATTTACAGCATATCAAATATAAGGAGATTTTTAGGAATGTGTCCCCAAAAAATGAAAACTGACGTCAAAATGCTTTGGCATCGGAGAGCTTTAAAAGGATAGACCTTTAATACTACTGCAATTTATATCAACCTACAGTCATTGAGCCCTGTTGTCAGCTTGGGTAGATAAAGAATAGCACTATAGGTTCTATTGCAAAATAGCACTGTAGGTCCTATATTTTGGTAGCTAAATTACTTTGTAAACAGTTTTGTAAAGATGTGAAGCATGGTAATTTGATATTGTAAACGAGGCTGTAAGAGAAAAAGGAGATTAAGGCGGACCGGATGATAGTTAAAGACTCATTGCTAACAATGAGCCATTGCGCTACGCAAGCATCCCATAATGCATTTTCAGACAGTCTGAAATCAATTATGGTTAATCCGTAGAAGTTTACTGCCATTGTTTGGATTGTCGCCTGGATAATTTGCCACCCTCGCGAAGGCTCATTGTTAGCAATGACTCTTTAAAGGGATTCAGAATAAAGTTGAGTAGAAGAAAAGGCGTTTGAGAAATTGAAGGAAATATTGGGGAGAATTCACGAGGTTTTTTGTGTTATTCTTGCCAAGTCGGACACTCCGCTATAGTTTTTAAATCACAAAATCGTTTTCCTGCTAGAGGGTGATCATTTCAAAATTTGGAAAACCTGTTACTATTAACCCATCTAGAATAGTAAGGCAAAGGCAAAAAAATGTTTTATTAAAAGAAATAAAGAAATTGGTAGAGCCGAAACATTTTGTAACTACAATCCCGGACAAAAATGTTGAGATAAATTGCAATTTTCTACTTTACCATGCCCCTGTAAATTCGAATCTCCCCTCCCCCCCCCAAAAGCAATGTTGGATTTGTAGCTCTATCATTTTTGCTTCAAAATCATGCATTCAACATTGAATTGGGGAAGGGGGGAAGCTATTTTTCAAAGGAAAGGGAAAACATAAAGTTTCTTGAAAAGTCTCAACTATCTTTGCCCAGCAATTGTAGGCTGAGAATTTTTGCAATAAAATTAAAACCATTATGAAAAGAAATAAGCAACAATGTCTAAATGGTTAATACAAGTATTTGAACGGACGAAACTCTGAAGCATATCATAGAATTTTTAGTAAACCATAGAATTTAAATTTCTTTATAGCTTTTGAAAAAACACGCGGAAACTAAACGAAATCTAAAGCACATGATTTTTATCGCAGTCAAAGATAAAGCAGCCTCCAAAACACGTTTTCACAAAGAGGTCTCCAAGATTACAGGCGCAGCGGCGCCAATCCGACGATCTTTGAGGCTTATGTGACGTTACTGCCATCATGTTTTGTTGGAATGTATCGGAACGGTGTACATAGGCTGACCCTGCAATTTTGACATGTTGCAGTGTCAGCATCTGTCAAAGAAGACGTGTTCAGAAATGCCCTGTCAAACAAAACAAGGTTCCCGGTTCTAAATAACAGGCAGTTTGATTCAACTGACCCTAAATTCATTTTCTTGTGTTTCAAAGAAATTCGTGTTTTTGAAGAAGATGGCAACCAGCATAGCGAGAAAAATTCAATAACAGGGAATTTTTCATTTGATATGTTCCACAATGTAGATCAAAAGGTTTTAGTAACAGAAAAGCATTTTTATTGTTGAAGAAACAACGAACAAAGCATACACATTGAAAACACATCGAAGATAATTTGAGAGGAGCCCTTGAAATATACATTGCCATAAAAATTGTTTTTCTATGGCTTACATAATCTATCATTTCTGCATCTACGATTACAAATCAGACCAATATAGATAGTTAAATAAGGTCCAAGGAGCATCAATGAGCGTTCATTTGAATTTACCTGCTTACCAATCAGCTTCCAAGCAATCTTTCATCTGATGCATGCCAAACTGTTGTTCGACCAGAATGCTGTTTTCTCAATATCAGGAAGCTTTCATAAATAGAATAAAAGCATATTAGACTTTCTGATGACACATTAAACGACGCATTACAACAGAATGTAACATTAGACACATAAATCTAGGAAACACTGTCGTTTTCAAACCACTTTGAAGCATTATCCGTCATTTTCACACATTAACAAAGCCATGTGTTTATTTGATTCTTCTCTGATCAACAAACTGTTGTTTTAGATGAGAATACCAAAACAAAAAACAACATAGTTTGCAGCCAAATTGACTTTCCTAAATTAATAACTTGCATAAATGAATAAACAAGCGGTTATTATTATTAGTTACGGCTAATGTGACAAAGCAACCTGAATCAAGCGATATAAACATTTTAAGAGAATACCAAAAGGGTATACGATATTTACAGTTTTCTTTTTCATCAATCCACTTCTACTTAACTATTAAACGCTTCATTCTTCTACTTATTAACTATTAAACTCTTAGGAATCTTTTATCAACGACTACTTCTTACAGTTTGGTTCTCAGTCTTCACTACTCTCATTTTCTCTCGCGTTTCACCCCATCCTCTATTGACACAGGACTTAATAACTTGGTTCCAGTTCTCTCACATCACTAAAACAACGATTTGGAATTCTGGATACAGAAGAACGTGAAGTTTTATAACATATAACGAGAAGGGTAGCACAGAACAGACAACCGCTTGATAACGAATCTCGGGCGTTTAATTAGCATTTTAAAACACTGCTAGAAATCAAATAAAGGCCGTTCAAATAGAAAATTAACGGTGAAACGAAGAAATATGAAAATCTTTATTAATGGTTTTAGAAACAAAACCGATTGTGAGTTGCCATAAAAGAATCTTAGTGTTTAGCTGTTGTGCAGTAGAGTTGGGAGTTGAAATAAGGGTTTTCAAAAATTGACTTCGTCAGTCTATCCGTCTGAATAATTCGAGGAATGGGTTAGGAGAACCACTGTGAGCGACCGGACAAAAATGACGCATAAATTTCCTGCGAGAATGTAAAGATAAAAAAAGAAAGGGTCACGTTCCAAAAACCATAATGATGTGTCATCAGTTTAATGAAAGCATAAGCTACATTTATAAACAAGTTTGCAAGTTTACTTTAACAAAATCACTTTTTTTCACGATGAACGCCTAAATTAATCTGGAATAGGAGCTTGGTTATAATATTTACCTTCTAACTGGTGAGAATATTTACACTCAGAACATCAAAGTTTGCTAGAATGCAGGTGGAAAAGTACGAATGGAGATCAAATTGGGTGTAGATGCTATCTTTGGGAGATGGAGGCAAGCATTAGTATAAACAAAATTAACAAATGAGCTTAAAAAGATTGATAATATGATGTCCTTGTATCCATGGAAGTTTATAACAAACTATTTGATTAAGATATAGGTCAGAATCCTGAGGAAAAATCATTTCATAAAGTATAAGAGAAAATTTGCTTTAAGCAGTAACAATAATTGTGATAGGCAATATACGGTAGGGGCCTTGCATGCACCAGTATCGCAATAATTTTCAAATTTTCAAGAATTTTGCAAATTATAACAAAGATCCTCAAGACCGATGAAAGACTGTAAACTTTTATCGAACAAGAATTTTTCTCAAGGGTTCTTAGGTAGAAAAACCATTTAAACCTGTAAAAGGCACATGCATAAGATATATTTGTTTTATCTTCATGTTTTTATGAACATGAAAGAAACAAAGCTCCTTGTTGGAAAAGAACTTATTTTTAACAATTTCCTGCAGAGCTTTATTCATAAAAATTTACTGTGACCGCCTGGTCACATGGTCGGGTGAGTTTTCATGCCCTGGCGGGCGTGGTTATATTAAAATAAGGCGTGGTCTTTTGATCCGATGTTGGTTACCCGTTTGGATTAAATGTCTGGGCCGCATCATAATCGATGTAGTGCTATTACTTTCAAATTTACAGTTCGTTAGGCACTTTAAAGATTTAACTTTTTTTGCAAGCATCATCAATGATGCCAAGACGAAGATTTTACGGTTTTCCATTTAAGTACAATTAGAGCAAAGAAAATAAAAGTGTTCAGAGAAGATTCTATGCCTTTCAATCGTGTCAATGAAAAATGATAAAAATATCATAAAAAATTAAAAGGCTTGGGAAGAACATACCTTGCATAGCGCAAAAGGCAGGCAGATTAAATACCCACACGCTTGACATTCGTTTTTGGTATTTACGAGAAGTTAACAATAAGGTTACAATAAGAATTAGCACAAAAGTTAAGTAACATACTCTGGTTTCGAAACAAATCTTCGCATGAATTTCTAAGGGACTTTCTATTTTTTTTCTGACGTCACCTGCCAAAGCTCCTATAGAATAAATGAGAGACAACTGTTACTTGTTTGGAAATGAATGAAAATTGCTGATGGGCACAAATGATTTTGAGAACATACATCACAATTTATATAAATACAGCCTTTTAAGCAATTAGAATATTCTACGTGCTCTGATCAAAGCAGCAATGGTAACAGTGTACATAATTTTGTTAAGTATTGAGTGATTACCAAAAAAGAAACGTTATGCTTGTTAGGTGTAGGCGCCATTCTTTGAACTGTAAAGTAAAAAAATGCCGGAAAGAAGTGAACGAAAAAGTCAGGCCGTGGCCGTTAGAGGGAACTGAGTTCTTTGATGGATTTTTTGGGTTGTTCAACTAACATGAAGTGGATAGGCGAACAGGACAGATAAAAAGGAATGCAGTAACGCGTTATTCACAGGTAGAGAGCTTATTGGAATAAGGAAATCTTTTAGAACTAGGGCACTTTTCAGAACAAAGTGCAGGCAGAAAATTGCGAGCAAAGAGCAACTTATGCTTAGCACAAGGCAGAATTTAAGGTCCATTTGTGGAAGTTTTATCTCCAAGCTTCTACGTCATTGCTTCAAAAAAAGAGAAAAGAGGAAATTCGTGTGCTGATATAGAATAATATTGGACGGGTGATTACAATTAGCAGGTGTAATGAGTTTAACTTGAATCCAAGGATTTTTTGATGAAATGATAAGGGACGTCAAATAAGTGAATGGAATAGACATAGCATATAAAGTATTTATATACAGTAGATAAGCAATGTGCCTAATTTGCCTGAAACTTTGACAGTGTACTGTTCAAGTCAATAGAAATATTTGAAACGTGATAAAGACACTGTCAACTATACGGGTTTCTCACTGTAAGCCTAATAGCATGATTTGAAAAAAAGGCTTTTATAAGGAGGCAGGCATACCAGTTGTTTGATTCTTTTGTAATCAAAATATTGTGGAAACCTCAAATCAACTCTTTGTACACGATGGATCCGTGAAGAACTTGGAAATCGGCCAGACTCAAGAACACCAAGCATCTTCCTGAAGTAATTGTATGCAGGGCACGATACATCCAGTTCATCGATTGTGAAATTAATTCTGCAAACAGAGAGATGATAATCATTAGAAAATCACATAGAAAAACAGGTGCCTTGACACAAAAAATAATTCAGTTCAAACATCAAAGTTATGCTTTCCTCGTCCATGAAAATGGCTTCTTTCCCCCTTTAGCCAGATCTTGCTTCCGAGAAGTCCAATTTATGTTCTTGTTCGAATAATTGGATTTTGTATTTGGGGGTCCCGGTACCGAAAACTTTTCCGGATGGCATTTTGTACCTGTTTCCTGATTACATGGTGTACCAATTCTGGTTTCACGGTGCCCAAGCTGCTTCGCACTTAGTAGCTTTTCCTTCCTTGCTTCAATGTGTTTTTAAGAAGTTATCCGTCGCAAAAGCTATCCAGTACCTTGTAACTGGGGTCAGAAAGCACGAACTACGATCAATCCGGGGAGAGGGCTGTAGGCAAAGTAGAAATTTATTGGAAAACAAATGTCTCTACAGGGCACAACAAACGGTGCATAGAACCTAAATAGAAAAATACTTTTTGGAAGCTGCTGACAGTTTCTACCCCCTAATTCTCTAGAGTTGTTAAAGTTCTAACAACTTGAAATCTGGAGCTAATTTCATGGGGTGAAAAGCCATACTGAGAGATATCGCAGGGAGAATTTACAAGTACATGCATTATATAAGTTTAGTTTTATGCAGACAACGACAAGAATGCTTCATCAAAACAAGTGTGCTTAAATTAAATTCTAAAAACCGTTGAGGCAAATGAAGAACCGACCGACAGGTATAAAAAAGATACATAGTCAAATTTCAGCTGACAAAGCTCTTCCAAGTAAGAGCATAAATATACTACTCACTGAAAACTACCATAGAAAATTTACTTCAAAACGCCCAGTTCTTTCATATCAAGCTCAAGGTTTGATTATTTTACATTTTGAGTACCTTTTCTCGATGGAAATGAATAATTTGGTCTCATTGGCTTCACTTTTCTCCATGAGTTTTATCAGCTTGCAAAAAAGCCCCTCAGTCAATGTATTGTCATAAATAACTGGAAAAAAGACGGTTTTAAGGAGGTTTGTATTCACAGGAAAGCGAAAACTAAAAAAAACTCAAGTGTCAGATAGAAAATACTCTAGTAGACTATATTTTCGTCCCTCCCTGCTGTTAAGAAAACTTAAAAACTAATGCAACTACGGCGGGTATACAAATAGACATGGTAAGAAAAAGTGGTATTGCAGCTAGGCATTAGATGACCCAGGAGATCTTGCCAAAATATAAACATCAGGTAGGAATTTCCATTGTAGAGGCGTGCAATATTTTTGTAGATAGTGTAGTAAAACACGCTGGAAAGATCAAATGGGCTCAATTTTTGGCGGATTCATTGTCAGTATCTGGTAGGCCAATTGACCAATATAGTCGGAAGAAAATAGAAGTGGTGTGATCTCTCAGCGAATCAACATTTTTGTGGTAGATTATGCTGATGAAAAATGAGCACAAGAAAGCTTTGAATGGTTCAAATCAGTTGAGAGAAGGAAAACGTCTGCGACAAGAAAATTACTTGCAGGACTTTCATATTTTTTTTAAATCTGAAAGATATTTTGATAATACTGCAATAGTTTTTCAAAGAATACTTTAATTTTTGTCTTTAAATCTGATTTAAATTTAAATCTGAAAAGATATATTGTCTTTAAATCTGAAAGATATATTGATAATACTGCAATAGTTTTTCAAAGAATACTTTAATTATTACAAGCCCTTGATATTCTTGGAATATAAAATTTGAGCCTATAAATACTCTAGAATATTTTTTAAAAAACACCGTGAGTAACTTAAGATTCCCTTTTGCTGTTGTATTATTGCAAATTTAAATATCATTGAAGTTTAAAAATTATGAGAAAAAACAAGTTTGGTACTTTTTATAAAGTTTAAGTCTGGACAGTATTGTGTTTGGTTATGACAAAGTTTGAAGCATGGAATTATTACTTCACGAACTCTAGCAGTTTTGGGCTTAGATAATCTCACAAACAATGTTCTTTTGAAAGTTTACATAAACTGTATGAATTGCTTTGGCGCTCAACTTTGACGCCCTCAGGACATTCAAACAACATCAACAAATTTTCTTGCATAAATTTTTAATCAAGGTACTAAAGATTAAATTTCTTCAATGAAATGTTGCCTAAGATAGTTGCGTTGAATCAGTAATTTGTTTCGTGATAAGAAAAATTTGTCGAAAAACGACGACGATGAGATACCAAGTAAAGTTTTTAATTGAAAACGTAAAATAAATCTAGCTTGAAATTTCACTTCGCATAGGTGATTTTTGACTAAAAGAAGGTAACAGAACTTTATAGGCCCCACGCTTTTTTACAGTTCAAATCTGATATAATTATACGATAATATGATATAATTAAACAATGGCCTAATTGTAGAAACAGCAGTTAAGCAAATCTATTTATCTTCCTTACTATTGTAAATTTTTCCCTCTTTACTCACAACTGAAGTACGATAGAATGCCCTATATAATATTATACTGGTATCTTTTAATTATTTTTTTTGCTACTCGACCATATATTGAATAAAAAATGTGTCATTGAATTGCACTAGAAAATTAGTTCGTTACCGAGGTATTATATTTAACATTGTTTCTGCCATGTTTAATTGATATATCCCTCCTAGGCATAAATTGGTGAGAATATTCTTCGAAGAATTTTTTATAAGAATATGATCAATTTTGTGCTTTGTTTTACTGTAGGCTCCTCTGATGAATAGTAACCAAATTATTTTTTGCCAATACCTTCTCGAAATTTGAAACAAATCCTTGTGTGCAAATTGCAATGCTATTTTGTGGTTCTTATTTATTCTGCTATTTGTACTTCAATCATGAAAAATCTAGAACCACACAGAAATACGAGTCTAGAACCTTTGATGTACCTTGAATTTATACATGCATATGATTCATTTCTCAAATTTTTGCGTAACAGCTCCATAATATTTTTCAATTTACCAGCGTCGGCGCCATGAAAGGGCTAAAAAAGCGATAGACGAGGCCTAAATCTTGAAATATATAAATCCAATTAAGTTTAAAAAAGATACGAAAAGGCAATATAAATACCATCAGCTGCCAAAAAGATCTCAGTTTTCTTCAATTCGCTGATCTCATCACTTGTCCAGTCAAATTTTCTGCATTTGTCGTTATCTTTTGAATGACTGAAGTTGTCATACATCCAGTTGAGTTCCTTTACTTTTATTCCTGTTTTCCCTAAACACGATAAAAAAAGAAAAATAATCTTTTTTTCTTTGAAGAAATTCTATAACTTTGTTTTATATAACGAATATTGTCAGAAAATATATTGAGAACTAAAGCACAATTGTTTTGTCACCACGATTCAGTATAAACCTCGAACGGCCTCAAACAGCCAACATTGCCAAACAAGGGACAAATTATTGTGATCCAAACTTGATTCCTGGACCAAATCTTTGCAAAATCAATCTCGTGAAAGCGGACACCTTAAAACAACGGATACCTTCCAGCAACGTACGGAATCTCTGGTTTTTCCCATTTTTTATATAGCAGCTTCACTGTATTTGCAACAAAGTGGAATACAATTATAATCATTCTCTCACTGATTAAGCCATTAGATAGTATTAGAACAGTTTCGACATCATGATTTCATGACTCGATTAAAAGATTTCATAATCTTAGGACTTGATTTCCCTTCAAAATTTAAAAGCCAATTCAAAAATTCGTTTATAATCGCTGCATTATACTTCATTTTGTTTAGATAGGTCGTTGTTCTTACAATGCAAAGTAACTTTTATGACTGAATATATTAAAAACTTAGATATGTTAAACTTAGATAATATTTAATATGAAAAAATTAAAAACACAAGTTGCTTAGTCTTACCGTATTTCAATAAATTCTCGTTTTCATCCACATTCTTTTGGCATAACTCAAGAACAGAGTCTCCAGTATCTGTAGAGAAAAAACGATAAAAAATTCAAAAAACAATTGAGAAGTTACACATTTCCAAAGAATAAAGGCATTTGGGGACGGGAGCATGCGAAGATGGTGTGGAAGAGAAAGACATGGAAAACTGATAAAATAACTTCTAAAAATGATATTCAAACATTTGGTACATCCTTTTTAAAAAGTATTAACTGAGTCATCCACGTCATTAACTGAGTCGTCATCAGTTTAAAGCCTGATTTTCACTAGAGTCATAAGGATCGGAAGAAACACAATTTTCAAGCCATCAAAGAAATCAATGAATTAAGCTGAAGTTGAGCCTTCCCAGCATTCTTGCATTCATGTATGTACCTTTTAAAAAAGCTAAAACTTCGTTCACTGCTTGCATATTCATCCCCTTACATTTGACCTATGTTAAAGCTCATTGCTAACCACCATTCTCCATTAGCAATTTCAGCTTTTCCTCTCTCTTGGCTATGACAACTATCAATAGTACATTAAAATCGACAATAGTACAAAGATATATCGATTTTTCATATACCTATATTTCATAACCTCTCAAAACTAAAGTTTTTAATTAGTAGTTTTTGTAAAAACATTAATGGCCTTCACCTCTAGGCCTTCACTTCAATTTTCTCGTGTTATGACTTGTAGGCCTAGAAGATAACTTCTAGGCAAGTAGAATCTCTTCAATGTTGATAGCCTGTTCGAGATTGAAGTCAACTGTGGAACTAGTGTGCTTCTTTTGGTTCTAAATCTGTTCATTAAAAATTATGCTTTTCAGAATTTATACGAAACGTTTTGAACGACCCTTAGAATGTGAATATTATGTTCCTTTTCTACGCATTTGCCCCTATTCTCCTATGAATGGTTTGTTACAATTCCCTATAATCTGCTTGTGACTTTAAAACATTTTCCACAGAAGAAAACAGATGAATCTTGCAGCATTGCATAGATGAATCAACGAAGATGGTAACAAAATAGAATATCAAGGTACAATCAGGCTTTCATAGTCTTACAACCAAGCCTTGGACTCGCAATGAGACAAAGACCCAAACAACAATGGATGCTTATACAGGTAAAAACTTAACTAAAATAAGAAAGGATGCTTTTACTATAATCGCTTAGAGACATTATTATACAAATAAACAGCTTAGAGGAGCTGGGCAATCTGTTCGATAGCGTACTTATGGCTGCAGGTTTATTAATTTTTGCACTATTAAAAGATTGTGTCCTATACATCTTTACCATTTTACATTTAAAATTACAAAAAGAGTTGAAGCTACAAGTATGCATTCTTACCTGTGCAAATTATATAATAGAGATATAGTTCTTACCTGTACAAAAAATATGTTTGCAGTATATCCCTGCCAACATACTACATAAACCCGTTCCAGCACCAAGCTCCAAGCAATGGGCTTCTTTGAACCTACGTATAAACTATGTTATATGTGAATCCCAAAATACTTAAAACTAGCTTAAACTATTGGGTCTAGGGTACTCAAATATGCTCATGGTTGATAAAGCTCCCATCCCCTGAATAGACACCTACTTGAACCCTGCTCAAACTCCCCAAATAGATTTGAAAACTGTACTCAAAACAAAACAAAGATAACCTTGATTTTGGCAATTAGCCCCCCTCAAAAAAGGCTGGATCTTCCCCGAAAATTGTCAAACTGTAGTATGTTTCCTTTATAACAGTGTACTGAATGAGAATGAAAACAATGTGCAGCCCCCCCCCCCTAATTTGAATTTCGTTGCGACGGCACAGCATGCGTGACTTAAAATGTTGAATTAGGTTTCTAGAGCAATGTTTCTAAGTATATAGTCAAATCATAAGCTCCACTTGTATAATATGAGAAAAAGTAAACTTTTTTAACTGCTCAGCAAAACAAATAATGCACAACTGACTTTTCTATTTGCATTTAAAATTCAATAGTCTGCAATCTTTAGATGCTTACAGTCATCAGAAGAAATATATGGAACTTGAAAATTTTCTAGGGCACTCACAAACTTGGGTTATGCAGAATCCAATCACCCAACAAAAGTGCACCAAGCCAAAGCTAAAAGAGGATTAATACAAGATGCAAGCAAGTCACAGAGATAAGTTATTGCTAAAATGAAAAAAAAAACTGTCATTTTAGCTGCAAATTTTCAAAAATCTTATAATAAAATTCAATATGTTGAATAAGCTTTCAAACAGAAGTAGAAATTGCAATATTGATCAAGCATTAGAGCTCTTTTGATTTTAAAAGCTTGTTTCCTTACTTTCTTAAAGGCATTTGACATGCATAAGTACAGCGAATCCAAAAATAACTTAGGCCAAATTGATCACAAGAAAGGTATTGAAAACTGCACACGTGAAACCACTGCGCGCTGCTCTAGGATTTCACTGATTTGCAGAAAGGTGGAAACTGTTCACATGTTTTTCACTGTGCGCAATATGATTGGTCAACTGCTCGTGGTCGAGTGGCTGTAAGCCACTTTTACCTGTGTCAAATGCCTTTAACAATGTGGTTTAACAGCCAGATATTCAAATGTTGACTACAGTTGTATCTCTTGTTATGTTTGTAGCACAAACCAAAATTGATAATCTTTTATCTGCAATTACTACTTGTAAGGTCTGCAGATCATAAAATTCCTTAATTCAGTATATATATGCTTTACTCCATTGTCGCTTCACAATTACTAAATTGTTATCCACTTGCATAGTATTTGTTCCCTATTACCCATCTCAGCTGAAGGTAAAATCAAACCACATTGAGCTACAGCCTCCATTTTTAATAAGAAATGTATAAACTTGCATTATGATAATCTTTTAAAGTTTATTTGAGGATTTATAATATTTACCTGCTTTCCAACATCTGCTAAGGGTGTTGCCATACAGTGATCTATTGCAAATTGAAAAATGGTTATCACTTGGTTAAAATATTCTAGTTTAACTAATTCTAATGATCAAGACATTCATTTCAAATTGCTATATAAAATAAAGGGTTACCTTAAGGCTTCTCAAGCAATCAAATAGACCTGGAGAATGGCTAAATAACACCTGGACAGAAACAGGGAAGGAAGATCTTAAGGAAATGTTGACCTAATCATTGAAGCAAGTGACTGCAAATCTAATGGTGGAACAAAAAGAGATGGAAACAAGATACAATGCAGTTTTAAAAGAGGTCATCAAGAACTGCTGGCTGTAATAAGATAAAGTATAAGTAATTACTATGAAAAATGGTGAATAAATAGTTATTATTGATTACACAATTATTCATTTTTCAATCAATATATCAAAATATTGCCCACTAAAGTGGTAAAAAAATTCTCTGGACCAAACTTGATGCTGTTTGGGTAATTGACTCACATATCATAATTTCTTCTTCTTTAATGACATGGTTGTTTCCCCTATGAACAATGATATCCCCCTCTTCATCATAGCACAGGCCGACATATTGCTCTCTGTTTGACAAGGATTGATCAACCACATCAAATTTGAATTTTGTAACAAGGAAGTTTTGATCCACTTAAAAAAAGCAATTATTAGTAAGTTGAAGAGTTTGAGAATTAGAAATATTAGTTTCACTTAATACTTAATATTTTCAGACAGATTCAAGACACACCCCCTTATAAGGAATTCTTAAAGTTGATGTTCCCTGCATGCAAAGCAAAGCTCTGTACTGCAGAGCATGGCAAGTGTACACCGAGAGTGTGGCTTTTTTATATCTGAACATGACATGGGTGTGTCCTAATAATTGGTGCAAATATAAAATTAAGCTTCCTCAATACCAACATAATCTTGCATTTGTTTAATAACAAGATAACAATCAATTACGAACATTTTCCGATCATTGTTCAATTTAGCTTCTTATATGCCAAGCTGGAAAACTTGCATACCATAAATCCTCAATTAGCCCCCTGGGGGCTTATTTATTTTTGATATTTTTGGATGGGGGCTTATACGAGGGGGGAGGGGCTTATAAAATTATTTTATACAATAAGAAGACATTATTAAAAGACCTTGTTTATTTTAGAAGGAATTTCTTTATGAGCATTTAATTAATTACTACCCAAAGTATGAATTTGTCATGGTAATTCAATAAAATGCCATAGGCAACCTCAGATGGCAAAAACCGTCAAATTGAGGGGTCCAAGGCTTATTGACAATTTGTATTTCTAGGGTGGGGGCTTATTTGAGGGGGTGCTTTTTCGAGGGGGGGGGGGCAATTCGAGGATTTACGGTATGCTTGCAGCGACGCTGGACTTCTTGTGCTCGCAACTAAGACCTCTAATGACCAAAATAACAATGAATTCATTTATATTATACTATAGTAATGTATATATGGGCATCAATGCTTGCAGTTTAGGTCACAGTTGATAATGTGCCATTGGTTGTATTGACCTGTCAGCAAAATCATACATTTTCCAACCTAGCTTATATTTTGCTCTTGTACACCCAATATCTTGTTTTAAACTGACATGCATTCTGGGTAAACCACACTCTCAATTTAATTGATTTTGTCAAATACGATCTAAACGGAGTTTAATTGTTATTTATGCTCAATTAAGTATACGAAAGAAAAATAAAACTTGGCCATGAAATAAAACGTGACAGCATCATTTTTGCGTGATAATGTCAGAAGGCACTGAAAAAAGACTTAAATAGAGCCCTTGTTTCTTTTTAAAATAAAATGTATATGAACTTTAGAAAAATTACCTAATTTACAAACACGGTTTACTTACAAATCCTTCTTTGATGTTCTGATTCAACATGAACTGATGATAGGACCAAATCATCAAAACTGACGGCATCTCTCGAATAATTTTCCATTTTACAGCTCCATTGAAACTAAAGCAGCTAAAATTGCATGATTATGGCTAACTGAAAAATTGTAAAATTGTGTAACTGATCCCCTAAATAACACAGGCAGCAAAATTTATTGAACTTGGAAAATGTACACAAACATCTCGTGAAAATGCAAATTGAAATGCCTCGAACTGATGTAGAGGCTGGTTTTTGAAAGTTAACGCCTTACTTACAATTAGTGACTGCGAGCAAGGCGGTTTTGGGAAGAGTTGCAGCTGGCAAAGGCGAACTTTAAAAATGCTGAAACGAGTAAAGAGGAAGATCCCCGAAAAGGATCGTATTGGACAGGATTTATTTCAGTTCTCAAAGGTTTGTTTTTTCTGTTCACGACCGGTTATCTCGCCCTATTACAACTCAGTCAAATTCAACAGTAGTGAATTTGTTTTCATCTCATCTTGCTCCCAGTTGGTTCCGGTGCATAAAGGTCAACAGTTACTTTTAATCATGTCGAGCTTGTGTTGTCTAGAGCTTTAAGTTTGTTTATACTGCTGAAATTTTATGTAAATATTTGAGTCTATGGTTATCGTAGGGAATAGACGAAAAGTTTAGAATGTAAGGATAAACCCACCCTTAAACTTCTTCAAGTTTGTTGTCAAATGTCAAGAGAGCACTACCTGATGACATTAATTTGTGTCAGTGCTACTCTCATTATGACAGTCAGTTAATCTACGAGTAAGACTCTCATTTCCAGTTTCGATGTCGCCCACACATTATTTCGATTTGGAATAATCTGGGTATCGTTAAAACGAAAATGACAATGCTAATAAACTCTGAATGTAATGTTGGATGACGCATGCACAGACAGACCAATAACGATTAACCGCTTTGTTTTCTAAGAAGGCGCCTCTATTATTGAAAGCAAAACTCAATTGTTTCTTTTTGAAGTTGATAATTCAATTTAAATACTAATCAGACCATTATTATATCCATCTTTGTCCATCCCCTCAGAATTTTGTAATTTATGACACCTTTGCTTGAGAATTGACTTTTTGTATTACATCTTTTCATCTGCAAATTTTTCTCACCATACCACATATGCAATATATGAATTAATCTTTTTAGACTGTTGAACATGGGTTCCCAAACAAAGCAAGTGCCATTGCATATGATGCCAAGCTGAACCTTTTAGCAATTGGAACAAGCATTGGATTTTTAAAAATGTATCCTTACAAATTTTCTGGCCAAATGAAATAAGTGCAATTGAAGCATGGCTACTATCTGGGTTACTTTAAATATGATTTAATAGAACTTAACATAAACCCAGCCAAACTTCTTTTCAATAATATTTAATCTGGCTGTGGTTTTTTATTTGGTTTTTTTTCTTTTGATCCTTTTCCTGGGATTAATTATATCTTTGTGGTTCTGATTTAACATCTAGCAAGTTGTGAGAAAGACGAACAAAAACATGATTTTAATAATTTTTCTAAAATTAAAAGAAAAGGAAAGAAATTGCCATTTCACATTTCTGGGGCAATTTCAAGTTTCAGTACTTCATATGATTCTTAGTCACATTTTTAAGGTAGAATTGTATACCTTTTCAGAGGCCAGATGTTTAAAAAGACCAAAATTTAAGTGAATAAATTTGCTATGTGAGATTTTTTTCAGTAGGGGAAAAGCTTGTGACCTACACGGGCATGTCAGATTTGCCTAAAGGAAACTAGGATGTAACAATTATCACATTGGCTGAAAATCAAATTGAGCTTGAAACTCAGAGTGTCAACTTATAACTTTCATGTTCTATTCAGTTATTCATCTCACATTCTATAGCAGTATATGAGATCCATTATTTTGTGACAGACCACAGTCAAACAGTAATTTTAATTGTTAATAATTATAAAACTATTCTATTGTCCTTTAATATTTTTTACAAGGATGTCAGGATCACTCCCACATGACCCTATTGCCCTGATCCACAAAAAATGTTTTTTTCTTAGAAATGTTTTTGATAGAGTTTTTGGATGAATGTCCCTTTTTTTCTGCAGCATAGTGCCCCTTCCTTTGTATGCCCTGAAGACCTTCAATGCTTCCAAGGTCCCTGGCTTTTCATGACTGTTGTGATTAACCTTTATGTAAACAGCAGGTTCTGCTACTTAAAGTGTCTTTTTATATGTATTTAATACCATAGATTATAAAATAAAATTCATATAAGCATTCCTTTTAAATACTATTGTTGATATTTTTGCATGAAATATCCAATCTAACCATTGTCAATAAATTCTGTTTAGGCTGAAACCCTCTTTCTTTTTGGTGTTGATCTTTATGCTAAAGATGTCATTCTAAGCATTTCCACATAATAATGAACACCTTCAAGTACTTTATCAATTGTCGTTGCCTTATTTGGAACATAGCAGAATAATTAGCTAATCTTGGGAATTTTGAACCCTTGCAGACTGAAATTATTGAAAATGAAAGAATTGATAAATGTATAAGAGGAAAATTTCTATTCATCAAATTAATGCTCCACTCTTGTTTTTGATGAACCGTCTACAACTGTCTATTTATAGGATACCATATGTCCTGTCTGAGAAGCACAAAACACTATTTGACCTGAAATTGTGATGCTTGATTACCCAGAAGACAAAGAATTTTCAAAAGAACTAGCATTGTGGCAACTGCGGCTTATTATCAGTGCAGGATTCTGTTTTGTTTTACTAGGCAGGATAAAGTCACCATGTTCTTTAATCTCAGCTTTCATTCCTTTTAATTTTGGCTTTGTTCTTTTCTTAAAGTGCTTTGTGTAAAGATTATAAATCATCCCAATTGAAGACTTTTTAATCTACATGGGCTCTTCCACAAAGCTGGAGAATATTTGTTAGCAGAAAATAAATGTTTGTCTGTAGAGTACACAGTATAATCCCTTATTATTTGCACATTTTCATCAATGCAAGCTGGCTTTTCTTTGGATTAATATTATTGAAAATGTTTCCTGAACACTATTTTCAGATCTATTACTGTTTCAGATTGTCTGAGGCATTAATTGATATAGTGGTGCATCACTAAAAGAGATTAAGGCCCAGGTCTTCAAGACCTTGTTTCTTGTGATTACAATTAATTATAGTTCTGATACCTGATGTCTTTTGTTTTGCTAATCTCACCCATCTCAAATATTTTAATGAAAATGTTTAGAAATGGTAACAGTTTGGTTTTATAAGGTATCTGAAAGCATGTATGCTGATTGTATGTGTTGATAATATGGCCTAGTTTTGAAAGCCTTTATTCCTAAAAACACATTGTGCCTGAGAAGAACCTATTCTATGCCTTTATGGGTGCTGTATTTGTTTCTTGTAAGCCACTTTTTGATAGAAACCTCTTGCTGACTCCTTATTGCAGCAAATTGTTTGTCTTTTTCATTAGCCAATTTGTTTTTTATTCTGGTTTCTTTTTCTTGATAGATGTAGCCTGCTATTCTCTTAGCAGCTTTTTTTACCTCCTCAAAATCTTGTTCAAGCATTTGTTTAACCAATCCTCAAAATAGCATTCCTTTAGCTGTGGCGGTTTGCTGCCACCTGTACTAATCTTTCACATTACATATATTTTTGCAGAGCCATAAAACTTCTGATCCTTAATATAAATCTTACTCCATTCAATTATTGGAAATCCTGTATACATATTGTTACTATGGAAACATGTTACAATATGGTCTCATTTCTTAGATTTCACACTTTAAAATTCAAGCCTACACAACACTGCAAATATAATTAGGTTGCAACTTTGTTTTTTTACTATTTCTTTTTAGCTATATTTTTCCTAAAATTGTAACACATTATTCATTTGATTTGGTGTATTATTAAACAGTAAATGTATCATTCAAAGAAATTGATTTCTTTAACAGTAGAAATTAGATATGGTCGACCTGGGGTTGAACTCTCTGCTTTTCATCCAACAGAGACTTGCATCCAGCAGCTATTTTTCCTACCTGAACAGGTATTGTTTTTCACAAAGCATTTTATGATGTTTTTCTGCAGCCACAGAAAATGAAATAATTAAGTCTATCTAAATTAACAAACAAAGCCTTGATACTGCTACTATTTGTTGGTGAATTTTCTATTACGCAAAAAATCACTTGAGGCAGATTATGAAATTTGTGAAAGCTTGGTAAATAGAGGCAGTGTGAAGATGATTAAATGTCAAGTTTTGAGACAAAGGGATGGAAAAGATGATTCTTAAAGAACTATAATAATATTTCACTGAAACTGTAGAAAATCGATTACACTCACCTTCATAGGGTCCCCCCAAATACTGAGTAGCAGGTAATATTAAAAAACGTAAGTATTCTAATGCTAGTGTATATTTTTCTTTTATTTTTATATATATGATGTAGTATTTGTGCTATTTGAACCTAGTAACTGAAGAAAGTGGATTGCTCACTAAATTTTTAAGAAAAGTTCCTCAGAACTAAGAAAAAGTTGTTTACTGCCATTTTTGTTTTCAAATAGGGTAAAATTATCAGTGTTTGTGATGACGGTGAGCTCAACACATTGCATCTTTGGGAAGTAAGTGAAAGAGATGGAAGTTCTGTCATGGAAGAGGTCAAAGCTTGTACTTTGGAAGGGAGGTGAGTGTTCACAGTATGGGCAATAGCTCCCTCTATTATAAGTAATCTGCCACATATTGTTAGCTTAGTCTATTTTATATTTAATTTTATGTAAAAGAAACATATAGTGTGTTGTGGAACCAAGATAAGTATCAACAAGATAAATACTGCATATTTCAAAAGATGTGTTATGATAATGCAACTGTTCATTGAAGCTAAAAGTAAAGAAGCTCTGCAGCTGATTGAGGGTGCATAACAAAATGTCTTATTTTTTGTTTCAGGTTAAAAAAGATATCAGTATGTTGTTTATCAATGGAGAGAGAGTGTCTCTATATTGGAACAGAAGGTGGCCACATTTACCTTTTGGACCTATGCAGCTTTGGGCTCAAGGATCATATTATTTATCAGGATATTGTCATGCAAAGGTAGATTAAGGATTAAGATGATCACTGTTGTATGGTTTTATTTACTTTTTGACCAAACAAAATAAGACTTTTGCAAATCTAGTATTTGTTACTTGATTCAACAGTTTAATCTTAACATTGTACAATCCGAGATATGTTATACGAAATTGTATCCTGCGATTACTTATGTGCAAATATAGTTATGCTGTAATTTACATAGATTGTGCACAATTTATTTCATAGTATGCCAAAGAGTGACGTCATTTCTGTATTGTCAAAAATGGGATTTTAATTTATGAAAGGCTTTTTATGCTGAAGGCAGTATTTTGATAAAAATTTTAAAGATAGTTCTCAACAGAAAAGTTGCCTGATATTGCATTGCTCGTGAAATTGGTATTTGGAACTTAAACCCGTTTTTCCGCAAATCAAAGCATATTTTACAATATATTTTGGAAATATTGAATAGAGTTTCTGTTTAGCAGGCTCCTCACCGAGTCGATTGTCATTGTTTTGTGTACTCGCATAGTTCTAAAGTCCGATATTCTAATATTCCTACTTTAAAATCTTTATTTTTGTAATATAACTTGCTGATATTTCTAGCCTTCCTGGAGACGAAAATAAGACCAACGGAGGTTCAGTGGAAGCCTTAAAGGAGCATCCGTTTGACTCAAGCAGAGTAAGTCATTTTGTTTGGAAGGAACCGATTCGAAGTTGTTTCTTTTTAATACCGTGAAAAACAATTTTTCAGTGATATGTATGAGTATAAATTGACAGTTTGTATGTCCTCATTATAGCGTCCATTGGCCTGTTTGGTTCCACTCTGGAACTTGTCAATAGCTCTTAGTGCAACTCCCAGTTTGGCATTGGAAAATATAGACTGTTAGGCTCTTTTTTGGTTTTTCCATCCATTTCAATTCGATGATTGTGACTTATCGACATATTTATCAAAAGGTATATAGTGTTCGTGGTTTCCCACATTCTGCTATTGGAAATGAGAAGTTTAAAGCTGTTCATAATTTGAAGTTTCTTTTCATAGCTTCTAATCGGCTACAAGAAGGGCATAATTGTGTTATGGAACCAAGATAAAATAAAGGCTGAAGGCACGTTTAAGGCATCGCATGATTTAGAGAGCTTGTACTGGCATCACAGTGCTAACCAGTTCATAAGTGCTCATGAACGAGGAATGATATCCATATGGACCATCCAAGAAGCTGAAGACTGCGAGCCGATTCAAGAATCATCGACTCCATATGGACCGTTTCCATGTAAACCGATTCGTAAGGTTGAATGGCAGGATCCATACGTGGTATTTTCTGGAGGTCTACCCAGAGCAAGTTACGGGGATAAGCATGCCATCTCTTTGTTGCAAGGGAACACTGTGCAAGTCGTCTTCGAATTCACTTCGAAAGTGATTGATTTCTTTGTTATAAAAGATGCCCACGACTCGAGTGAGTGATTTTGTAACACAATTCTTTCGTATGGCCCAGGCGGCTATGAAAACCAACTTGGCATAGCCAACATGCCTGTTTTATTGTTTGATTCTCGATCAAGTCGTGACGTCTTCATGTACAGCTAAATCATTGATGCAAGCGTAGATAAATCTAATTTAAAAAATCCAGCTCAGCTGCTGCTTTTTTGGTGAAAACAAATTTGATGGTATTCTGCTGACTCCAATTCACGTGCTGAAAATTTTTCATTTAGGAATTTTTGACAGTTTACACATTTGAATTTTTGACAGTTCACTAGAATATTTTAGGCCTTTTTGTTCTGTTACCCAGTTTCAAAGTCATTCTCGGTCGAGTAACTATTTGCCCAATCGTTGTGGTTTGTTTTGTCTATGCTGCAGGTATGTGGTATCAGCATGCCGCTTGAAAGACCTTGATTTGCTAGCAGCTATTTCTATGTTGTCATAGATCGCTCTTCCTTATAATATAAACTTGGTCGTTGAACTTAATATCAATAATACATATTGAAATTTGTGCTATCGTTATGCATATCTGGCTATCTGTTCAATTGCGAAAGCGTAAACTGTGAAAAATATCTGAAATGCCTGTGAAATAAACAATGACATCGTCACCGTTTTAAGATTTCCGAACGGACGCTGTTCTGACAAAATTCTGATATTTTGAAATTCAATTGCAGGAAATTTTTCACTATTTTTTGTCTTGAATTATTAATCAGTAGGTTTCCGAGCTTTTCTTTGTATAAGGTTTGTGCTATCTTATTCTTTATATCTGACCGCAAACTGCATTCGGATAAAATGACATAAATTATTGTACAAACCGTTGCAATAGGAAATACACGTTTGTATCATAATTTTTATCTGTTTTTGCTGCAGATGAGCCAATTGCTTTGGCGGTTCTCTGCGAACAAGAATTTGTGATGATTGATTTGAAATCCAAAGAGCAAGGGTATGCATGTCAGTTGTCTTTCATCTTGCAATTAGGCCGCATCCCCTATCTTGTCAGATTTTGACTTTTTAAGCCACTCTGAAGCATACATTCAAGCTTTTAAAATCAACAATTACGCAAAACTCTCCTCGGTGACTTGAGATCATTAACGGATGGTAAATATGATGGTACCCTACTAAAAGTTCATTTTTGTTAATAAATATATCTACACCCAAGATATTCATATCGGCCTAAATCTAAATTTAAACTCCCATCTCCCGTTTTGTATAGGCATTCTCATGTTGCTATAATGTTGCTATATTCGCACCCTTCTTTTCAAATCATTTTCCTCTTCTGCACGTGTTTCTAGTCTCTATATTACAGTCTTTACAAGCTTTCTGTAGGCCAAGGCAATTTTCTATGTACGATATGTAAAGGATACCTTTCAACGGTACAACAGAAGTGTGACGAGCTGTCACAGAAACATCTACGCTATTTGACTCACTTCCCTGGGTCCTAAAACAGATGTTTATCCCATAATAATTCAAATAAGCCCGAGAAAAAATCAATTTTTTTCTTATTGGAAATGGAGAAGCCATGTCGAATTATTACGTTAGCTATCGGAGTTGATTGCATTCCAAATTCATCTTTCTATATAGGTTTCCAAGTCACATGCCGCCATACCTAGCATGTTTGCATTCATCAACAATCACATGCTCAATCCACTGTCATGACTGTCCAGATGAGTTGTGGAACAGAATAAAATCTCTTGGAGAGAAATGTTTTCGTGGTGAACAGTCTAAAGAGGTAAAATGACGTCCTGCCTTATTGTATTTTTTGGACTTATGTTGATCTTCACTTGTTTAAAGTTTATTTCAGACCCAAAACATTTGTTGAAAATTTCACAGATTTTTACACCGTATATGGTTAAACAATGCCTTTTTAGTGTAAGTAACGAAATGACATCATAGGTAACAGACCACTCAGTTTTTTACATATTATTAAGTCCAAATGTCGGGGTCAAATTCTCTTCTAGCAGTTACGTTCTCGAGTGTGAGATCAGATTATGTATTTCAGAAACATTCGTAGCTGGGGCTTTTTTCAAAGGCCATTCTTACTTGTCAATTTACTGTTTAAACTTCTCAGTAGTTGTTGCATGACTCTAATTCCAAATTTACAACCTTGCAGACAATTTAGAGTATTGTGCACTCCATTCCTTACTCCTCTCCTTTGTTATGGATGTACTTCAGCTTGAGTCAGTGACCTATTTACTCATTGCCAGCTGCATTTCTAATGTAGATTGCTTTTGTTTTCAGCCATGGCCAATAAACGGCGGCAAATCTCTTCTTAAAAAGTCCAATTTTCACGACCTTTTAGTTACCGGGTAGGTGTTTCCTTCTTTCTAATTTTTTCAGATCAACTAGCACTTTAAAGCTGTACTATATCTGGTGACAGGGTTTAGGGGCACATCGTCCCAAGGAGAGCCAGAAATGCTAGGATAAGATGAAACTTTTCTTTTGATAAGACAAGTTTTGTTCTCCTTAAAATTCTTTAACGAAATAGTTACATTACAAATTTAAATGCGACGTAGCTGGCAACTATATTTCCATCAAAATGTCTTCATCCGAGGGCCATCTTCTTTATCTGAGCAAAGCCCCAGAACCTTTCTGCATTTGGTTCGAATGCAATATCGTAAATCCTCGAGTTGGCCCCCACCCTCAACCCCCCCCCTCGAACAAGCCCCCAACCTAGAACTACAAATTGTCAATAAGCCCCCACTGCTACCGTAGATTCTCAAATTGGACCCCTCAATTTGATGATTTTCATCATCTGAGGTTGCCTATCGCGTTTTATTGAATTACCACAACAAATTCATACTTTTGGTAGTAATTAATTAAATGCTCATAAAGAAATTCCTACTAAAATAAACGAGGTCTTTTAATAATATAATCTTAATGTCAACAATAATTCTTTAAGCCCCCCCCTCGTATAAGCCCCCCCCCTCGAATGAGCCCCAATCCAAAAATATCGAAAATAGGGGGCTAATTCGAGGATTTACGGTAATCTTGTTCTTCTTACCAAAGATTTTCATATTCAATTTCAAACATCATCTCTGAAACATTGTTAAACCTCATTTTATGCTGAGATTGTTTGCTTTTGCAGCCACGAAGATGGAAGCATCAAGTTCTGGGATGTTTCCCAAGTAAACATGCACTTAATGTGCACCATAATGACATCACGAGTTCTAAAATGCGACCTTGACGACGAGCCTCCCCATGATCCGGATGCTGACGATGAAGGCTGGCCTCCATTCAAAAAAGTTGGGGCATTTGATCCCTTGCTAGATGATACCAGATTCGTCATTCTAAAATTGGCACTTTGTCCAATTACCCAACTACTTATTGTTGGTGGGGCTGGCGGCCAGGTCATTTTCTATAATCTTGCGAAAGAGAGGATCGAATCTCCAGAGGTAATTATTCATTTCATGCCCATATCTTTTATGAAAACAATGCTGCCTCGCCTCCTCAGACATAAGCAATCTCTTTGGCAAGTCCTGTTAAGTCAAGTCTTCGTGAGATTCAGAATATTCTTTCGGCTTTTTTACATTGGAACACTTATGCTATTCTTGTTTTCTAACATAATCAGCCCGCTTTCATTTGTAACAGCAAACATTTCTGATTTGTCAGACCATATGTAAGGTGTATACCTCATGTTCAAACTTGAAATAAGCACACACAAAAATAAAGAAGGCACGTATGAATTTTGCCCTGACAGTTATGGGAATAGACTCGATAAGTTCGAAATTAAAGTTTTAATATATGATCCTTAATCTATTTCAAACTATTGTGCATAAATCAGTTGTTTTTCTGTTGCAGTATGAGAATATAAACGTAATAGCCAAACTAGATGGTTTTGAATGGAAGGGCAATGGGCCACTGTCTTTAAAACAGAATATCGACGGCACAAATGGCATTTTACCTGAAAGGGTCGTACAGCTTCAGCCGCCAGCCGCTGTCACTGCCGTCGCGTTAAATTCTGCTTGGCAATTGTGAGTCGTCACACCTTTTAATGAATATATTCTTTTTGTCATTTTAAAGGGCAATGTCTTTGGCTCGTGCAAACATCAAGGCATATCAACTCACGAGAGATTTAACACATATCCAGTTTACGACGAGACACTCTTCGCTTAGTTATTTGATTCTTCCCTAAGCTTGTTAGTGAACTAGACAGTGAGATACTGACATCAATAACTTATTATGATAAGAATAATGGTTTTGTAGATTTACTTTGAAGGCAGCTGCCTGAACATGCAAATTTTTTTAGTTTAGGCCATCTCTTTAAAATCGAATCTATTCGAAGATGTTTTAAAAAGATTGTTATTATTTGCTTAAATGTTGAGATGATTTATATAAAATCGTTCAAAGACTGAGCTCCAACTATGCCATTCAGTTATCTCAAATTACCTTTAAAGGACCTAGATATTTAATCATGCTTTCCAATGATGAAGGAATTAAATATTCTTGCAATTCATTGGTAAGTGTCCACAGCTGCTGAATCATAATGATGCGACAGGTTTTTTGCAATGACAGAGTGACTGGCATCGAATGCTTTATACTGATTTTATTTGGGATAGACTTGCTGCTTTTGTGGTGTATTTTTATTGGAGGCTCGGTTATTTTAGATTCCTTGGATCTCTTTTGACCTTTCATTGAACCCAATTTAACTGTTTGATTGTACGAACTGTACCCATTAGTTTTGTCCCTTGCTATCAATTTTTCCTTTTTTCTTGCTCTAGAGCTGCAGTTGGGACATGTCATGGCTTTGTTGCTTACGATTATCGAAGTGGCAAAGTTGCCTTGACAAAATGCACTATCAGTCCAACTGGTACGTATTTGTCAACTTCACCCGTCATAACTTTTTATTTCAAATGTTACATTGGAGCAGGGACTGGCAACCTCTGATCCGTGGGTCGAAATCCAGTCCGTGGGACAAATCCTACCCGCTAGTCGATCCGTCCCGACAGTAAATTTTAGCTGTACTCTGATCTTCAGAATGTTTGCCAAAAATTAATTAACAAGTCATAATAAATTGTAATTATAAAACTCTCAATGAAAAGTGATATCTTGTGGCTTATTTCGTTAATCTGCAAGGAATTTTTTATCGTACCTCTAACTGAGCTATGCACCAAAGTGTCTTTCCTTCAAAATTCTTATGGCAAGAGCCTTTTCTCGTTGAGGAGGTTCATCAGCAAGAAATTTTGTAAAGGTTTTAAAAATTGACATAAAGTAGTAGTTGCATGAGTCACAAGAAAGTACACTAATTTTTAATGTATTTTTATTATTTCTCGCAGAACTTGAGATAAGTATGGTAACAAAATTTTGTTTTGTAGAAATGAAGACTTTATTTGATACTGAAAACTGGTGTTATGATGGTCGGGTTCATACGGCCCAACTCGCTGCGCTAAGATACCAAGCAACTTACTTGTTGCAATGCATTATTGTATAGTAGGTTACAGTTTAACACAATTGAGGAGAACTCATAAAAATCTAACTCCACTTCATATAAAACAATTTACAGCGTATATTTACAAGCATAGCGTGATTCTCGAACTTCCACTCTAACGACCTTACTCGCTAACATTATCTCCAGCACTAACTCGACTCTAACTCTATATGACTAATTATACATGAGCCGTAACCCTTACCATGACTACTTCACAACATGCATCTCATAATCTGTCCCTCCCACGGAGAACTGTTCTAAATTTAAGATTTTACGTGCAAATGAGCTTGAATTTGGAAGTCGTACTTGGCTGCAAAAGTTGAGAATTGAATGTGCTATGAACTTAGCAAAATATTCCCTGCTGTTTAAAATCCCAAACATTTTTTCTGTTTAGATCAGTTTCTCTGATTTTCGTGAATACTGCAGAAAGCAGATTAAATATTCTCAATACATTCAATGAATTATTCACAATAGACGGAACCTAGATTTATTCGATGCAGCGTTCTCATCAAAACTTGGCATCAAGAGCAGTTATTTTGGCTCTTTACGGAAACCAAACTAAGCAATGCTTGGGAGTTTTTTTGTAGAATATTAGAAAGCATTTAATCTATCTTCTCACTATACTTTTAAGTGAAATCCGACTGCTGTTTCTTGCAATGACTCTGTAAGGAATAGGCATGCCTTGAAACCACCTTCATTAGGATAAATTAGGATGAAATACGCATGCCAACAGTTCTTCACTTTCTTTTTTTCAGGTTGAATTTTGCACTATTTATTCTGTATTTTGCAATTCCCCAGATCTAAGTGCAGGGCACTCCACAAATTCTTCCATGAATTAAATAATCCACAACCCCGAGAATTGCCTGCATTGATTGAAGCTGAAGAATTGTCAGTCTTAATCCGTAATTTTCTTTGTTGCAGATCTTGCAAACACAGGCGGACCAATTCAAAGACGAAAATCATTTACGAAATCCTTACGAGACTCGATTCGGCGATTCAGGAGTCGTAAAAGCACTCGAGGATCGCGGCGTAAAAGGGCTGCTGGTGCCAACGAGGCTACAGAAGGATCCTCTTCGAGTCCTCGTACCCAGTCCCCAATCGAAATCGAAAGATCTTCAGCGCCACGACTGATTGACGAGAGCAGAGTTGACGAATCATTGCTTAGCTTGGTAAAGTGTTTATACTTTGCGGAGACATTCATCACTGATGGTAAGTCTCTAAAAGATGCTAAACTTTTAATAAAATCCTGGTCACTATCCCATGCAAGATTATGTACCTAGTGATGCATTTTTTCTCTTTTTTGTCGGCACGAAAAAAATTTCTGTTTGTTCGCTAAAATGAAAGGGTTTCGAGATAGTAAGAAAAAAGAGGGTTGTTAATTTCCCGAGCAGTAAATATAAAAGCTGATAATACATAGCTCATATTTAGTTAAATATTTTTGATAGAAAAAGTTACAATGCCCTTTTGCTGATCTTTTACAGCAACACATCAAACACCAACTCTCTGGGCTGGAACGAATTCTGGTTCAATATTCGTTTATTCTATAACCATTCCCGATGAGGAGAGACGACAAGAAAACTCGATTGCCGCCGAGGTAGGTAAAGAAATAAAGCTTAGGCACCATGCCCCCGTTGTGTCTATCAACATATTGGATAAAAACGGAGTGCCACTGCCGTCTCTCAAGGAGGTCGAAGCGGGTCGTGAGAAGCCAGCTGATGCCACAGGACCACACTCGTTGCTTATTTGCTCAGAAGAGCAGTTGAAAATATTCGCATTGCCAACTTTGAGACCAAAAAACAAAGAAAAGCTCACAGCCATTGATGGGTCACGAGTAAGGCGGATAGGAATGATAAAAGTCCCTGCGAAGAAAGGTGAGCTGCTTTATTTATTGAATGTCAAAAAGTAATTTCTTAACCCTTGATGATTTTCTTTTTGATTTGGCTTATGTGGACACCTCTTAATAACGAATGCCTCCCAGCATAGGCAATGCTCCCAGTAACGGACACTTTCTGATAACGGACATCTCCCCATAACGAACGCCTCCCAATAACGGACACTTCCTGATAACAGACACCTTCCAGTAACGGAAACTTTCTGATTTCGGACACTTCCTGATAACGGACATCTCCCAGTAACTGACACTTTCTGATTTCGGACACCTCCCAGTAACGAATTCCTCCCAGTAACGGACATTTCCTGATAACGGACTCCTCCAAGTAACGGACACTTCCTAATAACGGACACCTGTCCTTAAAGCTTTCTTCTTGACGGACAAAATATTCATCTTCCTACCAAATTTCTTTTCTGATGTCAAAACCTAGTTACCTCCAAATAACAGATTTCATCTCATAACGGACAATGAATCAGATCGCACAAGCGTCCGTCACTTGTACTGTACTTGTGTAAGATAAATCGGTATGTGAAACTCGAAAGGGCCAATTTCCCATTAAAACATATCCATTTTTGAGTAAGGAAATTGATTATTGCTTCAAGCTCTGTTTAACATTTTTGGCATTGTCCACTTAATTGGTGCATTAATTATTTCGTTCTTAATTGGTGCATTAATTATTTCGTTTTTATGAACTAGTAAAATCGGTTTTCGAAAATTTTGACTAGACAAGTACATTTTGGTCTTTTATGACTATGTATGATGGTATAGTAAAGCTATATGGTGTAAACCATTTAGAGAAACCTCCCATTTACAGGCATCTCCATGCCAAGGATATTTATTCTATTTTATTTCATTTCATTATGCTTCATTAAATTTAAATACTCGTTGTTTCGTACGGGTGAAGCTCTTTATTTTGATGTCATTAATTGTAAAATTGACAGGAATTTTAATATATTTCATATTAACATATAATATCCAGCAGAAACCTTTTTCTGGTGGATTTTCCAGCTTTATTTTTAGCGCCAACCAACCAGTCTCATGATGGATTTCCGAAACATCTTATGTTTCTTCAAAACTCATGTGTTTCTTTATTTTTTGCTTTGAGTACTGAAGTTTCTAAATTTTTCTTGATTTCCAGTACTCGTTAAGTTTCTTATGAAAATGCTTGTACATTGATGTTTAATTGTCTACTTTGACACTGTTTTTGTCTGTGTGATTTTCAGAAGAAGAGACGGTGGACTACCATTGCATGGCTTGTTTGACCAATTTAGGAGATATTGTCGTTTATGCTGTACCCAGTCTTCGACCCCATATGAAAACAAATGCTATTAAAAAAGATAATATTTGGTAAGTATTGTTTGTTTTTCTTTACTTTCTGTTTCAGTTATTTTAATACCACAATTTCATTGTCAGATTTAGCGATTTGCCATTGCCAGATTTGCCGATAACTTTGAATTTTCCTGTATTAAGGTTTATTTAGTCGCGTATTTAGTCTTTACTGAGATGGAATGAACTGATTTCTTATAAAAAATCACTGCTTTCAATAAGGACCCTTATGAAAAAGATATTTTAAAGATTATGTGGCTTTAGTCGTTTTGTCTAGAGTCTATTTTTAACAGCAATGGACAGGTTCGTTTGCTCGATTAGATGTGTAAAATGTAAATGTTTAACGAGATGGAAAAGTTACCATGTGCATTTATTGTTAATGCGTCATTTCGTTTCTTTAGCTCAGTTAATGATTACTAATTATACAGGACCTAATAAGATCTAAATAATAACAAAATAATAACTTCTTTAAATGATATGTTCGTTAAAACGGTACTTGAGCATGCTAGCTTCGTTCAGTGTTTAGCTTTTAACCGCCTTGTTTCCGCGCTCTTTGTTACGATAAGGTAAGGTGAGGGTTGCTTGTCTGGAGCTACTCCTTCACAATTTTTCCGAATAAAGATTCCAGCCAGATATTCACGGCCATATAAGTCATGGAACTTCCAGAGAAGGCAATTCTAGAGAAGCGATCATTGATATTTTAGTAACCTCCAATTTCCTTAACTAATTAATAAATACTCACCTATTCAGATCATATATAAGTACATTGCATCTTATTTCACAAATATCATAATTAATAATTATTTTTATTTCTTTAGCGCCATACATTCGACGGTCTTGACAAGAAATGGTCAAGGATTTTACTTGCGAAGTAACACTGAAATACAAGGATTTTGCCTTACGGTCAATGAAATGTAAGTCTCATAAGCCATTCTCTGATTTGAGGTTTACATATCTCTCTACCTTTAAGACAGATCTGAACATAAGAAAAGCTTCTTCTTCAGATCTGTCTTATTCATGACTGGTTTTCACACTCGACCTGTTTTCAGTTTCCTTAACCTTTTGACAGTTAGCACTCGACCTCTTTTCTTTTTCCTCAACGATTGACAGTTTCTCAAATATTTGGCTATTCAGTAAGTTTACTTTTCTTGACGGATATCTAATTCAATTTTCCAGAATTGCTGTAGCCGTAGACCATTATTCTGTGTCAACAGGCTAAACAATAGCCAATCTAAGCATCGCGCATAGAGGTCGTATAATATTATGCTAAAGTTCTTGCGAAATATAGGTGAATATTTACACCAAAGTAATAAAGTCGGGCTCAGGATCTTTGATCTTAACAAAACTGATGGAATATTATGGAGTTTGGAACACAACTAACAAATTGTTTTCGGGCTGTACCACACTTGGCTTTAATATAATTCTTACTGTGTATCCTTAATAGTTGATTAAGCTGGACAGGTCATGCTCGGGGTTTCATTATGACTTTGTTACCTTCATTTCTTATTCAGTGTAAAACCAAACTGCGTGCTCAGTCCTGAGGATTCAACAGAGGACGAGACGGTTCTTCAAGACACCGCCGCTGCATCCACACAGAACGAACAGAAACCTGCTCCACTAGAGCCTGATACTGAATCGCATTCACCTCCGAAATCAGAGACGACAAGTCCGCCGGACGTCATCCCCGCGAGCGACAAAATCAGATCGAGTCCAGAGACGGTCGGGAATTGGTCGGTTACTCTGACGGAAACAAATACAACACAAAATCACGTACCAACTAGTGAAGAGAAGGTCACAATAACAACAACAGAAGAAATCGTGAAAAGTGAAGATGGAAGTGAGGTTCTTGAATCGGTTGAATTTGAGACCCGTGAAACTGTGATTGTGTCTAAGACCACACAACAAATAGTCACTTCAAAGACTGTCGAAACAGTTGTCGTTAATAGTGAAGAGGTGAGTAAACATTTTGGTTCTCAAAATGTTACAAGATGTAGTGAAACGGGGAATTGTATTCTGTCGTTTATTTTGTGTATATATCCTAATTGTCTTTTCATTTTCCATACCGATGGTTCCACGATTTATCCTTTCATATTTTTAGCAGATACCATTTTGGCAACCTTTATCATCTATGTCTGTTTGAGCAAATAATGCCTTTCTGCGGCTCATTTCATTTTTTCATTTTAATTTCTTTATACACAAAATTCCCTTCAGCTTACAACTAAATACCAAATAAGAAAATGAATACCCTAGTTATATTAATATAATCCATATACAGTTAAAGCCAAGTACAGTAATTTATCTTATAGCAGCTGCTCTTCCAGGGAGTCGTGTGTTATGTTGTGTTCAGCTCGTATAATAACTTTTCAATTGCTTTTTGAATTTACTAAGTGTAGAGAGCTCTCTGATATTGATGGGAATGTCGTTCCAGGCCTTTAGAGCCGAATAGTGAAAGCCTTTCTTGACGTATTCAAGGTTATTTCTTGGGATTTGTAGGCCCCTGCAGTTCCTTGTTCTGTAGTTGGAGTGCTGGGTCCTGTGATGATATTTATCCCAAAGGCTTTCAGGACATTATCTGCTAATTATTTTGTATGTCATATCTGATCGATCGAACTTTGTTAGTTGCTCAAAGGTCAGCCAGTTATCAGACCAGTTGTCTTTTAGTCTGGCCTTATCAATAATTGAGCGTGCTCTGTCCTGCAGACGTTAGAGTGTATTCAATTTAGATTTAGGAAGACTTCCCCAAATGACAATAGCGTGTCTCAGATAGCTTTCGATAAGTGCACGGTACACATGGTCAAGCTGGGATTGTGAAATAGGATTTTTCAGTTTTTTTAGCGATTTTAGACCGCCATTAATATTTCCTTTCACTTTTCTTTCCACTTAAACCTATAATGCATGGGCGCTACAATAGCATGTCGGGGGAGGGGGGGGGGGTTGAAATTACCCGCTCCTTTTAAGGCTCGAACTAACGCATGTCAGACATTTTCAGTTGGTTTGATCGTACAACAATTTTTTAGTTTTCATAACGCATATTTTTAGCTAAAGTTACTACTTTAATTCATCTTTGGCAATAAATCTGGTCCTATAGAAAATATCCATAAATCTTGGACCAATTAAGATATACCAATGGTCGACCTCTCATCGTAAAATGGTCTGAATGCTCTAAACACTTGTTTAAATAATTATCAACTCATGTGAAGTCAATTTCAAATTTTTGGAACTGTTGATACCATTCTTTTTATATGTACCTTTTTCTTCCTATCACAAACAAAAATTCTGATAACACGTGAATTTTCTAACTGTTTTTTACCCGAGATTCGTAACTGATTAATCCACTAGTAAAGAAGTAATCCAATTTATCCGATTAATCTAATTTCCTTTTGTTGTAGAAAACAGTTATCGAAGGTATGCACGATATCCTGAAGCACAGCCTCGATGAAAAGCCAGCTGGAGACGAGGTTAATCCATGAGCACATGTGAGACATGGCGACTATGCTGCTTTCTGTTCACTTGTAAATACACACTGAAATTGCTTTGCAGTTATTGCCACCATTGTGTGAGCTAGAAAAACGAACAGTTCTAACAGCACCAAGTTATAGTCAAGTAATATCGAAAACCTGAGACTTTTAGACCCTTATTTGCAACGATAATGTTGTTATGTTCACCGTCAGTAGAAAACAGATCGTTAAACTTCGTAGATAAAGCCGACTATACACGATGTTATGCTTGTGGAATTCGCATCATTTGCTAGAAAGTTGCCACTCTTTCTCCAACTGTTTTGATGCTTGTAAAGCCGCTGCTTTAGAATCAGCATTTCAGAAATTCCAGCTAAACTTTCACGTTTGTTTAGATGTATTATTTAAGTTTAGATTTTGCTTCCCAGGAGAATTGTATTGTCTTCGTTTTTAAAGGTAATTTTTTTAAATGAAGTAGCATTAATGTTGAAATTTTTAAATATCTCATTTAGGTAACCTAAACTTTTATATATTAGAACCAATTTTGCGTCGATACGACGGCGCCAGTTTTGTTCAAATTCTCCTTTATTCCCTTCTTCAAGCAATTCCTCTATAGCTTTCTCCCAAACGGAACGCAATTTTCTTTTGCGAAGAAAAAGTTCGATGCACGACTACAAATCTTCACTAAACCAGTGCTCTCCTTGTCAATATAGTCTTTTCAGTGAAATAAAATTCAATTCTCCAATGCTTACTATCGTTATCACAAGTTAGTTGTATTTGCTTACATAATGAATGACAGACCTGCCTTGGCATGAGTACAGTCGCTTTTTCGAGGATAACCCAATCCTTATCTACCCCCCTCAAACTCACTAGTTCCATACAGATCATCATATGCATTTTTCTTATGTTCAGCAATTCTTGTGATTTCAAACGCCAAAGAAAGAACTTTGGCTTTTTTAGTGGTTGGAAATGAACTGAGTTTTTCCCTTTACATGAACAATTTACGTTACAATTAAAAATTCTTAACAAGCCTCTTCATTTTACGTAATTGATCACCATATATGAGCAAACAGGACAATTTTGCGTGTGTATATATGCTAAAGATGTATGTCCTTTTGAATATTATCCGGCAACTTCTACCATAATCGTTGAATGCAAGTATGTCGCATTTATGGTTTGTAAGATCTTATTGTTTTACTGTTAGTAAATATTAGCATTCTAAGGTATTAAAGGGACGCTTCCATTTAAGAAGTTTTTACTGAAACGATGTGATTTATTTAATTGTCAGAAATGTTTTAACTTTTTATTTCCTTATTGTTAGAAACAGTAAACGAATTGTAGAAAATGAGATTGTAACTAACAAGAACTTGTGTGAAGATTTCCTTCGTGGACCTTGGTTTTTAGAAAAGAAAAATATCACATATTTTAGCTGTCAAGCTTCAAATTAACACACCCTTGGTTTCAATTTTTCATAGTTTCAACTAATATAGCGTTTTTGTCACGACAACCGTTGTATCGTGGGGACAAATTTCTAGTGTACTTTTCCTGCGAAATGCAGTCAGCCTCCATTTGGGGAAGAGACTAACTGGCCTAAGTTGAACGAGGAGTCGAGGAGCTAACATTGATAAAAACGTTCTGAGTTCTTGTTTGACGACGCACAAGAGTGCTGCTCTGTTGGGAAGATATTTGTATTATGGCGAAACATCATCCAGATTTGATTTTTTGTCGTAAGCAGCCAGGTGTTGGTAAGCGTCTCTATTCATTACGAAGAAAAGCTTTTTTCCCAATATGGGTTGCTGAATTGTGTGGGGCCATTTCAACTCATCCTCCTTACGCTGAAAATACACAGCATGGAATATATAATTTCATTGGCGTAATGGCATAAAAATGCATTTTTTGAAACATAGGTAGATTTTCCTCTTGTGATTGGGATTTCTCTAACTTATAAGTCCTTGTTTAAGCCTCATAACTTATACTGAAATTCAAACTTCTGCTAAAGTGCAGTCGTGCCTATGTATTGTATTATGCAACTTTTTGGTGTTTTCAAGTGTGCATCTGTTGTTTTTATTCAAATCATTTGTTTTGCGATGCCATATCTTTAATCATGAATGTTTGCAGAAGCATAAATTTATAATGATATAACCATGATGATGTATTACTGTTAACATCATGTACTCAACAAAGCAGTAGCTTAAACACCCTGGGAACAGAATGCTTCTTATCATAATTTTAAATTTTTAACCAAAGCACAAATTATTTTACTTAATCAATCTAATTTGCACACTGAGCTAATGGTGGGAGATGTTCTGCTGTGTTGATTAGCCTGATCAATTTGATTAGCATGATAAACTGGTCTTTTTTTCTGAATATAGAATAGAAATTGTTTAACTTTGATTTTGCTTTGAGCTGAGTTCAATACAAAATGAGTATCCCTGGTTTACATACAAAGTGTTCTCAAAGTATCCTCAATTAGGCTATTTGTATTAATTGCTGAATATTAATCTTACTCTTTTTTCTTTCAGCTATTGGAAGACTCTGTGAAAAATGTAAGTTCTGCTAAACAAGATACTAATTTTAACACAGACTTATTTCAACATGAAAATTCAATTTCTTTGATTCATTTTTGCTAATATGATGATAGAAAATGGACAGCTAACTTAAATTGACTGTCTACTAAATACAGGGTAGGAACCAGACTAAAGCAACTGTAGCTTGAGCTGTAGTCAGATTTTCTGTGCTTTTTCTAGGTTCTATAGTCAGGTCCATTCAAAGCTTCCTTGAATGTTTTTATCATCACCAGTGTTTATTCTTTATCAGCGTTCAACAATATTATCTCTGGCTTACAAATGCAATCTACTAGATAGCAATTTACATGATATCATTCAATGCTGCAGGGCTTGTGACATTGATGCCTGTGACAAAATACTCGCATGGTCAGTTTGGGGTGTGCGATAAAAATTCATTTGATGGCACAAAATAATCAAGTTTTTTAAACTTTTTAAACTGAAATGAACAAAATACTTAGTTTGCTAAAAAATGTTCAAGTTTCGTTTCAGAGAGGCCAAGAAATATTCACTGGATGCGCAATTCATCACCCCCAAATGAAACATGAGGCATGGCCCTGAAACTCTAAAATGTTGAGATATAGTCACCTAAATTCCTGTATCCATCCCTTCTATAGGCTGCAATCTCAGACAAAACTGTTAAGACCATTATGCAATTTTTGCAATTTTCTACTTTACCCTTAAATTTTAATCCCTCCCCCCAATCAATATTGGAAGGTGAAATAAAATGCATAGTTTCCTTTAAAAGTATCAACAATTATTGTCTGGGATTGTGGAAAACTGAAACTCTTTTTTGACATCATTTTTTCTTTTTGACAGGTGATGGTAAATGTGTCATTTGTGATTCTTATGTCCGTCCTTGCACATTGGTTAGAATTTGTGATGAGTGCAATTATGGTTCTTATCAAGGAAGATGTGTCATCTGTGGTGGTCCTGGTGTGTCAGATGCCTACTATTGCAAGGAATGCACTGTTCAGGAAAAGGATGTAAGTCATATCTACCTGAAATTGCCACAAGTGGTGTTTTTAAGTCACTGTTTTGTACCAACATAATTTTGAATTTAGAATAAAATTGTACATAGAAAGAAAAAGATGTTCTTTTTTTGTTTGCAATTTATTTTAAATTAAGTTATATTGTTACCTGATATTGATGTTGCATGACACACAATCAAGTATATTTATGCCAATGTTTTATACAACTGTAAAAGAGCTATGCTATAATACAAAAACCATTCCTTTTTTAATAAACAGCGGCTATGAACATTCATTTTGTGGCCTGTTCAGTTTTAAGCATATATTTTTGTCATTTATTATTTTGATTATCGTTAATTGATTATCTTTACGCTGTTCATATGATCTGTAGCATTCCAGAAACTTATAGCACAATTGAAATAAGATGAATTTAATTGTTGTTTGGGTATATACCATCTAAGGTAATATTTTCAATTGCTGGGAATGGTAAAGAAACGTATTATGCATATCCCCTGGTCACATGGAATAAAATAGGCAAAGAGCAAGTACTATCACAACAGAGTTAGCTCAACTCAGACTACAGAAGAGGCCTGATTGAATATTCTGGTTGATCCATCTACCTCCCTGAAAATCTAGCACATAAATGAATCTATGAGTCACCCTCTACACAAAGAGAATACTCCTCTCTTAAAATTCTCATGAGATAAATTCTAAAGGTCATGCTTCCGAGCCTCACCAGATGCCAGACAGGAAAGCATTTTTGTTCTGTTGTTCTGTTGCTTATGCTGGCATTGGAACAAATAATGTTGCACAATAGCAGGTGAAATCCTATGGGATTTTATTTTTAAATAGCATTTGTAAGCTTTGTGATGAGTCTGTGTATGGGATTCACATGAAAACCAGTGCTGCAACTGTGCAGATTAATCTAAATTTGAAACAAATTTGCAGACAGGCATTGAGTAAAGTATTATTGTGCTGGGAGGATAGGATAAAGAAAGATTCTTTGCATGTAAATATCCATGGCCCCTAAAAAGGACTCTAGAAGCCCAATGGTACCACAATTTCATATTTCATGTTACACCCACCAAAATTGAACTCACTTTGCTTTCTTCTGGAGCCATAGTTCAAACATTTTCTGTAGTCTGCGTTCAACAAATGTAGAAATAAGGTGATATTAAGAAATTCACTCCCTGCTTAAAAAATTCAAATTGTGTTACAATTTTTAGAGCTACCAATTATAGGGTTTTAGTTTGTTTGTACCTCATGATATTTCTTAAACTTTTGATAGAGAGATGGATGCCCAAAAATTGTCAACCTTGGAAGTTCAAAAACAGACTTATTCTATGAAAGGAAAAAATATGGCTTCAAGAAAAGGTAATGCCGGGTTGAAGGATGTTTGCACCTTCATGTGGCAATAAGAAAAGGAAAGGGGAACAGAAACAGTCGTTAATAGACAGAAAGATGGGTCATCTGGTTGTATTACAACTATGGAACATTGTGAAGATAAACATTTGCATTTTTTTATTTCAAGCAAAGTCTGTAAATTCTATCACACTATCTCTAGAACTGTTTTAATTTCTCAAAAACCGTATGTAGCAATATTTTGATTTTTTGCTTATTATCTGCTGAAAAGTAGATTGTCTGAAGCAAAAAGCATTGTAAAGGCGCATTGCATCTACTATCAATTGCGTCTGTGGGAATGCATTGTGTTCCTATTTTGTTACTGCAGACAGGAAGAAATACTAGATGATCCAGTTCAGACTGAAATTCACTTACAGTATGACATAGGCACCTCAGGCACACATTGTATTGTTAAAGATGTTGGTACCATTTGTTATGTGGTCAATGAAAAAGTAAGATGTTCATTACGGCCAGAGAAATCAAATGGCTTCTCGTGGATATTTTCACATTTGTCCCATTTATGTACAAAATCATTTTTATCCTAGTTATAGTTTACATTCTCGCGAAAAAGCATATTCTATTAAAAAATAACGTTCTTAATTATCAACCACGCAGTGACCATCATCAGTTGGCAGAAAATTTCCACACGCAACCATAAATTTGACATTTTAGCGCACAAAACAGGAAAATCAAATGATAATTAGAGAAATAATATATTTAAAAGAAAGGAGCCATTTTTCCGGTAACACCCAAATTTGATACAGTTATTAAGTAAATCAACTATTTAGAGTTGCCATATATTGGTCTTCATCATAGCCTTTCTTTAAAAGCAAGAAATTTGTTGTCATAAAGGATACTATTCCCTGATACAATAGAGTCTTCCTTTATATCCTTGAAAAAATCAGATGGCCTGAATTTAGATTTATCGGATACAATATTATAAATGAAACCGGTTTTTGAACGCTCCCAATAGTAATTACTATTCCGTTCCTTTATCCGGTTTCAAAATACTAACGCCTCAAAGAACTGGAATTTGATTTGCGTTAATATTTGTTCCAGGTTACCAAACAAAAACCGTTAGCAAATAAGAGTAAGATGGTCCTCAGAATATTTTACCAATCATTAATCATAAGACTGAAGGTGGCGCTCTCTCATCATTTGGACCATTTATTTTGGGCTGTCGGTGCGCCAATAGCAAAAACGGCCATAAATAAAAACCCAACCGTTTTTGAAGAGGTTGCGAAGAAGAACAATAACCTTCATCCGCCGACTAGCAACACCTTGTTCATGCAAAAATTGCAAGCCATATGGCCATTAACTAATGCACGAAGAAAAGAAAGATGAATTTAACATGCCTACAAACACCTAAAATACCTAGATATGGGTAGGGTGGGCAGGGTTGCAAAGGAAAACCTTTCCTCTCTACGTCTAACTTCAGGTTATCTTGTGGCGTGTGAGAATAAAACTATACCAAGACAAAGTTTATATACCCAAGGCCAATGCCCACTTGCACGCTTGTTGCTTTAGCCGTATAAAAGACACAATGTAAAGCTTACTCGAGCACTGCTACAATAAACACAAACTCCACAATCGTGCAATCTTTGTCCGAAACAAAAGCCCAAGGGGCACCTAAACGACGTACCCTGTCACATATTAAACGATGTCCCTATTCCAAACAAACCCCACTAATGTGTTTTTAACAAATGTTTCTGAGCAGATTGTAATGCCTCCTACATTGTGGAAACATGCCGACGTCTTGCGACGTCTGCTCGGGAAGGTATTATGATGATTCAATAAAATTTAATCAGAATTATTTTCACGAAGAGCTTTTGCTTTGGCTATTACGCCTGAGTTGATTATTGAGTATTCATATTTTTGGTCTCATGTGTCATGCATTCTCGTGTTTCTCTTGTATTTGTGTTACTAGTTTGTTGGTATTACGTGGTAGTCTTGGCCTCCTGAGGATTTGTTTATTAATGCTAAGGTAAAGTATATGGTTCGTGGCATTTTCATTCCCTTGGTTATTCTAAGGGTATTAAAGGCTTTTGGCATAGTGTTGGTCTCACTTTGCTTGGTGAAAGACGACGAACAGTGTGTGTTGTGGACTATTATGGAAATTCCCTTAGTAACCACTTTCTGTTTAGGTTAGTGGTAGGTTTAGCGATTTGCGCCGATGCACAAACGGAACGGAACGTAGGAACGTAGCCTCATGACTGATTTTCTGATGTCTAGGGCATGATTTTTAAGAGATCTTTTTGCCCTTCATTTTGTTTGGTATTTTATTCACGAGTCAGAAAATTAACCCTCGTTCTCAAAGGCCCTTTGGGCTTCCCTTCCAGTAAATGGATTCTTAGGCCAAAGTTTGTTTGTCATCCAACTTTCAATATGCTGTTTCACGGGAATTTATACTATTAGAAAATACTAGAAGGAAAGAAATTAGAAGAGATTTGAAAAATTGCTCTTGTAGACACTTGAATCCTTTGTTTCTGAACAAACGAAAGTGAATATATTATACAAACAATTTTTTGCGATACAGAATTTTGGAAATAGCTTTGGAAAAGCAAATATTTTAAAGCACTTTAAAACTTTTCGTCTGACAAGTCTGATACTTTTCAGAGTATAAAGCGTTCGAATGGTCGGCAATTCTGAGATTCTAGCCTAAGAAATATATACCCACAGTTGTAGATCAAAATAGGCCAATCAGAAACACGGGCGCATGACGTCCCGACCGCTGTCGTTGCCTATGGACAATATGATTGGATAAGTTTTGAAATGCATGTTCTTCAAAGCCATTTTTGGATCTCTTAACAAAATGGCACTACCAAAATCATTAAAATTTTCCTCAGTTAGATACAATAGTATCTATTCTTTCCATTCAAATTCCGCATTTATACACTACACTCTTTTTTTATAAGAACCAGTAAATTTGAGTTCAGGCTGTTCTTAACTTTTTCGAAAATCTGAGGCTGGATTGTTCTTAATTTGTTCTTAAATTTATAGGGTATAAGCAGTGCGATTTCTAGTTTTTCGTTCTGGGGAGATGTTCAGGCATCTTTTGCCAACGAAGTGCGTAGAGACAAACTTAATTTGCCGCCATGTTTTAATATTCACCGAAAAAGCACCCACACATGGCTGAAAACCCTCGTTTTTGAGATAAAACGTTGTTCCAAATTTCATTTTACAGTAGCTCAGCCTCAGCTTGTTCTCAATTTGTTCTTAAATTTTTATCCATTTTGAGGCTCGTGTTCTTATAAAAAAAGTGTATAAGCAAATTTTTTGTCTCCGCGAACATGGGCGCGGGGCATGTGCATTCTCGCAAACAACAGATGGCAGACAACGCCATTTCCCTGTAAATACATCCATGCTTGGTCCCAACGGTATACCCTGTACAGAAGGGCCCTGTCATATATTCCTATCTCTATGGGCCCTGTACAGAGAGCAACACTTGTTTCCCCCTAGGAATAGTCTTTAACAAAAGGCTTGTTTTCGTGTGATGACTGCCATCTGGTTTCAAAGGGCTAACAGCGTTCGAAAACACATGTCACTTCAAGGATTATTTTGCACTCACTCACAAGAAATGTATCATTACACATCAAAAGATTGATACGTGAAAAGGAGTGTACGAGCAATGCATGTGCTGGCTACATTGTTTACACTAGATATTATAGAAATTCATCACTTTGATCACTGCTTTCTAAAATTGGATTTTAAATACACGAAAAGACAATTTTTATCGAAGTGAACTTATTGGCTGCTCCAAGGCCCCAAAAATGTGCGACTTAAAGAACGCATCTTGCTAGTTTTCCTGCATTTTACACAAGGCTTTAGCAAATTTGTGAAATATCGGCTTCTGAAGATAGCTAAAAAATCGGACAATTACTTTCTCATCCCATCTCCATTATATCATTGTTACCGCAATTGTATTTTGCAGTTGCATTTTGTGAAATTTCGCACTTTATTAAATGTGATTAAAAATCAGTTCATTTTGTTGCGAATTTCATTGTAATAATAAAGTTAATTGTAATATTGTTAATTGATGAATCGTATCGTAGTCACCGCTGGTTTCTATGGCACAAACAGAGGCTATCATGACTCATGTTGTTTGCGGAGGAGGAACTCTTTGAGCATGCGCATAGGTAAGTGGTTGTTGTCAAAAACAATCAGAATGTTTCACCATGCAATTAGAGGCTAACGACGATTGAAGAAAGGGACCTTTAAATTGTTTTTGGAGGACCTACAGCCTATAGTCATCAGAGAAATGAAATATAGAAAGTAATTTAGATTAAGAAGTGACTCGGTGCTCAGAGGATGGACGAACATGGAGATGTAGTGCAAATGCTGCAGCCAGTTTTTGATTCGTGTGATTTTAATGGCGATGGCTTTGTGAAAATAGAGGACTTATTACAACTTGGAAAACAACATGCTTTCGAGAATATAGACGTAAGGACCACTGTTATATTTTATTTGGAATTTATTTTCTTTTCCCCAGGCACGTTATTTTGATAGTGTTATAGCTTGCCTACGTGAGGCATTCAGATTTGTGTATGTTTTAGTAGGTGAAAGTTGAGGCCATTTCCTCGAGCTGCGGAAGTGGTTCCGTCGTCTGATTTCTGCTGAAATGAAGAGACCTGTTCTGTTCTGATCTGCTCTTGAATATTTGAAAATAGGGCTAACAGAAGTTGATTTACTGAAATTAAGACAAATAGGCTAGAATCTTTTACTTTTAACAAGAGGAAGTGAACTGTTTTATTAGTAATCCATCGTGACGTTGTAATGCGGTGTTGTTCGTGACAGCAGCATTCATGGGATAAGTTTCCACCCAAAACCTTATCGCTTACATTGTAATCGAAATATATATACTTTAACTATAGAGATATGCAATGTTTTTCCATGCAATGTAAAATTGTACATTATTACAGACTGGTTTGTACTGCACACGAGGCTTTTGAAATCAGCAAAATGGTCACCACAGGAAACCATAACATGGTCCTTTACATGATTTAAATCAATTTTCACAACTGTCTCCAAAATCTCATTTAGCCACACTTTCAGCAGATTAATGTGTTTCCTTTGAACTCATAAGATAGCTATTCAATGAAAGAACTGCAATTTTGAAAACATTGAATAGAGCTAGCTAATGGGAAATATGATAACACACTTCCCTATTTTAATGATGTAATAATCACTCTAAATGTCTTTCCAGCCCTTCAAGTAATATGTCATAAATTGTTGCACATTGGACAGTGTGAAGTTTACTCATCCACAGTTAGCTATTGTGTTTTAGAGAAATTTTGCCTCGAAATTTTATTTGTCTGGTCAAAAGGATTTATTCTTGAATAACTGTTATTTCTAGCCCTGTAAAATTTTTATGTTATGCTGCCTGACGCAATGCATTTGTTGAGCCAGAAGAATACTCTTTTATTTTTTCTAAAAGAGTAAATATTTGATTTGTGGGTGCATATTGTCAAATAAATTGAAGGCAGGATAAGAATTTGGTAAAAACCAGGAAACTGTTACAACAAGCATGGATAATCTGAGCACTGTTAGACAGAAAAATATGATATGCAATTGTGTTGCTTTCTGTGTCTCTTAGAAATGCTTTAAATAGAAAGCTATCAAGGATATGATGTAGCTAAATCATGTTTTGATGATTGTTTTGCAGGAACTTGAACCTCTGTTAAAACAGCTAGATCCAAATGGGGATGGAAAAATAACTTTTCAAGACTTCTGTCAAAGGGTGAAGGAAATCACAATTGGTAAATATAAAAACTAAATTTATCAATTTGACTTTTTGCCCCCTCAAAAAAGACTTTGGCAAGATCAGGCAAGTTTTTGCACGATAGTTGGTCTATGGTTCTAATAGATTTATGTTTCCAATATTTTGTATTCTATTATGATGCAAGTTTAATCTATGGGGCTATATTTCAATCCACAATCAAATAATAATTTGATATTATAGTTAATTCCCAAACGAACAATTCTTATCAAGAAGTGTCACTCAAAGCTCACATGATGTATGAGTACTTAAAGAATAAAACATGTCACATGATTCTTGTGTAGCTCCTTCTGTTTATTTTGCTGAGACACAGCTAAGGTAAAAAACAAAATGGAGGGGGTGTCTGCACCGCTTACCATAATGGATGAGACTGAAAATAAGCAACAAATGATTTGAAGCATCCAAAAAAGCAAAAAGCTAACAGTGAATGGAGATGGTCAAAATTAGTTTTTAGAATAATTTGCAAGAAAATTGCACTTTCTAGTAGGCTATCATGGATCAACTTGTGGGGAAGTCTTAGGCTAATCAGGAATAGAATTTCATAGTTTTTATGTTAAAGAATCCCCTGTCTGTAATTGGATATCAAAACATCACATTGTTATAGCCTAAAGACTCCATTACAAGTGCTATTTACAGTCAAACTTGCAAAAATTGGATCTCCTTAAACCATACAAAATAATCTGACTTATGTTGAGTCCAATTTACATGCTGGTCAAAAATAAATGTGACTTACAATGTTTGAAAAATGTGAAATTGATAAAACTGTATGAAGCATCGCAACTGAAGTTAATATAGAATGAATATGCCTTTTCAGTACCTAAAATATTCAAAAAGTTCCAGTGTGATGCATCTTTCTACAATCATATGTTAACATATGTGTTTCCTTTCGAAAATGTTTCTCTAGAGAGTTATTGAGATGAACTATCTTGGCCTTGCTGTGAAAATCTGACTACCGTATTTCTTCTAAAAAACGTTGCAGCATTTATTACAAACTCCAAATTTTGAATGCGGCATTCAATGGAGTGCTGCGTTTATCAGAGGGCAGCGTTCAATACAAAATGAAAAATGGCAAGAAAAGTGTGATGAAAAAAAATAAAAACAGACTTTGAAAAATTTTTTCCTACAAACACGTAATATAGATTGTATGAACAATTTTTAAAGTTTATAAAAGATGTCTTCACATTGTGGAAATGTCAAGAAATGTCAATATCCCTGTCTCTGTCAGAGTCCTCGTCTCTATGATATAAAAACTTTCATAGCTTTCGAATAGTGGTGTGTTTTCTAATGAACGCCACTTTTCAAGATGTGGCATTCAATAGAAGGGGGCATTTGTCAGAGGGTGACGTTTTTTCCAAATGGTTAGCTGAAGTTGCGGTGTTCAATAGAGGGCGGCGTTTATCAGAGGGCAGCATTCATTAGAGGAAATGTGGTAACCCAATGCTAATTTGATTAAGGACTTTAGTGAGATTTTGATTGTATATTTATATCTCTCTTTTATTAGTCTTTTCATCATAATTTTATGAAATTTACCACAATTCTTATTTAACACTGTTATTTATCCACTGTGGCAATTTTTTAGCAACATTTTTATTCTATAGACCAAAACCGAGCAGCCCATTCAGTTCAATTGAATATAAATAGAGTACTGATGGTGCAGGTGTTTTAGCCTATAGTTCTCTATTTAGCTATTGCCTATCATAGGCACTTCAAGCAGCTTGGCCTAAGTTGATCTCCTTGTCTTGATTCGCTTTTCTTTTGCAAAATTTTAGGTGAGAATGAGCATCCACCAGACTCGCCTATTTTGGTTGAACAACGAGCCAGATCATATACAGACAGTGAAGGATTTTTTGATGATGTAAGTGGCTTAGAAAAAGCAGCAAATGGAGCATGAATATTTGATGCCTTAGATCTTGCTATTGTAGTCAATCCTTAAAAATTGTATATGCATAGGAATCTGGCTCTTTTTTTAAAAAGCACAAGTTTTGGTTTGAATAAAGATTCATGAAATACAGCATATTGAAGTTTTCCTTTGAAAGTTCATGCAAAGCTTTCAAAAAGTATGCAAAGATATTAATTTGCCTGGGTATGGAAAAATCTTGTGATATGCAGGGGAGAAGAGCTTTGTCCTCCATAATGTGAGGTATGCCTTCTTTCAACACAGGTAACTGAAGGAAAGGTCTATCTGTTGATGCATCCTTGCAGAAAACATGATCAATCTTTAAGTTGGTTTAAAGATTCTTCTTTGATTCAAAAGTTGCCAAGCGACCCTTCTCCCTCCTAGAGCCAATGAGTCTTGAGATTTTGATGTCGAAGACTTACTTTGGATGGCAATTTTGAATTTTTTTTGTAACTATTACAGAGTTGTTTTGGCATGCTTACATAATTTTTAATTGTTGTGTAAAGTTTTATTGTAAAAAGTAATCCATATGCTATATTAATATATTTTGTTTTTGTTCTGTTCAAATATTTTTATTTATTCATACAGGTTTCTATGGAAATTTGATTTTCTGTTACCAGAGCAGGTTTTATTTCCCAACATTCCTATTTTCAATATGCTGAGCTTTTTTGCAAGTTTTGCATTTCGTTGTTTTCATTACGAGTTTTGCAATTTTAGCCGGATAGTCCAACCCATAGCACAGCGTCGACTAACGATTACTATGGTGATTTGGATGATTTGATGAGCCCATCTCGAGACCTTGTCAATCACAACAACAACAACACTGAAGTCCGATCAAAAGGAAAAGACTATTTGTCGATATACTCTACATATCCTCTCCATGGAATGCATAAGCGTAAAAATAAGCACAGATCGATATTTCAAAACAATCATTTACTTGGAAGTACGAGTGAACATCAATCGAAAGAAGAAGGTTTTGAAGGAGTGGGTCAAGCAAGTGATGCGGATGAAACAATGTCAGTCCACTCAGACTACTCAACACCCGAAAGAAGGTGAAAATTTTAGTCAAGTCAAGTTCCCCTTCAAGTTTTTTATTATATACACAGGCACCGCTGAAGATATCAAAGGGACTGAATAATCTTTAAGTGGATTCAAAATGCTGAAAGCCAGGAGGATGGCTCATTCTTTATTTTTAAGTACATGTTGAGCGTCTCATGGGCACCTTACCCCCTTACCCCCTTAGCCCCCCTCCTTTTCAACGCGGTCCCTGCACATGTAATATCCCCTAGAGTGTGTATTGAGTTTCTTAAATCATTCTAATCGCAAAAAACAAAGCAGACGCTTGCCACCAAAGGCTGAAATAAATACCTGACGCGGCTTAATCAAGATTTTGATGTCAAACGGTTCATTTGCAGCCCTGAATTTTTTTGTATTTCCAAATCTTTTGTCATTATCTATATGAATCTATGCCGGGTACGAAAAAGGGAAAATAATCAACCGAATCTCACCCATATTTATTGTGATACAAAAATTTTATTGCTATATGTTGATGTTATTGTTGACAGTTTTTGTTAATCTTCGATTCTAGTCATTCATACTACCACCGGCGTGTTTCGGGATCAGCAGTTGCGCGGTAAATACAGCATTTACTATAATCATATAACGAACATTGAGTTTCTCCCGCAGAGAGAAGCTTTGCCCTTCTAAAACATCCGTATCTCGCCTGCCACTCCCATATGCCCTTAATCATTAATTCATACACGTTTTGCTATTTTGTTACATAAGCAAAAGTAAAAGACACGTGCAAAATTTCATGAAAGACTCTAAATTTGACTACACAATTCTACGTGTTGTGATTTTTTCGAACGTTATTTAAAACGACTGTTTCTGGTCATAAAACTTTGTGTTATCCTAGCTGCTTTGCATTCTATATTGCTAAGAATATTACATATTTTGAAAATACAACATAATCTCTTTGCCTTAGATCCCTTAATTTCTTTGCTGGACCTTGTCTTTTAATAATCTTACCATTTGATACAATTAGATTTATTTCCAAATATTTTTAGAATGATATCATGGAGTTTAGATAAAAATGTAAACACTTTCTATCTAATTTAGAGTTATCAACGCATTTATCTCGGGCTAGCAAGTTAAAACCATCCAATTCTAAGAACCAAAGTCTACTATCTGGTCTATATCATTTAATCACCTGTCTATATCATTTTATCTGGATAAAAGTTGAGATCACTATTATCTTTACTACAGACGCCTTCGAATGGTACAGTCAGCTCATTGCAGCCTTCAAAACAGTACAGAAGAACTTCGTCTGCCAATTCATCTTGATAACTCACCTCATTCGGACAGTGAGTGTAGCATGATAGCGTTAGCAAGCCAGGTAATTTAATTTTGGTAGTTCAATTCATAATTTTTTTCATAAATTTCAACTGTGCTTTTTTAAAAAAATAGTCACACGGTACGCTTTTATCTTATCAAAGCTAGATATTAGAATTAGTCGAAAATGTATTTTCAAATGTTTAGAGTTTACCCTTTGATCTCGTTTTCTTTGTGATTTGTTCTCATTGCAATGCTGATTATATTGAGGAATTGCCATAATCGTTTGTGTTTTTTGTTAGGACAATTTGTAGCTGAATTTCACTCGTTGATTCAAGGAAGCTTTGACGCGTTCCTCTTTTCCTAGTTTTAATTCGAAGCCTTAAAAGATTAATATTATCTGCTACAGATAGAAGCACTGTCCAGCCAAGTGTCGAGTCTTCAAATCGACCAGGAAAACCACCGTGAAAAGCAAATGCGATCGAAAAGTGACAACCGAAAATTAGTGGAAAGGTGAGGAAAATTATTTTGTCGGCATTCACAAAGCTATCGTGAAGGATTTTTTTAGTGAGATACGCAATGCATATTTAATATTTTTTGTGTGAAGTCAGGGTCACATTGAAGGGCGAAAAGAAAACCAAACCCTCGGCTTTTTTTGAATTATGTTCTTGAGATTAAATTGTTTGCTAGAATGCTAATTTGGTATTTGTTTCAAGTTGTATTCTTAGCACCATTATCTATTTGTGGAATAGAGGCTGCCAGCCTCATGTCAGCAAAAACCAACGTAAATTTTAAGTGAAACCGTCATTTCGGTTGAAATTACCTTCAATGTAGGTTTTGATGCAGATTCCACCTTGTGGCAATAAGATTTTGTTGCCCTCAAGTCAGTCTCGTGTATTGTGTGTAATCAATGGAGAGTGAAACTGAATGAAGCAGGGTGCACTGGGTCGCTCTAGAGCCTTATTGTCTTGTCATTTTGAGATGCAGTTTATTGAATACCACCTTTGCCCATTGTTTTCGTTTGACATTCCTTCAGTTGTTGTTGTTGTTGCTGATATTTTGTGGTGGCAAAGTGGTGGCAATTCTTAGCTTTTCGTTGAATTTGAATGTGATGGCACATTATTGCCGAAAGCTTACGAAAAAAGAATCAGTCAAATCTGTGTAATTATAGAACTCTCTGAGAGATTTTTAAAATGTTTGAATTATAAGATGGATGATTTATACGTGTTTTGCGAAAAATTGCAACTTGCAACTTGCACAGCAGTTTGAGATGTAGTCGTTTGTACGTATCCTGTTGATTGCGGTAGGCTGAGATTATCTCAAACATTAACGTCTCATCCCCCAACCCCACCAATATTGATAGAAATGACTCAAAAGGCAGTCAAAAACTAAAATACCGTCAATTTGGGAGAATTTGATGAAGGAAATCACAGGCTTAGTTCTTAAACTTCGCAAAAATCTAACCTGGAAAGGTTGTTTTTCCTCAAGAGACCGAAAAAATGGTCGAGTTACGAAAAATTCGAATTATAGAGGTTTTTGGCAGCGTTTGTTAGGAGATTTTCACGGGACTTTAGAATTTTGCTCGAATTAATAAAAGATTGTGTCACACGAATTCGAATAAGGCAGAGCTGACTGTAATTTACAACAAACTCGGACGACATAATAGCTCCAGCTCATTTTATTGAAGATGTTAATGAATGAGTCTGAATGGACTAAGAAGACAAACCAGTCTATTATGGAAACATATAATTTTCTTATTGTGTACAGCGATTCAGTTCTGGTGAATAATCCTCTCGATTCTGCTTGAATGAACGCCACCTAACCGTGGCAACTAAATCATTAATTTGCATTCAGTATTCGTGTTGAAGTTGTTACTGCTCGGGTTTGTCAAACACGCCAATGATGTGAAGAAAACCTTAGCAACTACTTTGGTACGATAGTCTACCTTGACTTTTTTGTTTTGTGTATTCAAAAGGATTTTATTTTATAAGTCACTCTACATTTTTTACAGGAGTCGATTTTTCATTCAGAATTATAATGTCAATCCAAGAACTGTTTTATTGATTTGGATTTCTCAAGTTTTAAGTTATCAACAGCTCTGTTATCGTTTGCATTAGGCCGAAATAAGTTAAATTTACATGATTTTGACTATCTTCGTTTGAAAATCACATGGTAGCCTCCCCGAAAATACACCATGTAAACATGCGATAAACGAATGACAACAAGCTGTGCCAAGACTCAGGTGTCTTCCCATAACAACACCCCATTACAATCCACTTTTAAATGAGCTGAAAGTCAAAAACATCTTTTGACAACCTTGAAAGATCGCAACTCGCAAAAGATAGTAGTAAATAGAGAGAAATTGTATCAACTTTTCCCTCACTGTAATAAAAATAAATACGTTAAACAGATAAAAGTAACAACAATGGCAGCTTCAAAGTCTCTATGATATTCTAGTACACCTTCAATCAAGTTTCGCTCAATGTTTTTTTTCTTAAAAGAACACTCAAAACTTTTGGTCTTCAGAAGCATGCCGCTGTAAATAATTGCTTTTTTACTCGAGATTTCTGGCAGTGAGATGTGGATCCGTCGAAATTCTATAAACAATAAACTGCCCTTAGAAATTTTAATTGTTTGAGTTGAGTCGCAAATAAATTGAAGGAACGGGAATGGATATGTTTTCCCTGACTTTTCGTTCCTGTATAGGGTACAGTAAATGGTTGTTCCTGTTACATATCTCTGTCGCAAAGGCATTTGAGCGCCGTTGGGGCTTTATCGAGTTTTACCTTCTTCGATCCTTTGAGATTCTTTAGCAATAAGAGCATGTCACCATAGAGAGCGGCAGGTATTTAAAGCAAGTTATTAGTCAATCGAAAACAACATGTACTTCATTTTTATGCAAATCGAGTCAGTCCTTCACGTTAGGTTAGTCGTTTAGACTATCTGGAAATCATTACGAAAGTTCCTAACATCGTCCTTAATTTCATTCGGAGTTTTTAGTTCTGAAAATCCAAACAAATGGAAACTTTTCTGGTTTGTATCGTTAAGCACTTTGATTTTTATAACATTTGATGGAATTGTATGCTAAACCATAGCGTGGGCAGCATCGCAGACCTTTTTTGTAGTCTACCACGATTCTACTGACAGTGTTAACTGAATTTAAGTTGAAACTCGTCAAGTGTATCATCATAAAATTCAATGTTGTTTGGTTATCAGTCAACTGTTAAAGCTTATAATTACTATATTCTGTTCCCAGCAAACCCAACTATCGTGCATAATTCATCAGTCAACGATCTTTTTTGTCCTTGAATCTGTCATCTCTGTCTTGAAGATTAAATTCGATGGCCTTCAAATCATAACGCAGAATCCTTGCTCTCGGTGTTTAGAGCTTTGAACTGTCAGAATTTCTGATGAATTTTCAGTTTCAGATTATCAGTAGGCCATGTACGTGCCAGATTCCAGAATATTTTTCTCTTGTCCTATTTCTCTGGGTTCCATTAACAAGTACATTCAACTATGATTTCCTTTTCTAACCTCTCGTTAATTATAATAAATTTTTGCAAATTTTAGAATAACAATATTAGAAGAGCAGCTTCATGAGGCTCGAACTGAGACTAATCAAAAAGTAGAAGAAGTCAACCAGAAGTACACCTCTGCATTGGTGAGTTTTGAATACAACTTTTATTCCAAACTTGATCTTCATTATTTAATGCTGTTGTTTTGTATTTAATATTCTTCAATCTTACTTTATGAAATGACCGTATCTATGCAAGCAACCACCTGCTTGAAATGACCAATCTATAGCTTCCCGGAAATAAATGTTCATTTTTTTAATCCATACCTCGGGTCTCCTCGCTTAATGTGAAAACTTCTCGATGACCCGAACTTAATCAGGTTGCTTATACAAAGTGACGTCACATTAGCTTTTCTATACTATATACTATTCCTTCCAAGCAACATAGATCTATGATATTATTCATCGTTGGCAATACTTGGGGCATAAGTTTCAGTTTTTGCATTTTTGTGTTCCTTTTTATTGCTAATGTTTTTTGTCGAAATTTCTTTGCTACAAGCAAAATCACTTATATTGAAAATGTTTGTGGTATACGGTCTAATATATTTCTTTAAGCAATGCAACTTAGTAATCAGATATTCTTTGAGTCATTGCTAAGCAGTTTTCCTATCATAATGTTTCCTTTTGTTTTTTTTGTGGTTGCATTGATATCTTCTCTAAAGACAGAGTCCAGAAATGTCCTTAACCTGCCTCCGGTCAAAATTTTTCCCTGTCAAAACATTCCTCCAATTTTTCAGTCACCCACCGTGGATAGGACGTATCTGGGGAGTAGCTAGGGCATAAGGGGTGTCAGACGCGATAAATCGAGACATTTGTTTGGGTCAATGGTAATTATCGCATGCGATTAAACTTTGCTAGAATAACATTCAAAACATTACAGCTCAAGAATAATATAGAAATACTATGATATACATTGAAACATTTTAAATTATGGAACACAAACATTATTCTCTTTTCGGATGTATTTTCTGGCGGTAAATGGGCTTGGCCTAAATTTTTTTGCCCCACTACCCAATGCCCCACCCCCTTCCCCCAAAGCCTAGTGGCTTGCACCATCAATCGGTTTGCGATAGGTTCAACGTGTGTTTTAAAAGCGAAATGAAGAAACAAGTGCAAAATAAGCTGTCTCAATTGTTTTTTAAAATTGTTTTCTACCAAAACCTTCCTCCCAATTTCTATTGTTTCTCAAACCTTCCTCTGGACAATGACCGTGCGACCGTAATGTTTTCTGGACTCTGTCTAAAAATTAGTATCCACATGGTTCAATTTTCTCTTAAGTAGCATTCGATTGATTTAAATGGCCTCGATGAAAACATGAGGGAAATCTGTGCTACCAGACCTCAAGTAGAAGTCGAAGTGTATTTTTCTGCAGAAGACGTGACGTAATAGGGAAATCTGTGTTACCAGACCCCGAAGACCCCAAGTAAGAGTTGTAGTGACGCAATGCACCTATCGCTATAGAAAGCTTGTAGGTTGTTTTGATGTCCAGTATAAAGGATAATATGAATATCACTATGAGTGATGTTTTTATTGCATTGTGTTTTGTTTTTTCAGGCACGGGTTCAGAGGGATCATGAAAAGAATTTAGAACAGATACATTCTGAGTATGTATCCACTTGAGTATCCATAAAATATACCTTTGTTTTACAGTCTGTTGCTAGATTTGTTATACCTTTGTTTTGCTTAGTGTAAGTATTACGTTTGGTATATTTTATATGTTAAAGGTTTTTATTCCAGCGTTACTTTGCAAGGGTCCAGAGTATCATGTACATTGTATTTTTTCATTAACAGTTGTATTAAGTTTAAAATCTTTAAACGTAAAAGTTTCTATTTTAGGACATGTTGATATTTTTTCAAGATCTGTTATCAAGATTTGGTGTTGTTTATGCTTTCTATGGCCATGTTTATCTATCTCTGTCTTTAAAGAAGAAAGGAAATCGTTATAGAAAACCCTGATGTTAAAATATCTTCTGTTCTCTTAGCCGTTGCTATTTTAAGTCTTCATGTATTGTATTGCTTTTACCCTTACAAGTCAAAACATTTGGATACAAACCCTATTTTGAATTGATAATAAACATAGGCAACTTTTTATAGTCTAAGAACTGCACAAACCAAGATCGCGGAATTGAATGCAACAGAACCAATGTTAAGAAAAGAGCTTGAGATATGTTTAGAGGTACGTCTCTAGTTTAATTTTGCACTGATTTTCATCTTCTTGTCTTGATTCTTCTTCATTTTGTAAACTAGTGTTAGCTTATAAATGAACGCTCGTTCCAGGTTTTATCGCAACTTTTTGTTTAAAATTTATGAATATTTTCCTTCACAGGACCGTCGCTTCGCCCAACTAAAAATTGATGAATTGAACGACTTGTTATCTGAAAGAGATCGAATGCTGGAAGATTTGCGACACAGAATAAGACTAAAAAATGAAGAACTGGAAAGGCTTAGGAATGATAAACTACAGGTATTTTTGTTGTATATATCATTTTTTCATAAGTATTGTCTTTTTCCAGGAATTCGGGTTGATATGGGCAAAGATCTTGTGGCACGCAGACAGCTGTTGATCGTGAGCTAGGCCAGTCGAAACAAATGAAATGTCCATTACCACATCCAGTTAACGCAATTTTCTTGTTGCGATTTTGAGGGCTTTGTTGTTCAGAAAAGAAAGTAACACTTCTCTATTAATATGGGTATCATATCCATTAACACCCACGCTTCTAGAATATGTTTACACATTTTTCTCTATGTTGTTCAATATACTCTTTCAAGGTTGACAATAGTTTGAAATACTAGACTTGTTTTGTTTCGGTTTAGTAGGCAAAACTAGGCATTCTGATGTTTGAAGCTTTTCGTTAATCCAAAGATCCCATTATTGGCATTTAGGAAATCGATAAGTTCTATTTATAGACTCTAGCATGCTTGTTTATGGACATCCTTTTATTTGCAAGTCGTCTTTGATAACATATTGAAGTCTGTTTTTCTTTGATCGACAGGAAATAGCCGCGTTGACGGATGAACTAGAATCACTGCGTTATCAGCAGAGAGATTTCAGCCTCCAGTATGACGAGAAAAACGAATTGCTCAAAGAAATCGGTCGACTTAAAATGGTAAGGCCAGGAGAAAATTCTTCAGCGACCCAGCTTTAGTTTTCTTGTGACAAAACCAAGCAAACCTTGAATCCAAATATCTGATCTCCATCATCATGAAACTGATGTATAGCATAGCAGTGATGGCGATGAACAAACTTTAGAAATGAGTCAATTAAAAAAAATGTCTTTATTTAATTTTCAAAATTCGATTTAAAATTAATAAAAATTTGAAATAATTGCCGTTTGCTACTTTATCATGCTTTGCAAAAAAGTCAGTTATAGTTGTGATACGTCTAGGAAAATAGTTCTGAAGGGAGGTGCTTGTTCCAAGTTCAATTCCAGTCAATAGACTTCCTCCGTCGTAACTCTTGCAATAAACTTGATGAATTTCCAACTTCTTTTTATAGGTAAAAGAACAATCAATTTGTTTTTTCCTCTTTGCATTCTTCCTTTGCAAATGCAACTGCTCTCAAAGATTTCTTGCTGTTTACCCCCAGTCGCCTATCCGACAGTTGCCACCCTGTTACCATCGACTACCTCTTGTTCCTCGTCTGTTTTTTTTTTCATTTTCGTTTTCATAGCTCTGCTCATTTTGGGTTTGTAATCTTTTTAAAGGAAAACGATAAATTGAAGAATTCAAAAGACGACCTACGAGATCAGTTGTTGCAGCACAAAACATTCTTCGATCAACAGGTATGTGCAATCTTGTTTGGTGTCGAAGTAGTCCTTTTGAATTATCGATTATTTTGAAATCATTTTTCGAGGCGTTTTAGAATGTTTCTTTGTGGATTAATCAATGAGTAGCTAGATGATGTTTCTATAGTTTGAAGTTTTCTATGCAAAATGCTCTAGGACGCGAAACTTGTATTGTACAAAGTTTTAGAGACTGAGTTTTAGAGAGTGAACACTACATGGGCTGACATGATCATCATATAAAATTTTGCAGGCACGTTCTTGAACTCGAATCATAGGTAAAAGCTGACTGTAACCAATAAACCGACCTACACAAATTCAAAAGAAAAATCTCAATACACCGCTTGCGTGAATGCAGATCTGATAGAAACTGCTTTCTCTCGATCTGTTTTATATAAGAAGAGCTGTACATGCTTTTGGTGTATAGAACAGGGATGGTTCTACTTTGCTTCGAACAGTCCTGTTCTATACACCAAAATCATAAATACAACCCGAAATAACAAAAGTAACAAACCCAATATTTGGACTACATGCACCTACTCAGCGTCTGCCTCATTTCCTAATAACTCTAAACTTTATCTCACCATAAAATCAATGTCCCCAGCACTATCAACATGAAAACTTCATGTAGACTAGAATCTTGGTCTTATTCCGAATCCAAATTTAATGATTATGTACAAAGAAGTTTGAACTAATTTTCTAAAACTAGGCCATGAATTAAATTGGTGTATTGTGTGTACTCTGCAGGTGCAAGATTCGCCATTCCGGGCTTTGATTTTCTTTTCAAATTCATTTAGGGTAATGCAGTTATGTTATGATTCGTTGACATTTTTTCACATTGTAATGAACCATGGAATAGTCATTATGCTTAGTGCCTTTATTGTATTAATTTGGGTAAATTGTATTAATTTGGGTATTTTTCTTCGAACTTCAGAAGACTGGCTGATTACTTTGGTATTGTCTATTATTATGAGTTGCAGCTGAAATTGTAAAAGTTGAAAGTGTTGTAACCGCTGTTGCAAAACTGTTGTAAGCGCTGTTGCAAAACTGTTGTAAGCGATGTTGCAAAACTGTTGTAAGCGCTGTTGCAAAACTGTTGTAAAACTGCAAACCTGGTGTAAGCATATAATGAACCAAGGATAAACATTTGAGAGGATTAAAATTTTCACTGCCTATCAAAGCGAATCAAACCCAAACCCGACGTACGACTTTTCAACCAAAGTTTTCCTTCAACATTTTGAATTTAACTTATTGTATTTTTTCTAGAAACAAACCTCATTGGCAGATGAGCTCCTCTCCGCTGATAAAGATGAAGTTTTGAAAGTTTTAAAAAAACAAGAAACAGCTAATCATCGGATGCAGCAGTACATTGACATGCTACTCATGTTGATTATGGAAAGCAACCCCGAGCTGCTGGAAAAGATGTGAATAGTATCTGTGATTAAGTTAGTTTCTGAATCTTTCATTCATTTAATTTATTTCTATCCGTGCACTTTTTCACAAGAATATATCAAAAAGACAAAGTTATGGCTGTATGATATTTTTAATCAGGGTATCTTAAAGAAAAATCGAATTCGATTGAATCATTTTAATTTGGCAATATCTGAGTAGATCATTTGTAGTGAGGTTAGTGCCAAAGTTGTTTTTGGTTTTAGAGATTGGTTTATAGGAAGCCCTTTTAGAATTAGATTCCGTGACCTCAATCGCAAATGACCTGGTAAGCCTAAATATTTTTCAGTGACCTAAGTTAACGAAGGCTAAGACTGGCTATTCCAAGAGAGGCTAAAAGAGTAGCTAAACGAATTGACAGTAGCCATTATTTGTTATGTCGCAAATTACTAGGTGTTCTTATATTATCTGCGTTCACCGGTTGATTCGTAGAATTTTATCTAGGCCTTGTATTTTCATTCAACCCCAAACCCAATCCCGCAGGATAGAGATCATAAAGGTTTTGTAAACAGTCAGTTCAAGAACTTGTAAATTTATCTGTAGTGTTGGTATGTATATTTTGTCTCCAATGATAGTTTTGCTTTAGATTGAAGTTGTGGATTTTAGAGGAGTTTTTCGTATTTCAAATTGGGATTTTATTAGATTTAAGGTTTGATCATGTATAAGCGCTCTATTACGTCATTGTGTATTTTAAAAATCAATCTTTTCGTGAATGCCATTTTAAATAACAAACAGCGTTTTATACAGCAATTAGTTGATTCCCTTTTCCAGCTGCGGCCTTGAGGCCCTGGAGCTCTATCTTTCGACCAAGGATCATTTCTCCAATTTATTTACCATTTCTTCCTTTTGCAGTGGTCTACGGAAGATATGTTACAAAAATCTCGTTGTGTGTAACTGAGAATATATCCCCCTTCGTGTTTATCACGGTGATCTTGCTCGATACTGCAGCTTCATTTGCATTTTTGCAATGACTATCTACAAAATTGAATTTTTGTATTGCTAACCAATTGTGCTTGTATTTTAAATCAGCCGTCCCATTGAGCGATCATTTTCGTGATGAGGAAGCAAACTTAATAAATCCAGAACATATACCGAACATCATAATTATACACATGCTAAGCAAATTATCAACGTAATTTAGTGTGTTTTAGTATGGCATTCGCGATTAGAGTTCTTAGTAATGGTTTTGGTTGGTAATAAACGACTAGGTTTAATTTAAATCCGCTCGGTTGGTTAAGTTAACAAAGAATTGCTGTCTAAATTTGTGGCTTATTTCTTCGTCAGATTTCTTGCCAATAAAAGATGACAGTATTTTGGAGAATATGAATTCATCATCGAACCATTAGTTTGTTTTAAAGCATTATTTTACTTTAAATAAGGCTGTATTTATCGCATCGCCTTCCTTTGGTTGTGCAGGTAAACTTGTTTGAACAATGTAGTTGCAGGTCAGAAATTTTAAGTAGCAGTTGAGGGAAGGCTGGAAGAAGTAGAAGTTTGGTTTCTCAGACGAATATTTTGGAGTGACCACGTTACAGACGAAGAAATATTAGATCGAGCGGGAAGGATAGAGGCCTGATAAAATCAGTCTGAAAGAGAGTTCCTGTTTGTTTGGCGTATAATGAGAAAGGAAGGGCTAGAAAAACTGACACAAAGGGAGTGAATCGAAGTATAAAGGAGCAGAGTTAGACAAAGGCAGTCTAAGCGAAGGGACGGCAACTTGACTCCCAGATAAGAGAGAAGAAAGATACCAGCCTTTAATTGCTGAGAACAACTAGCGATAGGAAGTTGTAGAGAACCATGGTCGCCTACGTTCTCGCCGTACATGGCAAATATAGTAAGAGCGAAAAGAGTAACTTTCAGAATTGTAGAAAATATCCAGCATATTTTTTTTCGACGGCGATTATCCCCTGCCTTCAATTTATGTAACAAACTTTGTAGCTTCCAACCTGAGCGGGCAATGTGAATCTTTGCTTCTTGAATACGCCCATCCATGCTTTAAATGGGCGTGCGAATGCTGCCCAGCATGCGTGTAGGAAATTTTTCTCGACAGCTGTTTCTTGGCTTCTTTTTACTTTCATAATGAAGCATTCATCAGTATGCGACACGAAACTTTACTTAAATATGACAGTAGATTTGTTTTGAAGTTTACATTGGTAGTAACTTTAGGCTCCGTGTTCTAGCCCTAGCTGCCATCAGGAATGTATAAATTTCTCATGGGAAAAAAGCTCTAGTAGATTCCCAAACGAGTCCTCTGAAACTTTGTATATTGAACAAGACGGTCCGATGAACAGGTTAGAAGAATTTCTGTTTTCGATTTAAAATATTGGAGAGCTTTGAAAAAAGACAGCTGGCTATCCAATCGGATTTGAATATACACGAGGTGATGTGAAATGTATCAGGTCTTTCGTAATATATTGTGAAGTAGGAAATGTCTAACAGTCAAAAAATCGATACGTTTTAGATACACGTGACCTACTAGCCTTCGAAACTTTCAAATGATAATGAATTGAAGCAGATGCTAACAGCTTCAGATAAATCAGGGCAAAATTATCTCACAATTTTTGAATGGCCTGGAAAATTTTTGTAGGTTTATTATCATTTGAATAAAGAGGTTGTCCTTTGCATTAATTAGTAATAGTTACAGCACATTTTAAGTGTGATTTTAAACGTTTTGGTGCATTTAGGACAAAGAAGAAGAAGCGTTGGTCGATGGTGGAGGGAAACAACGGACAATAGCCTGCCTTTTATCAATGATCGCTTATTGTTGCTAGTAGTGAATGACCGTCTATTCGCCTCGATTCTCAACCCACCATCCGCTTTCAACCTCCGTTTCAAAACAAAATTAACTACCTTTTTACAAGATGAGCAGAAAAGAGGATAACTGTCAATAGAATTGCATCTGTACTAACTGGATTCAGAAAGGTTGGGTTTGCGCGTAGAGGCACTTTGATCGCGTGTAGCCTTTCCGGTAGGTGAGTGCTCATCATAATAAATTCTTCTTTTGTTTGCGCATGTCGAAGAGGTGCCTTCTTTTATTGCATTTTTTATTATTTTATATTCAACGATTTCCCAAAGGATACAATCAGACCGATTTTCGCAGTCAGGTACGTGCAAATATCAGGAATGAATGCGTGATAATGTTAGTTGAACAAAGAAAGCTGTCATTTCTCACGAAACGCACGCATAACACATAATTCTTGTCAACTTTGATTAAGTAAATTAACAGGAATACAATAAATTAATTACCGTTACAAGGTTTATCTTCTAGACGATGTCAGCTTGATTTGAATTGATCTATAGACAGACATTTAGTTATATCAAAGTTCACCTAAAGATAGAATTAGTCCAGATTCGAATCAACAAACAAGCCGTACGGTTGTACTTCCAGCTACGGTAAGATCAATTTTGACTCGATTGTTGTCTGCAATTACTCGTTGATTTTGTTTGTTTGATTTCCTCAGGAGCAGGACATCTTATGAGATCTAGCTTGAGCTTCATTTGAGTTTCTAGTTTCATGACGATCTACGTGTTCATTATTGCGTATGCTAACCATCTTTGATAAGTGTTGAACAGATCGTACAATCTACGATGTCATCAAGGCTCCATTATATCCTAATGTGAAAGTTAAAAATCATGATCATTAATATACAATCGATGAAAACTAGGGAGAGGACCGTACCTAGTTTATTTCTACTGTGTTTTTTCGAACGATACTATTATGTAACTCGAGCGTTTCTTTTTGGTGGCAGCTCCACAAGGCTCCTTTCTTTTGCCTTATTGATCTTGTACTCATAATTGTAACTTTGAGACTAAAGTAACGGTTATTCTTGGCAGACGGCCTGTAAATGTGTTTTTCCCAGTCAAAGTGCATTTCTCTCGACGCCTCATATTTTCTTCAAAAAATGTTTCTCACAAAGAAGATTCATATCTTTCTCCACTTTTAACTATTTATTTATATACTTTGTTTGCCTTTCGTATTTTAAATTTTTTATTCTTTCATTTAAGTTACATAAGAGAGCGTTCAATCAATGGAACAGACACCAACTTGATAAAATATAAATGTTACATAAGCAACGCGAGAATGCTTTTGGGCGTTACAGGCAACAGCAGCCTATGCAAGCTTGTACTCTGGAGCAAATTGCTATTCCTTTATCTAGAATTATCTCAGTATTTCTGAAGCAGATGTAGCAGGATAGATCATTATAATCTAACTAATGTCGGTATCAAAAGAGAAAGGAACAATGTCTTTGTAAGGAAACTGATAGATTCGCTAGGAAGATCAACTTGATGACGTCAAAGAGCCTTTCGCCTGATTAATTATTTTCATTTCCAAATTAGCAATATCGATCCAGCACACCGCTGATTTGATTTTTCCATTTATCAGAGCGGCAGCATACTTACAAGGTGAGAAAAAACTCACGCATTCCGCTATCAGTAGAAATCGCTGTTATCTAAATACACATTTTAAAAGATTCTGGTTGAGCGAAAACGTAGAAAATGAAACAAGACACAGATATATGGTCAAAAAAGTAGCCTTTTGCAGATAAATAGAATTTGATTAATTTATAAAGCTCTCCACTCCTCTCATTTCTTCTTTTTATAACTGTACCAGACTGAATTAACTGTCAACAACAGTGACATCTATATATTGATAGATTATACCAAAATTCACACTATAGCTATCTTAAAGGGAAATTGAATCTAAATGACTATTATCCATTATTGCATAACACCAACGGCAAATCCCCACGTGATTTCAACATGAGCTTGAGGAAGTTGCACAGTGAGTTGAGAAAAGAAGAGCATTTTGCAACTTTATAACATCTAAAGCTCTGTACATGGCTGCTCTGTACATGACATCCCAAGGCAAAATTTGGAATTCTCAAAGGGAAGTTTCTTTCAATCTGGGGCCAAAACATGCAATGAGATTCCAAGAAACATCAGAATGAGCCCCACAATTTCCATGTTTAAAAGAAACTTGAAAGGATTCCTGCAAAGTTAATAAATTCCCTAAACAAAACACGATCCCTAGGTAGAACAGCAACACCTTTATTTTATATATATTAAAGAAGTAATTGTAATAGAAGTAGTTTATAGCTGATAGGGAATTCGCGTGTAAAGATTTTTGAAATGAAAAAAAATGAAAAAAAATGCTTCCAGATTTTGCAAGTTCCCATTTTAAGATAACGTGACAAATGATTGGGTATTTTAAGGTATGTAAACCAGAATAGCATTCTATCATCTATGGTGACACGATATGGTTAGGCAGAAATGCAAAAGCGAGCTACCTACCTATGCCACAAGGTAATTTGTCATTCACAATAGCACATATAGGAAGAGTTTTTTGATAAGAATCATTTTTGAAGCAAACACGTATTCCTTTGGCATTAGGCAAAACATGACGCGCTTCAATTCGACATCGGTGCTATAAAGTCATCAACATAAAGAATGCACTGTGTAAATCAAATGTACGTGTAATCATTTTTATCATAGATTTGTCCATTTTTGCCAGAAGTTCCCTACAGAGCCTTTTGTAGCTTTAAGGGCAATAGCATCAAAATCTCGAAAATAGCTTTTATTTAAGCAGAAATTTGAAAAACGCTGTTCGATATTTGATTTCGCGTAGATAGAAACAAATGAAGTTGTCCAGCAGAGATGTTTGATTAGCTGCTCGCTATTCTTTGGGTCTCTATGCAAACAGTAATCGCAATTTGCGTGTTATCTTAGCAATCAGATTAAGATCAGATGCAAACGAATTAAATCTGATATTCTGTGAGAAAGTTTCGTTGGAGTACTTCTTTATTCCAGGCAAGACAACCACGAACAGGAGTATTTTGTGAGTAAAATTTATGCTGACTATTCAATTTGAAAGAAAATTTTACGATAGAACATGTTACGAGGAAATTCCATTTGCATGCCTAATGTATTCGCTTTTTTGTTCACAACACTGAGTTTTAGGAATCTTGTGCTTTAGACAAGCTAACTTGAATCATTGAAAATTTGGCGCGTAGGTAGACGAATTTGAGAAAAGGTGCTTTTAAAAATAGATTTGGTACCGATTTCATCAATCACAGGAGATTGATTCAGAAAAGACACAGTTTTTAAGTCGTGTCATGCTGAAAAGTAAAGGATAAGAGGGAAAATCACTGTTTCGTTTACATGTAGAAAGGCTTTTCCCTTGAGTCTTAGACAAAATGTTTCAAAGTATAAGATGTGGCTCCTTATCATGACATGACAAACTTCTAAGTATATTATTATGATTCAAAAGCTTGGGAAGATCTTCGCCGTCAGTTCGGAACTGGTTGCGTGTTCATATTTTTTGTGCAATCATTCGCCACCTGTTAATATTTCAATCGGATTCTCGCCTTGGTTTTTCACTTGGACGGAATGTGCTTGTTTTTCTTTGTGACGTTGGGCAATGATTGTTTTCTTAATCAACTTTTTATTGACCGAAAGCTCTTTCCCAGCTACAGAAGTTGACTTCAATTTCTAAAAATAAATTCAATTTGCTATCAGATTTCAGTGACTAAAACTTGGGGTGTTTTGTAGGGGATCGCGAAGCAATCTTTTTCAGATTTTCACTCCTTAAACTATCGCATACTCCTAGAGATTTCATTGCTACGGTCTTCTCAGGACAATCATTCAATGTTTTCTTTCCATATTTTCTCGAGCTTCTTTATAGATAGACGTGTGCGTCAGCAAACAAGCATAGTTTGCTAATGGCCTATTGATTATTTCACCTCTCGGTTTTGATAGATCTTTTTACTTCAGGCTACATTTATTATGAAAACACAATTGATGTACATAGTAAAGCTTACACAGTGTTTTTGATACGACGCATTCTGTCTGCTTCTCCGGGTACCTATTCTCCAAATTTCAAGATATCCGATGATTTGCCCCTAGACCATTGTTTTGCAACTCTATCAACTTACGCCTTTTTTACAATATTTGACATTTGCAAAGACTAGTATTTCGTGTTTCATCATAGGTCTATTGCTAGAGGCCATAGGAAGGGCTCATGTCATAAAAGCAATTGCAAAGTTTTAAGAAATTTTTAGAGTATTAACTGTTTTTCCAAAAGTTTAAATTATTTTCAAATGTTTGCTTTGTCGTTTGTGTAATGTAACAGCGGAGATATAGCGATTAAAGTGTTATTGATGACCTTTTAATAACGACACAAGAGGTTGTCGGATGTTGAATTTCCTATATCTGAAGCTTGTAATTATAGAGCCGTTAGCGCTTCTAGGTGATGATGAGCCATCACCTATTCTAAAGGAAACATGTGTTTTTGAATAAATTTTGCTTTATTTTTGAATAAGTCAAATCCTTTCTTTGTGCCAAAACAGTTGGAATTAAGACATCATTTCGAGTTTATCTATTGTCACAGTGAACCGAAATTTCTTTGACGGTAAAAGTGCAGCTTTAACAACGGGAAAGAAAAAGAATACGTGCAAAAATTTTGGGATCCCTTCTCAATGGAGATATGAACTTGAATGTTTACGTTTGTATATTGAATTGAATTTGATCGTAACATGTTCGTGTCTTTACAGTGACGAGTTATGTCGTACCAATATAGTGATGTTTGTTCAAGTATAATTGTCGTGATATGTGTTAATCTGTATCGGCGTCCTATTGTGTTGATCTGTAACTAAGGCTTTCTTTTAAGTTGTTTTGTACTTGTGTAAATTTCAGATGATTAAGAGAAGCACTTGAAAAAACACGTTGCCTACCTCTCTCTCGCATCTCTCTGCCGAACCTAACGCATATCGTTACAGAGGCAAATGCAACTGATGCCGATACAAGAAAACTTCGGAGAAAATTTATGAAGGAATTGTAGACTCGATCTTTATAACTTTAACCAATATTTTTGACTTTATACCTATTTTATATAATGTTATCATTAATCCCAATAAATGAAAACTAGTACTATATTTAATATATTTTGTTATGGAAAAGTCTGCTTCCATTTTTTCTTTGTTGCTGTCCTTCTTTTACCTGGAACTGTAGGGATTCAATTTAGGCCATTTTATACAATCCATCATTGCTTCTTCTGCATACCTACGTAATTCTATATTCATCATTCTCTATGTTAATTACACGTCATTTTAACCTAATCCATCACACCATTGTTAACCATCGAGCATATCCTTTCCTTTGTATAACTCTTAATTAAGTTTGCCAGTTTTCTATATCAATACGAACTCTTGTAAATTATAGTCAGTCAGTAGAAATCACGTTACACACTGCACAAACAGTTTGCATCTCTCTGGCTCCGTGTCCTCTGCACGTTAAATGAGATCGCACTGGTTGAAAACAGCACGTTTGTCGTTTAATGGAAAATTTAGGCAATCGATGTTCCGATGAACACTAAAGTTCTACTGTATAATAATTATGCAACCTTTATAATTTATGATAATTATTTGACTGTTTTAACACCTTATTCTTTTAAAGGCCATTCGAAGTAGAAAATGAACGAATTCTTCATTAATCGTTCAAAACTGGTAGATGCATACTAACCGTTAGTCATGGCATGACTAATTTTGGGATAAAACTAACAAGGGAATATTCAAAGAAAATAGAATTCCGGTTTAAAGAATCCTAAGGAATTTTGAAAAATTTCAGCTTCGCTTTAAGGAAATTTAAATTTGAACAGTGGAAGCACTGGCTTTGGGGCACATTGTAGGATCTAGTTTGGATACTAAGAATTAGAGAGAACCTTTTCTAGAAATTGTGGGTACTTGTTAGAAGTTTTTCTTGAAGATGATACTCTTGACATTGTTATTATGGCAGGTTTTTTGAAAAGGGTGGCAAAATGATATCTTAGAAAATTATTTGGAGGGGGGCTGGGTCTTGTGGTACTTATGATACGCCTATATTTTAAATGAAAGGTCAGAACAGTGACGATTTTTAGAAGTCCCGGGGGGCATGGTCCCAGGCCCCGTTCTTATAGTAGCCAAAGGAGGCCTGGCAACTAAGAAAAAATATCAAAGTTGTGAAGAACAAGGTCCCCGCATATGTTTTTGACCACCGGCTCTAAAACCACTGCTGGGTCAGAATCACGCACCAGTTGTGCTTATGACCTAAGTCCCCCTTGTGCATCGTTTATTCTATTAAGTTGGGTTTCTTTTATCGTTATGTCCCAGTTATTTACTTTATGAAATACAGAATTGAGTATTCTGTGTCTTGAAATTTTGAAGTAATAAAATGAAAATTGTAAATGGCTTTGAAAAAAGCAAACATTTAGTAAACTAAAGCTTTCCTCGATTTAGTAAAATGAAACATGTCCACCTGATATCGTCATGGTATATTACCCCCGTTCACATGATTGTATAATGAGCAAAAGGGAAGTGTTGAATATTACCCCCGTCAACATCATAGGAAAGGAAGTAATTGAGCATGACCGTAGGGGGAAGAAGTTTTGTGTAAATGGTAAAAGCATCCTGTATCTCTTTCAGGCTATCCTCAAGATGGAAAAGCAAAAACTCCTTCTCATTTTCTTGATATCAAATCTGCAATTCTTACTTTCAACAGCAACTGATTACTGCGTTATAGGTGCAGGCCCTTCAGGTAAGAAATTTAATTATTAGCAAGTCGGATGTTAAGTCACTTTTACTTCCAAGTTCGTTTTGGTATCTTAGATGCCACATTATGTTTAAATTTACTAACAGATCATTTGTGTTTGTAAATATTAATAGAATTGTCGATACATGATGTCAAGCCCAACTTTTAAGTCTTGTTTGTTCTGCACAATGCAACTTTATGCATATACCAAATAAGCTTAGTTGTATCATGTGGTATTTATTCGAAAATTAAGCTCAAGATTTGTTCAAGCTTCAGGTAATTTCTGTATTTTGCTTTAGAGATTTAAGAGTCGTTCGACACTATCCGTTGCCAAACTTTGCTTTAGTTTTATCATAAAGACAGATTTTCCTTGTAAAAAGTTTTTCTTTGTGGACGCTGGAAATGTAAATTGTCTGCATACATGACTGAATTCGTAATCATGGACAGGTGCAAATTCACCTAGACTCTTGTTGAAGCGCTCTAGTGTTAACTCTGCACCTGGCTTAATGCTGTGTTTTAAAATTGTAGCATTGCTAATTGCTAAACGAGTCAATTTCGATTTATCTGTTGATGGTTTCAACCTCATAATCGGGTTTTTATTTATCTTAGCAGCTCTTTCGTTCACGAAACAAATACGCTCGCAGTAAACGAGTCAGCCAGCAGTTTAATGTTGTTAAAACAAGGAAATGAAGCGAGAAATGGTTTAATTTTCGAAATATGATATAGTTATCGCTCGTGCCTGGTTTCCGTCACACGCCAAATTATGTAACAACGAAATTGCAAACATAAACAGACAATAGGGTTGTGACTGTCGTGCAGTTTTATGTTGGACGGCTGGTTAAAATTGTTTTTTGAAAACGGCCTACGTTTCAGTGCAGTCAATACACAACAAAAATCTGAAAAATGAGTGCTACATGTTGTTTACAATTTAGATATGACTTGTTTGTTTATGCAAACCAAGACAACTCAACACTTTTCTTTGGAATAATTATTCACTCTCATTGCACTGATCATAAAAATGTTTCCTTGTAAGTCTCCTTAGACTGAAATAGCAAATTTTCTGTCAAACTTATCCTTCCTTGCCAAAATAGATGAAAATCCATCAAGGAAGAAAGATGTAATAACATACAATGTCTAGACAGTTAATATGTTCCTTCCTGTAAATCAATGTTCTATCTTTAATTACTTTGTTATAGGTAGGAAATAAAAATAACGTCATACCTCTCCTAAAAGGTTTTTGTAATGACTTATTTATAGGTTCTCTCCATTAATTCATCAACCTGCTTATTTTAGATCACATTTGATTATGTTTTGTCATCAAATTTTTGTTTGCTTTTAATGAGGATTTTTGTCTTTGTAGGGCTTCAAATGGGATATTTTTTGGAGCGTGCTGGCAGAGACTATGTAATTTTTGAAAGAGACACTTCTGCAGGTAGAGAATGCTGGATTATTTCTGTCATATATTCATATAATGAAAGAAGCTTATTCCATTTTTCCATCTCTCCTCCCCTAGGAACAATGTTTCTCAACTATAATTAAGAATATTATGAAGTATGTTTTTTCTTCTGACTTGTATGATATCTAAACTATCAATTGTTTTGGGGAAGAGAGAGGGTGTAAGTAGTAGTATTTAGAAAAAAAACACAACTCAAGTTGTGGTGTATTCCAGGTAACTTTGGCAGGCACTGTAGCCTAAACACAGTAGTGATTTATTTCAAAACATAGCAGTCACAAGATGGATTTACAGGAATTAATTCCTAGTACAGAATTCACAAAGAGCAGTCGTGGTGAAAAATTATTTGGTATTTGTAATGCAAATATAATTTCTACATTTTAGGATGGTTTTACAAAAAATACCCCCGACATAGAACACTAATATCAATAAACAAAAGATTCACAGGTTTGTATTACAAAAAAAGCTTTTTTTCTCAAGTTTCTAGCTCTTTTGAGACAATTTCTCTTAATGTTAACCAAAATGACACTACAATAACTTTTGAGCTATTCATTAAACAGTATTTTCAATCATGGAACACAAAAGTTTAATTTTTCCCAAAGTTGTTTGCAACCAGCAGAATGAAAAAGGTAAATATTTCCATCCATATGAGCCACCACAGAAAAGAGTTTGTTCCCTGAAAATGAAAACTGACTGACTTCAAAGTCAAACGCTTTGGATAGATAAGGGGACAGTAGGCAGTTAAAGTGCTAGATGAAGTGTCAATATTGCTGGCACCATATGCTGTTTATATACACCAAAACAAGTTTCTGATCCTGTTTATTAATGTTAAGAAATCCAAATCTAAACTAAACGAAAGCCCTTCATACTGAAACTGAAAGTACACTTGCAGAAAGCCAGCCACACCCCCACAAAATATATGAAGTCATACAGCATTGACCTTGTAACTGCAGTATTCTGAGCACATAAGCGAAGTGATAAGATACCTGCAATAAAATGACCTTGCAAGGTTTCTGAATAGGAAATTATAGTCTGGAAAAGCTTAAACTTGCCTAGGGCACTTATTTTGAATCCTACTGTTAAGCTGATTGTATTGGAGTAGGTAAGAAAGGAGGCATTTACTGCAGAAAGCTCCAAATTTCTTATACACTATGAGTGTTAAAACATTTCTGGTTCTCCCCTATCTGAGTTCACCCGTAAGAGATACCTGTTGTGAAGTATTTCCCCCTTGGCAAAGGAAGGAAACTTAAATGCCCCCTTGAAGCAGCTTTCAATTTTTATACAATGCTACTCATATCTAGATCTCTATTAAACAAAGGCAATCCCAGGAAATGATGCTATCCTTTTTTCTTTTGTGAAAGGGTGCAACAGTGATGCAAAACTAAGGCAGTTGTCTCAGAGTTTCCAAGTTTTCAAAGCTCAAACTATTTATTAAAGCATTGTCACAAGTTTTGATGTTTGATTGAAATCCTCTGTTAACTACAAAACACAACATTATTTTCTGAAAAATGCTTGGGTTGCTGTTTTCTACCCAGGAGGTAGCCTATATCGTTAAAAAAAGGGCTGGTCAAAATTGCTACATCAAAGTTCATGGTAAAGTCTGATTTGGTGACAGTAATTTGATGTCCCTAACAAAGACAGAGGTACAAATTTTTGCTTGGGGGGAGGGCCAGCCGTGATAAGTAAGTGAAACAACAGCAATATTTTACAAAGTAAAAGTAGTTTACTCATGCTACTTAAGGTTTTTTGGGGGGGGCTAAGGCCCCCTGCCTCCCCCTAGTATCCCAGTCCTTAGTCCCTAACCTACTTGGGTCCCCTTTGTAAGTCAAATGATGAAGTACCCTACAAAAGTCTTCTTCAGAAGTAAAAAGATCCTCTTTCCAATAAAATTAAAAACGGATTTGAATTATTTTGTTCAGCTTTGGCAGCTCAAAATACTGTTTTCTCACTAATTTCTTATTACAAGTTCCTATTCAAAAATTAACCTTTTTTGTTTGAAATATTGTAAATGATTTTTGTATGCTTTCATTTATGTGTCACAACCCTTGCCCTGAACTGATGAGTTTCTTATAGCATGGAACCATTATGAACAATACCTACTGATGAAATTTTAATTTGGATTTTTTTCTTAACCTGTCTAGCCCTTACACAGAAAATCTGTATTTTGATTGGATTTCTAGGACAAACAAATAAAGAGTTTAACATGCGACATGACTGGAATTCATTGATATCAGACGACGAATCCCTGCTTTTGAAGCATTATACAAAAGAATTCTTCCCACCAGCTGACAAAATGGTATGCTTGTTTTTTGAATCGTTTCTAAAATCCACCAGTCAAAACAATTAGAGAAAATCTTTGGGTGGCAGGATTTAATTTGTATTCTGAATGATTTCCATGCTGAAGTTAGTTTTTTGTCAAGCTGTCTTTAGAGTTTGCCTATTATGCCCAGACATCATTCATTAGCATCCACCCATACCTTTGACATGCTCGCTTCATTCAAAACTAAGGAATGAAAATAATAGATAATTTTTTTCTTGCCAGAAAGTTGCTTTAAGGTTTCACGGGATAAGAAATTTAGCTAAAATATGCATGTTATCACGTTTTTCAGGTGTCAGAAGCTCTTGGCAATATAGTCGTTTTTTAGAAAGTCTTGTGTTTCTAACACTCAAATACCAGCCAGCTTTTGCGAATTTTTTTCTGTTTTAACAAATTTCATTTTATGGGGGTATGATTTGGATTCTGGACTCCCTTCAGGGGCCCATAATATAAGGAGTCACTATACCTATCATGAGCTAATTGCAAATACTGTTGTTGGTAGTTTGCCACTTTTAGCCTGTTCTTAACTTATTACTTATCTTTGCTTCCAGGTTGAATACCTGCGCGACTTTGCGACACGTCTGAATTTAAAGGCGAAGTATGGGGTCAACATCAGGCGCGTCGTTAAACATCCTGAAAATGACACTTTTACTTTGTATGACAAGAAAACCAACCCATATCAGTGCAAATATTTGATTGTCAGGTATGCTTTTAAATAAATTAGATAAAATATTGTTTATAGAGGCGACTTAAATGTGAAAAATGGAACAACGAACGAATACCACAAAGAACGATCAAATAAAACAAACATTATCTTTAAATTTTGAAAAATACATCTGTAATAGAACCAAATAAACTAATATATCGGCCCAGCAGACTGTAGCTAGGAGTATGTGCGTTGGAGGGGATAATTTTGGTGCAAAATAGTAATTTCATCCACTTTCAATGTTCGGAAATTTTCCTCTATGAATAATTAACCATTCAGGGAAATCTTTGGAGTTTGGTTTGTACCCTAAGCCAATTTCGTCCCTGCTGTCACTGGCTGAAGTATTTTCATAATCTGCCCACTTTTGGACGAAGGTACGTTCAGGGTGCTTATTCTGTATCAGAAATTTTATTAGATATGCAAAATATTGTGAACCTTGATGGAAGCAACCATTTCTGATTTTATATATTTGTTTTTAGTACTGGTCTTTGGGTTGAAAATAATCCAAAAAATATATCAGGGATCGAAAATACTGTGGTAAGTGAGTGGAGTAATTTTTATTTTGTTTTTATCGTAAATAAAAGGAAAGAAAATGCGGGGATGTTCAAGGAAGAGCCCCGTGGATAATTTCGTGTTCTTATGCCCTAAGTTTTGCCTTCAGTTTAAAGAAAGATCATTCAGAGTATCTTTTGATTCTTGATGTGTTTAGACCAAGCATTGTAGTGTAAATATTACCCCACTTTGACTCCTCCTCAAGAGAGAAAACCACATGGATTAGGGTTTGGGTTTCACTGTACCTTATCACTGGATATGTCGTGCGTTCAGTCTTGCATTGTCTGTGTTTTATCTCAAACAAAGTGCTCTTAAGGTATATTTCATCTCGCAATTTAAATTGTTTCTTCATTTGGTGATTTATGTTTTGCAGTCTTATTCGAAAATGTCCGTTAATGCTGATGATTACGAGGGAAAGTCTGTATTTATCATTGGGCGAGGTTTGTTTTTATACGAGTTTTTAATCAAATTTCAGTGATCGCAGTAGGTGATCGAATGTTGATTAATCAAGTGGTTGAGTGATCGAATGATGACTGTTGTGGAGCTCAAGAAGTTTTTCAACTACGGATATATCCGTAGCGATGTCTACAGCTATATTGTTCGAAAAGTTTAATAAAATATTATCACAGTTTTATTTGATTTAGAACTGGATATAGTTGCTGTTCATCTGTTTTGTTATAAACAAAATTTTATGTGGACTTTTTTTCATGACAAGAAGAAAAAGTAAATGAAATATTTTGCCTTTGAAGGGAATTCCGCATTTGAGACAGCTCAACACTTGGCGGGTGCAGCGAATTACATCCACATGATGTCAAGGTACGACTACTCACTCACTCCCTAAAAAAGTCGAATACGACGTTGGAATCGTCTGACATTCTCGGAAGCCAAAAACTGTATTCCAGACAATACATAAAGATAATAAGACGGTCTAAATTAATTTACTTTTAGTTGCGACGTACAGAGTCAACAGAACCTATTCGATTATGAAACAATTTTTGTCACGACGAACTAGGCCTCATTGCCAAAGTGAAGTCTTTCCAAACTTGACCCTATTGCCAGTATGCAATATGTCAAGCAATTTGAAACAATGACAATGTTTTTTCTTCCCTTGTAATACATGGTTATTACGAGCCTTCCACAATATAGGTGTGGCTCTTCGTTTTTATCCTACAGCAGTTGGTGTTTAGGTCAAATTTTTAGGCTCTTTGAAGTTCTTTTTCATTTGAAACTCGTGCTAGAATATATGTTATTGCTGTTTTCTTTTTTCGTTTCTGTTTTTCTTGTTATGTTCCTTTTTCTTGTTTACAGAGCCGATCAATGATACCATTTTATTGTGAATAACCTTGTTCAAATTTCAGGGAAAGAGCGAGGTTCTCTTGGGAAACGCACTACGTTGGGGATTTAAGGTAGGCCTCGTTTGAACCAAAACTCTATTTGTTTTTAAGTAAACTGGACAATGAAACAGTAATTGATAAGATTATGGCTTTTCGGATCAAATGCTTATCACGTTATAATTTAACGGTGTGAACTTTCAGTTTTTTAGATTAAGATAACTGGCTTTCAAGTTTTTGTTCAGTAATGCCCCTTGACCCCGGGCTATGAGTAGTCGGTAAACAAGTTACACAATACAAAATTCTGGGTCTGTTCTCATTCTGAGCTCAATCTCCTGAAATTTTTTGGAAGTTCCTTTTTAATATGCAAAACAACAATTTGTCGATACTCAAGAACTCTTGACAACTTCAGTGTAAGGGTTTCTCGCTACTCAAGCAATGCTCAGTTTGTTTCTTTTCAACTTGCTGCTGGTGAAAAGTTACTATTAAGAGGCATTGTTTTATCTACAGAGCGGTAAACGATGGACCAATTGACACATACCAGCTCAAGTCACTTGATGGCCAGTTCGGTAAGACACCTTTTGGACTCAAGCATTCGTAACACATTCCCTCATTCCCTGCCAATATGTTGAACACCGTTCAAAGATTAAACCTAGTTATCGTATTATATTTTATCTCTAGCGACTGGTCAACAGCGCGTTATTATAACTATAAGATATTGGAATTATTTTTCTACTAAAAAGTCCTAATTGTTTTGTTTCAAATGTTTTAGGGTTTAATGACGCTAAAACCCTAGCTTTCAAATTTTAGCTGTGTTACACTAGAGATTCTATGTTACCCCTCTCTAATGACGTCATATAATTCAAATCATGTTTCTTGTGTGTTAAAGTCGTGGTGATGTTCACCTGCAAAGTTATGTTGCTATATAGCCACGCTGGAAGACTGATTTAAAGAGTTTTTAGACGTGTTACTAGGGGGATAAAAGGGGGGGGGCTTACAAAACCAAAGAGTCTTTGGAAAAACAAAAGAAAAACATTGATCAAGATGTATGAGGTATCGAAGGTGTAATGACACAAGCAGCTGACTTTGCCGATTTTTGGCATTTCGACCATAAAGATCGCAAGGCGGGAATAGTAAAGTCCTTCTTAGCGTAGATGGAATTATTAACAATGACATGCGAAGCCCCTATTTTTAGGTGCCAGGCTAGAGAATTCAAACTATTATATTTTTTCAATTTCAATGTGCTCACAATTTCTTTGTGTTCTAGAGGGTGACATACGACATATGAATTTCAATAAAAACAAAGAAGGAAAAATCCAAGTCGGAGGATCAGGAGAACGTATGAACCCTCTTACTCTTGTAACTAATATTGTTTAGAGCATCATAATTTCTAAACTGGATAATTGTAACAAAAGTTGTGGTTTTCTTTCTAAGTTTTATCTTTTTTCGCAGCTGACAATAGTGCTGTTCGAGAGCCATATGACGTCATTATTAGATGCATGGGTTTCAAGGTACATATAAATATATATAAAATGTTCCATTGAATGCAAGAGGATGTTTCTGAGTATCTTTTCTACAACTTTTTTCACCACTGCAATGCACTGAATGAAGAATTATGCCTATTCAGGCCTACATGAGATGGTCTTCCTTAGGACGTAACCAAAATTCTGAAAGCAAAATTCATATTTCCAAGTCTATGAATCTCTGGGAATTTTCTGATCATTGGTAATACATAAAATCCATTTCCCCGCCATCCTCCAAGTGAAACTAAACTTGACTTGACTTTTCTTATTCAATTGTGTCGACCAAACATTTTTGTATATATTTGATTTTTTATATTTTTGATAAATTCATATCATAGCAAGTAATACCAATTGGGTTTAATTCCAAATTTTTGAAGCTTGTATCAGAAGATAACCATTGATTTTTCATTTTAATGTCTCGCATTACCGCATTTTATCTTGAAGGTTCATCCATTGGTGTTTACCTAAGTTTTGTTAAGTAGCTTTTTCTTTCCTTAGTTTGATTTTGGAATCTTTGACAAACCAGTAAGACCAAAGAGGGCTGATGGTCCGCGCAAGAAATACCCAATGATACACCATAATTATGAATCGACAGTGACAAAAAATATCTTTTTCGGTAAGTGCATCTTTCATTTCCAGCAAAAGCCTTCAATTACCTGTAATTATTGGCAAAGGTCCTTCGAACGCCCTGTTGCTTCGAATACCCTGTTTCTTGTAATGCCGCTAACGGCATCTTCTCTCCGTCAAATATTGTTAGTTGTAGAATTAGCTAGCATACTAATCTGACTTAAATTCATCAGATACAAAAATTCCTAAAACAATTTCCAAGAAAAGTTGATTGAAATGTTTAGTGAAATGTTAATTGAAATGGCAGTCGTGTTGCCAGGACTTTAGACAAGGCATCCCACTTTTCAAAATCCCAACACCTTTTCATGTATTGTTAATTACGAGGTTTAAATATCGAGTGAATTTAGTGAGAGATTGAACTGTATAAGCTTATTTGCACTTCCAATTTGAAGTGTTTTCAGCTGTGTGTATTTTCATTTGAGGAAGTTTTAGCTGTGTAAGTTTAACGCTCTGGCAATCGACTGTACTCAGATGACGTCTGCAATTAATATTTCATTTTTTCATTAGTTTTGAACAAGCACAGCTAAGAAAATTGACTGGTCTTGATACAGAGGCATCTGTTGAATTGATAAAAACAGCGAATGTCTATTTTATAGTTTACATATCCGAAAAACGTACAATTTTTGGTTGTTTTTTCACAGCTGGTACAATAACCCATTCATTAGACTGGCGAAAATCTGCCGGTGGTTTTATCCATGGATTCAGATATACAAGTAAGTAACACAATTAAAAATTTGAAACTTGTGGGAAAGGATAGCTTATGTTACAGATAAGGAAATCATATTTAACCATCGTCTCTGCTAGTTTAAAGGATTACTACATTGATATGATCGCTGTCTTAAGTCCTTAGAATTATTTTTACCTAAGTGTTGCTGGGAAAAATTATACAGTTTCCATTGAAATATCCGATGCAGTACTCGCTCTTCTTTAAGACATGCTACTTGTAGAGTTGTGTTTCAGGAATTAATTTGAGTACACCAAATCTCATGGCATTACATACAGCAGGTTTTTTTTTCAGAGGGGAAGAGAGAGATACAATAGAAAATTTTTAAGATTTGATATAGTGTAAATTTTTGGATTACTGGGTAGATGTCTGTGGTATCACTGGAAATCTCACATCGATTCTGAAAGGGCGAAAAGAAGCTTGTCAATCAATGAACGACCAATAGGATAACGACCTAGGGTTGTGATCTAGGCCAATCATAATCACTGCTTGCTTGTAGTCGAAGCACATCCCAGCAGCCACACACGGTTGTTTTTTTCTCTATGTGGCAAGACAAGCAAGAAGGGGAAAGCCAAGGATTCAGATATATAGACTCAATTTCTCTCTTTTCCGCCGCCTTTTCCCTACAGAAACTACATCTCAAATGATACTGCATTCAAAATGTCCTTTAAAGCTACGCGGGTTACATATTTACTTGCATTTTGTCAATGGGACGACGGATGGCAGTAAGCCAACTGATGACATCGATAAGGCAGATAGTGAAGGAATCATTCAAGTTGTTGCGTAATATAGTTTCAGAAAAGAAATGATCGAGTATGTTGTGACCAACAACAAATTAATGCGTTTGTCTTTCCTTTGAAAGTGAGTGTGAGTGGCATTGCAGGTCCTCATATTGAGATCCTAATGTTTGAGCCTATGAACTGAATAATATATAACTTACGTCGGTTTTCGCTGGTATTTGGTGGTTAGTAAATCAATTAGATAATCTTCGTGTAGTTTGCTAAGAAATACTTCGTGGTTTATCTAAATTTTCCATAGTTTCCACATTGAATCAGGAAAAACCAGCACTGATAGGGTCATTTATATGTTATTTTCCTTCAATTTAGCTCGAGCCTTGCATCATTTGTTGGAATACCGCAACCACGGCGTTAAATGGCCACACCTCACACTACGAAATACTGAACTTCTAAATACTTTAACGAAGAGACTCAATGAAGCATCCGTATGTACCTTTTAAAATCTTATCAAAATAAGTTAAGAACCTTGCAAGTTAGCGTGCACAGATCTTGAAACCCATATTGATCATATGATTTGGTTAATGGCATTGTTTCCGAACCTATTTGTAACCTCAAATACAGTCATAGTATTTATCGTTTGTTGAATCGTCCTAAAATTTATGTGGGTGAATGATTTTTGCCCTGTATTATGTTTTGTGGACAAACCCACCATTCACTGGCTGTTTCCATTTATGTCGAAAAACGAGTAAGTTAATGCTAGGGTTCAAGATTCAACTTAAGCTAGAAGTAAAGAACGAATGCAGAACACATGATGGAACAAAGAATCTGGACACTAATGACGTAAGCACTTTTTTCAGGGCATTTACCAAATGTTCGGCGTTTTGGTTGATGTCATTGTACTCCGTGAGTTTCTTTTTCATATATTTGCTTGGTATAGATCATTGCTTTGTGAGTTTCAAGATTTAAACTGATGGTCTAATAACACAAGCAGGGCATTTTATTACATTTTTCAAGATTTAAGTTTTCTGTTCGAAGCAAAATACTCTCCCTCAGAACTAGGACATCTGTGGGAGCCTTTGCTCTTTGATTATTTGATGGTATTTTTCTTGTCGTGGCCATGCATCTAGGTCTAAAAGGCATTATGTCGCGACGCATTTCGATGGCCATTTTAATTCTCCATTGGTTGGACAGTACAATAGACTTACTGATAGGCAGCCAATCGGCAACGTAAGACGAATTCCCAACGTTTTCTCAATCGGCATGCTGTATTTTTAACTTTGAACGGTTGACCGACGGAACCTAGTGCTTTTAAGTAATGATGTAAACTAATATGAAATATCTGGTCTGGTTGTTGACCATTTTATGTCCAATCGTCTTTGAAGTCGGTAAAGATAGTTTATGAATGTTCGCTGCTGGCCAGTTTATTGATATTAACGCAGGTACAGAGTAATCTGTTATGGCGGTAAAATTTGTGAATTGAAGAATAAGCTAACTAAGCACCATTTTGATGCTCATAGACCAGTTATTTGCAGGTTAGCATAAACAATTCTCTTCACCTGCCAGCTTTTCAAGGTTGTTTAGTAACTGGCCAAAAGTAGTGAGCATCTTAGCTCCCTGACGTATCCACTTCAGCGATTTTATGTATACGTTTTTAGAAAAATAATTTATTTTTCTTTTCATGTTCTCTGGCGTGAAGCCAAATGTTTACATTGCTAATTCTGTTTATTCAACAAAATATTTTTGCGTCTAGAAGATGATGGCCAGTTTCAATACTTCGAAGAATTTCCAAAGGGCCTTATACCTGAATTTCAAAGTATGATAGCAATCTTTTTTCACATTTTAGTTTTTAAACGTTTTCACGTCACCTAATGCGTTATCTTTGAATGTTCCAGTTAACTGTTTTATCTTTTCTTGGAAGTCGACTTCTACAAAATAGCAACTTTAAAAGTAGAAATTAAGATTGAGTCATCATACTTCTTTATCAGAAATTTGAGGCTAATTGTTTGATAAGCAAGAATCTGTATTCTTTAGGGAGCCAGAACTCTTTTTGTTCAGTAACCTCCTTCCTTATATTTCAATATGTTATTTAGCTGTCTTTCTTTATAGAGCACACAGGTGTACCATTCAAAAGAGGAATTGTTCTTAATCTAGAATACGGGAAGAATTTTTCAGGCCCAGGGTATGTCTGACCACAAACATTTTGTGCTTAGCTGCAATAGACTTATTAAAGACAATAATTTGTGAATATGTATCCGGAGTCAGAATGAACCAAATACCTCTACAGTGTCATCTATTTGAATTATTGTATCTTTGCCCCACTTGTATCTTTGTCATTCATTTCTTGGTTTATCGCTCTGAAAACCTAGAATTTATCAAATGTTCTCTTATGACTATGATTTCAAGTATATCTGTTACCGGCCTCTTTTGAATTTCCTGTCTCGTTTCAGTTCTGATCCATTCAAAGAAGAACGTGCAGTCGGTGAAGTAGTGGACGCCCACCTCTCAAACTTCTTGCATCCTGTTTTGTATTATTACAGCTCACCAGTCACGAATTTAACATCAGAAGGAGACTTGCCTCGTCCTGATTTCCTTCATCATATTCTCGAAGATTTTTTGGCTATGTGGTATGCATAAATTTGTTTTATATTTCAAATTTGATTCATATCAAAATTAAGTTTATTTGAAGTAATGTTTATTCACTGATGTTTATGAGCATTAGAAGTCCTCTAAATGAGATTTAAACACTTTTTAGTGAAGAATTTTTTTAGAAAATACGAACAAGCTGATAACGATTCAATGCAAAAGTTTCTTGGCCTGAAATCAACCCTGGCGTGAACTCCTTATGAATATAATCCACGGAAACTGGAAACAGAACACTTCCATTTGTAATCCGAAAACTTGCGGCCTCCTTGAAGAAGCGATGCAAAAACTTGCATACTTCAACTATAGCACTCTCTATTTCTTTAGTTTTGCAACATTAAAGAACTCACTCCATTCAAGGAACAACATTCGAGCTTCTTTCACAATCCCGCGGTTGATATTCGATAAATAATGAACTTTTTATGTCATTCTAAAGAATTAACAGATCCTTTATCATTGATAATAGAAATAAAGTTTTGTATAAGACTGCCCCCTGCTAATGTTACATTTTTGTCATAAATAGGGACGCCCTTTTGCATCACCATTTGCCTTTGCGTTGGTTCTTGGAAAAAGCTGTTGGGGAAGACTTGAGGCATTTCTTTGCTGAAGACTGTCTGCAGGTTGGTTTTGATAAAGTTCCTCTACTGAAGTTTAATAAAGCTATTCACTGTGGCTTTTGCATTTGTTTCAAGATTCGATGAAGTTAAACCCACCGCTAAAATCATCACTGCTAACTGCCATGGCCCAAAACATTCTAGCATTTAATAATGCTTTGCTCACTGTCGTTCTCTTCCAACAGTTTCTCGGTTTATATTACTTATAGTGTTTATAAATGGAGGCCAAACTAAAGTTCTATAAATCCGTTGAAGCGATGAGACATTGAACCACTGGCCCAGGTGTAAAGTGTGCCTGCCTGAAGTCTTTGGGTGTTTATAGAAAGTTAATTTACGAGCCAGCTTTGGAAAATTAATAAAAAGTGCTCAACTTGAAATGCGATAGAAGCCCCACACCTTATGTACAAACGCATGCTCTTTGACTCCAGAACGGAGGGTTGCCTCGTTGCGTGCGCATGCTTTTTTACTCCCGGACGGAGGGTTGCCTGACTCAATAAAAGACTATCTTTTGATTAAGGAGAAAACTGTAATAGGTTTTGCCCAAAGGAACTACATAAGCAACGGCATCTTCAAATTCTTATAAGAAAATAGGCTTTAGGCCTAATACGTATTTAGCATAGAGGTAGATACCTTACATATTTGAAAGTTGGTTTTTCCGCGTAATTAAACGAAGTCTATTTTATTTCTTAGATCGCTATGATAAGCAAGAATTTACCAATTTATTGCAGAGAGCACTACTTAAAAGGTGAGCTATCTTTGATGTTAAAGCTGGCTCTGAGAATTATTTTAATTTTTCTGAGTTTTAACAGCAGGCTATTGCTGTGTTTCCCTTCTGATGTCGTTTTTTCTTTCTATAACAGAATTTTTTCTATTACAAATTAATTTTCCAAATTATAGCAATACACTTACTTTCTCCTGTTTCTATAGTGTCTTGTAAGCTGTCTATCTTGACATTTGTCTTCAAACTGGTATAACCTCTTTGTTAAAAGTCTCTAACAGCCATTGTGTATTGATTTCAGGATCGATGCTGGATAGACCCTCTGAAACTCATGATCAACTTGTTTTAGAGTTACAGGCGAAGGCATCCGAGGCAGCTTAAGAGCTTGCTAGCTAGACTCTTCTTCAACGTGAATGTAAACAACTGTAAACTAGTTACTTTGTCTACGACTGGTAACCAAAGCTATGAAGTCTGACACATCTATTCCATTTCTTGCTTGCATGTTTGAGATTAAGCTTAAGTTGTTTAATATTGAGGAAGGAGTCTTTAGGAATGAAATTGCAAACAGAAAAAAACGGAACATAAAATTCCACCTCTACCTTGTATGTTGTTACTTTTTCCCAAAAAAGTAAGATCAGTTATGTCTTCAGACAACAAGCAATGCCCCCTTACTTGATTTACGTTTATGACAACATTGTATTAAAAAGGTATTTTTAGAGCTATTATGCAGAATTCAAGGGGGGTGTCTATCTTACCTGTTTAGTGCTTTCTTAAAAACGCAAACATAAATTTCTTGCCAAGTTTACCACCGTTGGAAGTTTTAAAATCTTTTGTATTAAATGCTCTGATGTGACACTGTTAGCCAACAATTCAACCATGGCTGAAATTTGGCTAGGGTGAAAGGACTCAGTCTTCTGTATGATTTAGCTTGTAACTATTCGATTTGTATCTTTTGCGTTTCCATTGTGAATTACTGGTAAAACACAAATCTTCTTGGTGGAGATTTTTAGAAATAACCGCTATTTATTACCTTATCCTGTCTACTTATTTGATAATGAAGATTTTAAATTCTAACTATCTTATAAATTCACATGTATCTAATTTTATTGTGTTATAGCTTGCAATAAATAACGTTCCTTCATTCTTAATCATTGTTCTCTTTCGCCGTTGTCAGTTTTGTCCAATTACTATATGTTATCGAGTAACCATGATTAACCAATCCTTGTTTGTGTTTGGAAATCGGCTTTCCTTTCGAAACTAGCAAGCCATACACTCATTTATCTTAAGAGTGAGAAATTTACAAAAAGACCAGCGCCTTCAGTTAAGTGAACTAGCTATATATGTAACGGTATCCAAGTAGTCAAGATAGCCGTTTTGCTGCTACTCTGCCGTTTGCTGGTAAGTTGTGCTTGTTTTTTGCTTTCTATTTTGTATTGATGTCGAGAATGTTGTATTTAGTAGCAATGCTTGCTGTTTTCTCATGTTCATTGTTTCCAAATGTCTGTAAGTTGTTCGATGCAGCGTTTCAGAAGGGGCTTGGTAAAGAACTACACCGAAAAGAGGCTCTTGAATAGGAACTGATTGTGCATTCCCCATTCACCTCGTGAACAGTCATCGGAGTAAATATCGCACGAGACAAGTTTTGAGAGTTTTGAGAGCATTTTTTCGGTTTTCCAATTGCCCTAAAACAATACAACAGTGCGTCAAGGATTGCAAAGTTGTTGTTTTTACACTCTTCGGTATCTAAGCAAAGATATCGAATAGTTGCTACGAGTTATCAAGGAGCCTTGGAGTCTGTTCATCGCTAAAATACACGGACGTAGCGGGTACTAGCGTTTAGGGGGGGGGGGGTGGCAGTGGCGTAACGGAGCTGTGAGGGGGTCTTATTGAAAACGGTGTTTTGGGGCACCTATACTTAACAAAATGTGAGTCAAGTTTTAGAGCTTAAGTACTCACTCTTTGGGGTTTTTCATTAAAATCCAAAGAAATAACATACAACAATATATGAAGATAAATTCTGCTGCCTAAGATATTTTCTATGATCTCTATCCAAGCTTTTCCCGGATTTCCATGCAGCAAAGACAGATGCGTCTTTAAAGTGCATTTAAAAACATGTCTAGGTAGATTAAGATTAACATTGTTAAACTGCTTTATTGAGGAAATCAATTATTTGTCGGTTTTTCAAGAATATACTGCAAGCAGTTTCAAGTGTGCATCATGGATTTGTACAGAAATGGGGGGACATATTTTATGTGTTGATTTTTTATGACGTTACCTTAAGTTTGTGAAATAACAAATCCTATATTATTTGCTGATTAAACCCCCTTCTGGTCCCCGGATTGCCTTTCTGATCCACTGATACGTTAGACTTAACAGAGGCTTGTTAGGATAGATAGGCGTGTACTGAGATGCAGTAGTGTGACTAACCTAGAATATTTCCTGTATATTTAATGTTTCATGTAGAAAACACTTAAAAAATGTTTTTAAAGGAGTAATGATAACTTTTAAAAGGTAAACGTTATTGAATCTTTGCTCAACGATCAAGAGTTCTTAACCAGTTTGTTTACCATGAAGTTAGGGCACTTCCATCTCCGTAAATGTTCTTGTGTAGCTGAAATTGTAGGAAGTAAAATAAAAGTAGCCTTGACTGATTGGACCATGTGCTATGTTTGCAAACCATCCTGTGAACTGACTGGTGTAAGGTCAGAAGCATTGCTAGGATGACAAAATGTAAACACTATGGTTACCTTAAATCATTGCTTCTTTTGAGGATTTCAGATTGCCCTCTTTGAGCTTTTTCTTCGTCGACGAAAGGATTGTTCATTGATCGTAACAAGTGATCTGATCATGTAAATAACCTGGTTTTGAATGTAGTCTTGTAAGTCTGTGTTTTTGAGGCCTGTTTTTGCTTATTGTAATTTTTTTATCAAAATAGGGTTAGTTGCAAAATACACTTTCCTTTTCTGCATTGGCTCTCAAACTTCAACCTGACAATGTTTCTGAATAGATTGCTGATTTTAAGAGAATCTCTCCCTCGTATTGTTTCTTGAATAAATGCAACCCCATTCTTTTTCCTCAGCTTGTTAGACAAAATAGTTTTATACATGGCACACGACAGTCATAAGTAGGAATTTATGTCTGAAATGATTATATTTTGAGATTAAACTGTACCTTTTTGTCTTAGATAAAATCTCTCCTTGTCTTACAGAAATGCCTTACACTCTCAAGGCCACTTCACAACACAAAGAAGATGCATTTTGGTAAAGCAGGTATTTTGCAAGACCTATAATCATCATTAGCTTGTGTTGGATACGTCTACAATTTTTTCTTAGCAAAAATAATTCTATAAGTCCTGACTCAATACAACGAAATCAGCTTTGCCTGTACCTCATTTCTAAAATTAATGTAGCAGTTGACCTTTCTGTTCATTTATTATTCCCTTGCTTACAGCTGGAATTTTACAATCCATTAATGACAGGCTTCATATCGCCGATAAATCGACTTAACATTTTAAGTCTGCTTCCGAATAAGTCTACAATACCTTCTCCCACCTATAGGGCTGAAGGAAGTTCTAAAACCTTACACACCAGCAACCAACAATTGCCTGAGTTCGTAAGTAACTTGGCTTGATTTCTGCAACTTTTGCCCGAGCTCCCATTAAAATTACAAGCTTTCGTGTTCTATTTGAAAAGCAGACAAAAAACAAAATAACTCAAGGTAACATTATGGCCTAATTTGTTTAAGTACAAAGCAAATTGGACATTTTTAATGTGGACCAAGTCAACATACGAGCATTCTGTGTTGCACTTTATAGATCTGCCTATTTGCAAGAAATTGTCTTATGTTACAGATCTTTTTCCTTGAAAGCATTACGTATCTTTTGAGGTAGGGAAACTATCTTTCGGGAGTCGGTCTTTGGCTCTACAGTTTTGCTCAAGGAACTGTTTTCATAAAGACTTTAGAACACGTAGCAAGAAAAGACCCTCAGATTCGTAGCAACGAGGAAAATGAAAACTATGGTCCTCGCTCGTGGAGGCTAATGTCGAATACATGTTTTTATTGCAGCCAATATTATTCTATGTTAGGCATATTTGTTAACCGTTTAGTATACAATCAGGAACTTAGCTCAATACTTTTGAAAAATTGGGATACAGTTAAATCTGACAGCCGGGGTATTATCACATGTTTTGATTGACGCATATTGACGGGTATGTTTTTAGGCTGCCACACCCCGTATATAAACATCGTGGAAACAATTTGAGCTTGGTGCCTAGCTGTGTTTACGATTCAAACTTATCTATAGGCGCATATCCAACTTTCAGTAGAATTAAAATGCCAGCGTCATCCCTCATCGTACGATCGTGTGAACCTTTGACCAGTATTTTCCGCTTTCGGCAAACGCTAAACAGACTCAATCAGCTTATGATGATTCCACATATATGAACACCCCCTGTTAATGTTCTTATTGTCAAAGTCTTTTTACCTGGGTCAGTTTTTCTTAAGATATCAAAAACATTGACTCCACTGTAAACTTTCACAGAGCTATCAATGACATCTGTCGCTTCTTGCTCTTCCCGGTCAGTGTCTCTCCTATTAACGTGATTTCTCAACGAAAGCTGAACATCCCCGCCAAAAAACTTGTTTCTAATTGCAACGGAAATTTGCCACTTTGATTTCTCTTCGACTTTTGGTATTGTGAAATCAAAAGAAATAGTCTGGTTTGCTTTAGTTGTGTAAAATCCACCAGTTGAATCATATCGTTTTTCATCAGCGTCACGCCAATCAGTTTTCTTAAGCCTCATGAAAGATTTAGAATGTTTTATTTGCAGGTCAAACAAGTCATGTTTCGGCTTTTTGTGGATGTTTGGAAGGACTGCAGTCCAACATATTGGCTCGTCATAAACATCAGCTTCCTCCTTTGTTAAAAATATTGAAGGAAGAAGAATTTTTTTGTGATGCTTTGAAGCAGACTTGGCTGAACCGTCCAATTTTATCGTTTTGCTTCTTTTAGAGAAATGTTGTAGCTTTCTTTTGAATCTAAACCGCGTAATGTTACTCATGTTTGATTCTCTTTGGATTGAAAATTTCAGTTTTCTAACGATATTAGCAAAAGTCGCTCTCATGTAGTGTATTAGAATGAATGTCATTTGAGCATGCGCTAAAAACGAGGGATGGTCTCTATTAAACATATGTTGCATACTCAGAGCTGAAGAGTTTCCTTCCAATGCACTGCAAACAGTTCGCTCCAGGTCAAGCAATGTTATGCCGTAATATTCCGCTACTGTTTTTATTGTCAACTCATGAGATTCATGCTTCTTGCTTATATCATCCACAATTTTATCACACGGGTTCACAGATTTCCGAGAGGTGTAACTTTCGAAAAAGCTTTTCCTGAAAAAGCTAATGAAAATAAGGCCAGGTATTTCTGGTAGACCAGCCACAGATCGTGTGAACCTCTCGATTGCTTTGCTTTGATTGACAGCTTGTGCATCGTTAAAGGCGAATTCCCAAAGGACGAGATCAAATGTTTCGTTCGCGTTCAGGTATTCCTTCCAGCAACGATCAAAGTAATTAGTACCGACCCCTCCTACTGCAATCTGATGCCTCGCAAGTTTGCTGCCAGTCGCATTTACTATTGTCCTTAGCCACCATCTGGTTAGGCCATAGTGGTACGTCCTTTTGTTATTGTGACAGCCCAAATTGGCTCCCAGTGTTATTGATTCACCAACAACAAGAATCTTTATCTTCTTCTTATCGAGGGCTTTCTCTAAGATTTTCCCTAAGGAATACTCTGACCACTGTCCTAGGTTTGCAATGCCTTCATACAGGTCTGTTCTTTTCACTCTTAAGTCAGAGACCGCTGGAAATTGCACTGAGAAAGGCCAAACTTCGTCATACCCTTTGTACAAAGCCTCCTCAAGCCTACTTAGGCCATTTTTGTTTGCAGATTGTGCAAGCCCTAAAGATAGGAGTGCAAGAGGCAGTAGCTGGAACAGCATTGTCCAAACCAGTATAATTTGTCACTAGGCTACAGCAAGCATGGCAATGGACGTGAGAAGCTGAAGTTAACCTAAAAAGAGAAATCATATTCAATAGGAAAGTACTTTAGCAATTAGAGCCTCTACGTATTCTATAGCCTAGTTTTCACTAGAGTCATAAGGGTCGCAAGGATCGTAAGAAGCGTAATTTTAAGATTTTATGACGCTCATGATCAAGTGAAAACACCAAGAATCATAATCGTAAAATAATTCTAAAGTGATGACGTCACAGAAATATATTTTTAGAATTTTTTAATTTGGATCCCATAGCCTGAAAGAGCATCATGAAATACTTCTAAATGTGCAAAATCAAGCAAGTGTATTACGAAATGGCAGAGATATGGCCCCTTTTTTATTGGTTCTCTCTCCATCAAACCTCTGTATTTTGGTCTCTGTTCATAACTTTATGAACAGAGCCAAAATAACAGTGATTCGTTAGCAAACTTCAAATCTTTCATTAGCCATATCTCAACCGATTTTAGACATATCAAAAGCTTTTTCATCTTTACGATCCTTACGACCGGATGTTCCTTTGTTTTGAGCATTGCTCCTTCTCTCGTTGGCCTTAACATGATTTATTTTCTTGAAAGTCGTAGCTTCTGTGCTGCTTGGCGATGTTTTGCTTTTGATTTTTAGTTTCAATGTCTTATCAAAAAATAGTCTTACCCATTGTATTCATTACTGCTTGAAAAATAAAATGTATTCTTGCTGTTGTTGCTGTTGCTTCTAAGCCATTGTATTTCTTTGAATAATTTAACTGGTAAAAGCTCTAATTTGTCAGGGATAGCCTAGTGTTACAAGCTTTATTTCCTAATTATTGTATTTATATAATAATAATGATTGATGATAATATGATGATAAACTTGAATATCTACGTTTATTTTGAATTGAATTGAATTTGATCATATCATGTTTGTGACGTGACTATATAATTGTATCGTACCAATATACGAACTACATGACGTTTGTTGAATTATAATTGTTGAATTAACCGTAGGCCTATTTCCAATGCAGGCTTTCAACTGGAACAATTTTAGCTTCACGGCATATGAAAATTGATCAATTAACAGTTTTAATGATATGCAATGCAAAGGATATCGTCTAGGGGTTGGCCATATTCAAGTTGTCTATATTTTATGGACATCCCCCCACGAACTCCCCTTTTTGTGAAGAGAGAAACGGTCCAGCGGACTTGAATAAACAAAGTTGAGCACACCAACATTTCACATTGTTTATTACTTTGCTTATCAAAAATTATACATGATTAATTAAAAACACTTGTTTTTTTCAATCAAAACTTTCAAACTGATGACAGCCTTGTTGATTAGAGGTAGTAAAGAATGGAAAGGCTTTTTATTATTCTTGGCGTTCCGTGTCTATGGCTTTAGATTTTGAATATTGCGTCATCAGCCCCACCAAAAATTTACCCCACGAGCCGCCACTGATGCATCGTCGATTCAATGCACAAATAAACAATCAGAATGAAGAACCACAATAGCGTAATTTCCCTGAGCATCACGAAGGAGACAGACTGCCCAGTACTCGAGGATTGATTCTTTCTCTACAAAAGCCAGCCAAATACATCAAATTTTCTAAACTATCTATTTAATGTTCATTACTCATAGCGAAATTCAAGTCCCACAGGCTTCAGATACTTTTCAATTGCCTCATCCATTTGCTTGTTCATTTCGTCAGTAAAATAATTCTTCCAGTCACCTACTTCTCCTTTCCGAAGGAAGCTCCCTTCTTTCTTCATGATTTTCCCATCTTGGTATACTTCATGATTCACAGATTTATTTTCTTTCATTTTCTCGAAGCTAAGGTGATCAACCAGAATCTTTACTTGCTCATCTGTGATTTCTTTCCCTAAAAACTTTGCCACCCTTCTAATATTGCCAGCCAAATCAACTTTCATTTCTTCAAAAAACAGAATGCACATGTTTGGGTGGTTTCTTCGCTTCCATAACTGTTGAATGTATTCGAAATATGGAGTATAAAGCACTAGATTATCCATGAACAGTTCGAAGAAGGTCGAAAAATCACCGGTGTAATCATTTAGGTTCTGTACCTTTTCATGGTGGAAAAGCGAGACTATAGCGTCTTTTGGATTTCTCAAACACATCACTGCCTTGCTTTTTTCGAGTAGGTCGTAGGGTAAATGGTCAAACGAAAGATGGGATTTAAAGACTCGTGGTGAATCCATGGTTTGCATCCTTTCGAAGGAGGCTTTAAGGTCTCCACCAATTTCATTCTGTAGAAAGTCGAGAATGAAGGATAGGTCTAAAACTTGGATTCTTTCATAAACTGAAAAAGCTTTAGCCTTCTCTGTGTCACAGTTGTTCTGTAGACACCAGACGAGCTCCTGTGACCATGTTGTGCCATTTTTAGGAAAGCCAAGAACATAAACATCTTCTGTGCGCACTTCAAAGCTTTTTATTTGATCCTTGAATTTCTCATAGGCTGCAGGCAAAAGGAAATTTCCCGGCACCGTTCTTACGAACCTCTGTCCAAATTTAACGAATGGAGTCGGGTAATTCTTCTTCAACCGCTCAGTTTCATTGTCCGAGAGCGGCACAATTTGCACGGTCTCAACGGTCTGCATTCTAAATGAACTTCTTCAGGTGAAACTCTCCAACAGAAGTTGAGGAAGATAAAATACATATGCAAGTGAAATACAGATGTCAGCGGATTGTAAACAAATTTAAAGACTCATTGCTAACAATGGGCCTTTGCGAGCGTGGCGACGGTCCAAACAATGGCAGTAATTGATTTTAGGGATGCTTACGTAGCGCAATGGCTCATTGTTAGCAATGAGTCTTTAAAAGCATTGAGTCATGGTAAATACTGGTTCTCCGCGGGGGGTTTGTTTGTTTCCATGTGATGAGTTTGTTTTCATGTGATCAGACATTCTTTGTCGAAAGCGGAAGGCATTTGAAAAGCCTTTGTTTTTTGTTTTTTTATTCACTTTATTTTATGTTGGTTTACAAATTACTAGCTAATAAACAGCTAACACCAACTTGTAACGATAACAAATATAACTAAGAAAAAATCGCGATGTTTACAAGTATCCAATATTAGAAACATACTAGCTCCCCTACGAAGCCCGCTGCGCGGGCTTGCCAGTGACCCTACGTTAGGGTACATAGATTAGCCTCGGGAAAGACAAGAGGTGTATTAACCTTTGAATACTTTACAATTTTCTATCGTATGTCTAACGGTATAGAATTCCACAACTAATTACATCTATATGTAACATTTTAGGACTTGTATTCTTCAGTAATTATTATTATTATGTTTAGCTAGATCTTTGATTATGTTGCGTGTTAATGTCACATGTTTGTTTGTCGCGCTGTTGTGTTAGTAATCCCTTTCCGGGAAATGTGCGTCACTGTCATCGTGTTATGTGATGTTTCACAGTGTTCCTTTGTCAGTGTTTTAATATAATGGAATCCAAGTTAGAATAATTTGTGTTGATGATAAACATAACATCAAAGAATGAGTTCTATGCCCAGTTCATAGTCGATGCATTACATCAAAACTTTTACCCGTACGCCTTATTTCCCTGCGGGAGGCGCCAGCTTGTCTGGTGTCTGCTTGCCAAAGAGCTAGCGTACGCTAAATTTCGCCCCATATCAGGCTGCGTTCACATTGCACAAGCATTTACTGGCGCCAACTTTTGCGTCGCGATTTCTGCAATACTAACCCCTTGCTGTGTTCACACTGGCCAATTTCTGGCAAACGGAAATTGGCAAGTAAATGCTGTAGCGCTGGTAAATGCTAAACGATAGCTGACAGATTTGTTAAACGCGCGATGGATTTCGAGCTCCTCATCACCGAAATTGAAAAAGGCCCGCAATATGGGATCCAAAGAATCCAAAACATTGTAATCACCTAGCAAAAGACAATGAAAGAAGGAAGAGAGAGGAAAGTGACCCAGACCGATTATTTTTGTTAAGTTTATTGCCACTCATTAGAAAAGTTCCAGAGAGGGAAAAGATAGATGTCAAAATTAAATTTCAGAAATTATTGCAAGAAGCGCTTTTAGTAGCCCGCACAATTCAAACATATACAGGCCCTGGGACGATCAAAATAATCCATATATATTTTAGATTATCCAAGAAATATATAAGAACATGACACGATTAAGAATGGATCAAAACAAAAAATTGTTATTCTTAGCAGAACAAAAACATTTGTTACCTCTATGTTATAACCAGTCTCTCTTCCGCTGAAATTGGTTTTTTAAAGTTTGTTTCCTGCTTCTCAAGGTAGGGCGCAATAACATTCAAAACAATATTGAAAGTTCTTTCTTCCATCCTAATATATTGAAAAAATTTTTTACGGTCGCCTTTCAATTGCTGGAAAAGGTGAAGGTATTCTCCTAGCGTTCTATTTATAGGGTGAACACCAAATCTGCGTTTTTCCCGATATCTTAATCTCCAATGCATATTCATATGGGGGTTCTCTGCAAGTCCTAGACGATACATTTCGGAAAGGGTTATAAAAATCGAATGAAATGTTGATCGTATGCACGCATTAAAAAGCTGCCAATGTGAACGGAAAATCTTTCGCAAAGATGGGTTGCCACCTACTGCGCAATGACGCAAGTAAATGCTTGTGCAATGTCTTGCGTACGGCTGCTCAAACTTTTATGGCTGTGAAATCACAGTTAATGTCTCCTAAGAAGATCATTTCTTGACCTGCCATGTCCAAAAACGACAGAGCTTTTTCTAGCTTATTGAAAGATGCAACAGGGTCACACTGTGGCCGGTATAAGACGAGAACAAGATATACGGATACGGATAATTTGACTTCATTGCATACATAAAGCACAGGGCTGCCAGAGACGTAACTTGCTTTGCTTTCGTCTCCCCGTCCTTCACCAAGCGACTGGAATGGATGATGTTGATGTAATATAAGGTTTTATTCTATGTAAGGAATTTGGCATGGTTCATTTTTCTGCGAATCTATTGCCATACTTTGCAGTAATTATTGGTTTGTTGTATCAGCAAAATTTTATGAATTTTCTTAAGCTTGTTAAGGTTTTTATCTGCATAGTCTATTACCTTACCTTTGTGCAGAATTTAGCGTAAGCTAATAAGTTCAGAACTATGAACCAGGCTATCTCTTTTATGTTATCTACTTGGGGCTAGGCCCGTTGGCCTTCTCGCCCCACTAACGAGCTTGGTTATTAACTGGTTCTTCACCGTCATGACAAGAACCCATATCGTTACATATAGGATATTGTATCTAGCCCAGAAGTAACTGTGTTGTGGCATTTGAAAGGTACGAATAGGGGAAGAAGTTTTGAAATCTTTTGTAGAGAGCAAGAGAAAAGAGAGAGAAAGAAAGAACCTTTAGAAACGGCGGAACAAAGAGCACTTACAACGTCGTGTGTGCAGTTTGCTTGACAGCCAATCAGATTCGCGAAGCTATCATAATGACTCAGCAATTTTTGCAATTTGGGTATACGCTTCCTTTTTACCATGACTGGGAGAAAGCAAGCAAAACCTGGAGTCTCCCGGCAAAACCGGGGGTTGACAGGTCTGAAGCAGTTCAAAACTATTGAAAAACTGTTGTCGATTGTTAAAGAAGAATCTAGGGATGTAGATTTTTTACTATACTAGATTCTAAAATAGTCATCATCACACAGATTTGATAAACTGTACAAAATTTGTTGCAGTAGACCAAATAGATTTATTGAACTGTCGAATTCATTGAAATTGATTTCACCTAAAGAAAGCTAAACTCTGCAATGATCCTTGGCCAAAAAATGAATTTAATTTTTGCAATACTCCTATAAACATTTATAGTGGAATTTGGTTTTCCAAGCGACCAAACCTATTTCAGGCCTGGTCACACCCTACTAGCCTTTTAAGATCCAAAAAGCCACCCCAGAAGAAAAGTGCCATCCCGCCCCTGGCCTAGGTCACGAAGGTGTTCACACAAAAGCCATTACCAATATCTTAGAGAAATGATCTCTGATGCTAAAGGTTCTAGTCTTATTTGAAATTAGTTTGAAAAATAGTGCCTTGAATCTAGCATGTAATTTTTAAGAAGTTGCTTTACACAGGAGTAGTTTCTAGGATATTTAAGCCCCTAAATCCCACGTAGTTGGTGCTATAAAAAACAATTTAAGGAGACAAAACTAGCAGTATTGCTAAAAGATATATCTATTTAAATTCAGTGAAATTGATAGTACAAAAATATCAGCAAAAACTCACTTTTTTAGAATATATTATTTAAGAGAATCGAGGCTATAGTTTGGGCTCGATATTGCCAAAAATTAAGAACAAATTAGAAACAATATCCAGGCTCAACCTTCACTAAGAAATATTTTTTAAAAGATATACTTAAAGTTATTCAACATGAATTTAAAGTTATGTTTAGAATTTGTCTTAACCATACTTCATTGGCGGGCTTTTCCTCCTCTGAATTCCCTAAGAGAATTTTATATTGATATCGTTTAAGAACAATTCAAGAATACATTTAGGCCCAATAACTGGGAATGTTTATAAGAATATCAAGATTTAGAAAATATGAAAGTATTTTTAACATGAAATATTCTCTAAAAAGTGTGTTAATTTCATTTCAAATGACTCAGCTTTTTCTAACAGCAAAGGTAATTTCTAGCTTTACAAACCTTCCTCAGAGCTTCAGCATTTGTCTATAACAATTTCTGTACCTTTGAAATTTCGACGAAATTCAAACAGCTCCTTCGAAGAGAAGCATACATGTTCAGTGAGGCGTATCAATCAACCTGACATGGAGGTAAAGGTCGATTATATTAGCTTAGATTCCCTTCACCATGGTAACAGGTATATTCATTCATTTTGGTGATAATGTGTCGTTTTCTGACATTTTTCTTGAAATTAAACATATTGAGAGAAGAGCATTGTGGAACACCCGCCTGCATGGTTAGTTTCTAGACTTGCTAACCTGCACCGTAAAATTGGGCAACTAGTTCCACAGAAACTGAGTTGCAACAAGCTAACGATAGTGACAAACGATGCTGATTATAATATATAAATTCTTTTTGTAGTGTTTTGCTTTTACAAGATCTTTAAATGAAAAATGTCACTCGCAGTTATTGCTCTTCCTTTACTCTATTTGTGTACAAAATATAATTAAATTGTGTTCCTATCTTAATCTCTCCAATCTTACCATGCGTGAGCTGTTAGGTTTGGTACCTGCTTGATCGCGCAGCTAAGATCAAATCGGCCTAATGAGAAGTATTTAAATATCTCCTTGTTGATAATGGCGTTGAGGAACTAGTCTTTATCGTATCTGAAATTTATCAATGAAAAAAGAAATGAAAAAGGTAACATCTTTATTGAAGCAATAGTTGCGTTACTGTTTTTATATCAAGATATGTATTTAAGCTTTGGTTTCTATCCTTTAAATCCATAACTTTTCATTAAAATTTTTCCAGTAACGATGAAGCGTTAAGCGTGCTATTCGATAAAGAAATTAGTTTTTTTGTATGAAGTAAAGTGTGTTCTAATTTGCCATCGTTTTGTAAAAGTTGCTTGCAATCGTTTTATTTATATCAACAAACAAAGACAGTCTTCTTCTCTCTTTGAATTGAAATGAAACAATTTATCTTTATCCTGATAACACATTCTATTGTTCATAATTTTCAAAATGCTGGCAAAAAAGGCCGCCGGAACGACCAAGGGGCAAGGGGGGGCAGGCTTTAGTATAAGAGCATTTGTAAAATAATTCCCAGTCTCTAACAATTCTTTCGAAGCTGTCATTTTGTTTTGATCTTTTCTAGGTATCTTGGAAATCGACTAACTTTTGGCATAAGAAATTTCTCAATTTCTTAACAGTGTCGTCATAAAGTTTAAAAAATGTTGTCATAAAAAGGCAGTAAAGTCAAAATTTCATATGAATCTTTTGTTGATTACAAACGGCCGATGTCCAGGGCACTTCAATGAAAGGGCACCTCGACCCCCTTGCCCCTCCTATCAAAAGGCAATAGAGGCAGTTGACCCTCTGCATCCCTCCTGGCGTCCCTGACTCGCTTACATAAACTTTCACAAAGTCACTATCGAATAAAGAGCAGGATATTAAGGGATCCTAGAGGATTTTAGCAGAATTGTATTGAATATACGTTAATGAAAAGTGGTTGGACTTGACTGTTTTTTGTACAGTTCAGCTTGAAAATGAGAATAAAAGCATTGTTATAGGTTTTCGTTATGTGTTTTTCAGGTAAGCAGAGCAACATGAAGGAAGGCACAAAGCGTAAAACCAATCTGTTGTTACTTTTAGTCGTTTTAACAAACGTGGCAACATCAGCGAATATTGATGACTTAATCGAAGCAGTTTCCAAGGACACAACATCTCTCTGGCTTTATAAGAACATGTTCCCAAACTTAGACTCATTGCTACTTGACGAGAGTTGTTTGGAGCATGGAATAGCGATTGATGGAAAGAAGACAGTTGAAAGAATTCAGCGGATGGTAGAATCAGCTCTCAAAGGTGAAGATGTTACCATGTTTGTACTGGGTGGTTCCTCGACATTGGGGGCAGATCTAGGAAAAGATAACTTAAAACTCACTTATCATTATGCCCTTGCTGATTGGTGGAACAAGACAATTGGTTCTGTCACTGGGAGCTACATGCAAAGGAAAATTGTTGCTGTTGGTGGAGTAGGCACGACGTATTTCGGACATTGCTGGCAAGAATATGTAAACACTGATGAGAAATTCGATTTGGTCACGTGGGAATTTGCTATCAACGACCCAGATTCGTTGCAATATGATAAGGCTGTCGAGAGGTTTTCAAGAGACGTGCTATCTATGCAGTCTAGACCAGGACTTGTGTTTGTTAATTTCGCAAGCAAAGGTAAAATAGCCTCAAGTGCAGTAGATAAATGCAAAAGACATGAAAATGAGGCAAGAACTGTAGATGAGATGGCAAAGCATTATTTTAGTACTTCTATAAGATGGGAGAGATCTTTGTGCGCCTGTAAGAATCTAGACTTGAAAAAGAATATTGGGAAACTCTTTCATAACAATCATCCCAAAGTAATTGGCCATGCACAGATGGCATATGTATTGATAAACTATTTCAAGAAAAGTATTTTGGATGGTTTAAAGAAACCATCAACTCGACAATTATATATTGGCTATATGGACCCTGGGGGGCAAGCAAATATGGCTGCTAATGGATTGTACTCTAACAATGCTATACCATCATTGCTACCTGAGCCAGTTTTCATGACCAAGGAAGACATGAACAGTGCATCGAAATGTTTCACTTCCATTACCCCTGGGCCAGAGAATCCTCCAAAGCACGAGTTAGGGAGCCTCCCTGTTCTATTGAATAACGGCTTTACTATGTTAGAGGAATCTCCATGGAATTCAGTCCCTGAAAAGCGTTATGACTCAACTGGAGGGTACATAACACAAAACTCTGGTAGCTCCCTTAGGCTCAAGTTCCATGTTCCAAGTAGCAATGCTCTTTCAATGTCACAAATCTCTGTCACGGTGAGGAACAAATATTTTGGAGGAAGAGTTCGGTTTGTGTTGAATGATGGAACTGCAAATGAAAAGATTGTACATGCTGATACATCCGAGAAAAAGAAGGCTGGGACAAATTCAATAGAGCTTGGGCAGGTTTCAGCTGGGATGCAAACGCTATCCATTCATACAGAAACCGGAGGGTGCAACCTCTGTGCTATTATAATAGACTGATCTACAATATCAACTTCAGTAGAAAATTTTTATAAGATTTCAATGAAACATGTGAAATGTTGGGTCAAATTCAGTAAGAAATATAAACTAATAAAAGCAAACAACAGGTTTGATTTTTCAAAATGAAGGGAGGATATTTTTTTTCTTGGAATGAAAAACTAAAATATTCAAAATATTTTTAACACTGGCCCAGAACTTTTACGATTAAGTTGAATTGCTACAATTTGGAATAAAGTAATTTTTCTTTTGCTTTGGTGCAAGTTGCCAATGCTCTACGATACATTGTTTCCTCGTGTGAAATAATTATAAGTGAATCGATTTCTAATTTTGTCTAAATTTGATGAGAAAATAGTATAGGTGTGTTGCAAATCTATGATTTTTGACGGCCTCTACATAGCCAAAAGATGAACATGGGTGTTACCGATGGGTAAAATAGGTGTTTCTATTGTGAAAAAGGCGTTTTCTAAAAGTAAAAGGAGAGTGGCCTTTTATTCTGTCTGTATAGTTCCTGCTGCCTGGTAGCTCGCACTATTTCTTTCGAACATAGCTCAGCTCAGAAGAATGAAAATGTAATTCATTCGCTGGCTTCACTGTGCATTGTTGCGCAAGCCACTAGGCACTAGGCTGTCAGAAAATGCCACTTTGCCAACAAGGAAAGCTAGTTTCTTCCAGTTGCAAATGTCCAAGACTGACGTTTGGCTATGTAAAGGTAGCTAAAAATCATTGAACCCCATCGCAAAAAAAACTTCGCCAGAATCTTACCCCCTGGCCCACTTTCTCCATAATGTTCTCAAAAAAATTTACAAGCAGGGGGAATTAGCCCCAGTCTCTCCTGTGCGTGCTACTGTTGCGTGAAGGTATCATTGCTCGCATCCAGGCATGTTTTTGAACTTTGGAGATAGATGTTACGAAAGGTTGTAAAAGACATAAGCTTGAAAACGGCATAAAAAGCGGGAACATAAAGTCTTACAATTTATCAGTGCTTGTAAGAGATGTTTTTAACAACTCAGTATTTCGTTTGTAGCTTTAACGACAGCCTTCAATTTTTAGGACTGCTTTGTGCTCTCACATTGGTGTCTAGTGTGAGATAGTATTGAAACTTGGCTCTGTTGGATGTTTTTTGGTGATGCTATCTCAAATTCTTCTGGCTCTCGGTTTGTAAAATTGCATGCAGAGTAAGTTCCGAAATCAACGCGATTCAAAGATTTATGTTGCGAGTACAATAAACTTCTTTTATTAGTCACTTTAGAATGAGTGCTCATATGTCAAAGGGTCAGAGGTCATTGTAAATATTGTCACCTAGATGTTTTCTCGTGTGGTCTTAGAAGAAATCAGAAGGATGTTGTGTGTTACCTTGTATCTTGCAATTTCGTCTTCTTTTGAGGATGGGTAGTTTATTAAGAGAGACAAATTAGTTGTCCTTCACCTAAAAACTTTCTGTTGGAAGAAATCCAAAATGCTCACTTTAATCGCTCAGCCCTGGTTATTCTCCCTTAACTCCATTGCTGTACTTGTGCAAAAACTGCAAATGGTTAGAGAAAACTTTTTGCGAATAGGATCCCGAAAACGCCTGAGTTGACCAACCATTAAATTTAGCCTCGTTCTGAGATTTGCTCCAGTAGCCCTTCGGATGTATGGCCTAAAAGCATTTATGAACCTGTAACATAATAAATGGATTCGTAGTTTAGTTCTTGAAGATGCCTCTTCCAAATTTTCGCAATTTAGATGCGGTAGGTACAAACGTTAAAAATATTCTAATTGAGAAATTTGTATTTCACTAGGTTCAAAAGTTGATGTCATTTGTGATTTGTTTCTCTTAGATGAATTGAATGCTGCAACTATTTCATTTGGCTTAAATTTAAGTTAAAAACCGATATCTTTGAGGTATATTGCGGGAAGCTGCTGGACAATAGTAGATATCAGTTCATTCGACATTCATGCTTATATATTAGTTTATTAAGAAATTGTTTTTAGACATATTTTTAAACTCGTAATCAACCTACTTAACATCGACTAATCATTTACAACATACATGATGATAGAAATCACTTACGATATTTGGTAATGAAATAGATTACTGATCATATATTAAAAACATTGGTCATGCCCTCAACCAATACCATAATTATCATTGCATGATGAAATAATCAAGACCAGTGGTGGGTGCAAAACATTTGTTAACTCAAGAAATGGAAAAAATTAGAGGATTAAACTTGAAAAGTAAAGCATGTAAAGGCTTCCACAGTGTCCAGGCTGGGACATTGTGGTGCTTATGCTTATAGATACGCTAGACTTTTTGTGCTCACACCTGACCCACAGTATCAATCGAGTCATGCATATTATACTTTAGTAATGTATATATGGGCATCAATGCTTGCAGCTTAAATGCTTCTGCTCACAGGTTGCTCTTAATAATGTGCCTTTGGTCACAGCTATGCACCTGCAAAATCATACATGTTTCAAACCTAGAGCATTTGCTCTCGGCTATACTTTAGATGGACAACAATATGGTACAGCCAGGATCTATTGCCTTCACATTTAACACTTCACACTCAAATCATGTCTATCATTTCAAAAATGTATATTTATTTCAGTCATGTTTATATGAGCTCAAATAATGTTGTTCACAGCTCATATGCCTTCCCTTGCAGGTCCTAGGTCATACCTCATAGTGTGTTATTGCTTGCAGCTAAGATTAATCTAGGTTTTTATAATCTGGGGTATACCTTCTTCCAGCTTTCCAGATTCTTATAATTTGTCTTTACTCAAAACTAAAATAAACTTAATCTTATCCTTCCTTCAGCTTTGCTATTAGTCTCCAGGCATTTTTTAACATAACCAACTTAAAAAGGCTAAAAGCTGATATGTATTTAATGTTTTTATCCAACCTTCAGGAGATATTAGGTCTTAACAAGATCTCATTTGCACTTGTTCAACCTTTTCAGATGTGGCTGGACAATTTAAACTATAAAGTGCTAAAAATTTTTTTCTGTACAGCATAAGATGCACTCATTTTCTATCTGCAGTGCAAAATCCATATATGTATGACTAGCTTATGTACAATCAATCAAAACTCCACAGAAGAAACTCCATGAAAGCACAGAGATCTTTAATTCAAAATTTTCATCAGATTTCACATTATGTATTTGGTTTGTATCCTTTACACTAAGGTAGAGATGCAGAGCTGCAGACATTTATATGTATGCAGGTAAATTGCTAATTAGATGATTTATATTTTTATGCATCGAATGATAACTTGAGATTTTTGTTTTAGAATCCAATTGAGCCTATGCAGATTGACCTTCCTGAAAATGAAGGTGGGGCTCCTGAGGAGAACTTTGTGGTGGAATTTCCAACATTGGTAATTCAAATTCATTTTCTATACAGCCATTTTAAGAATTTTGTTTGATGACATACTCTTCTCCCTGATAAGTTACTTTTTTCTTATAAATTTTATCTAGAAAAGCATTAACTACTGTTTTGTATTGTCATTGAATGTCTGGACTTCCAAACAATATTAAAAACCTTATTTTTTCGTGAACATTGATCTCAAGAGAAATTTAATCTTTTAATGCCTGTCAAAGACCATGCTCAATCAAAGAGTGGCCATTGTTTTTAACAAGCAATTGTTGTTGTCTCAAAATATTTATCAGTTCTTGTGACATTACCTATTTACCCTAAATCATTAAATTAAGCCTCTGGGGCTTATTAATTTAGTCTTGTTATAAGAAAAGGACAAAGAAGTTGATAATTTCATTGTCTTCAGTGATCTCTTTGTCAATTTCCATTTATTTACCTTCTTTCATTGGCTGCATAATGTGATCCCAATCATGGACAAAATTGGTTTATCATTCTGTTGTCAAATTATTACTCTGTGGGGCTTACACAAACACATAAATTGGCATATAAGGGTGAGAGCTTAATCAAAAGTGAGGGGTGATTATTCTAGGGTGGGGAAATTTTGAAGGGAGCTTATAAATGGGGGGGGGGAATGAGAAGTTTTACTGTATTTCCATCTGCATAAAATCTATCTCAACTGACTCATTAATTTCCCATGAAATTTGTATGTGTTTCTACTTATTTTCTTCAATTTATTGCAAATGCAAAAAGCTGCCCCTGTCTGTTAGGCTGTATTCGCATTGCACAATCTTTTTTTGCACCGTATAACACATGCCAATTTCTGCATAACTAATCCTTTGCTGTGTTCAGACTGCAGAAATTTTGACAAACGGGAACCAAAATGATTAGGCATGGTAACTTTTAAGTTAGCGATCAGTTAACTTGCACACGGAAGTATGCAAGATTGATTTCTTGATGAACTGTTCATTTCGAAAGTGGAGAAATGATACCCTAAGCATTGTAACAGGGTTTTACTACTAATTACTGAGCAGAAATCACAGAAATAATGCAGTCACAAGATTTGCTCCCTAAACTTCCTATAATTTTTTGATAATTAAAAGGAACTATAAAATGGAAATGAAATGGATAAATGGCAATCCTGTATTTCAAATTCTTTTCAAGGATAAACATGAAAGAAATTACTCCAAAGCTCAAGCAGAACAAAAACTCCAAATAAAGATTCATTTTGATTTGAAAAACTGATTGAACAAGATATTTCTTGGCAGTTCTCTAGTTTTGTTAATTAGATGGATTCTCAATCTCTTGTTTTCTCAATGCCTTGATAGGTTATTGTGAGTACTAAACGATTCATTTTGAAATTATTGTATTCTTATCTTAGGCTAAGAGGGGCAACTTTAAAATATAGCTGTTAGACTGAAGGGGCCGAACATCAAAGCAACTTCCATAACACATGCCCCACCCATGCTTTGACATCAGTTATCAATATGATACATTTTTATATGAAAAAATTTCAGAACTAACTTCTCCTTTCATTAGTTTACTTTGATGTTTTAAATTTTTTAACATACAATTTAGATACCAAAAAAACATAAAACACCAAATAAACTACACAATTATCATAATGAACAGAAGTTTCAATTTCTATGTTTTGGCTCAAGCATGTTTATAGTTATGAAAATTTATAAAATGGAATGTAAATAAAAATTTTTACAATTAAGAAGTATCATAGAGTTTTTAGATGGAAATAGTTTATTTCTCACTTGGTCTCTTTTACTTTATCTACTATATGACTGTTAAATCTTTGCTACTATTGTTCTGCTCTTTTCTTTGATCAAAACACTTTATTGGCAGTTTTCTTCTTGCTTACAATTGCACTGCATTTGTACTGTTCTGTTTCAAAGTTTCATGCTTGTTTAGCAGCCAGTTTTCTGCATTTCAGTGATATTTATTGAGGAACTTTACAAAAAAGTTCTTGTAATTCGAAAGCTTTGCAGTGAAGAATTGATGTTATTTATTTGTATTGCTTATGTTTTTACCTCTCAGGACCTTGATGTGTATGCATCCAGCTACAAGGGAGTAACCAAGTTACAGCGTTTGTTGTTTATTGCAAATCATTGTCCAAGTTTAGCTGCTGATGCTATGAGGTGACATTTCTAATTAATTACAACATAAAATTTTTATTTTAATCTTATCGTCCCTGCTCATTCTTTGGTGAAGTAGGCTATCAAGCTCAAGGTGTGATTTTCACCACAGTTTTCAGGTGTAACGCAACACAAAGTATGGAATGAAAATAATCTTCAGCCTAGTAACATGCTATATCAGATGTTCACGTCAACAATCAAATAGAGAAAATCTGGCAGATGATTTGTTTGTATTTGATCACTTAGCTGAACAAATTGTTGAACCAATTTTACTCTGAATGCATGAAATCATATTAGGCACTGTGAATCCAAGGCTCTTAAACTGATGCATCCAGGTAAATGTTTCATAAAATTCTCAATGCATTTGCCCACCCTTTCTCCAAACATTGGGAGGTATGCAGACCTTTTATAGTACATTTTTATATGAATTATTTGCACTATCTGACCTAATGGGAATTCTATAGATAAAAATTGTATTTTTTTGTTGTTTTCAGATTGGCATCTTCTGCAGTAAAATCAACACACAATTTAGACATGTATAAAGAAATTGCAAGAAAATTAGCAGAAGTAAGGTACTGAGGATTGGCATCATTTTACATTTAATCCAATGCCTTTATAGTATTCTTATTATGAAATCTATTTCACTGCCTTCTTTTTCAATAAGTACCCATCATATGTAATGTTTAAATACACCGTTTTAGTTCATGTTTTCTTTTAGTTTGTTCTTTGTATCTCTTTATTATTTTTCACTGACCTAGGGAGTGAATTTGTTCTGAATCCTTTTCAGCAACCAGGGATCAGCTGAATCAGCTGCTGAGGGCCAGGGCTATGCATCTGGACTAGATCAGTCATGGATTGACACAACTGAAAAGAAAGCTCAAACCAAAGTAAGTTTTAAAACAGCATCATTAGCTCTTCGTATTATTGAAATGAATAAAAATTCAAGTTTGATTAATTGTACCATTCGATTTTTTATATTGGAATCTCTGGTTAGAAAAGTTGTATTCATATAAAGATGTCTCTTTCGTTTTAGCTTGAGAAATTGTCAACAGATTTGAAGTACTACAAAACTAACTCCATTAAAGAAAGTATAAGGTAAATATTGTTTGGTACTTTTCTCATTGCGAATTGACTTATTAAACATACTTTTGCAAGAGGTTATTGTCATCAATCACGTAGTTCGAAACTGAAGCCTTATTTTGCTTATGTTGAATTGGAGGGGGATGGTGGGGGTTGGGGCCTCTGGGAATTTTTCGCATGAAATTACCTTTTCTTGGTCGTTTGATTTTAAAAGCTAGGCTGTACAATAAATCCCTGAATAAGCCCCCAAGAGGTTGTTTTGAAAAAATATTTTTGGGTGGGGGCTTGTTTGAAGGCGGGGCATATACAGCAGCTGCCAAAAATATCAACAGGGCGAATTTTCTTGTTCTATATGCTTAGCGTAGATATATAGGGATTGGGCCTATTGCTGTCGAATCAACATCGCAGCCTATAGAGACGTTTTCGAGGGTGGGGGCTTATTTCACGGAAAACTCTTTAGGGCGGGGGGTTATTTGAGGGGGTTATTTGAGGACCTACGGTAGTTTGGAATTTTGACAGGGATTTTTATGCAAAGTCAAAATATATCAACTTCGCAAATTTTACCTAGATGAAAGGTTAGCATTTATAAGCAGGGAGCCAATCAAACGTGACCTTCTTCTTCTCATGTTAATTTCGATCCACACAGGTGTGGCCTGGATATCAATTTTCAGCTTACTTTCAGCTTACAAAAAGAATTTGAGTATGTTGTGTTTCAGCTTCTTCATACTATCTTCAAATTTTATGTGTTTCATTGTTTTTCAGACGCGGAAACGATGACCTTGGAGACCATTATTTGGATTGTGGCAACTTAACGTAAGGGCTCATACCACCTTCACTTTCATCACCACCTTAAAAATGATGTTGTAACTCAAGTTATTATAACGTGCTTTTTGAGACTGTCAAAAGAAAAACTAATTTCAGCTGGATGCAGGGTATTTTCAAATTGTCACAATGCTGGTAAAATTTTAAAAAACACAAATAAAAATTTTGAAAATACAAAGATATTAGGGACATTCGGGATACAAAGATTTCTAAAGATGATATAGGTATAAGGGAACATTCGGTTGTTTTTTCAATCCAACCCATTTCAGTTAAATTATTGTTTTTCATCAAATTTTAGCAAGCACCAGACTGCGTTCTGTGATCTGAACTAGTCTACTTTTTACTTCTTGTTTCATGTCGCTGTTTTTGCTGTAGGAATGCGTTGAAGTGTTATTCACGAGCTAGAGATTACTGCGTCAGCGCAAAACACACGATGAACATGTGCTTAAACGTTATCAAGGTTTGTACTTGGCATTCATATTCTTGTGAAGCAATCGCTTTAGCAAAACCTAATCGGATGTTATATAAGTGATTCCTTTTTGATTCTACAGAATTGTTCTTCTTCTCAGTGATATAAATTGTATTCAAATGGAAGTTGATTTTGATAAATAAAATTAGTAAAGTCTAGTAAAATTAGTATTTACAGTCATTGCAAATAAACTCAATGCCCTCTAGCAATAATTTATAGAAATAATTTTTTAAACTTAACAGATATTCCCTTTTTTTCAAGGGAACTCAATCATACCTCTCTATGTTATTAACTGTATGCGAATTTTACGGACCTATGATTTATTTTGTTGCCGCTATGAAAGATCGTTAATCATTTCGCAATGTGATGATTTTTGAAAAGTAACCAAGTAATAATCTGTAGAGAGCTGTTCTGTTTCAGCACCGTAGAAAAGAAAGAATTGTTGGAGTGGTACCGTTTTTCGAGAACAATAGAAACGAAAGGAATTGTTTCCCTTCCTCCACCTCCCCCTCCACCCCATCCCAGTAATGGCTATGATTTGATTAGCTTCGAATCATTTTTATTACATATCTTGCATTTTAAGATGATGTTTGTAATCTATTTCTATTAAAATCTCTAGGTCAGTATCTTTCTTCCAAATTGGGCCCACGTTCAAACATATGTCAACAAAGCAGAGTTAATACCTGATCTCAATGAGGTAAGAATGTTCACTACATTTCTATCTGTTAAAGATATATTTTCGCATGTTTTGTTTGTTTATTAACACTGGACAAGATATCACAAAAAGCCAGCACTCTTCTCTTTGTCCACACTCTATATATTTATTCTTTTCCAGTCTTTTTGCTTTTATTTTGCCTTTCATTCATATTTCTTGTACCGAAAGTGGATTAACCTTAACCAATAAACACCCCCCTCCCCCAGTGTTGCCACCCAGAGCGTTACCAAGATGCCGTATGCTTGTAATCACCTCCACAGTTGTCAAAATATGAACCAGCTCTACTCAAGCGTATAAGAATTTATTTAGTGAGAATAACACATAAATTTCAGATCCTTACTTATACGAAGATCACATTTGACAAACCAAACACACATGCCAGCAAAACAGAGGGTGCACATGACAGAACGAGCGTTGCTAATAGAGGGCGTTGTTAATAGCTGCTAAAGACCGGAATTTCTGGAATAACACGACTTTCAACGTTTTAAAATGTCACCCATGGCACCCAAACAAAAAAGAACTCACAAGAAGAATCTGGAATTGACATGATGCAAAACGATGGTCGTTGTTCTTACTCTGAAGTAGAGCAGTCTTGACCATTACTTTGACTTTGAGATTAGGATTTTGTCCGGGCTTAAGAACCGTTGTTTTCTCGTATTTCAATGCCTCCTTTTTGGGAAATACACAAAGTCAAACATAGGGTACTTATTACCATGAGCAATAAATTGTTGATAAGATATGTTTGTGATTTTGAATGTTCTTCTCATCAAAGCAGAAAGAAAAACCATATAACCAAGGGTTTCTATCGAAGCTGAAATGCGCCGCTGGTAAATATACAGTACCTTATTTTTTCATTGTGTTGGATTGTTATTGTTTTAGCATAAGCACGGGGGTTTGCCTGGGAAAACAATTACGTCAAAAAGTTTTATGACCCTGTGTTGGAATGAAATTCTTAAAACATGATACCTGTGGTGAACTAACATTCACAAAAAGATACTTGTTCCTGGAAAATGAAAAATGATACCTTTATTTAGATCCTTGATTTTTCGCCTAAAAATGATTTCACTGATTAATAATTTTGTAGATTTTGGACAAAAACTTTATATTCATGACAAGTCTGACCTGCCCTGGAATAAGTATCTTCAGTGGGCATAACTGTACCGGAAAGAAAAGGCAATAGGTGTTATCCTGTCCTGGAATATTCAGCCAAAAACGAGACCCTGTTGGCAGGCACCCACGTGTAGTCTGTTTATTCAGTACACCCCCAGGAACTTCCAAGCATTAGATCGCTCACAGCTAGATGATTCTTTACAGTTCTGCAACTTCTTTGTTGTTATTAACCCTGGTACTACTGATTTAACTTTTCATCTTGTCTTGCTAGGCCTTGCTGAACTTGCGAAGAAATCATACAAAGCCGCCGCTAGACTGTTCCTTCAGGCTTCTTTTGACAACTTAGATTTCTCTGAGGTTCGTTTCCATTTGTAATCCCCAGGTTGTTATCATATTCTTCAAAATTTTGCAAGTGGAATGATATATTACTCAATGATACCACATTGAACATGAAATTACTCAGTTGGTCGTTTTATTTAACTTGAGGCCCAATTACCGTAAATCCTCGAATTAGCCTCGAATATTTGATGGGGGCTTATTCGAGGGGGGGCTTATACGAGGAGGGGGCTTATACGGGGGGGCTTATACGAGGGGGGGCTTATAGAATTATTGTTGACATTAAGAAGACATTATTAAAGGACCTTGTTTATTTTAGTAGAGATTTCTTTATGAGCATTTAATTAATTACTACCAAAAGTATGAATTTGTTGTGGTAATTCAATAAAACGCCATAGGCAACCTCAGATGGCAAAAATCATCAAATTGAGGGGTCCAATTCGAGAATATACGGTAGCAGTGGGGGCTGATTCGAAGGGGGGGGGCTTATTGACAATTTGTAGTTCTAAGGTGGGGGTTTATTTGAGGGGGGGGCTTTTTCGAGGGGGGGGGCATTCGAGGATTTACGGTATCAATATTTGTTTCTAGAATAATGCTATTTTTTTTAAAGATATCCATTTTAGGTTATTAAATTGCTGCAAAATTTTATCAGTTGAGACAAGCTAAAATAAATGCGAGAATCGATTTGTTAGGCTTCCTTTAACAAGCTTTTCTCTACTCGATGGCAATGACCCAACTTGCATCATAGAAACCCACACTCTTAACACATCATGCACTAAGCCTATTATAATACAATTATTCCGAATACCAACTGTGAGGTTATCTAGAAATAAGACAACAATTTGAACGATAGACGAAATATCAAACAACAGAGAAATTAAGAGAACTGTACTCAAGGAATTTCGCTTTCTATCTACCGACATTTTATCTGGCGACATTTTAATCGAATGGTGTACAACTATTTCATTTTATCTACCATAGCTACCATTCGATTAAATATACAAAATGACATACTTAACTAGAGTCAATAACCTGCAGATCTAATGGTAAACCGCTACAGTATAATCCGGTTATGACGTATTTTAAGGGACCAGCGTATTAAGTACGTTATATCCGAAGTACGTTGTAACGAGGGTAAGTAAAAATTGACTAAAACCAAGCACACCTTTTGCCTGGACCAAGCACACCAGTACTTTATATCCGAAAGTACGTAATAACCAAGTACGTTATAACAGGATTCTACTGTATACCCGCTGGTATATTGATGCATATGATAACAGACTCAAAATTTCGACCCAAGCAGCAAAGAATTTTGAAGTCATACAACCTTCATGGCCAAACTTGCACGCAAGAAATATTTAGTTTGAATTTGTTGCTCTTTAATTTCCCTCTATCTTTCCATCTATGTTTACTTGATTCTTTATTGTTTTATGTAATTAAATATAATTTTTTGTTTATTTTGATTTATTGTCAATGTATTCTGAATCTGAAGGTGGTTTCTGCTCACGATGTTGCAATATATGGCGGCCTTTGCTCACTGGCAACTTTCGACCGACAGGATTTACAGAAGAAAGTTTTGTCAAGCAGGTGTGACTTAGTGCTGTTACCTTTTGCCTAATTATTTACATTTGCTCCTTTAAATAACCTTTTGCAGACCTTAATGCAGTCCAAAGGTTAAAATTGGATTTTACTTGAGAAGACGTTTGTGCAAGACCTTTTAAAAGCAAATTAAAAGCCCCGGAGTTTGAAATTTTGCTTCGTAACTTGTTTAAATGTGTAATCATATAGTTTAAGCTATAAGCAAAGAACTTGAGATGCAAAATGTAAAACTGAATCATATACGAGATCTGTCTAAGCAGATGATTTAATTTGGCAAAGCTCGATAATTCATTAAACCCAAAGTCTTATTTTCATTCGATTTTAATTTTTTAAGAAATTTCTCCGAAAAAAGCTATTTATTCAACTTTTGAACGAGTAGAACCTTTCTTGTTCCTTGTAAAAAATCTATTACAAACTCTTATCTGTTTTTCTTTACTTTGCTCTTTATCTCGTTCTTTTTTAATTTGTTTCTTTTGTTTTTGACATTTTCTTGCTTATTCCTTGCTTTTTCTTCTTCTCCTAAATCTTAAATCTATCTTGAATGGAAAATTTGAGAATTGAGCAGTTTAATTGTTTTACAGGGAAGGCCATTCAAATTTTGCTTGATTTCAGCTATGTTTGCCCATTTATGACATCAAAATCTCTACTGATGTGCAATATTTTTTTCTCCTTTAAGCTCATTTAAGCAGTTTTTGGAGCTAGAGCCTCAACTTCGAAATATTCTTCATAAATTCTACGACTCACAATACGCAGAATGCTTGAAATTATTAGGCGAAATGAAGGTACGTAACTCATCTTTTCTTTATACAATTAAGCCACATTTGAACATCAGACATTATATACTCTGAGGAATGTCAGACGAAAAAGCTTCAAGAATGTTGTAAAATGATTGCCTTTTTCAAAACCATTTTAAAGTTATGTACAGCCATGAAATTGTTTAGCTACATATGTTGTGCTTTAATTTAGTTAGTTTTTTTGCATCAATGACTTCTTTAATCGTGAAATCATTTTTTGAAGATTTAGAAGACATCAGGTGCTTTGTTATTCACATGCTCTCTCTCTCTCTCTCTCTCTCTCTCTCTCTCTCACTCTCTCTCTCTCACTCTCTCTCTCTCTTTTTCTCTTACAACAGTAACCTTGCATCGACTTTCAGCATTTCACTTTTTAAAGAACCAATAGAATTAGAATTTCGCTAGTGACTTGCTAATTTACATTGTATCGTCTTCTTTCAGTTTATGTCCCTGTATTTGTCGAATTTCTCAAAGTTTTTGAACAGGGGTAAAATATTGGCGGGGGCAAGCCTATTGTTTTAATTAGATGACGTCACATTTCCCATTGTTTTGGAATAAAAGACCATTGTCCTCTAAAGTATTGGGGACGTTCGCCCCCCCAGGTGTCCGCCACTGTTTTTAAACACCCCTAAGAAGTCAAAATGATATTGATTAAAAATCATGCGAGATTTAACTGCTAATGAACTATCAGGCCTGTGTCGATTTTTGTCAGATTATAAATAGGCCCTTCTATAATCCTTAGAACTCCGTAATAAAATCCATGGCTGTTGAACGTAACCATAAAGTAAGAATAATTTTTTTATTTTCCAGGACAACCTGCTGCTTGATATTTATTTATCTCCACACGTGAACACGCTTTATTCAGAAATAAGAAAAAGGGCACTCATCCAGGTATGTTCTGTTGGCAACATAAGTTTCTGTCACTTTGACTTTGCTACCATATAAGAGGTTAGTGGGCACTGCAGTGCTCTGATTGGTCAATAAAGAGCCAATCAAAACGCATTTTTTATCCTCTGTAGTCATTTTCCTTACTATACAACTTATTTGAGTAAATATTCAATGAAATATTAATTCGTGATGCTAGGAATTGAAAATTTACCTTCAGTCTGTTTTCATCGCCAGTATTTTAGCCCATACGTCTCTGCTGACCTGAACAAAATGGCGGAGGCTTTCAATACAAGTATATCCTTGTTAGAAGACGAATTAACCCAACTCATTCTCGACGGGCAAATATCGGCGCGAATAGACTCTCAGAAAAAGGTAATTTTTAGTTTTTTGTGTCGATAGCAGCAAATTATCAAGTTAATTTATAAGAGGATTATTCTTGATAGCAGTTCAGCAAAACCCTAAAACCTAGCCCCCTCTCGTATAAGCCCCCTCCCGCCTCATTTATGCCCTACTCTAATCGAATAAGCTCCTTCCCCTCATACAGCCCCTTCTTCTCGAATAATTCCCCTTTTTCTTCGTATAAGTCCCTCTGTCTCTGCATAAACCCCCTTTCCCCATTTGGGCACCCCTCAACTTCTCCTCATCCCAAAATGTCCGTAATAAATACGTCCTCATTAGTATAATTAGAGAGTTTACGGTATCCATTAATTAAGAAGAGGCTGCTATCTATTATTGTGATATATAATCCTGTACTATAAAGCTGGTTGAGTGTTCGTTATTTTGTGCATTTTCTTTTAAAGATATTATATGCTCGAGATATCGATCAACGAAGTAGCACTTTCGAAAAGGCCCTTTCCATGGGACACGAGTACCAACGGAGATGCAAGGTAATTCATTTCTTTAATTTCTTGCTGATAAGTCATATCAAATATTGGAGTAATTTCAAACAATATATATTCTGCACTAGTTATTTCATGTTATGAATTTTGATGTCTAATTTCTTACAAATAGCTCTTTACGTTTTTGGTATATAGAACATGACGGTTCAAGTTGCTATTCTGAGTTTCACGCTTAATGCAACTGTTACATATTATTCTTGTGATCACCAGGCAACTGTTTTCAACCGGTTTTATATTAATGTATTATTTTCTAGTAATGTCTTCTAAAAAAAGTTGTTTTTAATTCACTTCTTTTGGTCACGTTTTGGAAATGTGACACCCATGTAAACTAAATCTTATTGTCATTTTGTCAATCATAAACATTGAAATTTTTTGAAATTGTGATTTTGGCCAAGCAGTTTCACAAACCTTTATGTAAACAGCATCACAGAATTTCTAAACCAATAAAGCTTACCTAAATCCCCTAAAGTATTTCTTATTTTTTCAAAAATTTGTTTTTCAGGCATTAATTTTGCGAACAGTTCTAGTACGTCACCAGATTAATGTCAAGGTTTGTTATCAATTTTCTATCCTTATTCTCAGTGACATCATTTCATTCTTCCTCCGTCTTTCCTTATCTATCTGCATTTCTTTATAAGGAATCTGCATTTTTTTATAAGGAATAAGAATTTCTTTATAAGGAATCTTGTAGAAGCTTACTATTTCTTTCAATACCAATTGCTTCGTGCTAAGTCCACGCTACTTGTGATCCAATTTTTCCGAAGAATCCCATCCTTCGTTACACTGCTCTGACATAAAGAGGTATCCCTCACCCGATTCCCTTCCTTGGCAATTCGCATGGAATTTCTGGCTAAGGCCCTCTTTTACTGGAGGGCTGGCGACGAGTATCACGGGCATAGCTAAATAAAGGGCATGATTGAATATAAAACACCCTTTAAGAATGTTGTCCGTCATAAACAATGCAAAGCAATTTTCTGGTAGGAAATTAATTAAAGGTATAAGGAACTGTATAGTTCACTTAGCAATACATTTTCCAACCCCATCTCCCTAATAAAAATCTTGGTATTGTCCGCAGTTTCTATTAGATTCTTTGTTCTTTTCGTTAACATGTCCCTTGTCTTTATCTCCCTAGCTTCTCTTCCTGGGTCTTATGCATAGCCGCCCAGTCTACGCTTTTCGATCTATGCTCTGACGTTAAAACTCTGAAGAGTGCTTTAGTTTACTCAAATGTTTGCTTTTTTCAAAACCATTTTGAAAACTACTGCCTTGGCTACGGCGATGACTTCATAAGTCACACATCGTTTAATTCGGCCGTTTGTCTTAGTGGAATGATTGTTGTTTTTGATGCAGAAAACTTGGGCTCGATTCTGACCAAGTGAGAAATTAACAATTGATCAGCACCCATGTATATATTTATATGTATAATCCCGTTCAATAGGGAGATTGTTAGTTATCTTATAATAATGTTTCTTTTAAACAGAGTCCTGTGAGAGATGACGACGGCGTTGCGAGATGAGAGTGAGCGAATCGCGATCCTTATGCTTTGATGGCCGTTGCGAAGTACCGGAAGTATTCGACATAGAGAAGTATTTGGTTGTCCGCCAGGGAGGCTACGCAAAGCCCGGACTGACCAAAGATTTGTTTTCCACTTGTAACATTGAAAAAATTTTCTGTATTGAACACTGTTGAATTTAGCAAGTAAACCGACAAAAAAACATAAAATAACAGCTGCATCTCTTATTCTATATACTCTATAAATGCCGAGTTTTCCGTTCATGAGTATGATGAAAAAATCTTTTAGAAATTAAGCTGATTTTTTGACAACAAAATAATCTAGAGAAAATGATACTCGATATAGCAACAAGCCACCTTGAAAATGTTCACCTCAATGCCAAGGTTTGATTTTTTGCAGACTCCCTAGTTTCACGGACAAGTTTAAATCAAATTTTTACTTTTGTCTCTTAAGCAAATCAACATTTTCCTAGGGGAACTTTATTCAATTTTTTCATTCCACTTTCTCGATTTTTCTTGTTTTGTTCGCAAATTATTCAAAGCATGATTCTGGGGATTTCAAATAGACTTTCCTGTTTCCGAAGCAAAAACTTTCAATAAATTAAGCAAGTTTGAAGCATTGTTGTTTTCATCTGCTTCTTTTAGGATGCAAAATCGACCACGAAGTATCCACACTTTTGGCACGTCGATAGTTTTTTGTTCAAATCTAGCAACGCCAAAGTTAAATCATTAATGGGTTGTTCTTCTAGCTACTAGATTAAAGGGCTTGGTGGGCAAAGATTTTTTAAGGGTTCCGCCCAAAAATCGCCTAGATTCATCAAAATGTACAGTGATAGATTTTCCTTATAAATTATATACGATCTAAGATGTTATCTTGTCGCAAAATCGTGGGCCTGAGCCCCACCCCTCCCCAAAATGAAAGCCTGAATTTCCGCCACTGTCTGTCATCAACAGAAAAGATATCCTGGTCATCTTTACTTTATTATCTTTCGCTCTCTACATTCAAAATATTTGACTTCTCTATGGGCTGAGCTGATGCTTCTATTGGCACTTCATAACTTCTCTCAATTATTTTATTCTAACGTTCCAGTGCTTTCAATTTAGACGCCTCAGTAAACCGACAAAAAAACATAAAATAACAGCTGCATCTCTTATTCTATATATTCTATAAATGCCGAGTTTTCCGTTCATGAGTATGATGAAAAAATCTTTTAGAAATTAAGCTGATTTTTTGACAACAACAAAATAATTTAGAGAAAATGATCCTCGATATAGCAACAAGCCACTTTGAAAATGTTCACCTGAATGCCAAGGTTTGATTTTTTGTAGACTCCCTAGTTTCACGGACAAGTTTTAATCAAGTTTTTGATCAAAATTTTACCTCTCTAAAATGTGCATATTTTTTTGTAAAAAGAGCTTCATTTTCCAACTTAAGTTCAAATAAGGCTTCTACTCATCATACTGAAGCGACTTTTTTAGTTAATAGAGAAAAATAATTTCCAAAAAATTTGATGATTTTTCCAAGCCTATAGCCTTAGTTTTTGGTCAAAATTTGACCCCTCTAAACTGTGATTTTTTTTTTAAAAAAAGAGAATCCTTTTCGAACTTAAGATTAGATCAAGCGTTTTCTGATCATACTAAAGCGAAATATTCAGTTTTTAGAGGAAAATAATTTCCAAAAAATTTGATGATTTTTCCAAGCCTATAGCCTTAGTTTTTGGTCAAAATTTTACCCCTCTAAACTGTGATTTTTTTTTTAAAAAAAGAGAATCCTTTTCGAACTTAAGATTAGATCAAGCGTTTTCTGATCATACTAAAGCTAAATATTCAGTTTTTAGAGCAAAATAATTTCCAAAAAATTTGATGATTTTTCCAAGCCTATATATAGCCTTAGTTTTTAGTCAAAATTTTACCCCTCTAAACTGTGATTTTTTTAAAAAAAAGAGAATCTTTTCGAACTTAAGATTAGATCAAGCGTTTTCTGATCATACTAAAGCGAAATATTCAGTTTTTAGAGGAAAATATTTTTCAAAAAATTTGATGATTTTTCCAAGCCTATAGCCTTAGTTTTTGGTCAAAATTTTACCCCTCTAAACTGTGATTTTTCTTTTAAAAAAAGAGAATCCTTTTCGAACTTAAGATTAGATCAAGCGTTTTCTGATCATACTTAAGCGAAATATTCAGTTTTTAGAGGAAAATAATTTCCAAAAAATTTGATGATTTTTCCAAGCCTATAGCCTTAGTTTTTGGTCAAAATTTTACCCCTCTAAACTGTGATTTTTTTTTTAAAAAAAGAGAATCCTTTTCGAACTTAAGATTAGATCAAGCGTTTTCTGATCATACTTAAGCGAAATATTCAGTTTTTAGAGGAAATAATTTCCAAAAAATTTGATGATTTTTCGAAGCCTATAGCCTTAGTTTTTAGTCAAAATTTTACCCCTCTAAACTGTGATTTTTTTTTTAAAAAAAGAGAATCCTTTTCGAACTTAAGATTAGATCAAGCCTTTTCTGATCATACTAAAGCGAAATATTCAGTTTTTAGAGGAAAATAATTTCCAAAAATTTGATGATTTTTCCAAGCCTATAGCCTTAGTATTTGGTCAAAATTTTACCCCTCTAAACTGTGATTTTTTTTTTAAAAAAAGAGAATCATTTTCGAACTTAAGATTAGATCAAGCGTTTTCTGATCATACTAAAGCGAAATATTCAGTTTTTAGAGGAAAATAATTTCCAAAAAATTTGATGATTTTTCCAAGCTATAGCCTTAGTTTTTGGTCAAAATTTTACCCCTCTGAACTGTGATTTTTTTTAAAAAAAGAGAATTCTTTTCGAACTTAAGATTAGATCAAGCGTTTTCTGATCATACTAAAGCGAACTATTCAGTTTTTAGAGGAAAATAATTTCCAAAAAATTTGATGGTTTTTCCAAGACTATAGCCTTAGTTTTTAGTCAAAATTTTACCCCTCTAAACTGTGATGTTTTTTTTAAAAAAAGAGAATCCTTTTCGAACTTTAGATTAGATCAAGCCTTTTCTGATCATACTAAAGCGAAATATTCAGTTTTTAGAGGAAAATAATTTCTAAAAAATTTGATGGTTTTTCCAAGACTATAGCCTTAGTTTTTAGTCAAAATTTTACTCCTCTAAACTGTGTCTTTTTTTTTAAAAAAAGAGAATCCTTTTCGAACTTAAGATTAGATCAAGCCTTTTCTGATCATACTAAAGCGAAATATTCAGTTTTCAGAGGAAAATAATTTCCAAAAAATTTGATGATTTTTCCAAGCCTATAGCCTTAGTTTTTGGTCAAAATTTTACCCTTCTAAAATGTGAATATTTTTTAGAAAAAAAAACTTTCTTTTCCAACTTAGGTTCAAATAAGGCTTTTACTCATCAAGCTGAAGTGAATTATTCAGTTATTAGAGGAAAAAAATTTCCAAAAAATTTGATGAATTTTCCAAGCCTATAGCCTTAGTTTTTGGTCAAAATTTACCCTTCTAAAATGTGAATATTTTTTAAAAAAAGATCTTTCTTTTCCTAATTAAGTTCAAATAAGGCTTATACTTAACATACTCAATTTTTTTTTTCAGTTTTTAGAGAAAAATAATTTCTAAAAAATTTGCTGATTTTTTCAAGCCTATAGCCTTAGTTTTTGATCAAAATCTTATCCCTCTAAAATGTCAAAATTTTTTGAAAAAAAGAGCTTTATTTTCCAACTTAGGTTGAAATAAGGCTTCAACTCATCATACTGAAGCGACTTATTTAGTTTTTAGAAAAAAAAAATTTCCAAAAAATTTTGATGATTTTCCAAGGCTATAGTCTAAGTTTTTGATCAAAATCTTATCCCTCTAAAATATGAATATTTTTTGAAAAAAAGAGCTTTATTTTCCAACTTAGGTTGAAATTAGGCTTCAACTTTACATACTGAAGCGACTTATTTAGTTTTTAGAGGAAAAAAATTTTCAAAAAATTTGATGATTTTTCCAAGCCTTTAGCCTTAGTTTTTAGTCAAAATTTTACCCCTCTCAAAATTTCCAAAAAATTCGATGATCTTTTTAGGTCTATATTTTTTTGTGATCAAAGTCTGCGCCTGTAAAATGTCGTTGTTTTCTTGAAGAAAGTTATTTCTTTTCAAAACTAAGTTTAAATATAGCTTTTTCTGATCATACTAAAGTGGATTTATCTGTTTGTAAAAGAAAAAAAGAAAAAAAATCCGATTTTTTTCTAAGCCTAAAGCTCTATTCGATAAGTTTTTCTCTGCAAACTGTCGTTATTTACGTGAAGGAAAGACATTCACTCCAATTGAAGTATAAATCTAGCTTTCTCTGATCATACTTAAGCAAATTTTTTAGTTTAAAGAAGAAAAAATTTCCAAAAAATTCGAATTCGTCGCTTCGGTACTTTCCATGACAAAAGATTGCCTTTAAGTTAAAAGGCCGTAGATTTGAAATCATTTTAATAGAAAAGGCCGAATATTATTTGAGCATCGACATATGGAAAAAATATTTACCTACACACTTACAAAATTGACCAACTTTTTATAGAATTTCATTGATTTTATGATATGAAAAAAGAATTCTAACATTTTTAGATCAAACAAAACTATTGATAGTTAGGGCGTCTACTTTTCTTAGAAGTAAAAGCCTAAATATTTACCAAAAAGGCCGAGTACTGATAGGACCTTTTTCATAATTGTGTTTCTCATTCATGGCGATGTGAAAACAACTTGGCATTTTTACTAATTTTAGTTAGAGCGAATCTGAAGATTGTTAGAGCATCAATTCTTTGTACTAGTAGAAATCTACACACTTACCGAAAGGACCAAACTTTGATCCAAGTTTGTTCATCTCATCAGATGCTTCTGTTGCTTGTAATGATGTAAAATTGCTTTTGGATCTAAAAGCAAAGAGTTTTGACATGTTTTTATAGCAAAAGCTAAAAATTGTTAGAGCAGTTTTTTGGTCAAAATTACCAGTCGATACACGATACACAAATACCTATTTCTGTTCCTTATTTAATGTAGATACGCCCGAAGGCGACAAAGAGAGGCATCCTTTTGAATTTCTATTTCGACATAAGTATCTTCTCCATTTGATTACTAGATAGTAACATGAATTGACCTAAACGGTGAGACACTCCGGGTTAGACATAATCAGCTAGAGATAAGAAAATTAATAATACTTTGAATTAATCATGGGGTTATTAAAGTCCAACGCTTACTCTGTCAAAATGACATTATGTTAGCCTTAATATCAGTCAAGTAGATGAAAGAAATGCTGAAAATAAAGTATTAAAAGACAGAATAGTAGTATAAAAAACAATAATAATCTCTTTATTTACAGTTGGTTTGAACAATAGCTAATATACATAGATAATTATGTAAAACTAATTAATACCAAATATTTATACACTAAAAGGAAAAAGTACAATATAAATCTACATATTTACATAGGTAGTGTCTGACAAACTTGTGTCTGACAGATATGATATACCTGAAGATTATGTTCATAGGATATTGTGCCCTCAGAGCTTTTCGAATGGATCAGTGCAATCGTTATCCCAGTTAATATTCTAGATTGGCCTATTTTTGCTTTTTGGAATTGGCCAAAGTTTCCTGTTTTCCTTCATATGATTTCCAATGGTTATTGCTACCTGTTAAGGCAACTAAGTCTAGCTTTGGTAGATCGTGCAGCGTATTGTTTCGATATTTAAGGAAAAGGTAGATATCAAAGAAAGATATACAATTTCTTACTAAAAAGGCGTTACCTTTTTGTTTGGGTGTAGTCGCTAAACGCCAAGGCAGATTATGTCCAGGCTGCTATTGTCTATTGGCTACAGACCCTCTCTTTTACAGAACTCATTTAGTTCAGTTTTCAAGGCAAGAAAATCTTTTCTATTCTTCCACCTCCATCGTCTCTTATCACTTGCAGAGAGATGACTAGCTTCATTGCAGGTGCTTCTCTCTTGACACGTTCTACAACTCTTTTGAAATACTGCACAGTTTCAACATCATTCGTTATGTCATTTGTTAGTAATCAGCATGGATTATGAGCATGGATCCTGATGGTTTGATGTGGTCTAGTATGCCTTACGATGTCACCCCAGTGTATACCTTGACTTTTATTCGATGTTGTTTGTCAAGGCCATGCTCAGTGATGCCATTCAGCATAAAGTCACCAATCATTACAACGCTTGGTTTACTTTTCTTGTTGCCAATTGACGTTTTGTGCTGGGCTTTGTCTCCACTGTTGTCTTGGTAACAATTATTTGTCTGTGCATTTATTCCCTGGGTGAATCTACGAATGCTATTTTCTTGCCTCGCTGGGGATGCTTGTGCAACCCCCCTTTTGTCTTTTACTTTCTTGCCTTTGCCTTTTTGTGTCATTTCCTTGGTGCTGATCTGGTTTTTTGATATAGAGATTTTCATCTGCTTTGGTCGTTTCAGTTGGGACTGGTATTTCCCACGTTTCTTTTTCACCTGAGGCATTTCTTCGTTTCTTTTGGGTTATTTGTTGCACTTAAGTCTGCGTTTGGTTCTTTATCAATAATTTGTCAATGATTGCCTGCTTTTGGTCTAATTGTTTTTGCAATGATAAAATACGGGCTTCGAGACTCTTGATGAGTGCCCTTTCATAGCTTGGGGCTTCCAGGGGAGGGGATATGCCAGGTGAATGCGTTTTTTCTTGATTTGTTTTGATCAATAATATCTCTGAATGGATTGTTTTTAAGGCACGGAGAAGCTGTTCTTATCGAGCAGTGTCCTGGCTCTTCCTCTCGATGTGACCACAACTCGTGATTCCTAAGCCAGTTAATACAGAGAGCTGGCGACTCTTCTCACTCTAAGTGAGGGTTTGGTCATGCTATTGCCAGGGACTCGAACAGTGGCGTGATTCCATCGAATAACAGAGACAGCCTTGAAACTGAGATGTTTTTAACGTGTTTATTATAATAAATAGCACAAAAAAATCATAGAACAGATATATCTCCCTTTGTGTACTCGAATGAACCGCCTGGTCGACATGGCCCATGCTGTAAAATCGATTTCTAAAGATCAACATAAATTAACATGTTTTTGGCTTTTTCTCCCTGCGGAAGGAGACTGGAGCTAGTAGATATTGGTCAGGCATCATGCACCAGTCTAAAAGTGGGGGCGGAAAAAGGCGTGACCGAAAAGCTTTTAGGCCACACCCTTTAGAACGCCGAAAAAAGCCCCTTTTAGAAAACACCGTATGATTTATAAACAGTCCGATTCAGGGAAGATGTCAATTACTATGAAAATGCACACAATTCGCTTGAGGATAATTTGACACCAAGCTAACCCAGTTAGAAAACACAGCATATCATTAAAGAGGATAAAACACAAAGAAAATGGACAAAAAAGGTTCCCAGTGAAGAAAAGCTGCTACTACTTAGGAACTGTTAGAGAACGCTTTTTAAAGATGGAAATATTAAGTGACTGTTTAATGTCAGTTGAGATTCCATGTCAGTTGAGATTCCATGCCACAGTTGACATCCTAAGAAAGAAATGCTCTCCATTCCAAACCGAACTGTCCGGCCTTGGGCATTTGTAGAAAATTTTTGCTTCTTAGCTGATAGGGGGGATTTTTCTCAATGAAAATTTCACTCTTAAAGCTTGAGGGGGTTATTTGATTTAGTTTTGTAAATCTCTGTCATCAGCAACTGCAGATTCCGTTTATGCACATACACAGAATTACCTCTCGTCAAAAGTGTATCAAAGTCAGAAACACTTTTCTTCTATGCGATGCTCAGTGCCTTTTTGTGAATGTGGTTGATCTTGTTATCAAGGTTTCTGTCACAGAGCATCCACACGGGCAGTAGCTAAACTGGGATAGGATAAACGCCCGCATGATATGCTTGAGTTTTTCAGTGTCAAGTAAATAGGAAATACGCGAAAAAGCATGAAGCTTTTGGCCTGCTTTCTTGAATAACGATTGTACGTGTGTCTTGAAAAAAAGTTGTTTGTTCAAAGTGACACGCAGCAGTTTTTCCTCTGTGTTTTCTATTATGGTTGTGCTTCCAATTTTTATCGATAGATAATTGTTCTTTTCACCGAAAATCATCAAGTGGCACTTATCGCCATTTAGCTTCACGTAGTTATTCTGAAACCATTCTGAAAGGATTAGGATTTCGCTTTTTAATTTATTGATTACGTTTTCATGATTTTCATTGCAAACATAGTAGATGTTTCATCAGCATAATTGCATATTTTGCAGTCTGTCACAAACATAAACAAGTCATTCAGGTAGATATTAAACAAGAGAGGCCCCAGTACAGATCCCTGCGGTACCCCTACACGTGCTAAAAGATCCATTCGCCTTTACTCTCTGACTTCGCCTACCTATTCAAATATTCTCTGCCTACTCATATTTAAATATTCTCTGCCTACTCATATTCAAATATTCTCTGTCTATTCTCTGCCTATTCAAATATTCTCGCCTACTCTCTGCCTTCGCCTATTCGGTATTGTTGCTTGTTGCAGCAGCTTTGACTTTAAGTTTCTTTTTTGGCCCTTTTGGTCGCACCAGATTCATAAACATTGATCGATGCACTTGAAAACATTACTAGACTTGAAAGATAAACATTCTAAAACCGCTTCACTGAGGAAATCGCTTAGATTTAAGATATCTGTGAGATCCTCGTAAATCAAATATAACAAATTAAATATGGCTCCTTTTACTGATGCCGTGAATGCTTTCAAGAAACGTAAAATTTCATCCAAAAAACCCTTTTTTCGAGAAACTTCATTGGCACCCTTAGTTTTGTGTTTAAAGGTGCACAGCGTGTGTTACGCCACTGGGTTCGAGCTACTGGCCCTTGGACCTGTAGTCAGCGCCTGAATCTTTCTAAATGCTGATACTATGAAGTTATGAATGAACAGGAGTTGCTTATTATAAAACTCGACGGGTATTAGATAATAGTTTTCACAAAAGAGCAATTAAAATCTGTTTTTCGCAAAACATAGGTACAAAATGGAAGAAAACATTAAGAAAAGCAAAATTTCCAAACTAAGACTTGTGAAAAAAGTAACTTTAGAATAAAGAGTTATACTAAATCAATAGAAGTGTCACCCCTATCAAAGCTCAAAAAAATATGGTCGACTTGAAGGATAAAGGGAGTCCGGAGGAGCCTCTATGTTGGACCAGTGAGGAAACTCTTAAAAATGTACCTGAATATGGACAGTTTCCTGCAAGTCTTTGGATAGACAAGCGATCCATATTAACTAACAATAAAATTTCACTAAAAAGGGTCAACGAAAGTGTGAAGGAATTCCTCAAATACCTGCATTAACGGGGCATTTGTGGTACCTGCCGATAACGTCCTAAAGGAGAGCATCTCTGAAATTGAGATTTGGCATCAGTTATTATTATCATTGTTATTATTTACGTCCTAAAAGCTGACTTCTATTTTCCAAGCTACCAGTTTGGTTATCGTAGTGATTAGTCGGTAAGTCAAAACCAAGGACCGTCGAGCATATTCAGGATTGACCATGTTAAAAACCTAGATCAGGGCTATTTTTGTATGCTTTTGAGTACATTCTGGACATAACTGGGGGCTATAGCTCCCTCAGCCCCCCTACCGCTTCTGATGTCCTTGGTCAAAAGCCCTTCAACTCCCTCCGCCGGGTTATTTGTTTTAGTAGCGAGAAAAAGGGCAAACCTAAGCAAAGTCAAGATCAATGCTATATTTTGCAAGGACAATGGGGCAACGGTTTCTGTGCGCTCCCGTGCAGCCACCGGCGTCCGTGTTTCAAAGAAATTTTTGCCCGGAAATAAGTTGAGTTGTTTCTGAAGAAACAATTTTTCAACTTGAAAACGAGGCGGAACAATCATAGGACACCTTGGCCTAAGGTATGGGACATGTGGACTGCAGGCAACATGAGTTTTCGCTTTAGATAACCATGTCATTAGAACCATAATACGGTAAAACATGTTCGTGGTTTTAAGGAATTGTAGCTGCCCAAGAGGTAAATCCTTGATTTGACATTTTCGTTTACATTTACGTTTGAAATTCGTAACAGTCCGGATGTTTGTTGTGTTGTTATTTGAGTTTTTGTTATGTAAGTTGCCGCGAAGATTGTGTTCAAGTATACACAGATGCAACCATGTAAACCTAACGATGTAAGCTCTATTGTATTGGCTTGGTAGTATTTTTTTCTCTAATAATCTGAACAATTTAGAGTTTGCTCAGGGATATTTAGGGTTCCCTGGATTTTATTACAAGATAAAACTGTGCTTTTGACACAAAATTTGCGTTACTTTATTTATTGTTTGACACATCATCTCATTTTTTTCTTTATAACATGCTGTGTGCAAACAATAGCACGGCTAAAAATAAGTTTCTGCCATATATACAATCCTTAACACCCCCTTTTTTTATAAGAATGTATTCTGTAAAATGTAGAGGCCAAAAATCACTAAAATTCAAGAATAATGCGAGGCTCATCCAAGCCTCACCCAAAAATTGAATTTTCTGTTTATTAGAGTTTTTTGAAATGCAAAAGAAAGGCCAGTTTCAAGCTTATTTGTTTCGAAATAGAGGTATCTGGCCCTGGAGTCATTACAAAGGCCCAGTTTTATCTTATAGTCCTTATGAAGTACATTCTATTAAGGAAGAAATACTTATTTAGTGTGTATACAATCAAATGCTATTTCTTGAATTCCATCAATAATCACTTAATGGATATTGATAAAGCCCCATATCCTAAAGGAGACCAAACATCACAAACTGATAACAAGTGAATTTTTTGATATTTTAGACAAATAGATATAGAAGTGATATTTTGTATTTGTATTTTATATTTGTTTCTACCTAGTATCAGAAGGTTGTTTTTTAGGACACTTAGAAGCTTATACTTATCGGGCAGTGTCCTGGTCCTTCCTCTTGATGTGACCATGACTTGTGATTCTTTCCTCTGGAATTACAGAAAGCTGAGAAACTCTCTCACTCTGGGTGAAATTTTTGGCATGTCAGGGACTCAAACCATGGCCCTTGGGATCTGTAATCAGCGCCTCTAACAACTGAGCCATCCTCACAACTAATAGGCTTGCCCCCCAATAGGATAACCCCTTTGGCAGGGGGATACTTGCTCAAATATTGAGGGGTAAGCCTATTGTTGTGATAAGAGGATGTCACATTTTCCCATTGTTTTAGAACGAAAGACCTCCAAAGTATCAGGAGGGGAACTGCCCACCCTCACCCCCCCTAGGTAACTGCCAGTGCTCCTTGGTATACAGGCCTAGCAATTTGTGACAAACATAATTAAAGGCGGAGGGGGTTCAGCTGTTAATGACCCAGTCCCATGAACTGGGATAACAAATTTTTGTTGATGACTTACCAAATTATATTTTTTTATTGAAGGTGTTACATTTCTGCAAGCCCCAAAGAACTATCTAAGACCAATGAGATCATACTACAGATTTCAAGGATTGTCCCACTGTCTGCCTTCTAAAGCAAGATATAAGCACTCACAGGTACAATATAACACTTTATATGATATAGAAATAACTGTATGCACTTATTGTTATCATTGATGAAAAGTTTGTCTGTGTGGCTGGCAATAACTTTTTACTAAAGTCAAGTGCAATATTATCATTACCAAGATAAGATAACAGAACTAAGATACTAGTCTAACTAAAACTGTTCCACACAGAATTGGGATGCAAGAAGGGAGATAAACATAGGGGTTTTAGTTAGACTGTCTTAGTTCTATTATTTTATCAATGTCATTACTAATAGACTGAAGGCTTAAACAAGGGGCAAATTGAGCTAAATTGTTCTTTGTGTTCATTTATAGTCAAGGCTGTGACTCTAATCAAAAGAAAAAAACTGGAGATGGCAGATGGCTGGAATGTGTATTTTTGATATGTATCACTATATCATGAAATTTGCTTTTTCCAGAATCAAAACTGAAATGTTTGAAATAAGAAAAAGTTTTATTGACAGAGGAGCAATAAAATTACTTATATATATTTACCGAGAAATTACTTCTATATTTACTGAGAATCAGTAAGACCAGTGTGAATAGCTGTTTTCTACAGAATTCAATCAAGATTTTAGTTAATTGTATTACTTTTTCTAAAGAGGAAACTAATCAATGGTAATAAAGATAGTGGAAAAAAGATTTTTTGCAAGAACTGGTTTTCAATAATCATCAATCTCAAGGGTTATGATTTTAGGTCTTAAAACAAGCTGCCAGCTCAGTGGATGCAATCCAGTCCTTCCCAAAAGAGGAGAAAGTGCTGGTTGATGATGTCAAATCAAAAGAAGAGAATAAATGGGTTACAGCAACACCTGATTTGAAAACAAGAATAAAACTTTATTTGAGATTATCAAAAGCAAAGTTATCAAGTGAGTATTTCTGGGTCATTTTCCTACAGTTTTTTCATTTTTTTTCATAGCAATCAAGCCCTCTTTGCCCTACAAATGTTAGTTTCAGAGTGATGCAGTTTAGATGTCAAGTACTTAAAAGCAAGCAAGCAAATTTTGTTTTCAAATGCAGTAAGGGGTTGTGGTAGCTAATGTTTGCTAAGTGAACCTGCAACTTGTGCCTCATAAATGATATTCTAAAACTAACACCCTGGGTACTTCTTTACCAACCTTGAAAGGATGGACAGGTGTGTTTGCTGGAGGCTTGTAGAAAGATATCATAACAGGACTTCAACCCACGACCTTCAGATCATGAGACCGACACCTTGACCACTTTTCCACACTAGCCTCTTTAAGTTAGCAGATATTTTTTGACAGGTTTCATTTTGGTGCTGAAGTTTTTGCTGATGCATATTTTTATCAATTACAGGTTTTGTCGTAATATCTGCAATGGCAGGTTATGCATTGGCACCTGGTTCATTTGATATTGTGGGTTTTAGTTGCCTTGCAGCAGGTACTTCCTTGTGTTCAGGTGCTGCTAACTCCTTTAACCAGGTAGGAATGCCTTTTCCCTCCACATTTGCAATTAAAATTTTTTGAACAGTTTTTTCAATTTTATCTGCAGACATAGTAACCGAAACAGAATGCTTACTCTTTTTTCAAATACAAAATTAATGGTTAGATGTGTTTTAATTTCAGTTCATTGAGGTACCATTTGATTCCCAGATGTCCCGCACAAGAAACCGTGTGTTGGTACAAGGTCTCTTGCAGTAAGTCATGTTACATCTTTAATAGATGCAAGAATGACTCAGTTGTTATGGTGACAGACTACAGATCCAAGAGTTTGTTATTCCAGCCACTGACCTTACAAAGCCTTCACTTAAATTGAGGGGTGTCATCAGCTCTCTACTATTCATTTATGAGGTATGAATCACAAGGTGTGGTTAAATCTAGAAGAAGTACCAGGACACTCCTCATTGAGCATAGCTTCTCTCGGTGTCCTGAAACCTACCTTTGGAAACCTAGGTAGTAACAAATACACACAAATACATATTTGTACTGCTGTGAATAGTCACTAAATTACAAAGATATGATTTTCAATAATCATTTGTTTCATTACCCTTGTATTAAGCTTTGCTGACTTCTTTATTTTCACAGACCTAAAGAAGCATTTTTATTTGGAACTATAGCAAGTTTGGTTGGGATATCAGTTCTGTCTTTGGGGAACAATGCATTAACAGGTGTTCTAGGTAAAAATCTTGATCTTTAACCTAGACTGTTATTTTTTGATAATTCTATATTGGTTATCCGTAGTTTAATTGGCTCCTGGAAATTTTCAGCTTTTGTAGTTGGTGTGTGTTATGAACAAAGTGCCCCTCTTTCCTTGCTAATTATTTACCATTAGCTGTGATTTCCATTTGGCATCTTGAAAAATTTGTCATTTGCAATGATATGCTTACTTTTGTGGTTAGGTTTTTCAGGTATAAATTTCATATATTTATAATTGTCTGCAAAACATACAAAATGTTTTTGAGATATGTATAAATTGAAGTTATTTGACCAATAGCAGGCAACTTTGAACCAAACTTTTATTTTGTATCCAATAACAAGACATAACTTCTCTACAATGAAACATTATCTTTTTTATTTTGCTTTTGCAAAATTTATTGAAGTTTTCTTGTCAGGTTGAAGTATTAGTTAGCCTATTTATATACAGGCCTGGCCGTTTGAGGCGAGCGATAGCTCGCGCTCGCCTCCACGCTCCCCTCGCAACCTGAGGCGAGCTATGAATTGCTCTCCTAAACAGAACATGAAGGGAGAATCGCTCCCCTAAAATTTCCATTCATTTGCCCTTTTCCTATTCAGAGAACCCTGAAAACGGGTTAATTGGCTTATTTTTGTAACAGCGATTTCTCCCGTCACTGCATTTTTTGCAATTAACTTTTTGCTTGTTGGGCGGTTTTTGTTATGATAGGCATAAACTTCGATCTATTTGGAAAAGGATAGTTAACCGAAAGGTACGTTTGTAGCGATTAGAACCTTTCAATCTTAAGAAAACAGGAATATTTTTGGAAGGAAAGTCGAAGAAATGGGTAGGAATTGTAGATTGGGGATATAATAAGACAGCAGGTCCCTTCCAGCAATAGAAACAAAACTATCCCTCAAAGAGAACAGGGTACTCTGTCTTGCAGATCAAAAACAACAACCAAAACATGGAATTCCACTATCCAGCAGCATTTACTGAAAAACCCAGATTGGGTGAAAAACTATAACGGCGACATGTTTCGCATTATTGGCAAAGCCTGATCATCGTTCCATCTATGTAGCAGTTGGTAACATTTTCAATAGGAAAGGGGCACTTATTGGAAAACCTCAACAGTCATGTCCTCGCGTTTTCTGATGGCCTATTCCGATCCAAAACTGGGTATTTGAGCGTAGAGTTTTCCTTCTATGTTCTGACGTTTTATTCTCTGAAGAGTGCTAGACGTATAATTAAGTTTGTTTCAAAATTTGTTTTTGAAAGCCATTTTCAAATTCTGTGCAACAAAAAGATTGTTTTGCAAGAGAATTGTTGTTTTTGTGTTGTGCCAGCTTTACATAAAACGGAGAGAGTCTGTTCTTTCAAATACTTCAAGTAAAGGGGGTGCCTAAGTCACGGTTAAAGCAAATACAAATTGAAAGAAGTAAAACATAACACTCCTGACTGAGGCAATTATATTAAGGCAACCGACAGATACTAAAGGGGCTTATTAAGTCATCTGTCGATTGTCTTTAAATTACATTCTATGTGTTACTGATTTAGCTCGCCTCAGCAAATGAGGGGAGCGATTCACAGCTCACCTATAAAAATACAAACGGCCAGGCCTGTATATATAATTTAAAACAAAGTCATTTCCTGTGGCAGTGCGTCCCATTTGTCTACTTACATTGGTGTAAAACTTTCAAGGGTTTTCAGTGAATATACACAGTCCTCAAATTCTGCCATTCTAGGTGCCCTCAACATAATATTATATGCTGGAATCTACACAGCTTCAAAAAGGCAGTCAATTGCAAACACATGGATAGGATCTGTAGTTGGGGGAATCCCACCTCTCATGGGCTGGGCAGCTGCAACTGGAGATCTTGGTCTTGGCGCTTGGGTCCTAGCTGGAATACTTTATTGTTGGCAGTTTCCTCATTTTAATGCTCTAAGTTGGAGTTATCGACCTGACTATTCAAGAGGTATACAGACCAACCATTTTACCTTCTAATTATGACCCAACTTTTACATTAGATCAAGATAAAGAAGTAGAAAGAAAACAAAAGTTTAGGAAGCTAATTACTTACCTTTTTTAAATATTTCTTGAAGCTAGGGACATGTATACTTAATTTGCAAGTTTGGCAAGGAAATGATGTTGAACAATTGCTTTTTGCTCTAAAGCTTATTATGAGACTGCCCTAGAAATAAAGGAGAAAAAATGAAGTATTCTGATCAGTTTGAGGATATATTGTATTTTTCATAAATGCGAAATGTCTTCTCATTTCTACCTCAAATTCTCTTATTTGAAACATAGCTAAACAGGAATTACTACTTTAAATTGAATTTCTACAATGCACTTCATTATGCTATAACAACAGCAGTTGTATATGCTGCCACTGTACAGTAGAGTTCCCTGGGGGGGCACATCTGTCTACAGCTACGCCATATATACCGTATATACGCTAATATTCCTACTGCGGGATTAGCGTTTCAACCTAACAAAAAAAGGCAGGATTATTAGAGGTGGGTATATTGGAGAGCTGGGATTATTTTTTTCAATGCTTCATAGACAGTAGTATGAAGTCAAAAAATCGAACGTCTTTTTATGCTGCGAGACTTGGATGCTTGATAAACTCGCAAAATAAGACAGCTCTCTGCCCTCTCCCGCCTACGACATTATCATGTGATTTAACCCATTCACTCCAAGCATAAGTTACTATCTTTGATTTTGAAGCCCATACAAAGTGTGTAAAGAAAAGCAAATGCCAATCAAAAGTTTCAATCCCGCATGCGGGATTACTGGGGAGACGGGATTATTCTTACATTCTATGAAATACAAGCAGGATTACTAGAGAGGTGGGAATAAAAGAGAAGCGGGAATATTAGAGTAAATATGGTACCCATGAAACATGTATTTGAGTCCTAGTCAAAGGTATTGGAATCAAACATGTTTTTGTTTAAATAGCTTGCATCTTTTAATTATGTAAAGATGTGATACTTACTACTCCTGTTGTGCTAATTTTCTTCCATTTTGGGGCACATCTCAAGGCCTATGCTTCTTTAAAGTAGAGTTTAGGCTCCCTTTCCCTCCCTTGCATTTACCACTGAACAGTAGTACAATAGTAATACCTTAATTTGTTCTTTGTTCATCCTGTCTCATAAATTTATACAAATTTGTTGTTACCTTTTTTTCCAGCTGGTTACAGAATGATGGCAGTTACCGATCCAGCTCTCTGTAGACGTGTTACTGTGCGCCATAGTGTAGCACAAATACCATTGTCACTGATGCTTCCAATTTTAGATGTGACAAATTGGTGGTTTATGTTGACTGTGACTCCTGTGAATCTGTACTTGACCTACTTGTCATGGAGGTTCTATAAAGACTCAAATAATAATTCTTCAAGAAAACTTTTTAGGTTTAGTTTGGCCCATCTACCACTTGTTATGGCTTTGGCTCTTGTACATATGAAGAGAAAGGATAAAACAGACAATGCAATTGATGATGTAATAAAATAAAGCTGTGATGATTTTCCTTCTATCTTTATTTTATCTTTCCCTATTGTTCATATATTTTGAAAGAGTGAAAACAATATATTTTGCAAAAACCTCTTTTGTTACTTCTGCCTATCTCTGTAACCACTTCTAACTATCTATGTAACCATATAAAAAATTATTTCACATTACAGTGACAGAGAGGGGCTGGTTAACGTTGAAACAATGTTTTTGATGACTATCTGCATAAGTTATGTATGAACCTGCATACTAGGGACAAAGAATAACAAAGAAATAAATTAAGCAACTAATATTGTCCATCACTCATATCTCAAGCATTAAATTATTTTCTATTCACTCCATGATAAATTAAATACTTAAAGAAGTTACCCTAATAAGTTAAACATACAAAACTTTTTAACTAATTTTAAAAGTAAAAAATGAATGGTATTTAAATAACGCATTTGTTACTTGATAATTACATCTCTTGGTGACAATAAGACAGGTTAGGTGAGCAGAAACACAACCCATCCTAGCTTGTTACAGAAAGTGTTACTTACAATTAAATAAATTTCCAGCTACAAGTAGAGAAAATTGTACTTGGTGTCCTTCTAATTTATAAATTTAACAATATTAATTTATTTTACTGTTTTGCATGTAATTAAAAAAATGTGATAATATTGAATAATTTCACTTAAATGAAGATACTAGAAAGAACTTTCCATGCACTGTAGATAATGTTAAACAAGGAAATTTTGGTGTTCTTCAAGATTTCAAGCTTAAAGAACAAACAAAGAAACATGATTTCAGGATGAATGGTGTAGGTTAAAAGCTCACAACTCAGGTTTTGCCTTGCAAATTTCTGTAACAGCAGAGTTGAATTTCACTTATTTTGACAAAACTAGGAATAATTTGAATCAATTAAATAGCTCTCTTGTTCTGTGTGTTAATTTAGTTCTTTGATTTAATTTTACTTTTTAATTTATATTGTGCTTAAAGTCCAGCTTTTTACGTGTGTTTTGATGCATCTTAAAACTACTTACAATTTTTAACGTCACTGACGACTTATCTTTGATAAATTAAAAATTAAATAACCACAGAAGTCTTTGTCTTCAAAACCAGGTCAAGTCAAAACTTCTGCATTCCTGGTATGGAAAAAAATTAAAGACAATAATTTATTTGCAAAATATCACTTGAAGTGATATCATTCAAAGTTAACATACAGTGGAAAAAAATAATAAGCAAGGTTCGGGGCAAGTACTAAAACTCTATATTTTGAGCAATAAAACATGACTCATAAAATATTAAGAAAAAGCCCAAAAACGCTTCAAAGATGAACAGAACTTCTAAGCTGTGTGGGACTTATGGCATGAAACCCAAATGTTGTAGTGCGTTTATAAACCTGAAAACAGTGATTGCACAATCCTGCTTCTTTGATAATCACTAGAAATATTCATCACTCTATGCAGCTGAACGTGAATCTTTCAAAGGAAGCTGGAATTATAGAAACCAGTGACCTAAGTCATGGCAGGTGAATGTGGTGTTCACAGCAGCCCTGTTAGCTTCTGGAAACTTAATTTTTCTTGTCAAGTAAATAATTCAACAAATATAATGCTGTATACTGTTGAGTTATTCAACACTTGGAATAAGATTTTTATTGAATAAATACCAACACAGTACACCCTTCAGCCCATAGAAATAAACCATGGTTCCACAGGGGACATTCCTCCACCTTACAAAACAATATGTTAAGTGCCTATTTGCAGCTCCGAGAGGTGCCTCTTCTTCTACCTATATAACCCCTAATTTTGAAAATGCTTTCTACCCCATGCTTAAACTGAAAACTGAAACTAGTCAGAAACTGAAAAACTTTCCTGTTTGAACGTAAATATTGAATGTAATACTAATACTGCATGTAACTCTTGAATGAACATAACTATTGGTAGTCACCATTTACCCATTGATCCTAAAGTTTTTTTCTTGAAAAGAGAGGGTGCTCTCTCCTCGATTAGCTTAGCTACTGAGAGAGTTCCTCCTTAAGATTTTTTCCTCCTCGTACAAATCCTCTAGTATCATATTTTTTCTTCTTCTGTTTTAGTGTGTTATTAATTATGAATTTGTAGTTTCTTATGATGTTAGTTGTTTAATAAAAGACTGTTTTGTATGTAGTGGAATTTAAAATAAAAATGAACTAAACTGAACTTAACTGAAACTTCATGTTATGTTTTGGGATTTTCAGCCTAAAATATTGAAAATCAATAACATATATATTGTGGTGATGAAGAAGATTCTTGTCTGCAAAATTCAGCCCACCAGGTTGTTAGTTTGTCAAATACTAACCTTGATGTAATTGGCTGCAGCTCCAGATTCGAGACCCACAACGCGTAATCACCATGGTCTTTGTTCCTATGAAAACAGAAGCAAAATAATCTTAGCAAAAAAAATATTTTTCTATTTCAAAAAATTATCCATGATTTATAAAATAATGTAATTTCTGTCAGTTTCAGTAGCATTGCTTATCTAGATCAAGCTTGTTTGACTTGAATTGTTTTAGAATAAAAAGATTGAATCACATCTAAATATAAGGTTGAATGTTTAAAGGCCTTGTTGGGTAATTGTAAGTGGTTTTAACAAAAAAGGATCCTTACCATCTTACAAACTTGAATGTAACAGCTACAATAGTAATGATGGCTGTAAGTGCCCCTGCTGATGACAGGATTGCAATCCAAGCAGGAAAGCCTAGAATGATAGTATAAATTTCTTGAAAATAGCTATATACAGTGGCAGATTTAAGGGGGGGCAACTAGGAGCAGTTGCCCCTCCCTCAACGAGTTGAAGCAAGTCTGGTGCCCTTTTGTTGGAAATTGTGTGCCCCTTTTGAAGAATGAGAATCAGATGAAAAAGGTTCTTGGACCCATAGGTTACATTGCTTCAAGGATTACCTCAAAGTTATGTTGTTTATTTTGAAAAGGTATCTGAAATTTTTGTATACAGCGTACTCTCGTAACCAATTTTTGAAAAATTTCAGCCCCCCCCCCACTATCAACTGCCCTCCTTCAAATTTGCTCTGGATCTGCCCCTGGCTGTATACCAGTCTGTAAAAAAACTGAGTTGTATAGGCAGAGCTGTACCAGCTTGTGGGTACGAAACAACACTGTTCTAAGTTTCAACCAAGTCTCTGATGTGAACAGTCAATGATCATATGAAACACAAAACTGAAAATTACAACATAGAACTGTCCTGACCTATTCGCCAAAATATAAAGATGTATTGAAGCAAAATCATTATAATTTTCAATTAAATGAAAAGTAATCCGGAAATACGAGATCCTGTAGGTTTATATTTTAATCAGCTCAGCTACAAGCCATGTTGATGATTGATGAATGGCAACCAATTGGTAAGTAAGATCAAGGCTTGCAGTTTGGAAAAGATAAAACTCCAAAAATCTATAAGATTTGCACTCATTCTTCTTTAACAAAAATTGGACAAGAAAACTAATTTTTTGTAGCCTAAAAACTCCATGTTGTCTTTTGCTAACAATGTAACTTAGTAAGTAATTTTAACTAGATTTGGAGTAAACAGGGTTGATTTGCTCACCTTCAGATTTTTTATGTGGTATCCTGACTTCTGTTTTTATAGTGGGAGTTTGACTTGCCAGTAAAGAGGATGAGGTATGTGCTGCAGCACTACTTGAAGAAATGGCCAAAACTCTCACTGGTGTCCTTTCTGGTTTGAATCTTGAAACTGTTCGGATATTTCTATTTGTCTTTCTTTCAGAAACAGAGGCTTCAACTACTACAGAAACTTTTGTTCTTGTTGAGAACACCCCATATTTAAGTAAAGTTTTAAGAAACTGATTAGGATTCTTTGAAGTGTGTCTAACTGATGACCCATATGTGGATGATAAAATGATGTGTGGTATTGACGAAGTAACAACAAAGGTATTAATGTGTGGTATTGGTGAAGTAGCAGCTGACTTTGAAGTTTGTGTAAAAGACATCAAAGATGCTGTATGATAAAACTTTTTGAGGCCATTCAGTTCCTGCAGCATTGAAGTGCTTCTTTGTAACAATAACAGTGAGGCATTTCTTTCCAAGGTAGAAGATGAACTGAGTGATTTCCTAAAAGAGTTTGAATATATGGGTGACTCTTTAACTTTATAAATAGAGCTCTGATTCGTGGAGTGTGTTGAAAAGATAGATTTTTCTAGAAATCCTAAATGAAAGTTTGCACCTTGTGTGCTGCTGAAATTGAGATAAATGTTTTCTGATACTGTGTGTGAAGGTAGGGATGTCTTGTTTTCTTTTATACTTTTTGTGGATGATATGTATGTTGGTGAAGATATTAATGTTGAGTTTATTGCAAGTCTTTGCCAGTTTATTGTATTAGCTGTTGATGTATTGTGCAGTGATTTTGATGTTGATCTCCGAGTAAACTGCAGAGTGGATGAATTCAATATTTGCAAGTTGAAATTTGTGGCAGTAGGAAATGGTGTTTGGATAATGTTTTCTTGGGAAACATTTGTACTTAGCAACTTTGCTTCAGCTCTCATCAAATTGATAGATGATACATGTGGGGTGTGTATTGTTGTGTAAACGATACTGCTTGCACTGGTCGTAGTTGAAAATACATCTGTTGTAGTTGGGAAAGATGTATTGATTGTCATTATGTCATTTATTGTGGCAGACGTAATGTATCTTGTCATGGATTCAAGCCTTGATGTCACTTTCTGTTGGAAACTTTGTCTTGAGCTGTCCAAAAATACCAATGAAGAAGTCAAGATTTGCAGATTTGATTGACCTAGGAATCAAAAAAGAGATCTAAAAAAAGTAAGGGTACAATTTGCAGTAAAAGGTATTATTTTATTCATGCCTGAGAGAAGAGCATACAGTCCTACAGGCTTGATATGAACAGCTCTTTCTTGATTTGTTCATCCAATAGAGGGTACACAATTTGCTTTTCGAGGAAAACAGGAAAGCAGGAATCATCATTTCTTGGAGACAAGAAATGGGAATTTGCAAATTTTTGTGAGCCAGATTTGGGAATCAATAACATCGAGATTCAGGAATTGATGGATGGGGATTGGGTTATAAATATAGCAGGAATTCAGGAATCAGAGGACCTATTTGTTACCCTTTTATTAAGGAGCTCCTTCATAGGCAAATATACTTAAATACACAATGTCATGTAAGGTTTTCTAATTAATTTTAATCTATTTAGTTTATTTGCAAACAAGTATCTTGCTGTTTTGTAGCATGATTTATTGCCTAATTAATCAACAAATCATTAATGAAATCAATAGTTATTCATTCTAAATTAGGAATCCTTAATTCGTTTTGAAATGCATTTGGGTGTACAAACATTTCAATACAAATGAAGAATTTCTAATTTGAAACAAATTTATTTTCAATGAAAATTTAAACTGAATCTATTTCTTCAAAAAAATGGATGCATCCATGACCTTGATTTCCAGACTGGTGGGAAGGGGGGGGGGTCAAGAAAAGAAACATTAACTGACAAAGATATAGATTGTGATACTTAACCAAACAGCTCATGAAAACTGCAGACTTCCACGTCCCCCTGACTACCTTATTAAATATGTTCAACGCCCCAAGTGCAGAAATTGAGGTAGAAATTTATGTCCTGCAAAATCTGCCCTTCACAAAAATTCAGCTGCTACCAGAACTAAACTTGCATGAACTTTATATGTTTGTTTCTTTGAAAAGTCTTTTTACGTAAATCTTTAGCGGCATTTCTGTGAGAATTTTTTGAGTCCCTAAAGTCCCTTCATTTAAAAAATTTCTAGCATAAATCAAGATTTGGGGGACGGAGTTTACGGGGAGAATATTCGACCCCCTCAGGTAGAAATGCGCCTTTCTCATAAAAAAGCAAACTCGTTTAACACAGTCCTTTTCATTGAGTGTTAAAATAGTAACTTCAATTCTCAATAAACAACTTCAGACAACAACTTTAGCTGAAATGGAAAGCAAGAGGAAAGCTAACAGCAAAGCAATTGGCAAGCTTTCGATAAAGATGTCTTATCTTCACATAAACTAATATTAAAAAGCTTACCTGCCATTGACACTTGCCACTGGTAATAGACTAAGAAAAGAAGAAATAAATCTTTTGTCTTCAGGTTCATAATGAAGCTATTGCTCGGTGCCTGGTGTCGGAGAGAACACAATCGCCATTTCCCATCAAAAATTAATGTTTACAACAGAAGGGTTTTAAAATCGATTCAAATTGAACTGAATTATTACCATTACAATGCGAACAAGGATCTGGCCTCTTTCCGGGGCACGACGCCAAGACCACAGAGACCACAGAATCACTGTGCCAAGACCCAAGACATTGCTCCACAACGCCCCCACGCAACCGCAAACACGCAGACGCGGCATAAAATTAAGTGTTACCCACATCCCTTCGTAAAATATTCATAAATTTATTTCTTGAACGTAAGGCAAACCATAGCAAGAAAGGGCAAGAGGGACATAAAGAGCAAATGGTAGTAAATAAAGGTTCTCCACCAGTACCCTAATAATTCTACCCTAATATACCAATTGAAACCAACTTTTTGCAAACTGAATAGGTAAAATTTCAAAAATTCAAATTTTGGATCCTCAAAGTATTATCATTTCCTGCAGATCTAACATTAGCAATTTTGCCCAATACATTGTTTAATTGCTCTTGCATCTGCACTTAGAAAAATTACTGTTGTGTTTCATTTTTGTCACCTTAACATTTTTCATATGCATCTCTTTTAACAATCTCCTAAAAAATCTTTTGACAATCACAAAACTTGATCCTTGTCAGGGGCCGACGCAGACAAAATCATGGCCGTGACACCAGGAAAAGTGGGGTCCGGGGACGAAGCCCCTGGAAAACCTTTTAGGTGACCACGCCCTCTAGTCTTTCGGAAATGCCCAGTCTGAGCATACAGAGACGGGTAAAGCTTTTATACCGAAAACATAGTTACTCTTGCATGTTTTCAACTTGCAAAAAAATAACGTCGCAAACTGATGTAGGCGGGTCACTGGAGGCACTTAAATAATATACATTAAAAAATTTACAAATAATGGCTAGTTTTCACTACTGACACTTTATATATAGCTACAAAGCTTTTTCAACTGAGGATTTGACGTATATTATTCACTGCATTCTCAATTCAAGATCCCAATTAAAAAACACGTGCAAATGCAAAAACCAGTGAGTATAATATATAGACCAGGCTACAGTGGCGGTAGGTGCCACCTCAGGGCGGAGAAATTCAAATGGATATTTTCAGGTAGCTATTGGTCTGGTTACTTGGAAAAGTGATGGTGAACGGGGAATTGTTGGGGTTTAAGGGGTAAATACGGGGGTTAAAGTTCGTCATATTAGCATATTACCTCTGCGGAGGAGCCACTGTTTTGTTTACGACTTCAGAGCATGGCAAGTGCTTGTTATCATAAAAAAATGATCTAGAGGGAGTCTTTTAGAGCCTCTTCTTTAAATTCCGACATATTGCTACAATTAGAGTCGTCACGTGACCAATTGTTACCCCTTACCATATTTGGAAGGTGAGCCTTTTCTAACAGAATACCTGAAATTTCTTTTGTTTAATACTCTTAAATGTTACAATAATGTATAAATCAGCAAGATTATTCTACAACCGAGCTGTTGTTGATAGATGCCCTGAATAACTTTGGGTTTATGACTGGTTTTAACTATGTGTAGAATAATGGTTGCGAAGACATGATACTTTATTAGGTCCGTTTGATTTCATGCGCATTTGGTTTTTTCGTGATGACTCCACATCTCCTTCAGATGCTGGGCAACTTTTTTCGCAATTCATCGCTTTGAAAATATTTGTACAAATAGTAACACGAATATGTAACGCAATGAACTCAAGAAATCACGGAAATACGTAGCAGAACAAAAAGACCTGTGTGCATCATTACCAAGAAGGAACTGTTTTGCTCCAAGCGTCATTTTCAGTATTTAAGTTGTTATTTTCGCTCTGAAAATTGGATACTCTGTGTACCTTTAAAGTATTGAGGAGGTCGTGTTTTATTTATATTTTTAAACATGCAAGGCCTAAGCTGTATTGTTCATTACCCGAGCAAAGATTGTCTGTACAGTATTATTAAAGATTTGTCTGACATCAATAAAGATAAAATTTATGCTGCAAAGGCTACTCGTTTACGACTTGGTGGCAAAAATCTCCACGAAGAACAATACAGCTCCATTCCTGACGAGGTTGATCCAAATTAGCACAGAGTTCGCTTAGAACCTTGTTATAAAAAATTTACAAAGATCCTGTCCCATGAGAAATTCCTCGCAGAAACTAGCACTGAAGCTATTCAGCGTCCACAAAGACTAAAGACTGCAGCTACTCAGAGACCAGATTTTTATCCCCAGGTGTGTAATTTTTGCCAAAAGTACCGGGTAAAGAGGCAACAGAAACATCATGTACCAATAACGATCACGACGAAGCAGCCGAACTAACGTATAAGAAGCTGCTGAAGCCAATATCGATCAGAACATTTATTATGAAATTAAAGATGTTGATCTCATAGCTAAATAATTTTGATACCATGAATTCTGCTACAAAGAGTTTACAAGGAAAAAGAAACGCTTTAACTCGGCATCCATCGAAAAAAGTTGTTGTACGCTCTCCATCCTCAGACATCGACATCTTGGTAATTTTATTAAGTATTATTAAAGAGCAAAGTCAAGTATATCTCGATTTTGGAGTTGGTTTGAATTGAAAAGGACTATTTTTGTCTGGTATTGAGATGGAAGATGGTTTGAAGAAGTGCCTGATAGGCTTTCATGCATTCACGGGGAATGACTATGTGTCATCTTTTTTCCGCAAAAGGAAATCAGAATGTTGGGAGGTTGTCCAGAAGAACAACAGATTTGTTAACACATTTTCGCTACTTGGGCAGGTATGGGAACTTGATGAGCAAATATTTGTCAACCTTGAAGAATATGTTTGCCATTTATAGAATATGTGAATATGTTTGCCGGTATGGATACCGGCAAAAAAATTTCAATGATGTGAGGAAAAAGTTATTTGACAAGAAGTATGTAAGGCAAGGTAAAGCCATAGACATTTCACTCTTGCCCCCATGTCAATCATCACTAAGGCTACACATATTGCGATCAAACATCATTGCAAAGATTTCGAAGTCATCGGGTGAAAGGTCCATAAATTTGACAGATCTTTCTACTTTTGGCTGGAAAGGGAATCTGTCTATAGACTGGCAACGACAAGCATTTCCAGACGAACTGACTGACTTGTTCCTGGATCTTGAAGAAGACGTGACCTTCGGAGATGATAAAGAAAGTGAAAATGAAACCTAAAATGGATAAACAATGACAAATGCAGGTATCTTTGCCTTAACTTGCATCTTTTAACATTTAAGAGTACCAAACAAAAGAATACGTGGTACAAAAAAAAACAAAGGTATTCTGTTAAAAAAGCTCACATTCCAAATATGGTAAGGGGTAAAAATTGGTCACGTGACGACTCTAATTGTAGCAATATGTCGGAATTTAAAGAAGAGGCTCTAAAAGACTCCCTCTAGATCATTTTTTTATGATAACAAGCACTTGCCATGCTCTGAAGTCGTAAACAAAACAGTGGCTCCTCCGCAGAGGTAATATGCTAATATGACGAACTTTAACCCCCGTATTTACCCCTTAAACCCCAACAATTCCCCGTTCACCATCACTTTTCCAAGTAACCAGACCCATAGCTACCTGAAAATATCCATTTGAATTTCTCCGCCCTGAGGTGGTACCTACCGCCACTGTAGCCCGGTCTAATACATCATGATATGAAATATGTCGTAAATGAAACTCACCCAGTTTGCTGTCTGCGACATTGATCAAGAAGCAGATTATGGGAACACCAAAAGGTTTCTCGGTGTCAATAGTGTCTTCTTCAAAACAACTATCGCTGTAACACTTAATTAACTGTCTATTTGCAAAGACTCTTTAAAACTCATCGTATCAGAACTAACATCTGTTCGTTTTTAGCCAGCATTCAATACCCCGTACTGTACTGAGTATTGTATAGAAGCCTTTCAGTTTAGCAAGATATCAAAAGTACTCAAGGTCTGCAAACATGCATCTTTGCCTAAAATCAAGATTTGTGGAGACAGAAGAAGTTTGACTTCCCAATTTGATTCGTCGAATATGTAAAAGAAGTTAAACGCAGCATTCTTCCTCGTGGTACTTTCGATCCACAACTGGATACAAATTACCCAAATCTACTCATATCTTCTCATAAATTAATAGCCTCAGTACCTACAAATTATTCACGACCATAAATTAGGCTAATTGAAAACAAAGGTTTTCCACAACTACAATGCCTGCCAAAAGTACTTGGAACACCCAGCAATTTACGCTGCATTTGATATCTTTCATTCCTTTCATGAAAAAAATTGCTACTTCCGCCCCCTTCCCCCTAAAACAATGTTGATGATTTAGAGAAATATCATCAAAGAAGCGCAAAAGAAAGTGCTTCCTAAAATCCTAACCCGTTTGATAGTAAACCAACATTGTTCTGTAGGGGAGAGGAGGATGATTGATTTTGACCTTGGAAATTGATGTCAGTGTTTCAAGACTTTTGGCAGGCATTGTAGGCCTTTCTGTATCATCCAACCTTAGATGCGAGGATGGCTCAGTTCTTAGATGCACTGACTAAAAACCCAAGGAACCGTGGTTCAAGTCCCTCACTTGACCAAACATTTCACCCAGAGTGGGGAGAGTCGCCAGTTTTCTGTAATTCCAGGCGTAGGAATCACGAGGCGTGGTCACATCGAGAGGAAGGATCAGGACACTGCTCGATAAGCATAAGCTTCTCAGTGTCCTAAAAACTACCTTCGGTTGCTAGGTAGCAACAAATACAAGAAAAATACCTTAATTAGAAGTGATATTTCCTCTATTGCTAAAAATTACTCTCAAAAACTTGGATCCCTCGCTAGAGCACGTGGATTCTTCTCACTATCACAACTTTCAACAAAGTCACAAATCCGTCTTTACTTGGCAATACCGCTTGTATAGTTCAGCTTTCCGTGGCAACAGGAACATTTTTAATACAGGAACCAGGGGCGGATCTAGCGAAAATTCTGAGTGGAGCAGAACCTGAGGGGGCTGGGGGGCGGAGCCCCCGAAAAATTTTTATGACTACGCCCTTTAGATTCTCTGAAAACGACTTTAATTTCATGCGAATCTCAGATAAAATTTCTAACTAGCACAAACTTTTAAATAAAGCTAGTAGCAATTTAGAGGTTATAAAAATTTTGTTAAAAAACTGCTTGAAACTGTACTTTAGTTGACGGAATTCTTTCTCAACAGAAACACGCAACTAATTCGGAATTTTAAAATAATAAACCAAACTGAATCTTTTATCTTTTCACGGCAGTAAAATTTCATGACGTATAAATGACAAGTCACGAAAGAATGGAATTTCACACCAAACGTTTTTGTTGTATTAGCCGATTACTAAAGCGACAAGTGCCCTTTAATCAAATTGATGCCTTTGAAAGTTTCCTTTGCGGTGGTTTTTCGCGGAAATAGCAGTTTGTTCATCGGTAGAAGTGTCATTCTTATCAGTTTCAAAAACTCGCCTATGTAATCGTAATACTAAAAAATGCTAATGGTCTGAATTCAATCAACACAAGCTGCATTTGTGAATAGCTTTTATTATCTTTTAGATGAAGCAAGACAAACATTAGTTTGAAAGACAATTTATAGAGTATTGAAATCGATTATATCATATCGGTCATTAGCGACCCACCCAGATTAGCAACGTTTGATACCAATTCCTTTCTCTTCGTATATTCAAAGAAAATCATAATATTTAAATTACATAAAACTCCTGAATTCAGAGCAGAGCTCCGTGCTTGAGACAAACACTCTTGATCGAGGGGCAAATCAACAATTGAAACCCTATAGCTTTTTTTAAAAATCCCTAGAAATCTGTTTGTTTGGAGGGAAACTGGCAGCTGAAAGAGTGAATTGCCCCTCGCCTCTGACAAGAGCTTTGATTCTATTTATTACAGCTAGCTACATTCCCACAAGTATTCCCAGCGGCCAAGGCATAAGGACCTTTTGCGCTTTTAGATTAGACAAAAAGATCTGTACCATTATTACTTCCAAATAACTTTGTGATAAGAAAGTAATCTGTTAAATAACATGACTTGCTTATAGGCCTAAATGAACCCCTATCTCATTGGGTTTATAAACGTCCACAACGACAGCATCAAAAGAGGGCTCCCTTAAACGACATACATAATTGACATTAGTAAACATACCTGTTTTGCCGTCTCTCTTTCAAAAAACTCAAATCCTTGTCGTCAGTTTTTTTTCGAAGCCCCGTTACACACAGAACGTTACGAAAGCTCCAATTCGAAAGAGTGCGCTCCAACTTGCTCCCGATAACGGATTCAAACCAATCGCAGAGCTGGATTTTGCTCCAGTTGCTCAGTAGTTTGATTGGCTAACCAGCACTTCCTGGAGCAAATTTTCATCAACTGGAGCAAAATCCAGTGGTCTGATTGGTTTATTTGACCATGACGTATTTCATGTGGAGCAAAATTGTGAACATCTCCTCCACAGTCAACACATAAGCAACTCAGACGACAAAATTCAAACCAGTTCTCTAAGGCACCTATCTAGTCCACAGGGGTTGTTTGGGGGCATCAGAAAGTATTAATTGATGATTTATGAAGTAACAGAGCTAAGTTAATATCAAACAGGCACTATAATAAATTTAGAAAATTCTGACTGGAGCAGCTGCTCCGTTTGCTCTGGTCTAAATCCGCCACTGGGAACATTCAGCAATTATTTAATACGAAATACCAGGATACAGTCAAGGCTTGGCGACAATCTTGATAACAATATAAGAAGATGTAAATGGGAAGAAACAAGAAATCAGTTCAGGATGCAAACAAATTGTTCAGCTTTACCGTGGCAACAGGAAGATTTCTAATACAGAAACATACAGCAACTGCTTGATAGGCTTAAACTTACAAGGGAAAAAAGAGAATCATTTGGTGTTTGCAATCAATACATTTCTAAATCAAGCATCTTATTAGCCTGTGGTTCATCTTGATCTGATATTAAAACATTTTGAAGTGTAAGTCGCCGTTTGTGTTTAATGGCGTATAGTGTTGCCAAACCATTTAGGCGTTTTTGTGTCATTGTGCTGCGGAGATACGTTTTCAGGAAACGGACAGAAGAAGCTGGTCGTTCACAAGTGCATGTTGTAACAAGAAGAACCGCGAAAATTCGCAGAGCAGTGAGAATGTTACGAAATGATATCTGCTGATGCTGGCAGATATTATTGGTTGAATGTGGCTATTCCTTTTCTGGATCATCTTCTTGCTGAACTTTCTAATTGCTTTTCAGACAGCAACTGCTCTGCATTGATTTTAAAAAAAATATGAAACTGAAAACTGCATGGACAAGGAACAAGCTAGTTTGCTTTTCACTGTTATAACACAAGAATTTTAAAATTTAATAATGTACAAACTAACGAATTCACTTAATCATTAATCAAACATCATTCTTGACATTTGTTGACATCTCATGTTCATTGACACAAATGAGTTTTCTACTTTTTGGTCTCTCTATAACGTTTATGAATTTCCTCTCAGCGTAATCTAGGGGTCGGCGAGGAAGCTTAATTGGGTTTAGCTCCAAGAGTTCCCGCGTGTATTTCACATAACCTTCGCATAATGAAAAGAGAGTGTGATCTCGACTATAACCAACCTAAAATGTAAAGACGGATATGAAAGTTGCCATGTAGAAAAATTGAGAAGCTTTACCAAGATTGGACACTAGATTTAAATTGAAATTAGTCACGATGTTTTATTTCTTCAATACTGTACCACGCATTATTTACATATTATTTGATTGAAAGAATACCTCTGTATAATAGTGTCACAAAATTATACAATTTAATAGAATTTTGAAGCTCCTGGAATCCCTCTCTAAAGTCTTCTTATATACTTTGCGTGGTATTTCTATTCATAAAATGTCAAATCAAGTTGGTATTGGAACATAGCTAAATCATATGAAACAAGACAGCTAAATAGCAATGAAAATCTCAACCAAATCACAAGGCAAATTGCTTCACGTTTCATGCCTCTCCAAACATCTCAGTTAGCTTCAAGGCAGTCTGTTTCCTATTGTGCTTTATTTGATTTTCTATTGAGTAAAATTAATACTAAAAGACTTGCATACTAAAAGCTATTATTGCCCATTAAGGGTCCACACAAGCTGATAGTAAAGAGGTGTACCCTTGAAAAAAGTTCCATTTGGAACTGCTCCAAAATCTTTCCTGTAAACGCAGCCTTATAGCACAATGAAGTTTCTTTCTTTCAAGCAACCATACATACCTACATGCACAGAATATCTTTGGGGGGTATTCATGCTAATATGAGGTTTTGTATATAGGGAGCATAGATCTCTGTTAGGGATCAAATTGACTTTATGGATGTTACAGATACCATTTCTTCTTTTCTATAGTACTTGGTATTTGAGCCCAAATAAAGGGGTGTATGTGGCCTTATCACTAATATTGCCATTAATCTAATGTCTCCTTTTTTGATAAATGTTGGTATTAATATGCAATTACATTCTTAACACAGGTTTTTGGTATCCAGTATCCTGAAGTTAATTAAAATCATTAAAAGAAAAAAGTCAAATCAAGTTAAAATATTTTTGTAAAAACTTGAGCTGGGACTTCTACCTAATGACAATTCTTAATAAAAATATAAAACTAGACACTCCCACACAGTAACCGAACAAATAGTGTCCTAAGATTTCAAAAAAATGATTCATAAACTTACATTTTTTCCAGGATGAAATTTATAACCTAACTGTCTCACTAGAATTTGCCCTGCCTTTACATGACAACCTGAAATAAGAACAGAAATTCTGAGAAATTCTAATACCCTATGTATACACATTTGCTTTCATTCTTTATGTAGACATTAAGACATCTTTTTGTGTGCTATCATCAAGATACAGATTGAATACAGTACCATAACAAAATATTCCTGCATTTCTTTCAGGCAAAGTCATCATTTCATTTAGGAGTTTTGAAATCTCTTTACATGAAAACATGGGAGCATGAATTGTGTTTTAAGAAGGGTTTTTTTCACCTTTGGACTCTTCAATTAAGTGATTGATAGAAAATAAAATAAATATTGGCCATCTTCAGCTGGTATTAGGGTTATCTTCAGTTGTATTCCCCTTTTACCCTGCAAATTTTAAGCACTTAGGGAAATGAGCTATGGTTACCAGGCTTTGCTTTTAAAAAATATTTTAATTAAAAAAAAAATTTTAATAGACATGGTCTTAAACAAAAACGGGTGTAAAATAGAGTATAAAATTTCATGTAAAACAATATAAAATTTCATGTCGAATTTGGAAACTAAGAATGAGCCTTAGGCTATGAGTTATCACCATTACAGTAAACATTTTTAGGCTCTTTAAACTAGAACATTTTCGTTTCATATCATTCTTAGTTTCCAAATTCGACATGAAATTTTATATTGTTCCCATGTTACTGTTTTCATTTCATTCTGGACTTGGGGCTCTGTTTATATGCAAATGCTGTAGTGCACCAGAATGCTGTGTTTGCCTTTGTTTTATCCTCTCTGCACTGCATCATTTTCATTTAATATCAGATTAAACCAATTACATGAGCAAAGATGTATTGGATTGGTTTCATCCCACATTACAGCACTTTCGTTTTGAAATACGAAAATGGTATGAGCCATATCAGATTGGATAGAGATTGGATAGGGCCCTGTTCACTGTGTTGCTTTTGTGCATTTACAAAGCTCATAGAAACTGAATAAAAATCCCATTTTTTGTTTTTACCATTCATGCTGCTTTCGTAAATATTTTGGAGAGTTTTCAAATCCTCTGTTTTTATGGGCACACATTGATCCAGTGTGTTTCAAAAAAACCCTATTTTGGAGGATATCCACTTTTGATAGCATTTCAAAAACCATCCGTCTTTGTGTCATTTTTTTCCTTTCTAATAAAAATTTTATATTCCATTTGCAAAATTGCTTTAAAAAAGAAAATGTATACCCTTGTGCAAAATATACATTTGTATTTTCAATAAATGTTCATTAATATTTTATTATACTTTAATGAAAGAGATAGCACCCGATTGCACCCCTTCAATTGCTCTACATGCCTGCAAATTTATTCCTGGTATGATCTGCTGTCTGAAAATACACTTTCTTAACTGCTTCATTATATACATTTTCTATTTGATTTAAAAAGATAAACATCAATTAACTTTTAAAAAGGCAACAAAGGAGTAGATACCATCCAGTTTCTTTACACCTCGTCTTTTCCCTCTTCTATTTTTGCCTTGCTTTCTGGCCTGACCACCTGCTTTCTTGGTTGCATTGCACGTCTGCAGTAGCAAGGGGATTCCTGCATGACAAAAATTTCACACAAATGACTGAATGAATAAAAATTGTTTAAGTTCAGTTTTGCAGTCCTTTTAACTGCATTTTTACATCTTGTTTATTGTATTTTGGGCTAGGCCCCATATCAGTAAATTTGTGCAGAGAGAACTACACCAGGATTACTTTACAGTGCAGATTAAATACCACATTTCTGGACTTTAGCCCTTCAAATCTAATGAATAAATTTATGTCACTAATAATTACTTGATTTTGTCTTTAACCAATTTTGGAAAACAGAAATGTCGCTTTCCTATAGAGAAGGTCCCTTTCTTAGAAACCAGGTTGGACAACATTTATTTTTTGAGGAACTTAATGTTTTCAAAATGGGGCGTATGAGCTGCAAGGTAGATTAAGAGCAAGAAAGAAGAACAGTTCTAGGTTTCGCCTGTAACAGCAGAGTGGTGCTTTCAGTCTTAGAGGGTCTTTCTGGCCAAAACTTAGCAGATCATAAATTTGCTCTTTGTTAAAAATGGATGATAAAATGAAAATGTTACTGTTCAGTAAATTTTATTAGTCATACAATTTTTTGGCTGTAGAGGCCCTTTAAATTCGGTAGATTCAAAATAGTGCTGGTTTTCCAATTTGGTGTCTCAATTGCTTTACTTTTTTGACAGGATTCAGGTTGGATTGAAAACCTGTCCAATTTTATGTGACCCATGACATAACTTTGACCTAGAGTGATGAGGAGAGTTGCTAGGTCTTTTAATTTCCAGACGTAGGAATCAATTTATTGTCATCTGGTTTTTTCAGATTTTGTTTTGTAACTTAATTCTCAGTTTCACTGCATCGAACTCGGGAATAATTTATGAGTGAATGAAATTGGAATTTAATATTTTTCTCTTGTACGTGCTGATTGAAAATAGAAATCTGCATTGCAATCTACTTGCCTTGACACCTACTATAAAAGGTGACCTATATCATTACTTTTCTACTCCATTCATTTCACCCTAACCCAATCATCCCAATAAAAACCTACCTGGAAAGTTAACCTCTTTAAAAGTCCTGTTTACTAGCATTTTCAACTGGCTTCCGATTAACGACCACATTTTTTCACCTTACATAAACAAGCCTCTTGCAGTGAGATCTGAGAACATGGATCATGGATCGTCCAGCACTCTTTTTACCTGGCCTCTTGTGGAATTTTGTCAAAGGGAGGGAGCCTCCTTTACGAAATCTAACTCACAGCATAGCGATAGTTGGCTAGGGACCCCTTCAAAATCTTGCAAATTGCAAATAGGCAGGGGGTGTCAGTAGGAATGTCAAAGAAAGTAAGAAACAAAAGAAAGGGGTTCATGCTATTTCAAACCTAGTCATTGTTCTTCTGAGGGACTGGGAGGCAGTTGAACGCAAGCGAGAAGATAGACGTAAATAAATCAATTCAGATCAACGAGTTTGCATGCGAAAATTATTTTCAATTTGCAGGACCCCGTTTTACGGACAGGGGGCAGTTGCCCCTGGGCCTGTAAGCAAGGAGGGGCGCATAGACGAATAAACTACAAAGCTTTATTGGAAATCATACTCAATGCAGATTCTTTTACAAAACATACATAGAGCTATGCATAAACATCGTTACAACAATAATGCTTTTCAAAAATTACAGGAACTTTTATTGTATTAATCAATATCAATTCTATGATACAGAAGCAAAGATAACGATTTAAAGGGATGCATACACAATAGAGAGGGAGTTGTTGGTTCGAATAACCGACAACTAAGAATGGCTTGAAGGAAAAAGTAGCAATGGCATTAATGTTTGATTATTATTCTTTATAAACAATTCAAATATAGATATCAAGTCCTTTCGCCCAACTCAAGCTCGGCTACATTCAGTTCAGAAGATACATTGTTGACTCTACTACAAGTTTCAGAATTTAAAGTTAAATTGCCAACAAATTCTTTCTTACTAACATCGTTTATTTCATCTTCATGGTCGCTATTTACACCATCCTTTTCACTGTGCTCCACAGACTCATCGTTGTCACTTTCCTTGCTTTCTTCACTGCAGCTGTGATCTTCTTCGTCATCATAATCACTCCCATTGTCATCTTCACTTTCCTCATCATCATTATCGCTCAACTCATCGTCTTCTTCATCCTCGGTCGCTCTTCAATATAAAAAATAGAAGATAAGTGATACAAAGGTTTTTGAGGTCTGACATTTTTATCCTGTAAAACAAATGTAGTAAACATATTGCACTACCGGAGTGCAGTTTCTCTGTAATCATAAACGTTTTTACAAGATATTTTGAAAGGTTTTAGTCTAGCAGCTTATCATATTTAGTAAAAATAACGCTTGATAACCACAATTCTAAACTACATCAAAGTATAATAATTCGTTTAAGGACGGGATGCATAAGTTACTGCAAAACTGGGCACCATTTTCTTTCATTGCTCTTCATTGACCAGGACATAACATTTCTCGGTTTCTATCAAGGCTAAATCTTGTTTTAATGATTGGGCAACAAAAAGCCACACTAATTTCTAGCTTTCTCTCTCTTAAAATGTATTCACACTAAACTTTAAAACATGACGTCTCTTTAAAATGGCAGGCGACTGGCACTAGTTTGTACCTAACCCCCTACCTTGCAGCTCTGTTTGGGTTGAAGTATTCCTTATCCATGTCAATTTCAGTCATATCTAGAAAAGATGAGTATAAAATCATGCAAAAACGAAAGAAAAATGATATAAAATTTCCTTCCAACGAAGGGAATTGTCTGTCCTTGTTTCTTTAACCATAAAAGTGCACAACGAAAAAGAAATCTTGCAGCAGTTTTGAGGAATTAACAACCTTGAGAAAAACTGGGAAACTGATTTTCAAACAGCGCAAACATTTCTTGGAAAGTTTGTATAAACATCTGTGTATATGAGGTAGAAGGGACAGAAATATCAAAATCTGCCTGATTAAGTAGGCTTGGAAATATGCTGCGCGGAGAATACTACCTTGTAGCATAGTTTCCATAATCTCCAAATAAAGTATGCTTGCAAATGTTATTATCAACAGGCCATATTTTGGAGATCATGTTTCAGCTTAAAAAATAACATAAAGTAACAAGCTAATTGATATAGAGGAATATAAAAAATGTGTTGACAAAATAAGTTCAAAGGTACGCATTGGCATGGTGCAAATTTAATGACTTATTATTTAGAGACTTATCCTAAAAAACATACCAATCTCTTTAATCTTTCTGTTACTTTCTTGACATTTTCCAACCCATTCAATCTCAGCAGCTGCAACGTCAGCCGAATTCTTGCACCTTGCATAGATCGCAAGAATTTCTCTGAAAAATTATCACCCAATTACACAAAACAGAGCCATCTGTTGAGCTTTAATTGCAAGGGCTCCTATCTGTTTAAGTGTTAAACCTCATTAAAGTTCATACAACATTGAATATCAATATAACAAGTAATTCAAGCTATATTGGATTTTTGCACTTAAATGAATTATAGTTCTTTAATGGCTTTCAATACAACATTTCATCACTCGATAAACCCTTAATCAATAAGAATAGCAAATAGCGTTAAAGATTACAATCAAAAGAACTGAGCTGCTCGAACGGCTGAAATCAGTCCGGATTAATAAGAGTGGCTGGAATAACGAGGGTGGTTGGCAAAGTTTCTAATGAAAAATAACAGGGGTGGGTGAAATTAATCTCCAAATAAATAAACAAGTTGAGTGGAATTTTCATTTCGAAATTTTCAAAATTTTATACGGTCTCTCTGTTTAAGAGTAGTTTTCATTAGTGTCTTATCGTAGTAGAGTCAACAAAGAAATTGAACATTTACCGGTTTAATTCATAGAAGCCTTTACCCCATTTGAACTTGTCTAAAATCATTTCAGCAGCTTTTGTGAATCCTACAACACAATAAGAGGTTCAATCAAGTGTTTCAACGACAAAACGTTTTATGTCCTAGATTTAATAGAGCGTCAAGGGCCATGCAAATGGACAAACGCCAAGTGTCTTTTTAGTGAAAATGCAGAAAAAATTATAAAAAACCGGTTGTCAATACCTCAGTCAGTTATGCAGGACCATGCTGAATTATTGCCATTGCAATAATAGAAAAAGCTTTAAGGTGTTTCAGGGTTTGTTCATTAAAAAAGCTAGGTTACAACAGCGTGTTGAAAATACATTTTTTGTTAACTTTTTCCTCAGAGTCCAGAAAAATTGTTAACCTTCCTCCAGACAAAAAACATCCCAGAAGGCAAACCTTCCTCACAAAACAATATAAATTGGGCGTGGTTTGGGTGTGTCATAGGAGCTTCTATTGTTTTTCGTGGACCTTCCTCCGGTCAGTGGCCGTGCGACCGTAATGTTTATCTGACTCTGTTTTTCCTCTCTTGAACCGAGAAAACACACCGCATTTTATGCATTAAGGAATAGAGCTTAGAAACATAACAAACATTAATGTTTACTAGTGCTTTATAGCGCTTGATACCCAAAAGATAGAGCATAGACATTATGATAGGTAGAACTTGAGAATTTTGAGCTGCAGCTCTGAATTTCATCAGGCAAATATAACAGCCATCTTGCAACAGCATTCACCTAGTTGTTTAGAAACAGCAATCTTTATAAGACTAGAAAACCTACCTGTTATATAGAAAAGTGCAGCGAAGGCCTCAACACAGGATAACTTTGCGGGTTTTCCATAATTCACAGGGTTGGCAGCAACCAAATGTGGAAGAAGCCTTGCAAATCCGGTTTTCATTCTATGAAAGGGAGTCTCTTTCAATTTTGCCCACGAGCAGTCAATCACAGCAGCTCCATGCTCTCTGACGATTTCTCTGTCAGAAGGTGACACATACTGTCTTCCAAGGGGACTCAAAACAATACCATTGAATCTGTTACCTAATCGGAGAATTCTTAAGTAGCCAAGTCGACTGAGTTTTTGACCTGTACATCTCTTTGGATCACAATGAGCAAGGTCCTATGACAAAGGCATTTACTGTAGAGCGTTGCTTTTCTTAAAAAAAACTTAATCAGTAATGGGCTGACATGAAAAATATGTTTTGGACCATCAAAGATTAAAAAAGGACTTACAACAAGTACATTAAGTACAAAAAAAGCTGGTGTAAAAAATTTCGGTGGATTAATTTTCGGTAGAAAAAATTTTGGTCGTATTTTTGAAACTTCGGTTTAAATTTTGGTGTAAATTTTGGTGTAAATTTCGTTGAAAAGAAAACATTTCGGCAAGATGAGTATAGAAATGGAAAACTTTCTATAAGGTTTTTATATCTTCAACATAAAATTATCTGGAACACAGTCACAAAGTTACAAAATAAAATATTTTGTTGTCAGGCTGATAAATGCAACTAAGATTAGGCAAGATTGTCAAAAATTCTTATTTAGTGGAGGTATTTTTTTCATTTTTTATAAACCATGGAGGAAAATTAATTGGATGCGTCCACAGTTCGCAATATTTTCGTCTGCCAACTGAAACAAGGGGATTAGAAATTCTGGTTGATTGTAAGTTAAAATTGAGGCATCCAAATCAAAATCGCTGGAGCGTTGAAAAGAAATGATTGGGTGAAATTATGATTTGCCAGTAAAAGCATCCGTACAGCCCACAGGAAACTCAAATTTCTTGGATGCAGAGGGCAAAGGGGAGAAAGTAAAGATGAGCTGGATATCTTACTTGTTAATGAGGAATGAGAACCAAACACTGAAAATGGATATGTTGTGTTTGTAGCGTAATATACAAATAATATCAAGGAATATTTTTCGGTATATGAAAGTCCATTGGTGTAAAACAGATTTTTCTAGCGTTTGAAAATTTCGGCACGATAAAATTTTGGTTTCAACAAAATTTGTGGGTGGGGAGTAATTTTCAGTTGCCCTGCTTCACTGAAAACAAATCCCACCAAAATTTTTGGTACTTAATGTATTTTGCCAATACATGAACTTTAAAGCTACAAACTTTTTGAGAAAATATGAAAAAATTTTTAGTGACCAATTTTAAGTTTAAACTGCTAAACTCACCCACATTGCTAATGGAAAACCAAGCTTATTTGATCTTGAAGCTAAAATGAAAGAAAACACCAGGTCAATTGACTGCTATTAATTCGCAAACAAAATTAAATTGCTACACTCTTATACGTTGTGAAAATTTGCATTCTAAAAAATAAAATTGAGACCAAAGGAAGAAAGAGAAAAATCAAAAAATTCCATCAAAGATAGAATCAGAAATTAGCTGGAAACTGTTTACTATCAAGTCAAAATGTTCCTTAAAACACAAATTTCTTAGCCAGATGTTGCTCAGCAAGGAAATCATTCTTCTGAAATACTAATAGGAAACACAAAAAAGATTTAAAATATGACTTACTCTAATCTTAAAGTGTGGAAAATAAAAAGTGAAACAAGGTTTCTTAAAATTGAAGTTCTAACATACCTCTACCATCTCCAGCATCATTTGAAGTTGCTATACCAGACTCTGGTAATTCAAATTTCCCATCATATGTTCCTTCATGTTTTTTAAATGAATGTGCTTTTCTTTGATGGTGGCCCTTATTTTGATATTCTTTAATCTTTTTATCTTTTCCTTTTCCCATAACAATTTGCCTCTATCACATCAAGCAGGATACAGCAGTATGCTTTTTAGATCTGAATACAACAATAACTGAATATTCATACCTTGAAGATGCCAAATTTAAAATATCTAAAATAATTTTAACTTGAAAAATTACCAATTCTTTTGTAACCAATTACTGGTTACTTGGTCAACTTTTACTTTAAAACACCTTTTGTACAATGAGCTGTTCATGTCAAAGTTTTCCAAAACATTGTGGTGACTAAACAGCTTATGCAAACAGGTAACAAAGGTTCCAAATCCCCCAACTTGGGCATGAGTCTCCTGATTTGAGAGTTTTTCTCTCCTTCTCTGGATTTCAAACCTAACCTGCTTTCTGAAACTTTTTTAAATCTGTTCTAAAATCCCAATACGAAAAAGATGTACATGTCTGCTTGTGAAGTTTGCTATCATATTTTTCAGATGTTTAAAGCATAGCTGGTAAAATTTACTCTGGCTCTTGATTCAGATCTTTTCAGTTCCTTGAACAAGCGTGAGGTCTGTCTAGCCAGATGTATTGTTTACATTTAGGACATCCTGCCAATCAGAGGCAGCCATTCTTAAGTTTCATAGTTGATGCAACCTGCTCTAGCTATTAGAATTTTAATCAAAAAACCACAGCCTCCTACACAGCCTACTATACTTTCTCAGAAATGCCAATGATTAGGAAATAATTTTTTCAGTACACTTTCTAAAAAAATTACTGGTTCACTAAGCCATGCAGAGGCTGGTGCACAGTAGAAACACAACCAATGGTTTTATTAGCGACGAAAAATATGTTTGGTTCCCAGTGGCGGTTTTAGGGACTGCAGGGCCCCGGGCCAAAAGCATCTGCAGGGCCCTTGTTCTTTACAATTTCTATCTTTTTTCTTAGGTATGGGGTCCCGTTTGGATATCATAAGCATGGGGCCTGGGGCCATGGCCCCCCTGGACCCCCCTTAAAACTGCCACATAATGGTTCCTTACTACAATATGATGTTTCCTGATGAATTGCTTAGCAAAAATGTAAATCTGTGTGTATGAATCAAAACAGAGAAGATTCAAGTTTAACATGCATCAAAACCAGCGCATTCAAATATATTTGCCATCTCAATCTTCCCTTTATAGAAAGTTGTTATCACATATTTATAGAAAGTTGATTCTTATTAGTTAGGGATAAGCTTTATGGTTTGAAGGGAAGTAATTTTTACAAGGGCTGCTTTTGCAAATTTCATGGGCATTGATATTTTCAGACGGGCTAAATTCGTTTATTTCATTCAAATTTATTAAAATAAAATACGTCCGATTTCAAATATTTTTAGGTTGGAACGTCTCAGGTAGGCCTAAGGTTTTTTGCTAATGCAGGTTAAGTGTTTTGACAGCCTATTGGTGATACAGACCTGGTCATACAAAATTTAGTAAGAAAAATCATCTTCCTTTTTATTGCAGATCGATGATTTTTAAGGCATAGATTTCATACCATGGTTCAATCCACTTTTCTTGAGCCATGCACGACACATGAATATAATTTTGTCTTCTAATCATTTATTTGCCATTGCCTTAATAACGACCGTCCCACCTTTACTCTGGACATTTGTCGTTGAGATCGTTGAGGTGGATTGTTATGACTATGATTCAATTCAATTCATCACATCTTTGGAGAAGAAGAAGCCTATCTTGTTGACATTCTTTTAAGAAAAAGTGTATATTTTGATCTTTGCAGATATTAAAGAAAATTAACTTCTGAATTTTTCATGATTTTATCCAAAAACTCAAATATTGATTAAATGAAGCCTTTGAATTATCTATCATATTTTTTAGCCTGCATCAGCATCACAAACCATATGAAAAAAGGAAAAAAATATTAGGCCTATGTTAAGTGTGCAAAATCATGGTTCTATACCTGGCTGATAAGCAACAATGTAGCCTATGCATCAGTGGAGTTATTATGAGGTATCACGATTAATATTCGCAAATAGGTCCCTATATCGTTGTTGAGTACACTGCTGGCTTACAATTTTTATAAGATAGAAGAAAATTAGCATAAGTCGTTTGGTATCAACAGCTTAAAAGATGATTTTCCTTTGGGAAACCTAACCCCTGCCAGCTGTGCATTGTGCCTAGCCAGTTGTGTTTGCCATAAAAAGAATAAGGAGTCAGTGTCGTGCTAGGTCACTGCAACATGCATGTGTAGGGGATGATAGGTGATGCACTAATCGAAACCAACCAAGTTTAGGCCATTGTGATAACGTAGAAAACCATCCCACGCGAAGCAGGCTTATTCTGTTCAACGTATAAATAACTTATGAGTTTTCACAACAGCCGTGAAGTTGGCGTTTATTCGCTTATTCGCAAAAAGAAATGAGTTGTTTATAAGAATATCAAAGAGCCGTTATTACAAGAACAAAGAAGCTGACTTCCTTCCAAGCTGTTACGCTTTCTCAGTCATTCAAAAGGTATCTGAAACAGGCTCTGCAGAAAACTGATGAATTACTCTAGGCATCTATCTTCTCGAATAACAAAAGTTCCCGCTGTGGTCACAAAGGAAAAGTCTCACAGTGAGCGCAGGTTTCTCAAAATGGCTGTTGTATATTCATTTTTAAAGAGCTCAGCTGTTACAAAGAATTTAAAATAAAAATTAATGCGAGTGTGCTTTTTATAAATCACTAAAAATAATTCTAGTGCATTCTTTATCTTATTGAATGAGACAATTTCATTGCAAAAATGGATTTTTATTCAACTACGTTGCATGAATTTTTACGACAAATTTAAAGTCCACTAAACAACAGTTTTGCATGACATTTTTAGTAGCACTGCGAATAAGCCGATGAAATCTGCCCTGTTATCATGAGAGAATCTTGAAAAAATTGTTTTCTTTTCTAATTGTTCATCTGAGGATGATCATGTTTTCGTGTTGCTCTATTTTTAGCCAAAAGGCGCTTATAAGAACTTCGGACCTAAAGATTTCCATGCTAAATTCACAAAAGCAAATACCTATTACAGAAAATGTCTCATTAATTTCAATGAAAGGTAGATAATGTTCTATAATGTAGACAAAAGCCATAAAATAAATCCACAAATCATGGTTATATTGCAGAAAACCTACCCTAGATTATTTAGAATAAAAAGTCTCCTCGACGTCTAGCAATGTTTTAACACATAGGTTATTTCTCTACTGTTTTCTTTTTTTTCAATGATGGTTTGGGGTAGCAAGACTCAAGATAGAAATTTTGCTTCGAGTGTAGCAGGGGCGGCTCGGAGTGAAAATAAGTAGGTAATCAACTTTCTAACTACGCCCTTTTTCAAAAGGGAAACGCCCATATTTTGCCAATGATATAAACATACCCACACCCTTCCTTCTGAAGTAGTATTTCTGAAGTAACACTCATAACAAAGTATGCAAGCGTTTAAGCATTTTCTATGATATTAAAGCCAATAACATTAGTGTGAATATATACTAGAACATGATACAAGAAAGTTCAAATAGAATTGAAAGCAAATTGAGAATCAAATACCTAATTCAAATATATTTAAAAAACCAGATTAAAAAACTATAAAAACTTCACTTTGCAGAAATTAAAAATCTTTATCTATTAAGAACCTAAAAGTTCACAAAAAAATGCACATTTTTCACCCTGATATTATGTCCTGATCATTATGAGCTACAAATCTTGTGCACGCAAAAAGAAATCACCAAACATTTGCGATGAAGCCTATGGTCACATCACAATGCCAATATTTACTGGCTGTATTTTGACATTTATAGTTATGAAATTTGCTATAGTCTTTTGAATTGAACAGTAGGCTTTTAGCTTCTAAGTACGCATAATCTCTCTGGTGATTTATACCTTTAATTTGAAACTACATGCATATCAAAATGTAAAGATTTTTTGTTACAGGCTGACTTTTTTAATGCAGGTCTACAACTTGAAACAGCCAATCTTATTTCCTTGAAAATCTTTCAAAGCGACGTCGGTTGATTGTTTTAAAACGGCTGACAACGTTGTCTTTAAAAGAAGGTCTAGCTGCAAGCAACTTCAGCAATCGATTTTCCACTTGAAGAAAAACTAGATTTTCCTTTCTGGTTTGGAGCATCTTCGATCTTAAAGCGGAAACCACACGCTTCATTCTGCTGAAAACTCTCTCACAGTGAACACTCGTAAGTGGTATTGTTACGACAAGCTCCAGCAACTTTACCACTTGTGGAGGGGCATCAGAAAGGTCAGCACTCTTGATTACAAAAAGAAGATCTTGAATGGTTGGCATGCCTTCCTTTACCAATTCAATCTCCAGGTTGCCGCCTTCTTCAACTTCGAACAGATCTCGCTCTTCTACATCTTCTGTGTCACTTGCGGCATCTGCACCAACTTCCACCTCTTTTCGAGCACGTTTTCTTCGTCGAGCTTGCTTTTGCGCCGCCAAAGCATCACGCTCGCGTACCAACTTTTTCAGCAAAATAGCAATTTCGTTATTGTTGTACAATACGTTCAGATTATATTCTGTAGCTGTCGTATCATCCACGGCAAATGGGTAATGTTTCCGAAGCTCCTCGATCAGCAGTCTTTGCTCCCGCACAGTTGCTTCTTTTCTCTCATTAAATTTGCTTGGATGCACTAAATTCATCCATTGGAATTTTGAGAGGTTTGCAAATCGCCAATCGAGTTGCTCCGTAAACTTTGCAACAATTTCTTTGCCGAGTTTTGTAAGAGTTGACCTCCAGCTCTCCTGTGATCCATCATTTCCTTGCTCCATTGCTCTCCATCCTCCCCTATTGCGAACGGTAGGAAGCTCAGGATCAGTAAGTAGAGTATCTTCCCAAACTCCATCAAAATTGAAATTTGCCAAGACTCCTTTAAAATAATTTATCATTGAGGTCAGCTGTATGGCATCCAGGGTCGTTTTCTGCATTGTGACTATTATGGGAGTACAGTGCTCGAATATCTTCCTGTACGTCTTGAGCAAAAACACAAACTCGACTTGCTGCATCTGTGTCCCTATTCCACGAGCTTTTGTCTGAGTATCTGCCTTTTCGTTGGAAGCATTTGAAAACTCGTATAATGCAGCACCGATATCCTCATAAAATGAATCTATAACGCCAATTGCTGTGTCACGCGATAGCCAGCGAGTGTCTCCAGGTCTTGGAAGGCTATGTCCCAGATGTCTACTGCGTTTTGGACTGCTACGAAAGAAATTAATCATTCTGTCAATCGTGGCGAAGAATTTGGCTACTTTTGGAATTTTAGTAGCGGATTGAGAGGCACTCAATGACATCCTGTGAGCGACACAATGATTGTAGTAGGCTACAGGAAATCTTCTTTGCATCTGCGCCTGAACACCATTTAGCTCACCGCTCATCGTCGCAGCTCCATCGTAAGATTGGCCGACAACCTTCTCACAGAAAGCATCTGGGACGATTTTGTATTTTGCGAGGGTATTTAGAAGGGCTGTGGTTAGGCCATCTGCTGATTGGTCGTCACTCACGTCGATAAGTCCCAATAAATGCTCCTCCACTTCTCCTTGGTGAATGAGCCTGACAGAAACTGCTGACTGCTCGACATTGCTGATATCACTAGTATCATCCATCATGATTGCAATAAAATTCGAAGTGTGGATTCGATTTTGAATCTCACTGCGTACTTCTTCAGCGATGCAATCGATGAGGTCATTTTGCGGATCATGGGATGTGTACGTCACGTGTTCTTTGTCTAAAAAGGAGCGCAGTTCGTGGCTATAGCATGCTAGGAGGTCCATAAGCTCCAGGAAATTGCCCCGGTTCGATGACCGTTTGGACTCGTCGTGAGCACGAAATGCGAGCCCTTGGCCAGACAACAGCACAGAAATATCAATGTGGTGGTGCAGCATCTTTGTATACCGTGATGCGTTGTTGTTGTGTCTTGTCACTTCTCTTTGCCTGGCCTCATCTATAGCACAAGCGACATCAACGTTCCCAAGCAACTTGTATGACGTGTGGTTCATCATATGCTTTTTTGATGATTGATGGCTGCCAGCAACATTTACAAGGTTCCGTCCAGTCGATTTGAAACCGTTCACTTGCACAAATGAACCTTTCATCTGTTGAATTAGATAAAATTCAACGTTAGATGTATAGAACCAAAATTACAAATATTTCAAACCAGATATTTCCAAGTATAGGCACAAAATTCTTCTAAAATGTGCTCTTTACAGGATGTATATTCATGTTTCAAAATGCTTTTAATCTCGAAGATATTTATAATTCAAACAAAGCACGAAATGAAGGGAAAATTGATTAAATTTCTTCCATTATTATAATACTGGATTTAGCAAGCCATTCACCATATCTTTTATGTACACCCATAACTAAAGCTAGAATTTAAATTATTTTTTTAAGAAACTGAGAACTAAGAGTTTAAGACAGTAACAAGTAAATCGAGAATACAGGCAAAAAAATGAAGTGAATATACAGCAAGATGTTTCCCTTTAGCTTCCTAAGTCATATTTTCTAGAACTTGAGTTTCTTATTTTTTTTGCAATATCAGGGTTCAGTTTCTTATAAGCGGTTTACTCTCGATATTAGGCCGTAGGCTTGCGGCTCTTATTCATGTGGGATTCAAACAGTCTCGTGTTTATCCTCTACGGCCTCCGTGGCCTTCACGGCCTTTATACTCCTAGCCTCCAAAAGGGCAAGGTAATCGCTGGCTGATTTGACTACCTTGGTCTGAGAGGTCTTGTTATGTGGATGTCAAATGACCTTGGATCGTAATTTTGGTACGATGTAATTTGAAAACCAACCCAGATATGTTTATAGAGCTCCAGCCTAATTAATGATTCGCATACGATTTTATTTGATTTACTTCAATTTACTTATTGAACCTCATATTATTTTTTGACAGTAAAATATGAATCTGGTCATATGAAATTATTTAAACAAAATTTAGTAAAATATACGCTTACCGTTGATATGTCACCCATCACTAGACAGGGCCAGCAATAAAATGTCTCCTTGCCTTCTTCATTTTCTCCGCCACATATCCATGAAAAAGATTCATACACCGAAGCACTCGTTCTCCCCGCATACTTTATTCTTGGACACGGCCTTCCATCTTTCTTTAGGCGCAATCGTTGTTCGTGACTCAAATTGTTACTTTGTGCTGCACGTAGTGAAAAAATTTTCGAAACACCCCATCTAATATCGTTACTCAAAACTCGATCCATGACAAAAAATTTAATTTTTCAAGAGCAACAGTGCTAAGGTAATCGGGTTGCGGAATGACTATGTTGCTGCGAGGCGCTCTCCCTTTTAAGGCCGTTTGTTCAATAAAGAATTACGTCACGACGCCCACGAAGACAAATGTGTGGTAATCAGGAAGGGTCATGATTACCTTCGCGGCCTCGTGTTGTGTAGGCACGGCCATGCTAATCCTCAAATTCAATAGCTATCATATTAAACAAAAGCGATGTTTGCAGAAAGATTCTCAGCTAATTATCGACTGTCTGTGAAACCATGGTAAAGAAAGCAAGAGGGCAATGAGTCAATATATGTCATAGAGCACAATAAGAGGGCTCCACCTCGTTGTTATGACGCAACAACTGTTTAAAACTTCGAAAACGTCATGTTTTGTATGACTTTGCGAGAAACAAAATAGCTCTAAAATTCTTGAAGAAATAGGTAATCAGCGATTACCTTGATTACCCCCCAACGCCGCCCCTGGAGTGTAGTTAAGGTCCAGTGTCCTAATGGCCTATTCATATGAGGAGGGGTAGGCCACTGAGGTGAGATCTAGCCCATAAAGTGATTTGTAGTGTGGTCAAAGACAAAGAGAGTGGGCTGGCCCACCTAGATGAGGTGCAATTTCTGACCCGGTGGGATTCGACTCAGGTGCGATAAAAATTTCTGATATGTAAACGTTTCAGTAAACCAGCACATCAAGGTAGGATGCAAAGACCAATGCTCCAGTTGGACAAGCTTGAAAACAAAGGCTTCGTTTATATTGGATTTGTGGCTATCCCACTCAAGTGGGACGAAAGCTCATCATATGAACGAAGTCGTGAATCTTCCCACCTCATATTCAATCTCATATTAACAGGCCATCAGTCAATCTTCATAAGAAATGATTTGTCCCAGAAGAATTGAGCAGAATAAATAAAAACAGATTTTAGAAGATGCCAAAAACACTTTATTATACATATACATGCAATCTCTACGGCAGTGAATGGGTATTCCTTTACAAAATTTAGTAAAACCAGTGAAGTGTTATTGTCTTAGAAAAAGCTTAAATAATATATAAATAATATCTAGATCAGTTAATGTGTGTACGGACTTGGTAAATAAAAATGTACAATTGCCTTGCCAATGAAGAGAACATACGAGGGTATAAGGAGGCAGGAGTGAGTATTTGGGGGTACGTATCAGGTGTGATACTCCCAAGACGCTAGAAGTTAAAGAACAAACAAACCTACACGGTTCTTGCAAGGGGCGATGTTTAGTGGACTAGCAAAATCTAATGGCGCTTTCAATTAATGATTTGCATCCATAAAATCCAACTTCTTGGTGTTATTAGCTATTTTTCTTCGGTCGGACAAATTTTTCTTGTAGTTAACTCTTTTCCAATGGCAGTACGAGACATAAACCTAGTTTTCAGTTTAGATGAAGTTTTACCACTCAGCACCCACCCACCCCCCCCCCATTCCCCCTTAATCCAAACGTAACTTCAATACGTTTGCTGCGCCACGTGAAATTTTAATAATTAATAACCAAGCCCTACTCTACATGTGTGGTTACGTTAAAATATTTTTATAGCATAAATCTTATTTTTAACAAATTCTAAACGCAAATTCTATTTAAACTAAGCTCACAACGCAAAGGCTAACACGCAAATTCTATGTATACTAAGCTCACAACGGCATTAAAGTGTTTTTAAGAAAATCCATGCGCGAGATGTTTTCGAGAAAAGTACTATTATCGATAATTGGTGCAGCGACTGTCGCAAATAGCATGATAGTTTAGTGGTAAATTTTAAAAAAGACTAGGTAGGCCAAAAGACTGTAGCTTTATCGTCGGGCTTCACAGTTATTACTATTCAAAAGGTAAGCAAGAACAACATTGAATGATGAAAAATGACTTGGTGGGATAATTTTATATTATTGTAAAACTTAGTATAGTATACCTTAAGAAACCATAGTATAATTTTATTATGCTGTTTGTAGCCCTATGTGCTGGGGCAAAATAATAGCTAATTTTATTCAAATAATTTCATATAAAGCAGAACTTTTCCTGCAATTACAATGTTCTCTATTGTTTTACGGTACTCATGGCCAAGGTTTGTTTATGATGTCATCAGAAGCTTCTAGTTACTCGCCGAAGGGCACCCATCTTATCATGTTCCCGATACACCTTAATTTTGGCTTAAAACCAGAGGCTTAAAGTACTCTGAATCAGTCAATTTTTTATATAGAATAATAAAATCTGCAATGGCTATAGAATACTATGTTTACACCAGACAATCATTTTTTCAATCTACGTAGTATAATGTGACTAGACAAAGGTCGAACTCGACCTGGAGAGGAGCAAAAAGAATCTATGAAACGCAATTAAACTGGACACCTTGTGTGACTGTATCAGCTGAATAAAAAACACTTTAAAGTAACTGAAATGAAACCAAATTTAGTCAAAGTGACTATATGGCTTTTCGCCGTTGTTTGAAAACTGTTTTTGAGCCTAGAAGACGTAATTGAACATCGTATCCTTAATAAAGATCTGGTAGAAAGGTTTAAAACGGCAACGGCCATAGTTTCATTGGCTCTAACGCAAAAACACGAAAAGCATGACTGGGGTAACAGAAGCGTGGTAAGTCTACAAGGGAAAAGTAAGAATGAGACCCAAATAAAGAAGACCAGTCAAGAAAATAGGGACGCTAATTCCCCTACCCAGCCCCCAAGATAAAAATTTCTTTACAGCATCCTTTGCTGTGGCAAGAGAGATATTTAACGATACTTGCACTCATACTGAACAGATATATTTGTGCACCTTATACGATCGGAATTTTCTTGCAGTTTATTAGTCAAATTGAGAATTACTTTTTTTGTAAATGAATGAAAATTTTACGCAGTTTTGTCGCCCACAAGCGCTGAATCGTTTCTCCTTTGAACTCTCTCCGCCTTCGTGGGTCATTGGTAATTGAATCACCGAAATCCATGAACATAAATAATGGTATTGCTACAATAATTTCAAGTGTCTGAACGAGATGTCGTTCTCAATTTTTTTCGCCTAGGCCCTGGTGTTTGTGGTGCGTTATTAACAAATGAAATCCAACGTAGATGATGATGTAGATACGACTTAAGTCCAGATGAGAGTGGCAGCTGTTCTACAGCCTCTGGCGTATGCTGAATGTTTTTGCTTACCTCCTTAACACAAAGATATTGCAACGAGAAGACTGTACTATGGCTGCATTCAAGTTTCATTCTTGTTCTTGCTGCGGTGGATGCGATGATAGGGTACAGCTGTTACCCTGAAGACCCTCCGCAGCTACCCCTAGCAGCCTGCCATCCTTGAAAAATGATAACGTACCTTTCCACATGTCTAAATGTATACCTATAATTGTTCCTCTTTCAAACTTTTCAGTGTAATCTCTTGTCTTTCCGCCATTTTGAAAAGTACCAAAGTAGGATAAGCCCCAGCTTTCTGAATCGCGTCCTAACATGCTGCAAAATTGCGACTTGTATTTATCTAATTCTACCTCCTTAGTTCCAACTCCAATCATCTAAAAAAATAAGAGATATAAAAATAAGAGAAATTGATAGCTTTCTAAACATCTTTTCAGAAGCTACATGGACTTAGCTGCTTCTAAACGTTTTGTCTCCTATGCCGACGAGAAGCTATAACAGACCATAATATACAGGGTAGTTAAAAGCAGCGCTTTAGTTTTCATATCGGATAGGGGCACTGTCTACATTACACAAGAGCAGTCCGGTACGAGATGCTCAAGAATCTGAGTAAAAATCGATTTGCTTTGTACTTTATATGAAAAGCACTTCAGCATACTTTTGTGTATTGTAAATGGTTCTATTCTGATACACATGCTCTAGAACCTCGCTTTTAAAAAGATTTTTTCCTTTTGGTACTATTTATATCATGTGCGTTTGATTGGTTCCATTACAAACAATTCTGCCTTTGTGGTGTATTAATGAAGAAATGTTCGAAAAACAAGATTTTAGAACAAAGTACTGGTGATGGTAGAACAAGATTTGTGAAACCATCTGAGAGCAAATACGAGCAAGTGACCAGGGCACAGTTTGGGACTGCAAGCAAGTACCAGAAATCGTTGATACCATACCAATCTTTGAAAATCCCCATTCTCAGGCAAAAACCAAAACTGGTGTTGAGAATCTTCAGGCAAGATAGAAATGGTAAATTTTCATACAGCAGTAATCATAGTATTGTCATAAAGTTTTGAAATCATTACTCATTTTTGCGCTTGTGAAAAAGACCTTTGCCCCACAACAAAGCCAACTATCTGGAGGAAGTCTGAATTTTTCAGCTATCGTGGCTGTGTTTTAAATTGAAACCAAGACACATCACTTGCGAACTCACAAAGTGTAATGCAACGACTAGCTTTCTATAAGAAAAACATCATGAAGATATCACTTAATGTGGCATGGGATCGGGGTACCATGCTGAACTCTAGAGATTGTGGTTGTATTTACGGGGGTGACTTCATACAATAATGGTGGCATTTTTGTTATGATGCTGAAATCTGGGGACCACAAAACAGAGAAGTAAATGGGACTAAGCCGCCAATAATTTCAAAAATGTACTTGAAACCATACAAAATATTGCCCTCTTCTAGATTTTTGGAATGTTTAGCCCTTTGAAAACATGCTAGATCACTCAGTACCCTTAAAATGCTCCCCAGTTTTTGATCTCCTTGCCCTAGAGTTAAAGACAGGAAAAAGGATGCTGTCAACAAAAGCTGTGACCATAACATTTGAAAGCTATTTTCATGAGTCCCAAATAGCGAGCCAAAAAGGTCTATATATTGTTTCAAAATCAAATAGCAGCACTGAATTATTAAGAGTATCAATGTATCAACGTATCAATGTATCAATTTCCTTGGGGCAAGCTCCTTAATCAAAATTTCTTTACGATGTGCAGTTTCTTTTTGAATTTGTTTAGTGAAAGGTGATTTGGATTTCTGGATTTTTTCATCTTGTATTATGATAAATTTTCAAATTTGTCAGCATGAAAATGTTTCCAAATTTTGCAGCAATGCTGCATGGCAGAAATCTGCTACATCCCAAAAGAAAACATGGAAGTACTCCCAGAGGTCAGGAAAAAATTATCAGGTAAACAAACATTTAAGGTCTTACTAATTACCATATTAACAATCTAAAACAGCACATGGCAAAACAGGATAAGCTCTTTTTGAATTTTTGCTGGTTCTGCTCTTTCTACAGAACCATAGCCAGCATGTTCCTGCCATGATATAACTCAAGACAAATTATCCTTGCTTGGCAGGTTCTGTATAAACACAGAAGTTGATTGTGACTATGATTAGGATCTAATAAAACTATGGCAAATATTTGTAGCACATTCAATGCATCAAAAACAAACAAGCAAACATTGCTCAACAATGTGAAAAAGAAAGATAAGTCCAGCAAAACAAAGTTATATTCTGCTTTGAGAAACAAATCCTTATAATGTTCCATTCCTCTCTACTTCATATAAAACTATATTCTTGAACTATTTTATCATAACACCTTTCAGTGCTTCTTCTCACCTTGAAGTTTAAAAAGAAATGATACATACCATATCGGTACCATACACTGCACTGGCCATTTTGACTTCCCAGTAGTGTTCCCAGCCACTTAGCAACGTGTGGGATCCTCTAACTGCAGCAGTACCACAACTGTAATCTGGGTGAAAATAGGCCTCTGTCCCACCACTGCAAATAATAACATCATCCGATTTCTTCTTCTCATCCCAGATCCATGAGAAATCTGTGCATGAAAAAATTAAGATCAAAATTCTATATTAATATTGCTCATGTGATATATCTGGTACCATTCTGGTCACCAAATCTGATAAATTGAATTTATTAGACTAGATCTGGTGCTGCATCTATTTCTACAATGGCCCATACCTTCCAGGAGCATTTTAATCAGAAGGAAATGTTAAAAAACGTCAGAAAAAACCAGCTTGATGTATAATTCATTTAGTATTTCTATTGATATAAAACTTGCAGGGGTTGATTACAAATGCCACAATATTTAGTCTGTACTTAGTACTTGTTTTTTTATCTTGTTTATTAACATGGCTAACTTGAAGGTTTGTCACACAGTAAGTTCAGTTACCAGTTTCAAAGCTCAAAATCAGGGCCTGTACGGCTTGAAATAACGGCTAAAGGCAAGAATCATTCAAAGATTTTTCTCCAAGAAATAAAAAATTCTTATAAAAATCAATAACTGTAGTCTGGCTAGAAATGTATGCCTAAGGAGAAGAAGGTAAAATTAAATAAACAATACAAAAAACGAGCAACACACCTTCGGGATTAGGGCACTTGTTAATATCCCGTTCCTCGTCTTCAAAACAATTATCTTCGCCACTTCTGCTCAAAATGTGCAAAAGCAAATCTTTTCTACTTTTGTCCATCTCTTCTCTAGACCTGAACCAAGAATTTTTAGACCTGCCTGGCAAATCGCCAGTCCCGTCATCAAACCGCGATGGCTTGCGATTTGGATTTGACATTTCAGTCTAACTTTGAAAACTTGGCAGATTTAATAAAATATCTAAACTTATTTTACCTTGAAAATAAAGCCAAAGAAATCTTCAATGACTTCTTGCGGAAACACTTCTCGCTAGCGTCCATGCTCAACCTACACCTGTGACAATATATCCTTCTGTTTACAAGCGGAAAGGACGCCATGTTATGATTCAGAACGAGGTTGCTGGTACCAAACGACGCTGGATGCGAACCGTATCCAAGTTTTAGCACGAAGTTCGTAGAGGGGGGCAGGAGGGGATCAAAGATAAGAGAATTGAAGTTTGGGTTAACCCATCATCGGGGCTGGAAGGACAATTACCCCTAGTTAGTAAATTTCAAGAAAGGCCTTGGTCTAGTGTCAAATTAAGGGCTTGTCTTCTTGAATGGTTGTTGTGCGCATGACGCATACACTACATAACGGGATATCTTTTTCTCCAAAAGGCGAGGAATTTCCTTCCAACACACAAACAGTTTTATCTATACCTTTAAGGAAGCATGCGTGCCAATCGGGTAAACATGGCCTTGAATACTTCACAGTCACTCCTGCCAAACTCTTTAGATAAGATTGAAACGAAATCAATGAATTGAATATTGTCTTGTTGATAAACAGACAGGTTGAAGCACACTGAAATGAAAAGTATATTCAGTAGCAACTGAGATAATGGATCACCTTGATGGGCTTGAAATTACGGCAATTTGAGATAATGATACGGAAATGAAACGCATAATACAACTACATCCGCTTAATCATTCTAATACTATTCAAATGGTACAACAACATTGAAATTTTGCAATGTCATTAAAATTGCTTACATAAGTACAACAGCTGCACACATTTTATTAGAACATAGCTCATAAAAACGCAACTCTTAAGAATACTCAAAACTAAAATCAACGGGAAGGCTTAATAGAGTTCTTAACCGATAACGTCACAAAAATCTGTTTTTAGAATTTTTGAATTATGATTCCATACTTCAAATGGGCATCATGAAATACCTATAAATAGCGAACTTTGTCAAATGTGGCCAATTGGCTGAGATATGGCCACAAGAGCACATGCTCTTGTCTCATCATACCTCATACTCTATCCGTTCAAACTCTGGTTCACAACTCTATGAACAGAACCAAAATTACGGTAATCCGTTAGCTAACTTCAAATCTATATTGGTCATATCTCACCCGAATCTTTCAGAAATTCAACAGATTGTGTATATTTAGAAGCATATCATAGTGCTCTTGTATGTAATGTGTTCAAAATTCAAAAATTCTAAGAACACGTTTGTTTGTGACGTCACACTTTAGAACTCTATTGGACTAATACTAAGAACATTCCATAGCATTTCGTGATATGTATAATGTATGTATAATAATATTTTAAAGTGAATAACAAACTAAGTTTGAAAACTTGTTTTCAGTTTGGTTCACAAATTAAATGTACAAAAAAATTAAATTTAACCAATAAGGAAATAAAAAATTAGAAGAAACCTAATACAAAATTCAAATAATGATTTATAAACCTATAATGATAGTTAAAAATGCTATTTTAAAATCCATCCATACTTATTAAAAGAGTCCGACTTGAGTTTGTCCATTAAATGATTTTTACATTTATTTTTAAAAGAATGAATATTGTCACATTGCCTCAATGAATTGGGCAAACAGTTCCAAATCCTTGCTCCATATTGTTTAAAGGAGTTCTTAGAGCCTCTTGGAATATACATGCATCCCCGACTGGCATTTCTTGTTCCATGTCCATGGGTATCTGCAACTTTCACGAATATTTCTGAAAGGTATGGTGGAGCAGCTCCTATGAAGATTTGAAACATGACGGTACAAATGTTGTACTCAATTCGCTGGTGCAGAGGTAGCCAATTAAGTTTAATAAATAAAGGCTTGCTAGGTGTCCTTCTGTTACAGCTATAGATCAAACGATCACATCGCTTCTGTAGTTTTAGGAGTGTTTCGATCTGGCCAGCGCTAAGGTTATACAGGACTGGCGAGCAATAATCCAAATGGCTTAGGACAAGCGAGTTGGCAAGGAGGATCAAACTACTCTCCGACACAAAAGGTTTAACACCTCTTATTATTTGGAGGCCATAATTGATTTTTTACAGGTATAATTCACATGTAAAGAGAGTGTTGCTCTAATGAGAACCCAAGACACTTGTAAGAGTTGACATACTCAATTTCTGCATTGTTGAGGGATAGGACGGCACGGTCTTTAAACATTGTTGCTTGTGACGGCTTACTGAAGATAATTACTTTTGTCTTGGCAGGATGAGGGACAAGATGGGTTATAGAAGAGTATAGACTAACACTGTCCAAGTCCTTTTGGATGATGGGAGTAAGACTACTGTGGGAGGGCCAATGTGACAGGATAGTTGTATCATCAGCAAACATCACTGTTTGGGAATCAATAAGGCTTGGTAGATCATTCACATATAATAAGAACAGAAGAAGTTCGAGGATGGAGCCCTGAGGTACACCAGTAGAAATTATTGCAGGACGAGATGGCTTTCCATTGAAGTCAACTAACTGCGTTCTACACTCTAAATATGAGGACAGCCAGTGTAGCAAGTGATACTGTATTAACACTACCGTTGTGAGTGGAAATGACGCTTAAATGTCCTTCTGGAAGATTACTAAGAACATGAAGGCTTTTTATAATAAAGAATCATCTAAGAATAGTTGAAGTCTTGACCATCTCGAATGTTCTTATAAGAAAATACGTTCACATGAAAAAGGCGTGGTTTTCGGACACCAAAGAAGAACTCTCACGAGCTTACAGGCAAGTGTTACATTTGTGGATCCGAGCAGAGAGAGACATATAATGATCAAGACACTTGTACTTTGTAACTCAGATTCTGATCGTCAACCCTAGCCTAGTACTCTAACTCTTCTGATATATCCCTGGTTAATGTAGCATGTAATGACGTTGATGATATAGGTTGTTGACACATACAAATAGGACAATGGCAATGGATCATTACACAAGATGCCCCTTGTCAGACTGCTTTTCATTACCAAAACAATTTTGTGACACTTGTTTGCAAACAGCAGACAATTAACTGCATTAAACGAAATCAATGCTTCAAGTTCATTTGAACTGTTCTGTTCAATAATCATCCTTTACGTCTTTTGATAAAACTTTGCTATGTTGAGTTGATCACATTCATCTTATCAAGCATCAAATAACTCTTGCCCGGCTTGATAATCTTGTTTTCCCAGGTGTTCATGATGTTGGTCTTACTCTGAAATTGATTTTTCTTTTTTTGCTCACTATAAATTGTTTCTAAGAAAAAACAGTTTTGAAACTGTTCGTTATTTCTACCAATTTTTCACACGAGGCTAGAAACAAACATTGTTCCTACTTTTTTGACGAATCGAGCCTCGGCGTTCGTTTAAAGTGTGTTCTTATAAAAAGAGTGCACGTGTTAAGAGATTTTTTTCTATATTGGGTAACGAGATACGTCACGCCAAACATGAATTTTGCACATTCTAATATAGCATCCTGTAAACAACCATTTAGCATTGTTGTTGGTTGTGGCCCAATATGAGTCACATATTACGAGTATTGGAGAGGTCTCGAGTTTTTAGGTTGGCTTTTTGGCGATGGACTTGGTCCAAAGAATCAGTATAAGGGGATACAATGAAATTGGCATAAAGGAAATAGTCTTCTAGCAGAGGCAAAAATAAACCTGATTGACTATGTAAAGCGTATATTACAAAGCATTGAAATTGCCAATCTAATGCCCGTAGGCACACTTAAAAAGAAATTTTATTCTAGCAGCGGCATTTCTGAGATTCATGAGTGGTTAGTTTCATTTCCTATCATTTTCTCCAACCATCCCACGAGAACCCAATACAAATTCAAAAACATGTTGTCGGATCCACATTCGTTAAACATTAAAAGGCAATTCTTACAATTTTTCTAGAATTGCTAATTGCATGGTCGTGACCGAGTAACAAAGCTTACGAGACCTTCAATTTGAGAATGGAAAATTACATTTAACAGATAACTTGAAGTAAGCGTTAAAAGACTGCTTTTTAAAACTTTGTTTAAAGTTTGATAAAAATTCTAGCTTAATTAAAAAAAATCATAATAAGCTAATTAATACCAACTAACATAACAACAAGATAAAGAAATATATATGTATATAAGGTTGCAAACTAAGATGAGCTACATAATCAATGTATCTAGGCTTATTGTATTTTGCGAAATTTCGCCTTTTGAAGATTTCCAGACTGGCTACATTTCCTATTTAAGTTGGTATACTGTTCCAAGTTTGACTACACCTGTAAGATACTGTTTCAGTTCCATATATAACTGTGTTTGGCTTTTTAGTGAAAAATGACTCATTTCTGAGAGGATATGAAGACTCATGAAATTGAAAATATCATTCATAAAATTTGGATTTTGGTTGATCTTGGTTTGATACATTTCTATGGCTAATCTCTGCAGGTTTTGTTGATGTATTGTTGAGGCGTTTTTATCATTATGTTGAGGCATCTTTCATAATTAAACCTTCAAAAGATGAGTCATAGTCATTATATGCCATCTTTAGTGCTCTTTTATGAACATTGTTGATTAAGTTGTTCATTTTTGAGCTACAAAACATCCAGACGATGGGGCAATAATTGAAGTAGGTAGTGATAAACAACTTCAGCAACAGTTTTCTCTTCTCTTCATTTGAATAAGGCGCTACTCTGGCAAGGACACTAATTTTTTTCCCAGCTTAATTACAAATCTTTTTTATGTGATGATCAAACTTTAGATGATTATCAAGTACTATTCCAATAAATGTTTCTTTATCTGTGTTTCTGATTCCTCAATTCACTCTCCCAAGAATCTACCCTCTGAGGTTCTATAATCATATATTTACATTTATCTCTATTTAGAAGCATACAGTTATCTTTGAACCAGCTATTTAGAGTGTTTATCTCAGATTCAAGCTTTGGGATCATATCACTAGTTGTGAGGGAAGTAAGCTAAAGGCTGGTAATACCTACAATCAGAGCGAAAAAGTAATAAAGTAACCAAAGACTAACTCAGAGTAAACTTCAGAACATGCTGACATTTTTGGTCGTCCTTGTAGTGTGCACATACCATGTTTCTTACAATTTGAAGCCTCATATTTCTGAGTATGCCTTTGGTCATTATTTCCGAGCTCTTGACCGATATGAAGCAATTAATATCAAGAAACAAAAAGCATTATTAAAGTTAGATTTCATCCAGGTTAAAATTTTGCAAAACATTTTCTAGCACCAGAGCCATGACAATTCGAGTATGAAAATGGAAGAGACGAGCGGAGGATGGATGGGCGTCTAGGAGGAATGAAGGTTAGGTATGGAAGATCAGTGCCATAGTTTTACACATCTATTTCTACTGACGTTGGATAAAGTCATTCTGCCTGATCCCTCTACCATAATTAAACCCTGAGTGCTGTCATGTCAAAGCCTCCGTGTGTTCTATATTGCCAAAGTTCGCAGAGATGACGCATGTATCACTCATCACTGTTACGAAAATCGTTTGAAGGAAAATAATTGAAGCCAAGGACTGAAATAAATTTATGGTTGACAGTTAGTTGAAAAAGAAGTTGAGATGAAGCATACCATCAAGGAGCAAGCGCCGCTTTGACTTTCTGTTTCATTAAAACGGACTTCCACAGAGTGCATTTCAAGTTCTATTCAATGCATTTTGCAAGAGTTTTGGAAAAAAACTTTACCTCAAAGAAAAACCTAACAGCACACTCACAGCCTATTTGAGAACGCAAAGGGCATATTTTTACCACTGAAAGAAAGAGGACCTGGAATTCTCAGTTAAGGCGGTAACTGGGAGGGGGTGTACAGCAAGCTTTGCTGGGGGCCCTGGTACCTTGGGTGCTAGAACCTCGTTGAAAGAATGGGTCGCAAGGTCTTTTGGGATGCCAGAAAACGCCTGTTTGAAAATTTTTCTTTTAAATGAGCGAAACCTTTGACTTATTGCAGCTGGACTGAGTCTTGATCTATCTCTGCTAAATTCTGTTCAACTTAAACATAAAATCAATATGGCGTTTTGTTAAAAATGACTTTAAATCGATTTTATTTCACTAAGATCACTTAAAAATTATCTCTCGGAAATTAAGTATGGGGACAGCCAGGAATCTATGAAAACAAATATAAAGACGATTATACACTCTTTTTTCACAAGAACAATTTTATCAGAACATGAGCTTCAAAATTTGCCAGAAGTTTTGAGCTGCTGTAAAATGTGATCTTGAACAATGTTGTAAATCTCCCTTAAAAAATTTCATCTCAAGAACGAGAAGATTTTGTCATTGAGGGGTGCTTTTTGGGTGAATTTTCAAACTTGTCGGCAAATAAAGGATGTTTCACTCACTTTGTTGCAAATGGGGACTGAACGCCTCACACTTGCTAGCAAATGGAATTGCTAGCAATCCACCCTCAAATGTAAACAAAATAAGAACAGCAAACCTGAAACTCAATTATAAAGAGTTCTCATTATAAAGAGTTTATTTGCGCAAATTAGGCTTAGCTTTGACAACAGATATTTTGAAAAATCAATTTTCATTACAAAGGCAAAATCATTAACTAACATGGCATTCCAATATCTAGCTTGAATAACAAGAGACATCTCAGATATTGTAATCTTCATAACTACATCTTTTTACCATTGTGCAAGGGCCCCTCGAACAAAGTTTGTAAGAAATTGTATGGTATGACGTACTACAGTAGTTGTTGCTGTTGTTGTCTTTTAATGTACACGTGAAGTATGCGTTAGGAGAGATTTGAGTTGAAGTTGATTAGAGAAGACAGAATTAGAACGGATCGAATTGGAACCTAAGTTAGAATCTACGGAATTATACAGTCCTCTATTGGAAATAGAATTTGAGCCTGAACCATATATCGTTGTCTTTCTTATCCTTTATCTACTATCTGTAGTACTAAACTTGGGCCACCAGCGTATATAGCAATTTCGCACAAAGTTTAACTAAGGACCCCGAACTGTTCCGTTACGCACGTAAGCGCGTACACCAACGTCATCTTCGCTCGCTGCGATGAAGGAACGTGAGTTAAGGCTTGGTTTCTGAGAGGAAAAGTGAGTTATGACATGGTTTTGTCTGAGAGGCAGGGGCGAAGCCAAACAATTTCTTTGGAGGGGTAATTTTTGCTGACAAAAAGGGCGTGTCTCATGCGTTAAGGGTGTGGTCAAAAGATAAATACCTTTATATGTTGCTTTTTTGCGTTTCTGTTCAAAGTTCATACTTTAATGTCATAATTTGAAAGTTCAACTACTACAGAAATGTTAACACGATACAATCGTTGCAAAAAGGTTACAGGAAGAGTACAAAAATTGCTTCTTTCGCCAAGCAAAAATCCTCAATGTGCCGACGGACTAAAAGTTGGGGGTACCGCAACAACTCCCGCACCCACCTTTGGCGATGCCCCTGCTGAGAGAGCTAAGAGATCCAGTGAAAGAACATTTTCCACATTTCGGCGGTGTCCCGGCAGGGATGGACTAGCCTGCATCACAGATGTCACAATTTTCTCAAGTATAGTTAGGCCATTTTGTTAGATACCCCTTAGCCCATTCATTGTTAGGATTTTCTCTATGTTCCTTTTTGCATATCCTTAGCTGTGGCATACCTCTCGTTCATACGTCATACGGTATGTCTCACATTGTCTCATGTTAGCGACGCCCCTTCCATTGTTTATGTTGTGGTGCAGGATTTTTCCAGCATTGTCTAGGCCTAGTCATAGGTTACTTATTCTCGTCTCTATGTTGTTGCTTTACCATTTGCGTAGTTTTATATCATTTTTGCATACTTTTGATTTAGATGTGTTTACGTTGCATGGCATCATTTAACCTAGCCCTTCCTTTTACTTGTTATTGGTTAGTTACCATAATCGTCGTGTATCGCTAATTTTAGATTCCATTCGTACATATATACAAGTTGTAGTTTAGGACAGAGTTGGATGGAGACAGAGGAGAAGCTATTTGAACGAAACTCTGTCACTCATAGTAAGGCTTTAGGTTAGGTTAGGGCCTATTATGCTTCGTATGCTTTATTTGTATTAACTTGTCTGAGTTATAAATACAGTTTATTTCTGGTGTTTTACTCTCTGGGTTTGTGACACAGACCATCACCACTCTCCTCCTTGGTGGTGATGGTCTGTGACGCAGGCTAGAATGGACTGGCTCGGGTTGGCGAATGCCACCCGGGCCCATTCATAAATATGAAGATCGGGCCCTTCACGAGGAAAATTGTCAACGAAGCAACAAGTAGATACTTTGTGATAAATCTTAAAAATTAGGTAATCGCTAAAAGGATATATTTCGTCAGGGACATTATTAGACTTAACGCACGCTGTCGTCAACCGTGGTTTCTTTGTTTTGCAAACAACGCTACAAATTGCTTGTCTAACGCATGATTTTAGCTTTAGAAAATTACGTAATGTTTGTTGTTGTTTTGACCTGTTTTCCATGACCAGGGTAATTTAGAAAATTGTATTTAGTGTCACTGGGAATTTGATTCAGGTCACAGGGCCTTAACTACGACCTTACGAGATTCCCCACAATTTTACTAAACCAGATTCTTTACTAGATATCAACACACTAGAGCAAATGTATCTTTTGAACTGTCAAATTCGTTAAAATCGAAAGAGCTAAACTTTGCAATGATCCTTCGCAAACGAATGGGTGGAATTATGAAAAACTCGTATCAACTTTTATACTACGTGGAATTTAGTTTTCTACGTGGCCGGCCACTCACCCCTACGAGCACTTTCAGAGCCACAAAGCCTTTCCCCGGTTTCGTTCTTGTATATCGCTACTGATTAAGCAGGGCCACGAATTTGAAAGTGGGGGGCCAAGGCTAAAAAATTAGGGGGCCAAGGCTTCTGTTACTGCACCTTTAAAACTACTTGCTTCGCAAAAAAGCATGTCCCCCACCCCCCGGTGGCGCGGGCCCTGATAAGAAATTCGTTATCATTAAATCTAAAGGTGTTTCCATTGTAATGAATAAACAAAGTCACTTTCACTTTTCTTTATAAATAGAAAATGAATGCCGTGAAGCGAAAGGATCCATTGGGAAAGCAGTGCTAGTGTACCGCTATGCCCTTTCGCTATGAAAAATTAACTATTAACTTTACTACACCATAGTTCTGCGCTGAAAACTTTCGATTCTGATTGAAATGAACTGTTTCAATTTCCAAGAAATTCGTTGAAGATTAACTGCGACCCATTGTGTATTACTTCCACTTTCTTTATCCCCATCTGGATTATTTTCTCCTTCGTAGAGTCTGCACGCAGGCTAGTTTCTTTATGGCTACTAATACCGGAAATTGCGTAACTTCCACTTCCGCAATAATTGTGTTGTTTGTGTCACAGGATGACCAAGGGCAGCATAGAAGGTTCGAAAAGGTTATTGCAGAACAGAACTTGACTGTGATCTCATCAACTAGTAAGAATCCTTTGTTCGTAAATTAGCTTCTACATCAAAGACAAAACAGATTTCAACATCATTCTAAAGAAAGGAATTGCAAATATCCAATAACGGTGTCCAGCTATTCCGTTGTACTGTGTTCCGTGTTCTGTTTGTTTTCAACTTGCTGATGACAAGCTACGATAATATATTTGGTGAAGTTATATTTGCAAACCAAGATGCCAAGACAAGGATCCAAAGCAGATATGATTCGAAGTAGATTTGTTCGCAAAAGTGCGAAACCCGGGGCAAAGCGGAGGGCAAAGACTATCCTACTCCTTGGCGCGAAATCAATTGGAAAAACTAGCTTGATAAAGAGATTCATCGATGGGAGTTTTCCGAGCAGTCTTCCGGCAACAGTCGAGGATCGCTTTCAATACGACCTCGGCAGTGGATCTAATCAACTTTACTGTGAAATTGTAGACATTGATGCCTTCGAATTTCCACCCATGAGGGATTTACACATCAAAGAGGCTTGCGTTATTGTGCTCCTTTATGAGGCCAAGAACCGAAAGTCGTTTGACGTCATGAAAAAACTGTACAGCATTATCACATCTGCCCGCGATTATCCGGTTCCCCTAGTCGTTGTTGCAACAAAAACAGATAAACTGGATAGCGGTGAAATGATGAATGAAGTGAAAGAGCATCATGTCGACGAGTTCGTCCTTGATTTGAACTCGTCCTCGTCTGCAGATGGGGTGAGACACATGAATACGTCCGCTAAGTTGGGGTACAACGTTTCAGAGGCATTTGGTGTAGCCTTTGCCGAAGTGAAAAATGTGTTTCAAAATGAGTCATTGACAGGGGGTAGTTTGGGATTCACTGACCAGGAAGACGGAGACCGGTCTAAGTGTTGCTGCACTTTGATCTAACTGCAGAGTAATGTATAAAAGGACTATTTTATTTGAAGCGCAAAAACGTCAAGACTCCAAGAGAGGAAAATGAAAGCTGATAAAAAAACACTGAATAAATAAACTTCCTTAACAGAGAAGAACAGGCCAATAGATTCAAAGTTACTGATAAATTAAAAAAAAAATTAACGCAAAGGGTTTTCTATTATATTTAAATTCAACAGAGTTGGGTGAGGGACTAGGAAGGCTTTCAAGCAAATAATTTTTATTGCATTTCCCTTTGTGTTCACATCTAGATCCAATGCCAAAAAACTTGTGAGAATTCTAGCTTTCGAAAAATAACTCCTTTTGTCTTGCATGCAGAAGAAAAAAATTACTTCAAAGAAAAGTAGGGATGCATAAGTGTAAACTCTATCTTATTGGACTAGTCAGTCTCTAAGAATAAGAATAATTTTAAATACTTTATAGTTTAAGAGCTTTATTTACATTACTGAAAGCCTTTTTATGTTCAACATGGTTTACTATCCTGCACCACATTTATACTCTCAATGTGAAAATTCAGTTAACTACAGTCTTTGTTTAACCCACTTCTTTGGGTGTGTAGTAGAAATTTTTTTTTAAAGAATCCTTTGTCCCTTAAAAATATATTTCCGCAACATTAGGGTAACTTTATTCTTGTTTACACTAGCCTGTAAAGCTTATTCATAATACAAACATTTTTAATTGACAGGAACTGAATTGCATTTTGTATCTAAGAATTTGAACTGAAGGGCAAAATGGTAGCTTGATGAAATGCTGTTTGATTGTCAGCCAAAAAGCCAAGCAATGATAGTGACTTCAGTTCTTACTGGAAAGATATGTCATAGTTTTGAAAGGCACCGGAGAGAGGGAAAATTTCCTCAAAACATCAAGATTTTTTATGACAGCAGTAAGCCCATTTTCAAGATGCCTTCAAAGCATTTGTAGAAGCTGGGAATTATTTTTCAAATGCCCTTTTACTGAAGCTTGCTCTCTTGTCCCTTGGTCGTTCTGGGTCCCTGTATGTTATAATTTATTGGATAGATGTTTCTAAATTGCATTTGATGCCAGTCTCTAGTTAATTTGTATTATGCAATTTGTATTATAATAAAGTATCAACTGCCTGTAGCCAATAAAGAATGATTGGTGTGAATGATCCTACATTGCACTCTAAAAAGTTTTTTTATATACAAAACAATTAAATGGTGCACATTTACACAAAAATGTCAATTTTACAGAGCAGGTTGCCCCTTCAAGAAAATCATGGCTGCAGGCTCTTGATAGATGTTTTGTAATTGCACATTGTTCTCAGAATTCATTAATAAGTAAAGAGTTTCATATGTTTGTTGTGTCTTCAATTTGCATATTTCTTTATTTAGGGATATTACTGATGACACCCCCAGTCCTGACCTTTTGTCAAAGTTGGGGTAAACTGGGTCATTTGGGCATCAAAAGTGTAAATGATGCCATTCATCATTTATAACCTCATTGATGAGTATTTTTCCAGCAATCTTCCATGACAAATTTATTTCACCCAGATACCTTTTTCTACATATGCCATAGGTGTAGCCAGGGTCAGAGGTACACCCTTTTGTTTGCAAAATAATAAACAAAATTCTCAGTGGAAAAACAACTGCTTATACTCTTTATGGTTAATATAATAAACAGAAAGCGCATAATTTGGTCCACAAATAAGCTATCACAATCCTTAACTTGCATCAGCAAATAAATTTTCAAAACCTTATCGTTCATCTTACTGGAACTGCATTCTAAAGTAATTTTTCTAAATCATAAAAAAACTGAGGTCGGTAATACATGAAATTTGAGAGACCTAGAAGCACCTCTACAGTTCAAACTCCCACTTAATATTTTTTCCATGACATTGTTAATCTAGAACCCCCTTATTATTTTCAAGCCTTAGGAACCGGATGCACTTGTATCAAAGTTAAATGGGATTATCTTTGTCAAGCATGGAAATCAAGGAATGCTTCTTCCACTTGGATTGATAATTAGGGCTTTTTCTGTTGTCATGAGATTGTACTACTTCAAGGCAGGCAGTTCAACCTTTGATGGGTCAGGAGAACGTTGACAAATCTAGTAAGAACAAATTTTGCTAGGCGTACTAGAAAGCTTACAAAACAGTTTCTCACCTATGTTAGAAGATAAAGGAATGTTCCAAGTACTAGTGCATCAGGACCCTAAAAAACTTTATTTATTTTTTAATATAATGTAAAATAATATTTTTACAGCTGTTACGACTTGTAAAACCCAGCCATAACTATTGTAGCATTCTTCTAATTAAAAATTCGTTTTCAAGCCAGCAATTTCAAATATTCCTTCTGTTTTATAAAATATGAAGAAGGGACTGCTAGCCATTCACCTCATTGTTTATTATTTGGTGGGAAATTTTCCAGCCACAATATCTATTCCTGAACTGTGGTTTCTGTGAAACCTGCCTCTGCCAGGTTTTGCTGTGGTTTCTGTGAATCTTTAATCAGCAACCCTAACCACCGAGTCATTCACGTATCATTCACGTATCATTCATCTAAAATTAATTTATCTAGAAACTATTGTCCCTTTGTTTGTGACTAGAACAACATTTTAGCGTGAGATGTTTAGAGTTAAAAAACAAGATTGCATTGTGAGGGGAAAAGTACTCATACAAAAACCAAATGCCATGAAATAAGTAACTAAAATAAAAGCAAATTTCTGATAACAGAACCTCTACATTTGCACTGACATTACTTCCATCTTTACAATACATCCAAGTAAATGAGTCAGCAGTCTTTCTGTAAATCCAACTAAGAAATATACCTTATGGACAGTTGTGCCTTTGGCATTCACAAATATGCTGATTTTTATTTGATTTAATTGTCTTTTTACAACTATATTAGAGACAAGCATCTCATAAAAAGTACCTTCAATAAACTTTCGGATCATTACATCATCTATAAACCGTTCATGTGCCCACAAGCTGCCTTCAATTCCACCTGAAATTGAAAAACCAATTGTATGTAAGCTTTCTAGTACAGAGGTCGAGCGAAATAAAAGACTCACATGGTGTAATCACTATATGCTCTGAATGCAATCATTTTTTGAGCAAATAGCTCTCATTGAAATATGTATAATTCCAAAATTTCAACTCCATATCTTTCATTAGCAAAAGTTATAGCACTCTGAATCTTTGGGTGTTTTCAGGAATTTTTGATAAAATGGGGGCGCCAACGGAACGTTTATACACATTTAGAGAATCTATAACTAGACCAAATGAAGGGTGCTAAATTCAATTATGACATCAAATCAAAGGTACTTCGAAAATAAATTGCAGTATTACTGTGTAGAATCCTTTACATTAAAACTCAAAAGCTCTAATTTTGGGGCAGGATTTTAAGATGGGTGTGCCCGAAATATTTACAGAATTTCAATGCGTTTTTTGAAAAGTGCAATATTTGTTCTACTAAGGTGAGGAGAATCATTCTTCGGCATTGTATGCTGCAGTTTTTGTAAGCATGTATAGAACTGACCAAGTGAAATGGAAAGAAAGTGTAGCATTAGAAACGTGCTAAATGACGATTGCCATTGCCAAACATATACAAGAAAAACTGGCTTCAAACCTTTGGAGTCGCTACCTGGAGAGAAGAAAGGGAAAGGATACTTTGGAGGTGCGGTCTTTTTAATCACATTGTTACGGAAAAGCCTGTCATAGTTCTTTTTCATCATGAACCAGTCCATGGGAGGGTGTTCGAAAGAAAAGTTTCCGACAAATGTAGCAATGTCTTTAACAGTCAGTCGAGAAGGGTGAAAGGCCAACACCCAGTAACGCTGGACATGACAAAAAGGTTGATAGACGAAGGGGTAGCGGTTAAACCAGGATTGCAAGGTAATGAAGCTACAGATAGTTGAAAACCCATTAGATGTTCAAAAATTACAGAATTAAACATGTCCCTACAGTGCTAAGGGGTTTCACCTCTTTATCTACCTCTCAATTCTAGAGGTAGAATTTTCAAAGAGCGAGAACGATACCGTTTCTTTCCAGCAGTGGCAAAGCACGAATCGACCAACGCTTGTGACATGCACTATCACGCCCAGCGATTATGTTATACAAGTTAGCGAGAATATTTATTGTTTAACAGCACACTCGTTCATAGCAATGTCAATCAACCTATCTTCAGCAATACAGAGAGAATTTAACAGGTGATACTTGCATCGCATTGATGGATTTTGCAGAAAATTACAAGTACATCATTCAAGACGAGAATTCAAGCTTACTACTGGAATAACGAGAAGTGCACACTTCAACAAGATGTTTTATGTTATTTTCAAAATGGGAGCCTCGACATACTATCCATTTGCATGATATCAGATGACATTGAACATCACACTCCCTTTGTTTATGCCTTTCAAACTTTATTGACAAAGTATTTAAGGGAAATTCTACCTCAAGTAAAGAAAATAAGTTCCTTTTCAGATGGTTATGCTGCCCAATACAAAAACTATAAAAATTTTGTTAATCTCGTTTTCCACAAAGAGGATTTTGGTTTGGATGCAGACTGGTCATTTTTTGCTACTAGTCGTGGCAAATTTCCTTGTGATGGTGTATCGGGCACTGTGAAAAGAGTGATGGCTCATGCAAGCCTTTAATGCCCAAATTATTACTTTTGAGTCTTATTCGAATTTTGTGCACAAAAACATTAAATCAGTAAGGTTCATTGATATTTTTTCCAAAGATATGTCAACCTTGCGTGAGAGTCAAAAGAGTCGATACAAGCTCATGAAAACCATCCCTGGTACTCGTAGCTTCCATTACTTTTAACCAACTGAGGGAAAAGCAATTTTATACAAGCGCACAAGTTTTGAAGGGCAGTACTCTTTGGAAGGAGGATGACATGTAAATATGACAGTTTTTGGTGGATTGCGCCATAGACGCACCGAACAAGATTTCAGGAAAAACTTTTGATACACTTTATCTCTATTGCTCAAAGAGAAAGGGGATTAAGCTTGTTAGTAAATGCTGATTTTCAAGTGCGGCCACCAAAACCAAATTCACTAATCCGTCAAAGGTTCCGTCGTCCTGCCCCAGAGCAGGACGAACTCTAGAAAACGGAAATGATTAGCAATTAACGTATTTCTCTGGCGCCACAGAATACCCAAAGTCAAATCGTTCTTTGTTTTAAACCACTTCACAATAACCAAACAGCAAACAACCATTTTACACACCAACTGCAGAGCGCTCCAATTTCGAAGCTGAAATCGGATTCTCTTTGTCAAACTTGAAAAAGTTTTCTCGATTTTCCAGTTTGACGAAGATAATGAGTTTTATGTCAGAAATCAGTGCGTTCAGGCCCTTGATAAGATAGCAGAAATAGGCCTTCATAGAAATGAATTAAAGATTAATTTTACGCATTCCCATGGCCCGATAATTTCATTTTTCTGACCAATAAGTAAGGACAGTTGCTGGGTACCAGTCCAGAATGTTTTTTGTCTTGTAGATGCAGCAATTACATCAAACGGCAGAGTATGCCACTTGCAAGAGAAGAACCTGAACACTACTTGAAAGCTCTTCATTACATATCGATCAAAATTAGGTCATTCAGGTGTTCTTGTAAATATGTTTCAGCAATCTAATAGTGCGCGAAAACATTGTCTTCCAAAATTTACAAATTTCCAAGACTCTTCATTAAACTTTGTAAGCAATACAAATTAAGAGGCAAATTTTGCACTCAACTGCAATATATTCCTGGCTAAAATAGCATTTAAGTACTGGACATTGTTAGTAAGCAAAAAATAATAAAAACAATAATTTTCTCTGAAATCTATTGAATTTGTATAAAGGAGACCTCAACTTGAAAAAAACTTAATAGCAACAGATCATTTATGTTTGTTGTATGGTAAAAACAAAGAGCCCGTCATATCAATATGTACCACATAACTATACATGCTTATAAAAACTGTAGCATACAATATCAAAGAATGATTCTCTTCCATGAAGTAGATCAAGTATTGCACTTTTCAAAAAACATTTTTAAATCCTCAAAGTCTGCGCCCAAGATAAGCGCTTTTGGGTTTTAATGTAAAGGTTTTATGCAATAATACTGCAATTTAATTACAAAAAACCTTTGATTTGGTGTCATAAATGAATATAGCACCCATAATTTAATCTAGTTACCAATTTTCATCCATTTGTGTTGATCAGACATTTGTTTTGTTTAAAAAAATTGGTTGGCTGAGGGTACACTTCTAATTGATATGCTATTGTGAAATTTAAACAATTACTCTAAGACAGTGTGTGTGTAGGGGAATACAGGCTGAAAGGTTGTTTCCTTTTAACCACCAAGTTTGATCGGTTGCCATTGAAAAAGACTTACCAGGAAGGCCAAACTTTTGGTCAAGCAAATGTCAATTTGTGGCCAAAGGTAGGGAGAATTGTGTCTGTGTAATCTTTTATTGGAATTCTCTGCCAAAACCATCAAACTGAACCAAACTATAATAACTTGATCATACATAGCAATAAAAGGTGTATGGTGGAGTGACATCTGCCCTATTATTAGCATTGGAATAATAGTATAGACAATATCAAATGCAAATGAACAGTCTTTCCGTTTCTTTGAGACTGATATATCATACCAGGTTGGGGCCCCTAAGACTCATTTAATACATTCTGAACACCAGCTTCATAGTAAAATGATGAATTGAATTTTTTTGCAGGGGCCCTTGTAAGCAAGATAAAATAAGCAAAAAATCTATCTTTGATTGGATACCTGTATGCTTGGAGTCCCAACTTTTTGTGACGCCAATTCTGTGTGGAGGGGCATCATTTTTTGTATAATACTTTGACCTCATATTCCTTGCTTTTGTGGAAGCAAATCTGGCTTGATACATTATTGTTTCCATCTGTGTTAGATTGTTTATTTTCAGTCTTCTTGTCAGCAAATTCACAAACATGATCTAAAAGAAATTAAATTAATTGGCTTATTGAATTTAGGCTTTTGGGTCATTCCATGTCAATTCAAATGGGCTATGACACCATACCTCTTAGATTTGGCTCAAAATCTATTCAAACATTGTTCCTGGCAAGGTTACTCCAGTCTCCAAATTTGATGCTTATAAGTTATACGGTTTTAGAGCTATAAGTGTTTCAATTTTGCTAAAAATACCCCAAAAAACCCTTAAACCCGCCATTTTGAATTTGCGGTCATGAAAAATTTAGAAATGTTTTTACCAAAGCGTAAGTTTCTTTGTACCTACAGATTTGAAAATTTGGATTCTGGTATTTTAAGGTATGAGGATTTCAAAAAATCAATCAGAACCATCATTTGACTTAAGCAATACCTTCTAATTGATATCAGATTATGACATTCAAAAAATATGTGAATAACGAAAATGCAAAAAGTTTAAAAGCTTGAGTAAATTTTTCTCTATTTCTGATTAGTGTTACCAAAATGAGTTCTGGCATGGTGAAACATCATGCCTTACACTGTATAAAAACGTAAGGCTGATGTTGGTGTCTCATCTCAGTATAGAGCTAGCTACCTTGGAAAAAGAGGGGAAAATTTTTGAAAACTAGGTTTCAAAAACACGAATAGTAAAGAAAATTCTGACCTAAACTGATCTCTAGCTATTCTTGAATCAATGAGCTAAAGGTTGCAACACATTTCAATGCTAATGTGTCAAACCATTTATTTTCTTTATGTGCAGAAGTTAGATGTGCACAATGAGTTTATTGTGATGTCAGTTTTCTGAATAAATAATTTCAGTGTATGAATAGACATGTGTGAAATCCTTAGTGCATGCTAAATGAAGGTGTTGTTAAAGCAATTAAAAATTATTGTCCATGTATTATCCCTAGACAATAAAACTTTCTCTTGAAGAATGGATTGAATAAATTGAATGAGTTGGTTGCCTTGAAATTAAATATAGCCACAATTTCCTTAGATTCAGAAGAAAAATACTTTGAAAGGTCATTAACTTTTGTTTAAAACTTCATGGAAGAAAATTGCTCAATAAGGACAAAATATAAAAGATGAACAAGAAACCAGTTTAACTAAAAATTTGAGTAATAAGAAAAAGGTTAAGGTAATGTTTTCAAATGACAACCTTGAAAGATGTTTCATTGGAAAAAATCTTGAAGAGAAGTGCCACCTACTTAGTTATACAAAAGTAGCTGGATTAAAACCCCTTGAACTTCTAAACGATGAAGACAAGGATTTGGTTTCAGTGAGATCAGGAGTTGTACCAGGCAAAGGAATGACAATATGCTTTCATCATGAGCAAACTCTCTTTTAAAGCAGTTCACTTCATTGCAAAGGAGTTGTTGTGACCCATTTGTAAGACATAAAAAGGCAGTTAAAGGATGTTTACGGGAAATGACACAAGCATTGGCTAAGGAATTGCAGCAGGTTAATGTTGAAGTGGTGCCAGGTTGGAAGCTTTGCCCAACATGTCGTAGAGAGGTTTAAAAAAAACTGGCAAATGTTAATGAGGGTGAGACACTGCACCCTGAATTGTACGATGGGATCCTCCAAGAAACCAAAGAAACTGAGTTGCTAGAAGAGCTTCACAGAGATGAGGTGCAAGAAAAACTCAATTCTAGCTTGGAAGAGATGGATGTTAGCCCCATAAAACTTCACGGAGTTGCATATCACTCTAAGCCTGCGTATGGAAAGCGCAAGCTTACACAAATTGAAAGCAGACTGCAAGAACAGAAGAAAGTTATCCAGAAACAAATATCGGAAGCTATGATTGTGACAACTGAGTCAATCCAAATCAAGACTTTCTTTTATAAGTCACATAAATGCAGCTATTGCAAAATCAAGAAAAGCAATAGGAATGTTGAAGTTTCTTTCAAAATATCTTCCTCGAGAAACCTTGAATATGCTTTATAAACTTTATGTCAGACCTCATTTAGATTATGGTGATATGATTTACCACCTTCCATGCAAGGAAATCAGTTCAAATAGCCGCGGCAATATCCTGATGCAAAAACTCGAATCAGTACAATATTCTGCAGCATTAGCAGTAACAGGAACATGGAAAGGTACCTCTCGTGAAAAGCTGTATTAAGAGTTAGGATGGGAATCCCTGTACTTGAGAAGATGGAGTAGACGACTTTTTATGATCTACAAGATCATTAACAATCTGATGCCAGATTAGCTAAGAAATCCTATTCCCCAGCTGATTCAATCATATTATGCTTTTCGTAATCAACCCGTTGTTGGACAAATTAGAGCAAGAACTGAAAAATATAAGTCAAGCTTTTTCCCAAACAGCTTACATGAATGGAATCAGCTTGACCCTGAAATCAGAGAATCACCTTCCATTGATATATTCAAGAATAGATTGCTGTCAATCATTAGACCACTTTCTAACTCTGTTTTCGGTATCTATGACCCACTAGGGCTTTCTTTATTAACTCAACTTAGGGTAGGGTTGAGCAAACTAAATTTCCACAAATTCAGTCTTTTGAATTTACCAACGTTCCTAATCCTATCCTTTTACAGATTCTTTTGTACGGCGACAAAAAATTGCCATTTGAAGTAAATAAATTCATTTTGGAATCTACTATTCTGTATATTTCAAGAACGGAACGCTTTGAATGATCATAAAATCAGTTTCATCAAATATCCCTTAATCTTGTGTCTCACCCACTTATTTGCTATTTTCAGTTTTTCAAAACGTATTATCTTGTACCTGTAATCTTCTATATATATATACTTCTTTTCTTTTTTTGTAACATTGATTAAGTGTAAGTGTAGCGTTCGTATTTGTTTCTCTAGTTGCATGTAACGGCCATGGGGTTGGCATTGTCCTTTGCTCTCCATGGTATTGTACCTGTAGTATCGTAGAGTAATTAGCAAGTAAAGTAGAATGTAATTTGTATTGTAACATTTTATCTGGATAAAAAAAAAAAAAAAAAAATCCAGATCTCAGAACCATCAATACCAGACATCTATGATGAAGTAAAGAAGAAAGCAGATGATCTGGATATCCTTGTGGCATTGATGAAAGAGAAACTCAAAGTCTCAAACAGAGGACAAAGACTGCAAATTCTAACACTTGCACCTCGGTCGTGGTCTATTCCGAAAACCATGGAAGAATTTGAAGTGACAGCTTACATGGTAAGACAAGCAAGGAAGCTAGCTGCTGAAAAAGGAATACTGGGAACGCCAAATGAAAAGAAAGGGAAAGTCATTTCTGAAGATTTAAAACAAAGAGTTGTTGTGTTCTATTGTGATGATGAGTACAGTCGTCAAATGCCAGGAAAAAAGACACAGTCAGCATCAGAAGAAATGTCCCTGTCCAGAAAAGGCTTCTTTTGTGTAACATCAAAGAGCTGTATTCTCTCTTTAAGGTCCAAAATCCTGAAGTAAAGATTGGCTTCTCAAAGTTTTGTAGTTTACGGCCAAAATGGTGTGTATTGGTTGGTCGATCTGGCACACATTCTGTTTGTGTTTGTACAATTCATCAAAATGTTGAACTTATGTTGGTTTCTGTCAAGTTAAGCAAAGATCGTCACCAGCTTATGGATATGCTAGTTTGCAACAGAGATTCGAAGCAGTGTATGGTACATCGATGTAAGAGCTGTCCACCTATGCGAAATCTGGAAGAGTATTTGTTGCAGCAATTTGAAACACAAAATGACAGTGAGGAAGAAGATGAAGATAACATTGAAGAGCAAATCATCCAGTTTCAACAATGGACCACTGTTGATCGTGCTGAACTTGTCAGTCAGTCACTTCCTGTTTCTGACTTTGTCAATTTACTTGCCGAGAAGCTTAACGCTTTGACATCACATTCGTACATCGCAAAGTCACAGATGCAATATTTGAAAAAATGCAAAGAAAACCTAAAGGAAAACGAACTTATTGTCTTAGGGGACTTTGCTGAAAATTATGAATTCATAGTGCAAGATGAAGTCCAAGGGTACCACTGGAACCAGCAAGGATGCACTTTGCATCCAGTCATCATCTGCTTCAAAAAGGAAAGTGAATTGAAGCATGTGGAACTGTGTTTCATTTCGGATGATCTAAACCATGATACATCTTTTGTTTACGAAGTCATTTGCCAAACAATCAAGTTTGCAAAGTACAATATTTCAAACAATGTAAAACGATGCCTGTACTTCAGTGATGGTTGTGCTGGGCAATATAAAAATTGCAAAAACTTTATGAATTTGTGTTTGCACAAAAAAGATTTCCAATTTGATGGTAGTTGGTCATTTTTTGCTACCAGTCATGGTAAATCTCCGTGTGATGGACTTGGAGGGACACTCAAACGATTAGCAGCAAGGGCCAGTCTTCAACGACCAACTACTGAGCAAATACTTTCTGCAGAGCAGCTACTCGAATTTTGCCAAAAGGAAGTACCTGGCATTAAAGTTCTTTTCATTTCCAAGCTCAGTATGGAATCTGTGCAAAAGAATTTAAAGGGCAGGTTTGATTTAACAAATACACTGCCAGGAACTCGAAGCTATCATGAATTCAATCCTATTTCAGAGACTGTAATGGCTGCTAAACGAGTGTCAGTGGACGAAGAGTATGCAATTCAGTATGACTTAGTCAAAGGGAAAGAGTGCCTGCCAGAGGAGTATAGCATTAAGATTAAAATTTCAGACTCCATTGTCTGTTATTATGATGAAGAGATTTGGATTGGACTGGTAGATGATCTAGATGATGAAAATGAGGATGCTCAAGTCAAATTCATGCATCCGAATTACCCATCAAGATCTTATTCCTGGCCAAGAAGAGAAGATATTTGTTTTGTGCCTTTTGTAAATATTATATGCATTTTAAGCATTCCAAGCACAGCAACAGGAAGACAGTACGTTCTAAACAACGAGGACAAAATAAAGATCGAACGTGAAATTAATACACGTAGCTTGTATTTAAAGCCATAGTAATCAATTTCTATCCCAAGCAAGCATGAGTGAATAAATTTTCAGAGGATTTTCAGAGGATTTTCAGAGTTTATATCTATTTTATATAAATTCCTGCACAACAAGAAATGGAATCTTGCCCTTTTTAGTGTTCCCAAACATAAATTTTCAAAAATTTTCCCCTCTTTTTCCAAGGTAGCTAGCTCTATACTGAGATGAGACACCAACATCAGCCTTGCGTTTTTATACAGTGTAAGGCATGATGTTTCACCATGCCAGAACTCATTTTGGTAACACTAATCAGAAATAGAGAAAAATTTACTCAAGCTTTTAAACTTTTTGCATTTTCGTTATTCACATATTTTTTGAATGTCATAATCTGATATCAATTAGAAGGTATTGCTTAAGTCAAATGATGGTTCTGATTGATTTTTTGAAATCCTCATACCTTAAAATACCAGAATCCAAATTTTCAAATCTGTAGGTACAAAGAAACTTACGCTTTGGTAAAAACATTTCTAAATTTTTCATGACCGCAAATTCAAAATGGCGGATTTAAGGGTTTTTTGGGGTATTTTTAGCAAAATTGAAACACTTATAGCTCTAAAACCGTATAACTTATAAGCATCAAATTTGGAGACTGGAGTAACCTTGCAAGGAACAATGTTTCAATAGATTTTGAGCCAAATCTAAGAGGTATGGTGTCATTCTAATATTTTGCCTGCTGAATTGACATGGAATGACCCTTTTGGAAAAGATGAAGGACAAGTAATTCATGCAGATAAATGATTTATATTTAAAGAAAAAACAGTTGTTAAGCAACTGAGTGTCTCATAGAATAGGTACAGATTTTGCTGAAAAAATTGTGTGTTCAATTCATTGTTTGACATTCATATTTGACACTAGTGTTAGCATATTTGACACTAAAGATCTTGAAGCAAAATTGATCTTAAATCTTTTCAATGCAACTGGAATAGCTTTGCTTATATCAATGAAACTCTTTTGCAATCAATACGACCAGGAAAATGGTTTCTGATCTTTTTTTCCGTTCAGCAGCCTCCACCAACAACTTACAAATGGTCAACATTGACCATTTGGTCAATTATCAACATGACTAAAAATCAACTGAACAATGGGAATGGGGATTTCACCTACAGAAATTGCATGGGGTGGCAGAGTTCTACCCTCTCCTGATGACCCCCAAAGAAATGCTTTTTGTTTGAGCACAAACAGAGTTTTCTAGTTAGTCTATAATTTTTGCGTTTGTTAGAGTGGCCAAGGCAGGCCATGCTGGGAAAGGCGTGCGATCGCACGCCCAAACCTTGGCACACACCTTCCATTGCCCAAAAGTGCAGTTTATCACATGCCTTAAACGATCTGAACACTTTATTCTAAATTGACCAAAGTGACCAATGTTATTTTTTTATCATAATTCAATTATCAATGAACAGTGTTAATCACGCAATCCTTTTTATATATATGATTTATATTTGACGGGGAATTTGGCAAATATTCTAATTTTCTTAAGGTTACAGTAAACATTTTCTGGATGAAAAAATCCATTTTTCGATTTCTTCAGATTCTAGTAGCTGGTGTTTGAAACTAACAGAAGTTATGAAAATGGCAAACAACCCTTTTAAATGAAGGTTTCCATAATTTCTTTATCAAAGTTTTAGGTTGATGTCTGAAAATTGCTTGACCTTTTAAGTCAATAATCCTTGCTTTGCTGTTGTGGTTGCATGTCTCATTTGGAATAACTTGTTACAATCGAATGGCACATGTACCTCTGTGTTTATTTAAACAGGCTTATTGCTTTAAATGACTTGATCCAGAATACACTGTTGTTTATGAGTGTAGCTTGCAATTGCACCCCTGCCCTTTTATTCCCAGCATGGCCTGCAAGGTTAAAAAATTGTACTCTGATTCAGTTCCTTACCAAGCTGAACAACTTGTTGATGTTTCAGAAGAAGGGCCTGACAAGCAGTGGGTTTTGTGAAGGTTGCTTTTGCCCAGTAATGCCATAATCTGGCCCTTACATGATTGTGAAACTTTACTTTATGAATATTTTTCATGCTGTTTGCATAGTTAAACACCCCCCTTAAAATGTCCCCCCTCATATTCTCAAACATGTTCATGAAACCTTAGGTCCTTATTTTACTTTAAAGTTGACAAAAAATTGTCACAAAATCCATAAAAAATCGAAAATTGAAAAAGAGCTGCATGAAACAAAGAAAGCATTGAAAATGGCAAAATTGTAATATTATAATTTCTTTCATAAAAAATGTGTTTTTGTTTCCATCATTTTGAGGTTGCAGAAAATTCCTAGCAATGAAATGAGCATTTCTGGGAAATTCCCAGGCCTGCACTTGAGATAAAATTAAGGTTCCAGTCTGACACACGTCGGTGTAACATGGGTTAACTAACGGATTTGAGAATTTTTAAGGATCCAAATTTGCAGCCTAAATATCTTCACACGCACACCAAGAAATTCTTGCTTTCAAAAAGCAAAAATCAACACATTCTACTTGCAGTTTGATTTATAACGAACATAGATAGCTAGATAGATATCTACTTCAATTCAGGTGTAAGGATGACTTGGCTTAGTGGTCAGGGTCAAAGCAAATTTATGACACATGTAAACTAGAACATTTTAAAAATAGCAAAATAAGATGTTAAAGTGCAAATACTGAAAGCAAGATATTTATATCATGATAACAATTTAATTTGTTATTTACAAGAAACCAAAACCCCCAAAACTCAAAACTTTCTAGTCGTTGACATTTTTTAAAATGCCTTTTATATTATATTTGAAGCACTTGCCTGATTTGCTTTTTGGTTGCCTTCTGCAGATCTCTTCCAAAGCCAGAAAACCAACCATTTACACAGAAGTGCTTTTACCTCTGCACGACATTGACTAGGCCAAATTCAGGTAACCTCTGCCTCAAAATGAGACTGCCAGGCAAAAATTTGGAACGAAAACAAAAGAAACCCTACCCTGGGTACCAGACTCACTATGTATACCCAGGGTAAAGAAACCCCTGAGCTGGTGATCAAAGTTCACATGTTGATATAGTGATGAGGGCGCCGGTAAGTTGTGAAAATTTTGTTTATGCCTTTCTAGCTGTTTGCTTGTTACCAAGGACCAAGATACCATAGGGAGCAGGGAGCCTTGCCCCCGTAAAAACCTAAAGTAGCATAAGTAAAAAATTTTTATTTTGTAAAATATGACTGTTTATCAGTGCTGCCCCCCATTAAACAAAAAATTGTATCTCGGCTTTTGCTTGTTAAAAAACAATAATACCATTGATATATTATATTAGATAACTTGACAAAGCAATCATGCTATACAAACCTTTAATAATACAGAAGCGTAGATTTACAAGGAATAGACAAACGAAAACCAAGACCCATGCCACGAATTTGAAAGGGGGGGGGGCAAGTCTAGCAAAAGCAGGGGACCGAGTATTCTTTCCACTTAACTCTAACTTTAAATTACTTGCTTTGAAAAAGTGGGGGCCATGGCCACCCCGGCTCCCCCAATGACGTGGGCTCTGAAAATGGATTGGACCACAACGTTGATCTGGCGCAATGCAGGTGTTGTACAAACCATCTTTTGCACGAAGACGGTTGCTTTGCAAGAATTTATCTGTAACATGAAAAATGGTGACTTTGGAGATAATGATGTCATTAAGGCAAAAACATCACCCATTGGCTGGCAGTTTTCTAGCTTACCATTTAAAGAATATAGACCATTGGCAGACACGTCAAGAGGGGGGTGGGAGGGGGAAAAGGTCTGGGGCCTGTGCTCCTATGGGACCCGTATTATTGTAATAAGATCTGTTTATAATGCAGAAAAGCTACTATTTCCGCAACTTATATGAAATCAATGCCTGTAACTTTATCACAGAGAGAACATGTCCTTCATTCATGTTAAATGTTTTTGCACATTTTTGTAAAAATCATTGAGAAAACTTTTTAAACAATTGTACCAGAGAATTTCTGTGATTGTACTAAAAGGGTGTTTCCTCAGTTTCCTTGGAGACAAAGGGCATGACCATAGGACATTTTCTTAAGGGGTCCAGCTTTGTGAATCACTCCTGAACCCGAGGTGGCTCTCAACAGCCCAAGCCACAGTAAGATCAGTTTTTGTTGAAGCCGACAGTGCTTTTTTGTGTTCCTTGAAACCATAACGCAAGGGGGGATCTGGGGCTTGAGCTCTTCCTGACACGAATTTGGGGGCTGAACCCCCCTGGGAAATAGGGAAGTTGGCTATCAATTTGTTGGACTAATTTTTAATATTCCTGGTTTCACACATAAAAATCATTACACAAGATTTCATCAAGATCAAATTATAACTATAATAAAATATATAAAAGAAATCACCTTAGACTGGCAAGGTGCCACTAAATCCCCCCTCCCCCTTTCTATTTTTTTTAAAACAGAGTATGATCTTTTATTTTTGAAAAAGAGAACAAACTGTTTATATACTGATTGTTTTTAACTGTTAACAAATTTTACCTATCTTTCTATTATTTGTCGATTATTTTGATTAATTCAGTAAATCACAAAGTCTAAAGTTTTGTATCACTGCATTTATTATCACTGCATTTATTATTGGTCTTCCCACCATATGATGGCATTTTCCTTTCCCAAAGCCTGTCAGTAGAGTTTTATTATGGCTCAAATTGTCTTACCTGTGCTGAGCGGTATAGTATTTTGTTAAATTTTAGCCTGGGATATACCTTTTTAGCCATTAAAGAAGGTATCATTTCAAAAATTTTCTTGTCACTAAACTTTAAAATGTCCCCTAATGTCACTAACTATAAGCAAGTGCTTCAAAATAGCGCCTTCTTTCTGCTTTTGCTTGAGTTGTTAATTCTTCTTTTAAATGGAATTCATTATTTTATGAGGTCTCTAGATCTCAAGACCCTAGAGCAATTTGGCACCGCAACTATGTATTTTGGTTGCCATGGGTATGCTCAAGCTATAAAAATTTTTTTTCATAGTCCAAAATGTTGTGAAAAACGCGAAAAATGTTTTTCTTGAATCATCTTTGAATACTATTTTTAGCACTGTCTGTACAATTGTTCTGTTTATCACTGTCTGTACAATTGTTCTGTTTATCACTGCACAAACACTGAACAAATTGGTAATCGTTATAGAAGGTTGAAATATTTATTACATCACAACGAAGGGGTCTAAATTAGAGAAGAAAATACTTCTTTAATTCGCCACAGCAAACTAGATGAGCCACAGCAAACTACAGGCAAGGTGAGTCTTTCAATCAACACCTTTCGTCATTGCTTGCAGCCTCCGTCATCGGTTACAAAGATGTATGACGTCATGTACGTTAGCTGACTATGATATAGTGCCGACCATTGGGTACGTTGGTATATTAACAATGTTCTAGCATATTGCTATTGCCACTACATGAATTGTTTCAGGTAACGTTATTCTCCATTGAACTGCACCAGATTGTATTCAGTTTGATTCTGAGCCCTAATATTCTTTAAAAAAACTCTAAAAAAAGAATGTTCTGGGTTTGATGATGACGCTTACCTTTTAGAGTGAAGCAATGTAAAAACGTAAGTATTATTTGGCAGCTGCTAAAAATGACAGGACAAAGGAAAAAACTCAGCGGGTAGGCATAATGCCAAAGGCATATCGAAAAACATGACACACACACACATCGATTTGTGACACACATGCAGCGAAGTCCGCACACACAACAGTTATTAATTTGGATGCACAAACATTTATGGCATTCTCTGCGAATATATTTCAAAACTGGCCTAATATCGTCCAAGTTAGAATAATTTAGTCTTACTGTTTTGACGATAAAAATAACGTCAAAGAACGAGTATTTCTTGTGTGCTATACATTTATCAAATGTAACGTTCCGTGGTTCTTTGCTAGCGTGGAGAGACTGGCGTGCTTAGGCCCTGAGGCCTAAGCCAAGTTATATAACAACGTATTTCATCAAATTCAAACCAAGACTAACTTATTACTAGAAATAGCTCTTGCTAGTACTGCCCGCAAACAATTAGTTCCTTGATAATGATTGTTTTGAAAATGTAGGTCAGGATATTCGAAGAAGACACCATCTTGGGTTTTCGCAATTTTATAAAAACAGCTGCTCTAGTTGATGCTAAACTATTCTTTTTATCAAGAATTTTTGGTGTTCAGTTGGCCTTTGATTTAAGTCCAACGCCCTTTTGAAAATCATGAAGTTTTTCGAGGGTTTGACATTTATTTTTCGATAATCACGACAATCATAACTTTTGCTCGTACGGTCTCGAGTTTTTGGGAGAAAAGTGTGGCATTCGACTGGTTTTGATTCCCAAAACTTCGAATCAAAACTTCCATCCATTGCGGAGAACCGAGCTGTGATGCAGCACCGTTTTCGTGTCAAAAAAACCGAAGGCCTTTAACAGAGTCTTGGCAGAGCAACGCTCCGAAGATAATTCCCTTCCGCACAAAGAGGTGGCGGTCAGGGTTGCCAGATTGAAATCTATAAAAATCCCGCATCAAGACATAAAAAATCCCAGAATGCAATAGATTTTCTCAAAAAATCCCGAGATTTTTTTTGTGATGTTCTGATGACGTCATTTACCACAGGGACAAAATTTTGACCTCTGTGCAACGACTTTTCAACTTCTCTATCTTGTGCAACATTGTAATTGTACGGACCAAAGCATTGACAAAGGAGTTAAAATTTTTCTTGACATTTTTATTTCAGTTGCGTGACAAGAAACAAAAGGAGACCATTTTAGACGAAAATAGCTGTCAATCCTAAGTAAACTGATGACACTGAAGATAAAAGATAAAATTTATTAAATAACATAACAATGTAACTGAATAAAGTTCGATATTTTTAGGGTATTTTAGCAGTTTCTATTCGAGAAGTCCATCACCAAGAACAAAGTCATCGTCTGCATTGACTCTATAAATTCTTTCTGTGATGAATTTCCTTTTCATAGCATGGGTGACTTTGAAATTATAGCAATCTTCACCTCTCCATTGAAGACTGCTATCCACACGGACTAATGTGTCTGTAGTGGGGCTTGCCACTAGCAAAGTGTGGATGAAATGTGCCGCTCTTATTCTCGTATGAATGCTTTGTTACTAACAAATCTATTCTGAAAAACTTTTCTAATCCATTCTCTAAAAATCCCGAGAATTTTCCCGAGATTTTTTCACCGAAAAAAATTCCCGAGAAAAATCCCAACAGCTCTGAATATTCCCGAGATCTCGGGATAAAATCCCGAACCTGGCAACCCTGGTGGCGGTTAACGACCTCCTCGACAAAGCCGATTGATTGACAATGAAATTGATTGACAGTTGTCATGGCAGCAGAAAAGTGACAAAATCTGCTGAAAAAGTGCTGACAACATGAACTGAAGCTTCCATATGCTACTTATACGCGGGGCAGACTATAAGCCCTTCACTCGCGCGCTATCGCGCGCGAGTTGCGGGCAATTACAGAACACACTGAATATAATGACAGGCGACAACCAACAGTGATTAATCATAATAACGGAAACTACACATTGACGTAAGACAATAGGTACCTGACAACAAGATAACGACTGATCACAGATACATCACGATACACTGACAACAAGATAACGATTGATCACAGATACATCACGATACACTGACAACAAGATAACGATTGATCACAGATACATCACGCAACACAAATAATTCACAAACCCTAACACGTTATGTTTTCATTCATTCGGGTGTTTTCGCCCAGCAACTGTCAGGAAGGTGAGACGAGCTCGACGTTGCTAAAACGAGGAACAAGCGGAACACTTGTTCCTGGGTTGTTACTGGGTTGTTCCGCTTGTTCCTCGTTTTAGCAACGTCGGAGACGAGCTGCTACATTGAAACTCAGTCTGGTCTGGTAGATACGCCCTTGTCCTTATTCGTTGCCTTTTTCCTTTATCTTGTAGCGGTATTATGAAAAAATCTTGCATTCTCCTGTAGGAACGAAATGGAGAAAGCAGAGAATGTTCGAAAAGAGAGTCTGCCAAATGAACAAAATTCAATCACCATCAATGAAGCAATTTCTCTGCTTGGCATCGGGAAAGCCCAATACCTTTTACTGCTGTTAACAGCTGGAGGGTATTTTGCATTTTGTACTGAACTGCTCGTCTTTGTATTCCTTCAAGATGCAATTGCCAAGGAATGGAAAATCTCTGATGAGACATTTGCACTGCTTCCGCTCTCGACGTCCATTACCTCTGTTGTCGGTGGTTTTGTATTTGCATTCTTCAGTGACAGGAAAGGACGAAGACTTCCTTATGCTATATCCTTAGGGATTGCTTGCTTCTTTGCAGTGGCCTCTGCCTTTGCTCCAAACTTCTGGTCGTTTGTCCTTCTAAGGTATAGACTGTTTGATTTTGATTTGGCCGGTGTGTTTATTATGCTACAAAGGAGCTTAGAGGTTCTCAAATTTACCCATTTATATCGTTTCACCTGGTAATATTTTCTTACCCTTATGATGTTTATCGTTTCCCTGACAATGGGTTTTAAACTTTTCTAGGAAAATCTAGGGAGGCATGAAAACGGAGTTTATGTAGTAACAAGTAGTAACGGGGTTTATGTAAAAATATCAAAACGATATCAGTTCCATACCAAATGCAACTGCTGCTTACAATGTTTGTACATAATTTTAATGTGTGACTTTTCAAAATAATTTTTTATGATATTTGTCAAATAGTATCCTTTCGAGCCCTGAATGAATGCGCCCATTTGTGATTGTTTATTGCAAACTTTACTTCTTTTATGAATGTTCTACTTTGAAATTTATTTCAGTAATATCAGAGTTTGGGTGAAAAAGGCAGCAGCTTTTTGCCAGTTGTTAGAGAAAAGGATGCCCTGCCTGTTGTCAGTAGAATGTCATTAAGAAAGGGTCAGTTCTTTTCTACGGATAGGCATGAGGTCCATGATATACCCAACGTGCACCGGGCTACTTGTTGCTTACTGGAAAAGCATTTCAGGTGTTGTGAGGTTAAGGTATTGTAAATATCTCCTCGTGTAGGAAAGAAACGAAAAGCACGTTATACGTGCAAGGTCACAGGAAAGCCTCGGTATGGGAAACAATTTATACACGTGATAAGTACGTACATAGGTTATAGGCCAAGACCATCAAGGCTAGATTAAGATGATTAAATATCGGAAGGGAGCTTTTCCAGCCTGGTTACATTTGGCTCGTGAACGAACATAAACTGAATTCAATCCAATAGATTTCACTTGTATACCTTCTTTCATATTTATATGCAATATAGTGTTCTTTTTTGACAGGTCTCTTGGATCTTTTGGCGGTGCTGGCATGTTTTCAATTATTTTTGTATATCTTTTGGAATTTCTCCCAACAAAAGGCCGTGGAAAGTTCATGGTAATTGCCAATATTGGAGGTTCATTGGGTGTCGCTTACACGGCAGGACTAGCATGGATTCTTATACCCAGACAGTCCCTTTTCCTTTTCCTGATTTTGTGTGCTGTTCCCCTCCTCATATTATTTCTAATCAGATTTGGCATCAACGTGGAATCACCAAGGTTTTTATTGTCAGTTGGTGAAAAAGAGCAAGCTATTAGGGTGCTGGAGTGGGTATCAATTCAAAACAAAGCAGTGGGAAAACTAGACGGATTCAGAATTGCATGTGTAGATGAAGTATCAGGTTTGAAAAAAGAAACCTCACGCTGCAATTTTGGTATCTTTTCAAGGGAGGTTATTGTACAGACATTTCAGCTGTCGTTTATATGGTTATGGCAAAGCTATGGGTACTGGGGCGTGACATCTTTTTACCCAAAGTATTTGTCACAATACGGGGTGCCTTCGTTTTTTATTATGTTTATGAACATCTGTGCACAGCTACCTGGCTCCTTCATGGCTATACTACTAATAGATAATCAGAAGTTTGGACGATTACACACGATGCAATGCTTTTCTTTTTGCTCAGTCGTAGTCCTATTTTTAGCTGTATTTCTCAGGGATCAAATATCAATCTCAGTGTTGTCAGTAGCCACATACTTTTTCATAGCACCAATTTATGCAGTGTTACAAACATACATACCAGAGTGTTACCCAACTTCGATGCGTAGTACGATTATGTCCTTATTGAACCTTATATCTACGATTCCTGGAACGACTGCAGCTTTCATTGGAGCTGAGCTTCTTTCATTGCACAAACATTGGTTGTATCCCTGTGTCTGGGGAACCGTTTTCGCGTTGCAGTTTCTGCTGTCACTTACATTGAGAAAGGAGACTGCGCAACTCTCATTAGAAAACGAGCCTAATATCAATGATGATTATGTTGGTATTAGAAGCAGCCTCACTAGTGTCAACAATACAAATAGTGAAACATGCTACGAAGAGCGTTTAAATATCCAAAACAACTGTCCAGATGTTGTTATAAAAGAACATTGAAATTAAAGTTGCTACCTCCATATTTTATCTCAAGCATTTTTTAGAAATATGATAATACAATTTCGAAGATCGTATTTCGTTAGAGCTGCGCCATTATTGAACCAGGGATTGCAAAACCACAGCTGCCTTTCTGTCAAGAACAAACGGAAAAAATTATCATACTTCTTAACGAGGATAGACTTCAGAGAGTAATAAGGTCAGATCTTGCTAAAAAGAGTTTGTAATTGTAAGAATATACAGAGTTTCTTGGCGATTATTCACAGAACCAGAAAAACAGAAAGAAGAAATGAAATTAAGAAGATGACGGTTCAAATGTCCCTGTGGTTCCACCCAAATTTGTTGTCACAAGCATTCCATACGTTATCTGGGGGAATGTCAAAGAACATTTTACTAGTGTTTCTGATTCTGCTCAAGCAAATTCACATTTGCTAACGACTCGGTGGGATTGCTGCAATGTCCGGGACAAAAGCTGGGTGAGCTTTCTTAAGTTTTGTTTACTTATGGAAAGTTTCTATCTGCATTCAGCCCATCAAATTCCTTGCCATCAAATCTGTTCTTCAAAAAGCTTTGATACTACAAACGAAAACCTCGTTACAGATGGCAAATAAACTCTATAGGACACATTTCAACCAACCAAACCAAACCAATGAAGGCCACGCTCTCTAAAACACCTATTGCGTAAACTTTCCAAAAAGTTTTCTAACATATATTAATTATCGCAAAAAAGTGGAGAGGCTATGGCCCCCTGCTAGCCCAATGGCTGCGCGGTGCCTGATTTCAACGACAATCTATGATCCTTTCACGATTACATAAATAAATAGTTAGCATATGAATGATAGAAGGAAAGCAGAAATGTCGTTGTAAAGGTGGCTTTGTTAATTATTAGATTTACTCACTTGGCAAGTGTTCCGTCTCCCTTTTCACGATCTTGGAGTGTCCTAATAACTCTTAGGTCGCTCCATTTCAGAGCATCGAATGCCTGTAGCACCTGAAGTTAGAAAACATAATAAATGTATATGGTCATTACAATAAAGGGTCAGAGAACCATTAACAACGCAAACTAAAGGTTTGAACATTAGAAGTCTCAATTTTTTATCTACAAAAGAGGATTGATACCGAATAGTGCATGACACATGTAACAGAGCTCCACTTTGTTTTATTCCTAACACCTGAATTGTTTTAACGCTAACCGTTAGGCCAGTAGTCTAATAATTTATCACTCTTTAAGGATGGTCTCAAGTACAATTAAAACACAACGACTGGCTGATTATTGAAAAAGTTATTAGTTTGAGCACAGTCTTTTCCTTGCATAACTATGAATGTTCAAACCATTGTTTGATAATTGAAACATTTTATAATTCGAAATTCGATGATTTGGACAAATTTTGCTTTTCCCTAAAAATCGAATCAATGGAGGATATCTGTATTTGAAAGAAGACTTAAAACCCCCTTATATCAACGTAGCTAATTACCATAAAAAGGTTACGTGAAATGGAGCAGCATACCTGGAGGCGAACATTAACGCTTGAATCTAGCTCCAGTATATCTAGTAATATCCTTAGCTCTTTCTCCCCTTTCATTCGTAGAGATGACTGAAAAAAGTGATAAGAATGTTGATAAACATTTTAATAGAGATGTTGATTAAATATAACCTATATTTTTCAAGATATTTTGTTCTTAACATGTTATCACTAAAGATAAATATCTAATAACTAGTCTTTCGAAAACCATTTTGCCTTAGATTTATATACAGCAATGAAATGTCTTTGATGAAAAATTATAGCACTGGCTTCGAAGATGAGTTTACTTTCTTTGCTGGATGAAATGGATGACATCTACTGTAAGGGACATGGTAGCTTTACCAGACCTTATTGCAAAAGTTTTTATCGCGAACTTTCCACAGCCTTAAGAATATAATTGCTGACAAAAGGACGTATTATGCCTTCAAAGACACAAGCTTCAAGAAGAATGTAAAGAGAGTTTATTTCCTATTTACCAAAACTTCTATCTTCAGCAAACGGTTGCTGTATTACTTTGGGCAATAAAACGAGAAGCTAATGCTTTTCTAAGGATATTTTTTCCAGAAGTATCCAGTGCTTTGTGAATGAAAGTACGATTTTATTGGTTCCTTTCTTTACAAATGTTGTGAGACTTGGCACGAATCTAGTTTTTGTACTGTAAAGACCACCCTCCTTCGAATAAACCCCCAATGGGGGCTACTTGAGCTTAGCAAAATACATGTTAAAGCAGTGGCGTAAATAGGAAATTTCATAGGAGGGGCGAAGAACTGAGATTTTCAGACAAAAATCTAACAAACATTTTTAACTTTTTCATACTTTTGAACATAGTGCAGTTCAGTTCAGTTTATTTCAGTTCAATTTTTTATATTCTAAAATTCCTCTACATACAATATCTATCTACAACTACATAACTACTTATATACAATGTTCACACATTACATAAAATACTTATAATAGCAGGCAATCTTAAAAAAATCTTAAATTATTTTTACAAAACAACATAGTGACCAATAATGGTATTTTAACTTAGTCTATACATAGGTGGTATTTTTCTGTGGAAGATTCAAAACAACTTACAGACAAATTTTTATTTTTGGCACTAAAAACTAAGTCGAACGCATCTAATTTACTAGGGAGTGCTTTCTCCTCGATTAGTTTATAAACTACTGAGAAAGTTTCCTCCTTTAAATGATTCCCTGTGTACAATACTAGCTTGTTTCTTCTGTTATGTATTTGTTCTTATGTTTATGTTAGTTGACATCCTTTTACATTGTTTATACTTTTTAAGGTTGGATTAAAGCTAATTTGAAACAAGTGTAGGTATACAGTGGACTTTAAAATAAAAACTGAACTGAAATGAACTATCATAAATCATACTAATTAAAGATTTTTTGGTCTTCTCTTCGCAAAAGGCGCTTTTAAGTTGCCCGTCTGATTCAGAACAACTGAAGAAATCGTTATAATAACCTTTAAACCCTCTTCTCTCAAAATGTAACACTTGGATAAAAATAGAAAACCATGTTATATTTCCGACAAGATCAGAAATTTCCCGACAAATAGCTGTTTAGCTTTACAGGGTTTTTTGCCCCCCCCTGACCCCCTCTATCTACGCCACTGCGTTGAAGTTATTTGCATGCTTCTCTTACATGATATTCAAATGACCTTTTTCTACTTTTTCCCTCTTGCAAATGGCCATTACCATTTCTCTTAGCACCACTCTAAATTGTTTTACTGTATCTCTTTCCGTTCTGAATTTTGCATACTTTGAGACGTTTTAATCAAGTAACCCCCCTCCTATCCCATCGCTTAAACTCACCTCGAAAACAGCCCCTCCCAAAAATATTTCTTGTCAAATATGCCCCCGGGGTCTTAAAAAAGTGTTTACGGTACAACCAATACTTACCAACATTTGAATGGCGTTTGTTCTAATACTCTCGTTAAGATCATCTAGTCTCCTACAAATATAAATGTGGCTTTGATTTATTTCTATGAAACCCTTACTAATTAACCAATATGGCTGAATTTTAACCACAACCCTGTTTAACCAAGTCACAAGTTCCAAGTTACAATAAATACTTTGTCGGCGGTTGGCTTTTTGGAGTTTGTTTTAAAACCCAATGTTTTATTGTCTGAAAACTTATACAGTTCTTAATGTTAAAGCATTTGGTTTTTAAGAGGGATAGTTCTAGTGCTGGACAAACAACGAACTCCGCTCATTGTAATTTTTAGTGATCTAGAATTACATCACTCAAAAGATCAGCTGTTGTTTCCTCTCAATGTTTTTGCTTATATGTGAAGGAAATTCAATGCCTGAAAAACACAAAAATAACAGTGAAACCTACATTTCCAAAAAGATGATGACACGAATGTATCGACATAGCTTCCATTTATGGTAGCTACTTTTCCTAGTAAAATCGATCTCAAATTCAACGAGAAGATAACGCCATGATGTCAAGGCAAGCACAGATAAAATTGGCTTTCTCAAAGTATTAGTCTTAAAGTAGACATACACCAATTTTTTTATTACATAATTTTAAAGTTGATCATGTCAAATGCCGAAAGCCATAAAAAATTTTAAGATGCGACATTTACTTCCTATTTCATTGCAATTTTAAAGTCCAAAATCAACGGGATTTTCGTGTTTCAGGTTCGCGTTTCGAGGGCGCCTGGGGCCGAATCTACCGTGACGTAACGTCAGGAACCCTTTTCATCGTCCAGGCCCCGAATAGGCAAATAGTTCTTTAGAGGCAAAATTTTTGTTTACATGCTAAACCATTATCCTTCATTTGCATCACAGAGGAACGAAAAGGACAGGCGAGATATACCCGGAGTAATTTCTAATGATCTCCTGGAACAAAGTTTAGTTACTCTGATCAAACCGTTTCAAAACATCTACGAAAATAAAAAAGCAATACCAGCTGGATGCAAAAAACGAACAAAAACCTAACATGGGAAGATTTCCTCCTAAGATCATATCATCTGCTATAAGTATAAAGGAAAGAAAAAGATTCGTATTGAAGGTAAAGATAAATGCATTCACTCACTTGTGAACTAAAAATATTGCCTTTGGCCGCATCCCGAAATCTGCTATGACATCTGCTATTTTCGCTCGTAACTCCTAGTATTAATTATAAGTATTAATGATAAGGCTATGGGTTGACAGCAGTGCTGTTCTTATGCCATTAAAACGATTCAAGAATAGCTGCTAATATTATGAATGTATAATTGATGGAACGAAGGAATAAATGAATGAATCTCACAGTGCTAGGGTGGTTCCACAGCAGCTTTTCTAGTGTGTCAAATACTTTATCTGGGTCTTCTTTAGTTGCATCCTTAACCCCTAAAAGCCCAAGAAATCAATTTAATTAAATTCCATCTTTGTTTTCCTGGTTTTATTCTTCATAAAGTGATTAAATATTGCATTTGCAAAACATTTAGAGGATTATGTTCAAAATTTTCATAATCTTTGTTATAGCCAAAAAAGTCACTTTTAACGTCATATATTAACGTCGATACATGCTTAGGGACTTTACACTGGCACCTGTCTCAGTAGACGGGCTAACTCACTATCTCGGTAGTATCATGCATACGAAAAAGTTATCACTATTTCTTATACGGTAATCACACAATAGACTTGTTCTCGTCTTAATAACTTAAAGTGCCACTGAACTGAAAAAAATGAAATTTTTTTTATTGTTGATTCTGGTAGACCTATCATCGCTGATTTCGGAAAAAAGTTTAGTTTTTTAATTTGGGGCCCACAAATAGGGGTTTCTGGGGTTCTTTTGCGAGTAGGTCGTGCGAAAAGAGGCTGGGGCGAGTGACGCATTCAGATTTATATAGTCATTTCAGCCATAGTGAGGGCTGTAAGAAGATAAAAAGATACAAATTGTGTAAAACATGACACAAGCATGAAACTTGATAGAGATAGGCAGTTTAATACGCCGAAAAAGATAGGGTGTGAATAGACGCTGACAAATATACCCTTGTGCTATTTATAGACTGGGGTACTAGGTTCCAAACCTCTAAGCAGTAATTAACATAATTTAGCCATTAGATCGCGATACCAGCATGGAACTTGGTAATAATAGGCAGTTTGATACGCTGAAAAAGATAGGATATGAATTGACCCTGAAAAACCCCCCTTGTGCTATTTATAGAGTGGGGTACTAGGTTCCAAACCTCTAAGAAATAATTGACATAATTTAGCCATTAGATCGCGAAACCAGCATGGAACGTGGTAGTAATAGGCAGTTTGATACGCTGAAAAAGATAGGATATGAATTGACCCTGAAAAATCCCCCTTGTGCTATTTATAGAGTGGGGTACTAGGTTCCAAACCTCTAAGCAGTAATTGACATAATTTAGCCATTAGATCGCGATACCAGCATGGAACTTGGTAGTAATAGGCAGTTTGATACACCGAAAAAGATAGGGTCTGAATAGACGCTGAAAAATATCCTTTGTGCTATTTATAGACTGGGGTACCAGGTCCTAGACCTCTAAGCAGTAATTGACAGAATTTAGCCATTAGATCGTGATACCAGCAAGGAACTTGGCGGTAATAGGCAGTTTGATACGCAGAAAAAGATAGGGTCTGAATAGAGGCTGAAAAATACCCCTTATGCTATTTATAGACTGGGGTACCAGGTCCTAGACCTCTAAGCAGTCATTGTCATAATTTAACTTTTAGATCGCGATATCGGCATGGAACTTTGTAGAGATAAGCAGTTTGATACGCTGAAAAAGATAGGATATGAATTGACCCTGAAAAATCCCACCGTGCTACTTATAGGCTGGAGAACAAGGTTCCGGATAAAGCAAGTTTTTTTCATAATTTTCATTTTGGATCACGATACCATGACAATGATGCTAACAATGATGTTACTGCTATAACCAGGGACGCCAAGACATTCTGGAAGCCAAAACGGATAGGCGATATTTGCAACCACGAATTCTAGATAAGCCTAAATTGATTCTTTTTCATGCAAACGTTTAAAAAAGTTTTACTTTTAAAGGCATAATTTTGTTACTTTTAATCAATTCCATTTAAAATGAACTTCTACTTTTTGAGGCCCCCTGACCACGGGGCAATTTATCCCATCTTGACGGCCCTGGCGATAACTGATGCTTTGACAGTGGCAACGCAAGTTGGAAAGTGGGAAAAGCGCCGAAAAATGTGCAATTTGTTTGGTTCTTTAATAGAGCAACTTTTTCCCTTGATCAATTTGCTCACTTCTATTCATAATTTGTAAAGCTGTTTGTAAGAGCATTCTTATTCGACACGCTCAATTATTCACAAAAGGTAAATGATCGGGATGAAGTCTTGGTAAAAACTGCACGCAAAAAGTTCGCTTATTTCGTATCGGCTCGAAATTTTCGCAAGAAAATACCTTGCACATGTCTTGTAGTTAGATAGCTAGTGATATTTAGAGCACAAGTATCGCACTATTTTCATCCACTTCACGTTTTTTGGTTTTTTATCGCACTCGAAATACAGCTTTCAGTACTGAAGCCCGCATCACTTCCGCGACTTATAAACGTTAATGCGTCACACATTCCTGAAATTCCTCACAGACCGCGCACAAATTTTCGCACAAAAAGTCTTGAAAATCGCAACTTTGAAGCGTTGTAGCTTCAAAACACTTCACAATTCCGAAAAATGAACTTCACCATCGGATTCAGGAGCACTGACCTGACTTAGAACATCAATAAAAAATTATTTGATTTTTTCAATTCAGTGGCACTTTAACTGGCACCTGCCATAATATGAAGACATTTGCAATAATATGACAGAGAACCATTAACGATCTATTTGTAAGATTTTTTTTATGAAATGACTTATAGACACAAGAGTCACAGATTTATACAAAGCTTGCTAAATCATACCTATATACTGAAGAAGCTCAGCTGCGGATATTCGTTGCTGTGAACAATAACACGATTTGTTACAACATTGATAACAAAGCTTCTTTAAAGAGCTCCAGAAGTGTTAAGAGGAAGATTTTTCATAAGTTTTGATGAATATTTTTTTTGGTGAAAAGAGACCATCCATTATTAGTGATGCCAAAAACAGTTAATGTTCTTATTGAATAAAGGGCATTAGAAGAAAAAGTATAGCTAAATATTGTTTATCGAAAGTCACTAAAAAAGTCTACACCTAAGGAATGGTCTAAGCAGAGTTTAGGAGAGAAAGAAAATCGCGTTTAAAGCACCTTTTAAAACATCGGTCATAGGGAAGGGGTTGCCTCTCATTTTCATACCCTCATCTGCAGTTGAGGTCTCTGGGAAATACTTGAACTTTTTAGATACCCTCAAGTTACTTTCGCATTGTTAAACCTTTCCAACCCTTGAAGGAAAAACTTCAACAATATTGTCTGGTTTCTAAACTACTACCAGCTGTGTAATCCAAATCTCATTACCGTAAATCCTCGAATAAGCTTCCGGGGGCTCATTTGCAAAAATTAATTTTTGGGTAGGGGCTTATTCGAGGGGGGGGGGCTATTTCAAAGTGCAAGAGCCATGACAAAGAGCAAAAAATGATCGAAATTCTTGTTGACCAATTGAATGAAAAAAGATGAGGATGAGCATTTTGAGCTTCTGTTTACAACAACTTATATCATTAAAAGAGTTACAAAGTGCTGTGTGAAGATCTAACAAATATTATAATTTTTTAGTTCACAAACGTCGCTTCTTTGCTTTTTGGTCTCCAGTCAAAGGAAGTAATACTGTATAGCTATTGTCCTGTGGGGGCTTTCTTTAAATGAGAGATTTTTCTGCAATTATGTTTACCTCGAATAAGCGCCTATGGCAGCATATTCGAGGGGGGGAGGGCTTATTTGCAAAAATTATTTTTTAGGTGGGGGCTTATTCGAGAACTTACGGTAAATGTGTAGAAAGCTCAAAACAATTGAAATACTTTGTTGAAGAGTCAACACTGGAGAAATCGAGCATAGACATACCTTCCAATTTCTTGCATTGCTAATTTGAAACAAAAGACAATCTATTATGACATCGTCTTTGCAGTTCATTTGCCTGACCAATGACTCCAAAGCCTTGCATTTCGAAATTAAACATAAAATTAATCAAATTAAAAAAAACTTCGATGAAAAAACTGCAGATATCTTAAAAGCATGAGAAATATTAACGGGAAAGAATATGTAGTTATCGCGCCAGCTCATATTTAATGGGGCATCGAGAAATGGAAACTGTTTTGAGAAATGTTATGGTTTTGAAATTGTCAGGCTAGTTTACGGTAAAGGTAGATTTTCCGTTGACCATATAGCCGTATCCAGAAAGCAGTAGCATACTAGTTAACAGTCATTTTGTCATGATCAACACAAAATGCCTATTTCTACAATTTCGTAATATATTAGTTGCCAGCTTTTATAAAGCAATAAATCTATGAGCATGTGACGTTCTTTATTGTTTAATCAGTTAGACGCTAAAACTATCATTAAGAATATGTTTATACGTAAAAGGTGTGATATCAAAGTTACATTTCAAAAGTTGTTTACTTCTAAAACAGGAAAAGACTGAGAAGAATAAAAGGGGTGAAAGGAATTGGTATAGGGGTGAAGTTAAATAAACGCTAAGCAAAAACTCGTCATCAAGCATTTCGATATCCCCAGTTTCCGCAACGCCACATTCCCTATATCCCTACTTGGCGATTTGCAACCCAGGGTAGTGCTTCAAATGCAGCGATGATAGTATCACTCAAAAATTTCAACATCATATAAAAATTTACAGGTAATGATCAAGCGAATATCACAGTAAAGAATGTGTTAACCAGATCACGAAAGAAAAAACCTACCTTGGCTCTGATAGCAAAGGAAGTATCCTCCAATCTTGAGAAAAGATGCTGACGTGCTGCTGAGTCAGCAACACATAAATGGCCTAATGAGAGGGAAGCTCCAAGAGCAATGTCGTCGTCAGATGAAGAAGCCAATGTCGATAATGTGTCAATCAATTTCTCTATTTCTTCAGTTTCCTGTGTAGAAAGAGATTTGAGTTTCTTGCACACTTAGTCCCATAAAAAAAGGAAAAACTGATAATATTGCGAATTTTTGTAGTTCAAGTTACGTAACCTTGCCAATGTGGAAAAGCCTTCATTCATTTTCTAAATGTTTGCAAAATTTTTGCTTCAACTTTCTAATTCTAACACAGATTCGTGAACCCTTATTAACAATTATGAAGTTTTGTTGTTGGAAAAATCAACGTGAAGCAAAATTATCACAACATTTCTAAAACGGATTATGACATACCTTGGAGACAAACTGTGCATTTTTAGCACTGCTAATAGTACTCAAGATGTCCAACTGCAAATCTTTCTTCCCTGAAGAATCAACGTTCAAAACTTTACAAATATGTATATAAAAACATGGTTGGGAAGCGCAGCTCTCGCAAAAAAACATACGAGAATCACGACGAGCAACGTAATGAGTTTCATTTCAACTACAAATCTAGTGTAGAAATACTCGACATTTCAACGAAAGGTATACATTAAGCTTTAAATGGTAAGCCATGCTTTAATGAAAAGTGATTATCGTGAACTTAACTATGTTGTCTAACAACAAAACACTTGTACCCATGCTCGTCTCATCATCAGCTTAGTTCAAAAGTATAGGAATTGCTTTTTATAGTGCAGAACTAATTATTCTTGTGATGCGTGATAAAAAAGAAATCATAAAATTTCTTAATGAAGAAAGGCCATTGTTCACCAATTACCAAAACTACAATAAAAATGATTTCTAACATATTTTTCCTCAAACGAAAGGAAATTTCGAGCGTATCTATGCTACCTTTTTTGAGCCCTTTCCACAATGCTCTCACAGCAGAAGATTCCCAGGACCCTGCGATTATAAAGAAGAAAACGAGACAACTGTCACTAAATGTTTGAAAGCTGGAAAGGAAATGAGACCTGGCTCTAAAAAATTTCTTTGAGATACCCTTCAATAAATGACATTCAACAATGGAAGAAATAATTCTATAGGAAGACTTGCACCACAATGATTTATCAACAAGGGGGCAAGCTAAATAGAGATTTCGAGATGCTTTTTAAAAAAGAAACACCAATCAGCCCCTTTAAGAGTAGGATCAGAGTCGTGGAAAATAGAAGATAAGTGATATGAAAAGAAGCAGAGGCTATTTAAAAGAAAGAAATACGAACTGGTGCAAAAACAATAGTACCTAACTTAATGAGGCATTTGCAAGCCTCATATATTACATCTGGATTTGTTTCATCTTGAATCTGGGGGCAACAACGAGAAAATATAAATCAACATGACATATTATTAAGCAAAGATTTAAAGGGAATGATTTTATGTCAAATAAGGACAAGTTTAAACACTAACTATGAACAACAAAATAGGATACCTTAATAGCTAGAGACAACTGACTAAAACCTGAATTATAAATAAATAAAAAGAAGCTGTCTATTGGCTTGCAGCAAACAGAAAAACAGGCTTTAAAAATTTCTTACAGTGAATTTAAGAAATAGATCTGTAATACATATACCCTGTTGCAAACAGCTTCAATAACTTTAGTGTGTGACATGTCAAGCTGAGAAAGAGTCTGAAATAAAAAACATTTGATTATCAGAACAGTGTTTAAAGAGGAGTTGTTGAATCTACTAAAATTCAAAAACAGCTTAATAAATCAATCATAACTTCGACATCATTTGTATGAATGTAAACATGACATACCTTGAATGCATCCTTTGCCGTTTCTAAGTTTTCAGATTTAATTCCACAGTTACCTAGAAGTTCCTTAAAAAACAATGGCATAAAGTTGCACAGTTGTCACAAAGTAGGATGATAGTCTACTTTAAATAAACAAAGCCTTGATATTGAGTGAAAGGTCAAAAACAAAAAATGATTAAGTACAAGGAAATATTAATGAGCTGACCAGCCAATTTAAGATATCCTTAAAGTATCTCTAACTAACAAATTTAAGAGCAACGCAGTGCTTGCCAATCTAATCACTTAAAACTAAGCATCTTTGAAACTTTGAAAATGGGTGGTTTGACCCTGTCCCTTTGACCCTTCAAACAATCTTGGGAATATCTTTACTTGAACAATAGGAATATGTCAAAATCTTAGGTCGTTAGCTTTTTCAAATCATAATAAGATTGTTTTCTTAGATAGTCTTCACAGAGGCTCGTACCCAAATATCCCGCCAAAGAGGCTTGAATCTCAAAGTCAGATGAAGCTAACTCCTACTATAAAATGTAACAAAACCATCAAAAACTACGCTTTATCTCTGAAAAACACATCCAACCAAAAATCTTTTAGTCTAAGATACAAATAGACAGAACAAGAAACAGTTGATCTGAAGCTGCCTCATTACTTTAAATCAATATTATCCAGAAAGTGAAAATCTTTAAGAAATACAAACGAAATATAAAACGTTTTCTTACTAATACTCTTTTCCATTTTAGATCATCTAAGTCATGCACAGACTCTCTGCTTGGCTTCAATCTCGTCAAAGCTAGCAAAATAATTGATTAAAGCTAAAATAATTTACACATTATAGTCCACTGGCTAATTTAAACAAAATTGGCAATAATCACAATAAGAGAGCATTTCATTTCCCATGATATTAATCTCTAAATGTAGCTATCTTATGAAATGGATACAAAAGTACCTCTGATTTTGCTTGCAGCTTTTCGCAAAGACACCGTGCTTTCTTCAGTTCTAAATGAAAATACCAAAAAAAATTAAACCTTATCTAGCAGCTAAAAGCAATTCTTCAAATGCATAAAATGTAAACCTTCGAAGTGCAAAAAAGGGAAGTGTTTTGGTAAACGGGATACTAGCTTTAAGATCAATATAATATAGCTTTTATAGAAGTCTGCGATGGAAATATTTTGGTGTGAAGTAAGTGTAAATAGTATAACGATTTTTCTCTTGTCAAAATCAAACCAAGAATTTTGGCCGGTCTAATAGATCTTGCTTAAGTCCATCTAAGTTTGGTGAAATTTTTTTGGAAAGACAAACCTTGACGTGATCATAAGTGGTTTCTTCTTTGTTATTGTAGCTACCTAGGACGAAAAGTGGAAAAAAGCTAGGGCTAAACAGCATCATTTATGAATAAAGAATGAACATAAGTATATATTATGTTCAATAAATCTTCTAGTTTATACCATCTATGTTGACCAAAGGTCCTCCTTTGGACAGACAGCCATAGTAAAATTCGTAATAACAATCAAAATAACAACAAAAACATAATAATAAAAGTCTTCTTAAAAATCATGACATTTTAAATCAGCAATCAATTATGCGAGCTCTGAGGCTGAGCAATTTTCTAAAAAAATACTTGAAAATTGGACAACAAAGAGATTGAGTACTAGAACTCTATTTACGTTATTGGTCAAATACTTCTTTTGAATCAAAATAGGACTCTCCAGATAAAAATTACTTTTTAAAATTTTGAGAAACCTACTTCCTTTAATTTTTGTTTTGGTCCTCTAAGGTATGAAGTATGTCTTGGAATATCAACTTTGTCTAGGTCGCACCAGTGTTTAGAGTTTCTGGGGTACTGTTTGCTAGAAGACTTGACAACGAAATATGAGATTTAAATGTAAGTGACAAAACATTCTATTTTTGACATATGATCATGCTTGTTAAGTATAAGCAAAAGAATGAGATGCTAAATTTGTAAGAAAGAAAATAATCAGAGTGCTTGATATCTTGTAAACAGAGTTGTACACGCTTTTGTCTAAAAAAGTAATATTTTAAGTTGCTACACAAAGTTTCAATTTTATTGCGACCATCAGGCCACTTTAATGAGCCAGCTGAAACTTCTGGAAATGAGGGAAGCTACAACTCTGGTTTCGATGTTTGAATCAGTATAGTTTAGTTCATTATTTATGGCTAACAAAATTAATGATTGCCAAACCAATCGAGGAAAAACATAACATGAGAAATTTCAAACATTGAAGTTACAACCCACCTTATTTACAACAGGAAGAACAACAGAAACTGGTCTACTGAACAGCTTATTCACACGCTCATCGTAGTAATCTAAACTTCGAGTCTGCATTAACGGTGGCAGGTTTTCTCCACTTTCTTTCCACTCTCCGGCCGCCTTTTGAAAATCTCGCCTTCCTGGTAAATCAAATATATTCTTATTGGAATATTCGCAAAAAAGAATAGGAAGATCACGATGCGATAGCCAAACAGATAAAAAGGTTTTATTCAAGCTGGACCTATCGATTGAGTTTCAAATAAGGTTTGGATTCTCAGTAAAAAGATTGAGCTTGTTTAAGACAACTAAACTTTCAAAATAAGCTTAATTCTACTAAAGGACTTTTGAAAACCAAAGAAAAATACAATTTCAACAACGCGGTTTCTCTTAATATTAACAAAATTTTACCAAGATTGTTTTCAATTTCAATTTGTTATTACTTGAAACCACTCTCTACCTTCCCATTATTAGGCCGTTTTGCCGCACGTGAAATTCATATTCTATTTACTTGAATGTTAAACTTTGTTCGAAAATTTTATACTTTTATACTTTAGCTGAAAATTAAGTATTTTTATACTTAAGGAATAGTTTCTTGGTCAACTAATATTATTTAAAAATTTTGTAAAATTTCGCTTTTTTATTACCAATCCTCAAGCAAAATTCAAACGCCAACTTAGGCTATGATATACCCACCTCTAACTGATCTTTGAGGTTCGTCACTTGCATTTTCAAGTTTAACTGAATTTACAGCTGCATCTTCGATCGCTTGAAGTAATGCTTGCAGCTTTTGATGGACCAATTCGATTGATTTTTTCTGTATCAAAATAATAAAAACGCATGTGAGAATCGTTATGAATGTTCCCTAGGTTCTAAATAAAACAATTTAAACTATAAATAAATTTAAAAGCTGGAAACACAATAACAAAGGAGAGGGCCTTTGACCAGGCTAGTTTCTGATGAGTACCTAACCTACACGCGTTTCCGCCACCATAAGCCCCTTTATCTAAGGTTGATCAGAAAACATCAAGCAAAAAATCTTACGAATTAGAAATCATTACAAAAAGATCTTCTAAAAAAAGACAATCCATAGACAGAAAAAGGGCCTTTCATGAATTCAAATGTCCAAGGCATCTTACGCAGGTTTCTAAGTACGACCCAAACAAACACCCTGGATAATCTTGGCAATAAAAACAGACACCCTGGATAATCTTGGCAATAAAAACAGACACCCTAGATAATTTCAGTAGCCAGATGATACATTTTCAGATTAGCGTTTGCAACCATATTCAAGTGTGTTGCACTCACCGTGAATTCAGAGCCTTCTGACAGATCCCTCTCAACTCGCCAAGGTATCTCATTTGATTTAAACTTGCTCATGCCTGATATGAAATACTTTGGATTAAAAATCTTGAGACATACATTTCTGGATCATATTTTGGATTTTTCATTCCCGAGCTCTTCAGTATTTACTATCACAGGTAAAAAACACCAATGTGTACTTTAAAACTGAGAAAGAGACCTAGAGCTTAAACTCTTTATGCTGTAATAGGCAGAAAGAAGCATGAAATGTATCTTTGAGCTTAGTGTAGAAAAGGCTTTGATACGAGCTATATGAAGCTACGTCCATTGAACTTTTCAGAGTAAGAAAATTAAACGTATAAAAAATAATTAAGAATGAATCGAAATCAATAAATATCACTTACTAAAGGGCCCTAAAACATTAAAAGAATTAGGGAAAAAGCACTTAAAGAAACTAGCTTAGGTGGTTATTATGGAAACATCAAAAGGAAGACAGACCTTGCTTTAAGAAGGTGTCTGGGTATGATATAGCGAGAGCATGCCATGAGAGTGGGTCTTGCTTTTGCATGAAATTCGTCCATTCAAATCGATGATGATCTGAGTTCCAATAATAGTCAACCATGCTTGATGTCATCGAAGTCATAGAATTTTGCTGTGTATCTATAAAACCTGTGGAAGAAGTAAAACATATACCACAGACATGGGAGCAGCCGTGGGAGCAATGATACCCTAAAAAGCTGAAACCCTAAAAACATTCTTGTTAAATGTCTTATCTATCAGCTGTGTTTTGTACACAAAAATTCAGTTCTCCAAAATAACAATGCAGTAACAGTCACATAAAATATAGACCCAGATTCGAAAAAAAATTTACAACTTTATTCCATTCACAATCAAACTCCGCTTACTGTCACACAAGTTTCGAGCAAATTTTGGTGTGACTATAACCGGAGTTTACTGTAACAAAGATAAAATTAAAAATCATCACATTTTGCATGAAAAAATTAACAGCGAAATCATTAGTACATACGTTATACGTTAAACTGTTGCAGAAAAAGCCTGGAATGCAAAGGTACAACATATTGCCTGCTGTTTGTTGGTATGACGTCACTACCCAGCGACTCTTGCTTCAGAACTAGTTTATAATTCATAATAATGATGATGCATAAAAAACATCACATTGAATGAATACCATAAATCTGCATTTGAACATCACGTTTAATGATATTTGCTATTTCAAACATCCCTTTAGCACATTGCCTTCCATGCAACGATGTATAATAAACAATTCTAACGATTTCCAAAACAAAACTTATTATTACAAGCGTTTGTTGGTTTACATGTCTGATCTGTAGCATAATTTAAGCCATATGTTGATTTTGATAATAAAAAAGCGTACCTGGATTCTCTTCATGGGTATTCACTTCTTCGACTCTATCTGTTAAACTCCCAGTCTGACCCTCATCCTCGCTTGAAATAGAGGTATCATCACAGATTGTGGTTAATGAGAATATTTTCTCAATACCATTTTCAACTTGCTCCTTTGTGTTCATGAATGAGTCTGTGTCCTCGTTTGAATCGTTTTCGATAGGAAATAGTCTTTGTTTCTGTTCAGCTGTCAAATGCTCAATGAAATTTTCTGAAAGATCTGACTTGTGTATTTTTGAACCGTTTTGCTGCAAAATAGCACAGCACATAGAAACAGAAATGAAATTATTTCACATATATACGGCAAAGAATTTTAGCATTATATCTAGCTAGAGTTTAATTGAAAAAATTAGCTAGTAATTGCAGAGACGTTAAATTTAGTATGCTGTACGCAATCTGGTTTTCTCACGAAAAGTTTTAATGGTATCAGTCTAATAACTGTCTGATTGGTTCAACTAATAAGTATTCGAGATAAAGCACTTAATAGCTATCGATAGAATTATTCTATGCAGGGCCATCGAGGGACATGCCTTGTTGGGGGGAGGGGGGGCGTTGACTACGAATTTACCTGATTAAATATAATCACCTGAATTTTTTCCATTTGTTAACACTAACCTCTGCAATAAATTTTGTCTATCTAACTCGACAGCTTGTAATTCACAACTTCCATTTATAAAATAATAACATACCTTTCCGGCCCTTTAGTTGGTATATCGGGATGAACACAGGATATAGTCACCCCTACACCCCCGGTTGCGAAGCCTCTGATTCCATGTTCAAAATTTGATTACGACTATTCACAAGACCATTCTTGGGTCCGCTTGGGTGAAGCTTTTAGACAAAATAACTGGAAACACTCAAGCAAGGGCGATTGGGAGCTAGCTACTTTTCAGATAAAAGTAAGAGTTTGGACATGGCAATAATAAATTTATTATAATTTTTACCAAAGGGAACCTGGAAAGTATAGGCTATCACTTTCAGTAGTAAAGAAAACATTTTAAAAGCATAAATAGCCACATATGTTTTGCAAAAGGTGTTTGTTGGATAATACGAGTGAAAATAGTTCAAAATGACATTAAAACTGCATACCTCATGTGATTTTCCATGATATTCAACATGACACATTGCCCTACTCATGAAAAGAAAGTTCTTTATCCGTTTTTCAAGCCATTTCACTCGTTTTTGCTTTCTTTCAATCTGCAAATGGAATAAGCCCCTCATGACTTACCCCTGATTTGAATATTCTTCAATAAAAACTCACCTTGATGTTGTGAAGAAGGTAGACTTTCATTCAAGAAGAAGAGAACAAATTTTTAGTCAAATCAAGTTACTGCTTTGTAATGAGAAGTTATTCTTAACAAAATTGCTCTACATATTGTTTTTGTATCAATTTGATTCTCTAAGACAGTGCCAGACAGAGTAAATTTTGCCTGCCAACATACATGTAAATTTGACTTAACAGCTCGTTCTAATTCAAGTCTTGCAAGGGCAACTTCATTGTTTAGCTTCATCAATATCTGCAAAGAAAAAGTAGAGCTGATAAGACAACAAACAATCTAAGGTAAGAAACGATAATCTTTCTGACAATAGGGCAATTAGACAGAAAAAGCTGGGATGGATTCACCAGGGTTTCTTATAGGATATATTGTGCCCTATAACTCTAGAGTAATCCAGATACTTGAGAGCAAATGGCAACTGGAAGATAAACATGTTGCTCATGTGCAAGGTTAGCAATTGACTGATCTTGAACCATAAGAACTATACAACTTATACAGATAGGATTATGAAGCTGTACTGTTACGAGGTTAAAGTACAGCTTCATAATCATGTTTGCTTTTCATAAGATGAAATGGGAGATAACAGAACATTCAATGAAGTCTGGTAAAAGTGTGAGTGTCTTGTTTATACACCTACCTGTAATAACACTAGAATCTGTTCACTTTTGGAATGCAGAAGCTTGAAATCTTTCTTTGTTCTTTGGATTTCATCCTAAAGGTGTGATTGGACTTTATAGTTAGAAGCTTGACTGTAATTTGACATTAGATCCAAATTAAAACATTGTGCAGGATTCCAAAAGAAATAACACATGAACTCCCCTCCCTTCAAAGATTTTGCAAATGGCAAGATGCCATGAAAAGAAATTTTGATTTAGAAACATGTAATTTGTTACCCTCAAGAACTCCTTTCCTTCACATTCTTGCAACAAAGTATTTATTTTTCCTTGTAAGAGCTTGACATACTCAACCTAAATGAAGAGAAAAGAAATAAGAGGCTTAGACAAACGCTTCTTGGCACATTACAGAAAGGAAAAACAGCAAAATTTTGAAGCAATATCAAACAAAAGGGCTGTTTAAGAAAAACTGACAATTAAATTTTCATGCTTTCCTTTCAATGTTTATTTAGCATTCACCAAAGGCTCAAAGTTTTATCGCTTGAACGACAGCAGAGAGCACTTCTATCCACAGCAAGGGGCGTTGTGCACGCGAAACTACATGAAATGATATCTATATTTTTATAATGAACAGAATAATCTTTAATCTGTCATATTTGTAAAACAGGTTTCCGATGATCGCTCTAAGCATTAAACTTAGAGTTGCAATTGGGAACTGCAAGTCTTTTTAATAAATGTAAACGCCCATAAAAACACATCTTCAGTAGAAGATGAAATTTTGCAAAGAAAATCCTAACAACGTTCGTGTTGGGTGCAGAGCATTCGATTTGTGAGAGGGTTTTCTAAAGTAAAATGGGATTTAAATGTGTCCAAACCTGCTGCTCGATTTGTAGATCTTGTTTGCCAGTTCCCTTCTTCGATATTTTGTTCGATGTTGACATATTAGAAATGCCGGTTGATCTTTTCTTGGCCTTTTTGGAGTAAAATCTGTCACCAGGTCACCAAGTGATCATGTAAACAACACTGCCTCGATTTCACACCACCTCGGATGGCTGGGGCAAGTAATGGCGGACGCAAAAGATGCTGTTCTTGGTAAATCGAAGCAAAATAAGCATAATAAATCAGGTACGATTCTGATAGATTGGTATTTTTTCAGCTGATGGATTCTCTAAGCTAAACATTGAATGGGTCAATCGTATGAATGTTTTCGTGATCGTCTATTTTGAAGAAAAATATAATAAATGGTTTTCTTGTATGTACTGCATGCACGCCAAAATGCCAGACTCTTAAACCACAGTGCAGTGCGTAAAATTGGCCAGATTTTCTTCAAGTGTAAGTAGAAAGTGCACTAGCAAAGTAGCTCTGTTAATTATAGTAAATTTGTATAATTTACTAAAAATAGAACAAAACGACGATAACTATTCAGACTTAAAAGCCACAATCATACAGTATGTTGTTTTGAAAAACGCAGAATTAGCCCAGACCAAGTGTGCCAAAATTCTGTGATCATTACAATCTTGGGTGTGCTCCTGTCCTGACCGACTTCCCCAGTAAGGGTTGGAAAAGGGTTTGGGTTTGGTAGCATTTTTTAAATAACATTTTTTTGTCAAGCTAAGAATGATCAACTCTTATTACTTCTTGAATTTTAGGAGACAGAAGAACAAAAAGGGCTCCTCCTCGGCCTGTGAAGTCTAAAAATACTATTCTTGTCCATAGAAAATCAGATTTTAAAACCCAATTAGAAAGATGTCAGCGACTTTTAGACAAAGGGTTTGTCAATTGAAATTTCTTGTAATTGCTATCACCAGTCCTATAGTCATTTATGTTTCAGTACTTTCATTTGTACTAAAGAAAATATTGTATTTGTATTTAACTTTTGCTAACAAGCATTGGAAGGTAGTCTTAAAGAGGCACTAACACAAAAAACTGTAATGTGTGATTCTCAGAGGTCAGTCTATGTAGAGATTATGTACTCTGTGAGAACAAAATTTTTGTGTAAAACAAGAGGAGGACAGAAATATGGGGGTATGATATCGGTGAAAGCCATGTTGCAAGAAATCATGCAAGTGTATGAGTGTGTTGTAACACAGTAGCAAGATTTGCTCATTTATACCAAAGATGTTTTTTCTTACTTTCACCTCTACTACAACGGTCAATCCCATCCTCCATCTACCTTTACAAGCAAAAGAAAAGAAACAACAGCCTCCAATTGAACGATCTGGGAAAACAAGCCCCTCTGCGAGCTGCCAAATGATGTCAAACACTTTGTTTCCGAGGAGCAGACCAAGAATAAAGTGGGATATCAAAAACGTTTAACCCAATTTTCAAAGTCTAAAAACTTTAGTTCCACAGCAAGTACAGACAAATGAAAGATATTTTTGGGGAACCATGAGCCCCAAACCTGTAGCTCATATATATAACATTGTTGATGCAAAAAATATTCAGATGCAAAAATTTGCAACAGTGGCTCTTTAAGGCTCTTTAAGGACACTGAGAAGCCTTGCCTATCACACATTGTCCTGGTCCCTCCTCTTGATGTGACCACCTCTAGCTTCCTATGCCTAAAATTGCAGAGAGCTGCAACCACACCTCTTGATTCCTATGCATGGAATTGTGGTGAAAGTTTGGTCTTGTCAGGGATATGAACTCCAGAGCCCCTAGGATCACCTAGCCACTGAGACATCCTTGTACCTAAACCCCAGTGGAATCACAAGCCAAAAATTATGATAATCTAGTTTTGGATCTCATCACCTGTATTTTAAGCACTTACAACATTATGAATTGTCCAGAAACAAGGAAGATTTATTTTTGAGATCTTACAGCTTCAACCGAAAACTTCAGAAACCACAACAGTTAGCTATTAAACATTGCATATATAAAACAAATTCAGTTTCTGTTCATTTCCAGAGAAGATGAGCTACAAATTCATGGTCTAGGAGCAGCTATTAACAGATCCATCAACATGGCATTGCAGTTGCAACTTAGAGCAAAAGGAACTTTAAAAGTAAGAATGCCATTGTTTTTCACCATTTTCTAGAATATTAAATTATGACAAGTAACATGAAACTAAGAAATTTTTTTGTATCATTATATGATCATCATACTATATTTTTGCTTCATTTACTAGAAGAAAACTCAAATATTTTATTTCAAGAAAATTTAAGATAATACCTTATTTTGATGATTTCTTTAGCTTTTATTTTGGACGATCTTGTTTGATCAAATTCAAAGAAAGTAATATACCTGCTTTTTAAAAGAGGGACCTTATTCAACCTGTTTTTTGAAAAAAATTAGAAAGAAAAGCAAATGGTTATAACAAAAAATAGTTCAGTTGTTGGTTAAAAAAGGCTTCAGTCACTGCTGCTAGCTGCTTCCACCACCCTCTTTGCTTGCATTTTCATATTTATAGATGAAAATTGTCAGTAATGTATAGATTAAAAGTACTTTCAAATTAAGTACATTTGCTTCAATTTTGCTTACTGTTACATAAGTTTCAATTTGGTTGTATTTCTCATTCAAGTTAATCACCACAACATCAACAGTTGATTTAGTGGATGACTTTGAGCCAGTGCATGAGGTAGGATGCAGATTCATTTCTTCATTGAATTATGCCCTCAGAAATGTTGATGATCATCTATTTTATATTGGTTTGATTATTCAATTGGCTATCATTGCATTTTCTAATCTGCAGTATAGGGCTAGTTCTCAGCCATTTTTCAATAAAAAAAGTGCTGCCAAAACAATTGTTAACAAAATGAAGGACTGACTGGACATAGTTGCTTGAAGAAAAAATAATTTTTGCCAACTTACACACTACTGATCATTTTGACAGACAATTTAAAACTATTAACAATCTTTTAACTATACCTTTCTATAATATTCAACACTTTTCACAGGAAATAGATCCTTACGCGAAATCACGATCATGTTCTGCAATTCATATTATTTTGAGAAAGATTGCGATTGAAAAGCTGATTGCAGAAAAAACAAAATGAAGAAATCATTCAAACCAAAGCCTACCAGCCCTGCTGAGATTCAAGACTTGGAGCCTATACAAAAATACAGGCTGGTAAAAACTCAGCAATATGGACATAATTTATCATAATTTGTCAAATTTTATACAGTTAAATGTAAATATACAACAAATTACATGAAATCTTGCAGTTTGACTGTTCTTCTAACAGCATTGCTGTAGCCTTCATTAAATTTAAACCAAACTTGTGTGTTTACCAAAGATGCCTTTTTCTGCTTCTGGCTCTCTATAACATAAACAAACTTTTTATTATTTAAATGAAAGGAAGCAAATGTAAGTATTTATTGGATATTATCTTGTTTGTGTGGTAAGTTGCTTGCACAATTCCTCTCTATTCATGCATTTACAAAAATCTACTATAGGCTATTCAGTTTTCAACCATCATGCTACGGCTACTTAGTAAAAGAGACATATAATACCAGTGGTGCATGAAACTGTTTAAAACATATTATAATTTTGAAACGCTGCTTTAACATTTTGCTAAAGAGAAATTCAGAACTAGAAAGAAGTTGATAGGATTTTTCTATGTTGCATAAAAGGCAGTTCTTTGTCAGAGATAAAACAACAACTAATTTTAGAAAAACCAAACCTGACACTTTTGCTTTGACAATTTCACGTCCAAAGAAGTCCAGTGTAGGCTGAAAGGAAACAATTACTTTGTCAAAGCACAGAGATATGACACAAATAATAATTTTGCAGGGTTTGTTCATTTCCTAAAAAATCTCATTCAAGGACCAAAGCTCAAGTAGAACTTGGTTTAGAACTTGAGTATACATGTTAAAAACTCTAACCTTTGTTTTGACAGGCTTTATGGCAATTGGTTTCATTTCTGTGACAGTTTTTGCTGTAGGTTGTCCTTTTTGCTTGCTTTTCTCCTTTCTGCATAAGTGATAAATAAAAAGTCTTTAATCATAAATTCATCACAATCTGAAGATGCCGATAAATTTTTTATCTTTATATTAAAACTTCAAATTCTGCAGTTAATTCTAGAATACAATTACTAATGAAGTATGTCTTGTGTGTGATTTTCTTAATATCTAAGTCTGCTAATGATTTCTTTAATATAAGCAAACTGGTATATAGAAACATTTAATGCTTCATAAATTCAAGAGGAAATACCCTTGCGTATCAACTTCCAAATGCTGAAGAGCTTGCTCTATTTTTCTCATTTTTTCAAGATCAATCTGAAAGAAATTGAAATATATAAATATCATCAAACGGATTTTTAAATTTGTAAAACACCATGTCAATGTGCATATAGAGCATCACAGATTAAGATATTTTTTAAATTTACCTTTGTTATTACAAGAGAGGCAATGCATCATTGCAGCTAAATCTAAAAGCTCACATGGGGTGATAGAAAAATAGTTCTTTGTACCTCACGTTGGACAAGTTGCTTTGATGCATAACTCAGCTGTTTATGTTGAGGTAGTGTTGGGAATGCAACCAGCTCTCCAAAATTGCTGTAATATGCAGATAGAATATAAACTATGGCGATTTTCACATTCAGTAACATGTACAGGCATTTTTAATATTTCTTCAAGCAAGGTAAAGAAAGTAAAAGGCAAGGTAATGATTCAACAAAGTCCCTCTCTTATATAAGCCAACTTGAATGCGCCCCCTTTAGCAAAAGGTGTTTAATCTTTAGGTTTTTCTTTTTCTGGGTCACAAATCACGTTTTTTGAGAAATATCCTGCAAGTCAAATAGGTAAGTCCTGTTAGAAAAGATGAAATGTTGAAGAAGTTCTCCCTTTTCATACACCCTAATCGCAAATAATTCCCTTCTCTAGCATATTGTTTTGAATAAGTTGTTGGGCTTATCTGAATTTGTTTGGCAGACAAACTTCTTAAATTGCTACAGAAAGAGAGAAACCAGCTGTTGAAGGAAAAGAAACTTGTTGACAATATGAGAAAGGAAGAATCAGCAGATTTGTTCTTTGAAAGGCTCATCAAGAAAGCTTCAAAGTTTGGTTTTATCTATGATTCTGTCTAGCAAATAAAGAGAAGGGTCGCCAATAAGAAAAGTTTAACGAGTATTTCAAGGTAGAAGGAGATTTAAAGAGGATTTAAATAAGGAAAAAAAATTTTGACCAGCCAAATTTAAAAGTTTAGAGTTTAACATTAACTACCCCCACTTTGCAAAATTTCATCATTGTTTAATTCTAGTTTTTATCTATATTATTATATTCACTCATTTTTTGCTGAACAGTGTTCCATTTAATTCTCTCCTCCATCTTATTTTGTTCTCTTTTTTAAGTATGAAATATTATGATCACTCGCTGCACAAAAAAGGTTATTCTAGGCCGTCGTTTCTAAAAGACTGAACACTCCAAGAACAGGCTGAACACCCCAAGAACACCCCCAAGAACACCCTAAGAACAAGCCATTAAGCCGCTGAACACCCTTTAAAACATATCAAAATCGGCATGTCATTCGAAAAATAATTTGATCAATCAATCAAAATTAATTTTGGGGCGGGAAAGGACCTGATAAGTCTAATGCTGTTGGTGTTGTTACAACCAACTGATGTTTTGCGCGCCAGAAGTGTGAACGGGGGTTTGTACACGCGGAGCAAATTCGAGTTTGACTCCCTTTGTGCATTCAAGCAAATTCCCGTTGTTTTGAAAATCTTTCACATCCTGTGACAATGTAAAAATACGACATGTCACTTGACTACCTATTGTCTTCCAAACAATTGTTCTTCCCGTCCGCTAATTTGCCCAAATGGTCACGCTATGCTAGTGCACGCTAGCTAGTTACTAGTTTACCAGTGCAAGCAGAACGAGACAGCTCCTCTCTTGACGTCTCCAGCGGGTGCACTCGCAGGCTGGAGAGGTTTTTTATAAGGAATTTTTTGACAAATGAAACAGAAAATGCACAGTGTTGGACTTGTTAGAGGGTAGCAGCAGGACCACAGTTTGCGACTTAAAAGAGGGCTTAGGAGGGGCACATTTTTGGGGCCCGTGCTCGAATGGGGTCATGATAATCTCACTAAATCCTCGAATTGGCCCCCACCCTAGAACTACAAATTATTAATAAGCCCCCACTGCTGCCGTTAATGCTCGAATCGGACCCCTCAGTTTGCTGGTTTTTGCCATCTAAGGTTGCCTTTGGCGCTTTTTCTTAAGTACCGCAAAAATTCATACTTTTGGTAATAATTGATTAAATGCGCATAAAAAATTACTACTAAAATAAACGAAATCTTTTAATAATATCTTCTTAATGTCTTCAATAATTTTATAAGCCCCTCCCCTCGTATAAGTCGAAGAACCCACCTGGAATAAGCCCCCATACAAAAAATATCAAAAATGAATAAGCACCCATGGGGGCTAACTCGAGGATTTACGGTATGTATGTGGCAGAAATTGCGTTGGTTTTGGGGCAAACGCCCCCAAGCTTTTGCTCAGTCGTCGGTTAAGGCACAGTTTTAAGCGCTTTTATCGGAAAACTGTTTGTTTTTGTGGGTGTTGCGGTTCCTCTTACCTTCCTAGGCAACTATATATTGTAAAAATTATTAGTTACATGGACTGATATAGAAACTGTAGCTAACCTGCAAGATGAAGTTTTTCCTCCAATGGAAGTTTGACTCCAATGCACAAAGGGAGTCAAACTCGAATTTGCTCCGCGTGTACAAACCCCCGTTCACACTTCTGGCGCGCAAAACATCAGTTGGTTGTAACAACACCAACAGCATTAGACTTATCAGGTCCTTTCCCGCCCCAAAATTAATTTTGATTGATTGATCAAATTATTTTTCGAATGACATGCCGATTTTGATATGTTTTAAAGGGTGTTCAGCGGCTTAATGGCTTGTTCTTAGGGTGTTCTTGGGGTGTTCTTGGGGTGTTCAGCCTGTTCTTGGAGTGTTCAGTCTTTTAGAAACGACGCTTTAGAAACACAATCCTAATAAGGGAGATACTTTGTTAGAGGAACTGTTGACACTTTTGAAAGGAGATTCAAGATAACAAAATATCATAAAAGACCTCCATTGACTCATGAAATTAAATCAGGGGCTGTGAAAACAGATATCTAGACCTTACGGCCAAAT